AGTCCTGCGCGACCCCATCAAAGCGACACCCAACAACCGAACCAACTGAGCTAATTGCCGCACACAGTCCATCTACAAGTCCAAGAACGTCGTCCAGGTCAACATCCCTGCCGAGTCCGGCGAGATGGGTGTCCTTGCCAACCACGTCCCCTCCATTGAGCAGCTCAAGCCCGGTCTGGTCGAGGTTGTCGAGGAGAGCGGAGGCGCCAAGCAGTTCTTCCGTATGTCAACGTCAGTATGGTTGCAATGATCAGTTCTAACCGGTACCAGTGTCTGGTGGATTCGCGACTGTCCAGCCCAACTCGACTATGAGCATCAACGCACCCGAGGGCTACGCTATCGAGGATTTCAGCGCCGATGCCATCAGGAACCAGATTGCTGAGGCTCAGAAGGTGGCCAATGGCAGCGGAAGCGAGCAGGACATTGCTGAGGCGAAGATTGAGTTGGAGGTGCGTATTATGGTTGGGCTTCCGGAGCAGATGACTAACGTGCCCAGGTTCTCGAGACTCTTGCTGCTCACGTGAAATAAGCGTGGTGATTGAAGCGATGCGCTCCTTTGTACATCAACTTTCCTATCTATCTTTTTAACATCCTCTCGTCAGGACAAATGATAGATGTCTACGACATTGTACACTTGTGGAAGATTCGTTTTGCGTGAGATTTGCGCCCGTTGTCCCAAGACCCTTGTTGCACTGGCTCCAGCTGCTGGCCACACAAGCGTCCAGCTATGTTATACTGACCATGAGCTGCGCTTTGCGCTTACTTCACGAACGCGTTATCTACTCAGTTAAGACTCCGACGCTCTCCACACGGCGGGATATCTTCTTGCCCCTATCGACACTTGTCATCCTCGGGCCTAAACAATCCTGCCTGGTAGCCTCAAATCGATAATATTCTACAGTACTTTCTTTCGTTAAATGTCGCACAATAGCTCCCTCATTGTCTACGGTCCCCAGCCCCACAGCATCACTTCGGGGTCATGATACCTCTCTGGATGATCGCATCTGTGCAGACGATAAGGATTCCTGCAATCATCGACCATACGGTACGTGCAGCGCTAAGGCAAGGTGTCCGCTGGTATTGCTCATCGCCGGCAAGAGGGGTTGATATTCTAAAGCCTTCAGTTCGGGTTGACATGAGGTAGGTGTTTTGCCGAGCCTGGCTCTCAAACAATCATCCCGGGCAAGGACACGAAGTCTCGAGCCAGCATTGTATATCGCAAGATTCGCAACAAAGCCACGGGGGAATGGTTTCTAGGAATTATGACACCAGGCCTACGAGTATATACAGCGAGATTTTACACAAGCCTAGTCCGTCATCATTGTGACGGTGAAGGATCTTTTGTGTAGCAGATGCTGGTTCATCAACACCACGAAGATACCTCACATCCCCTAAACGGAGGGTCGAGGGCAGTCCTTTCGCCATGCCATGACGACGGATAAACGCCATTATCCCATTGACACCCAGCCACCTCTGTTATCACCGGGTATGTGGCCATTTGTCAAGTCAGCGTCTCGTCTGGTTCGGTCCCAGAAACCGCGTGCGTAAGGTCACTAGTCGTTGCTCGCCCGTGTCTAAGGTCGATGATGTGGCAGAGAATGACGGGCTGACGTTAAATCGCAGTTTGGAATGCTCGAATTGGTTGAGCGCACTGGGACAGCTGTCATCCAGAACCGGTCGGCGAGTGGCTTTCTCCGGCCAACATCGCGAAAATTCGACCGTCCTGGGCTTTGGGCATCCTTTCGATAGAGGATGTTGATGTTTTATATCACTTTGACGAGACTGTTCGCCCGTTGCGATGTGTGTTGGAGCACTTGGCTGCTCTCCGTATGAGTCCCAGTCACCCCAAAAGATGGGAGCAGTCTACATTGCAGGCACGCAAACAGACGCCCCGAAATTCGAGCGACCTGAAACCTAGACCAAACTGAAGCCATGACGAAATTTCAAAATCGCTTTGGCGATGTCTTCGACGAAACAATAAAGCTCATGCCCCTTCTCTTGTATGCCAGAGTTGATATGTCACAAGCTGCTGTGGTTGCTGCTGAAGGCAATATCATCAATAAGCTGGGTTCCAACTTCCCGTCCCTGTTACGACCTCAGCTGAAAGATCTAATTACAATTAGGGTACCCAGGTGCCCAATGGCCGACCCAGGCTAGTATGAAGGGCACGCCGACCCCGGAACTTGAAGTGCTTGGTTCCCGTTAGCTTACCTTGTTGGCTACAACAGTGCCACTTGGGTCTGAATCCTGAACTTGTTTCATTTGAGCCTGATCTTAGCGCCGACGATGCGTTTAGGCAGCAGAACGAAAGTGAGGAATTGTCCTGTTGACCAGGCGCCCTGTGTGACCAGAGACAACGACCCGATGAGCCCTGTGTGAAATTGGACGTGACAATCTCGATGTCAAGGGGCCGACGACATCGCTACCTTTAGGGAGCAAGAATGGTCAGTGAGGTAAGATGAAGGATGCTTCCTGTGGCATGATTGATGTGACACTTCCTTCGCAAACCTATTGCAGAGGGTCACAGTTGGTCTGTTGGTAGGACAATGGTCTGGAGCGGCTGTACATGACATGGAGCTGACGTGTCTTGGTCTGCTTCGTTTCGAAAGACCCCTTATGTTGAACTAGGACCACGGTGACACACACAGGATTCACACAATAGTTTGCTCGACCTGTTCACGTTTGGTTCCGTGGGCGAGAATGAGGCTACGCCCCATGAAAAGGGGCCAACAAGTCTGTATTAGACTACCCTACACCATCTTGATATACTCATATTGTTGATAATGGCACAATCAAAACTCACTACTTCTTGGACTATTAAAGTCATAGAGGTTTTTGCAGTTTTAACAGTCACATGGATATATTGCGGAGAGAAGGTGGCGAGGTTGGATCGGCTCAACAATTCCGTCACTACCATGTGTCCTCCCGAGACGGCAGACAACCTCGATGTTAGGAGTCACAAAATGAACTGTGTTGTGCCAGAACATATAGGAATCCAACATCACCCATTCTCAGAGTAGGATGCCCTCCCGATACAGTCGCACTAGAGGCGAAAACTCAAGTTACTCAACGACCACTCGAGGACGATCAGTGACGGACACTACAGCTCACGGGGCATCACCTAGATGTACAAACCTGTCACATCATAGTTACATCCCCATGAGCCATCAGCGGCGCTCACACCGTGCTCATCAACAGGCGGTCTGCCACCATCAGACCGCTCGGAGAGCGCAAAGTCGCATCCTCTGCCAGCTTTTGGTTCGAGTACCCGCGGATGCGGTCGAGGGACCAGAATTGGCCGGACGATTGGGAACTCAGGATTCAGGAATGACAAGTCGACAACTCTGGATTTATGACGATGCGGTGAAAGACAGAGAGAGGCCCAATTTGATCTGGACAAGAACTCGCCGCTTGCTTGACAGGCAGTTGTGGGGCCGCCTAGACTAGGATCCCGGTCTTTGCGCTCGATCGTGACTCGCGAAGGTGCCTGCATCCAGATGATCCAGTCGTTGTCAAAGATGACTTGCCAGGTCACTGATCGTGGCAGCCAAGGTTTTCTCATCTCCCACGTCAGGTAGCCATCCACGTCAGTATTTGACATCCCTGTGAACATGAATGGTGTGTGTGCTCACTAACATTACCGTACTTGTACTCCATGTCCCGTGGCAGCACTGCTCTATTGCTGTAATTTTCCTGGTTTGGAGTGTTTGTCCGACAGCGGGTGACCTCAGCTATCTCCGCGCCATGGGCCATCGCCATGGCTCCCTTACGTTCTCAGCCTTATTCAGTCAGCTTTATGTTGGATCCACACATTGCTGGCTCTCACGGCTTGCGCTGGAAACGTGACTAGAAAAGGAAGTGCTAGACGATGCGTCTGGCGGTGAGAGCTGCATCTGTCCGGTTCGCAGGCGGCAGACCGCCTCAATCCTGGCCCGGCGCATGTGGCCTGGCTGCCGGCTGATGTGACTTGGGGTTCGCTCTCTCCAGTGCGCGGGCCCCGGGAACACATAGAGCTCTGCTTGCAGCGAGAGTAACACGATGAACCAAAAGTTGTCCGCGGCAGACGGAGCGGTACGTAGTCCGCTACTAGACTGTAGACTAGTCTAGTATACCGAGCTGCAGTGGCTGTGAGTGGGTGCTGCTGTATCATAGTCGCGCGTGCGCATCGCATATGCGGCGCGTGCAGCAGTGCATGTACGTGCATGTATACGTGCATCCATTCACGACCATGCCATGCCATGCATGGTCGGCTTTTGGTCATGGCTCATGTACGTCGTGCGTTCATCGGAATTCCACCCATGCCTGCGGTGCACGGTGCAGTTGTTCACCGACTAAATTGAACCTTTGCGTGATGTGGATATGAAGGAATGTCCAAAACTGGCAGAGCGGTGAGTGAGCGGTGAGGAACCGGAGCTTCTCTGGGCGGGAGCGGAGTCCAACACGCGACAGCTGATCATTGTCGCGTAGACATTATTGAAACGCGATCACTTGTCAGGCATTCGATGCGTGTGGCGCCCATGAGTAGGTGCCCGTCGGCCGAAGCAACTCGCGATCAGCAAGCGTTCGGAGCTCGGGCCATTTGCCTAGAGCCTAGCGCACACTTTATGCTGGGGCTCAATTAATAGGTAGATTCCAACTTCCAAGGGCAAAATTCAAATGCTGACTGAGTGCACGGTAGGGGTGGTGTCACTTTGTGAACAGGGCGTGCAATATTGTTGGGCTCCCCAGTTCACAGTTGCAACGATGCAGATTGTCGTGCGATTGACAGCGATTGACAGTGCATATCTGACAAGAGCCCATGGCTGAACCGATCTTGCTGAATGCAGTCGGGCCTGCGCGCCACTTTAATACGCCCTCTTGAAAGTGCTCGCAAGGGTACAAAGACTTGCGCCCTCATCATTGCACGAGTGCGGTTCCGGACACCGACCCATACCCATTTACCGACAAGAGAGCAGTATACTCGCGAGGGATAATTACTCTGTTCCTCCAAGGAATGCCGGCTAGAGCTTGAAATCAAAGAGGTCCAAGCCTTCCACGTTGACATCAACCTTGAAAACAGCGCCACCGTACGTCTTGCTCTTCTGGTCATCTCCTGAGTCGTCCGAGGCCGTAGTGATGACGAGCTCGGTTCCTGCGAATTGAACACATGTAATGTTGCGCGTGGGGAGGATAACCTGGCCCACAAGCTTCCCCTGAGGGCTGATCTTCAGGACACGCCCTTCACCATACACAGCATGCCAGATGTTGCCTTGGGCGTCGACTCTGAAGCCATCGGGATCAGCAGAACCGAGGTGATCATACAGGATACGCTTGTTCGATACGTCTCCGGTTTCCAGGTCGTAGTCGAAAGCGTACACCTTGCCCTCTGACGAATGCGTAAAGTACATGGTCTTCTTATCAGGCGACCAACCAACGCCATTTGGGATGGTCAAGCCCGTCAGAAACACTTCTGGACTCTTCTTCTCATCAAAGCGGTACAAGGAACCTGGTATTCTCGGTGAGCCACACGAACACCATGGCGGTGGGGGGGTTAATAAATGAAAGGCACGTGCCACACACCTTCAGGCTGGCAATCACCACTCGGAAAGTCTGTCATATTGCCAAACCAGAAACGTCCATGGGGATCTGCGCCTCCGTCATTGCCTCGGAGGCGGTCATTCGGAGGCTCACTGAAGCTGCTGATCATCTCATACGATTCGGTCTCTAGATCCAGTATGGCGATGCCCGTCTTCACACCAATAAGGATGCGCTGGCGTGGATCAACTCCAGCGATATTGCACGTAACGCCTACGGGTACATCCAGCTGAATTGTCCTTAGAGACGGTGGCCCCTCTGCGAGCGAGACGAGGTGTACCCGCTTCTGCTTGATGTCGACAAACCTCACTATGCCCGAAGCCTTGTCGTAGAATGGGCCCTCGCCAAGGGCGCAGTGGAGGTCTAGCCAAGTCTCTGTCACGTTCCACTCCTGGAGCTCAGCCATGTTGCGATGTTGACCTGTGGCTCGTCGATTGAGAGTTGAGCGTCGTCGAATTGTGTGTGTTGTGATGAGGGGTAATTGGCGCGGGGTAACGATAGAACGGACGAGCTCTGTGATACAGAACAGCGAGATGAATGAAGTCAGAGGCAATTCGAATAGGCGACGAGACGTTGGGGGCAAGTACGTATTATCTACTGCTTTCCCACGATATTAGTTTGATCTCGTGGCCCCTCTCTGACGGAACGTTGGGCGAAGCTCGATGGAGACGCGGCCCTCCGCGCCGTAGCCATTATCCGGAGTGCTGTATGCGCACGCATTCACTGTGTACGGACAAGTCCGCTGAGGGCGATCCCGCCAATAACTACTGGACTAGATCTCGTGATGCCTCGTCAGAAATGGATTGACATATGTTTTCATCGTGAGGGAATTGAGGGATCGCTGGTCGTTTTGATGGTGCGCGCGGGTACACTAATGATTGAGGCGTGAGCTCTGTCGCAACGAGAGGGTTCGGAGCATGCATCATTTTGCCTGTTATGGGCGTCCTCCAATCCCTGCTGCAGAGGTCCCGTCCTAAAGCAGAAACCGGTGAGCTAGGGTGTTCGGATGCAAGTGTTGAACGATGGAGACTGGGGGATCTGTTGGGCCGCAGCTTGGGCCGCAGAATCTAAGCCCGGTCTCGACTAATAATCATTCGGGATAATGCATTCCGACGTGTAGTAATCATACATGTATGGTGTCGGGCTGTGCGAGCGCAACCAACATAGTGTCGTGCGATAGCCAACTATTCAACGTGGAAGATCTCAGCAGTGAAAGTCTGCTTTCAGGTTGTCAAGCAAATGCGCGTTCCGGCGTCTATCAGTTGCGCCCACTTTCGACAACGTGCTAACAACTGACGTCACTCCAAGGTTCATACTCCGTACCTTGATGAATACTACTCAATTATTAGCAACGCGCTGATATTACCTCTCATACCAAATCTGACGAGAAGGGGGCCCGCCCCCCAGTCACTAATAAGAAGTACCTGGTAGGTAGTTATTACTACTTGGGGTAAGCAATTTGCTGGACGACGGTACGTAGAATTTTAAAAATTACTTACGCCCAGCCACCTGGAGCGTACGAAGAGGGGCTGTCTGGTGCGTACAACATAGAACTATGTTGCATTGTCTTAAAGAGACATGGACTTTTTGAGATCCTTTGTTGACACTACGCACGTAGGCTACGTACTAGACTAGTGAGTTGAGGAGCGCGAATATACTTCATAGTTGAGTGCTACCTGATCCGTACGTGCCTGTGCCTGCCTTATGCAGGTGACCGCCAATTTGACCAATAATAAATACGTTCGCAGTAATTACCCCAGAGATTGATTGTCGCCAGGATGTAACGAACATGCGGGCGAGCTCTGCAGCTCCTCACCAACCCAAAATTTAATACTTGTCGTACTCCGTACACTCCGAATAATAATCCTGGGCATGGACCGTGCTCAGTGACAGCCTTGTGAAGGGACTAAGAAAGTCAATTCCGGATTCGTGAGGAGCATTTTGCCCATCGACGTCTCAATCCATGTCCTTGGGTCACCGTCTAATACGTATTTCACACAAAAGCCGAGGCATGACTCTGCTTTTTCCAATCTTTGAGCCTACTGGAGTGCGCGCGGAGGCCGGTCTAGTGAGTATCCATCAATAATAATTACTAGCGTGCCGCTACCTGGTGCTTAAAGTCCGACACTGGCACGAAAACGGTAACCACTAGCCTTGCGTCAAAGTGGTGATTACGTTGTGAACATGATCCATTTTCAGGAGTCCCGGATCTAACTTAAATAGGAAACAGCCAGAGTACTCATAATCAACGCGTAGTAATTACATACTCACATATAGGAGGACGTGCAGAACGGAAGCGCTACCGTGTGACGAGGTCTGCCGTGGTTGGTCGTAACTTGCAACCATTTTCATGCGTGATGAGCGAACCAGTTTCACGCGTGATGAGCGAACCCGATTACCCGACCTAACTGCGGGCCGGCCGGTAGCTTTAGGCAAGGTCCTTCCCGTGCGCAACTCCTGACTTCCGCGACTTCCATCCCATCCTATCCTCCATGTCCCTGCCACTCGTGAGTCGTAGTGATGTCCCTGCAGTGCCAGTGCCTCCAGCAGGTGGAGCTTCCGCTGCCTGGGCAAGTGCAGTGGCAGCATGTCACTGCCAGGCAGCTCCCCTCGGGGTCCATCAGCCTTGATGCAGCTTTTACAAAAACCTTCAAGGGTGGAGGCCGTTGGTCTTGTTTATTTAAGGTAGACATCTCTCGTCGCTATCCGCGACCCGATTCTTTCCTCAATCAACACGTTGACGAGCCTTGCATATCCTGAACGTCGCCTGAATGACCCCAATTTTGCGCCTCGAATCCTCTTCGCGAACACGCACGCTCCGCCAAGAAACAGTGGTCGGGATTCCAGCATCCGGAAACGCGACTGGCACCGAGCGGCCAGACCTTTTGCTCATTAGAATTCCAGCAGAATTCCAGCAGAATCTTGTCTCACTGCATCGTGGACCTAAAACTGCTTCCGCCCGAGCAAGAAGCAACGTCCAGAGACATGACCGCTGCTGTTGGTGATGAAGTCGGCACAGAGGAGTTACATCGTTTCTGCGCGCCTCAACTTGACGCACGTCGCAATGCAATGCAAGCCAGACCAACATGCGCGCGCAGATCACGCACCCCGGCGACTTGGGTAGCTACACATGAGCCCTCGACACGGTTGGCACGCTAGGGACATTACTCCATCGGCGTGCAGACTCTTTGCCGACGACAAGTCTTGAACATTAGTTAGCTACCATCTCTTCTCTCGTTTGCACGGTTTGTCACGACTCGAGTCACGACACACTTCGACTGGGTTCGCGACTGGAGGCCTAATAAGGAGCTCCGCCACGATCTATTCCGGTACCGAGTAGGATGGACAGTGTCGTACGTACCTACCGTAGCTTGACAGCTTTGGCACATTGATGCACGCACGCTCAACCGAACCCTGGTCTGTCGGGCACTAATGAGCTAGGTCACTTACTGGGCGAAGTTTCCTGTGCTCTGTTAACCGGTGTCCAATCGACAGCTCATGCCCGCACCGCCTCGTCAACGGTCAACCTTGAACCACTGGACGCGCTCCCCCCCCTCCCCCCTCGGGTTGATCCCGCTGGCCCGGCCCCTGCGCAGACCACGCCGTCCACGCGCCACTTGTGGCTCTGGCTGGCCTGCCGTCAACCGTGCCCAGGGCCATTATTATGAACCAATCTTACTTGTGGTATTGCTGGCGTCAAGAGTACGGTAGACACTTCTCGAGCGGTTCTTCAGCCACATATGTCACACGCGTTTCGCACCACATACTGCACTACAAATTCTTTGTGCCTGGGGCTTGGATGTTGTGATGTTGCGCATCCTCGCCTCGCGGCTGTTGATTGACTGTAACCGTCTGAGCCCAACCAGTCACTGCTACATGATAATAGGCGGTAACGCCGTTCTGCATGCGCCATGGGGTGCCAGATGCCCTCCTGACCCAGTAGCCGGGGAGGTGCGAGCTACGTACGTAGTCTGACACTACTAATCCTTGCTTAGTGCTTGACCCTTGCTCCATCCTGAACGCTAATCTACTCGCACGCCGATGACGAGGAGAGCCATGCCACGCCACCAGGGAAGGTTCGTGTGATATCAATGGCGAGATTGGTCAAGGAGGGTCCGTCACCCATCTTGCAGTGCCCAAGAGACCGTCACTCTGAACGGGGCAAGCGGGTAAACCTGACCCCCAAACTCGAGAATTTCCTGTGTTCACATCACATCAATATCACGTTGGCAGATCCCTTCGATACCGTGGAAAGCCTGAAGTCCTTTTTCCTTCGCGTCTCAAGATTGGTACTCCGTACAGCTCGCGCAAACACATCACACTGTTGACGTTGACCCTAGGGCGTGTTCCTGGCGTGTTACTCTCGTCTAATTACTTTCTTGAATATTTTTCTGGTCTTGAAATTGGTTTACATCGTCTTCTAGGACATTTTCATTTACTACTTTCTTGCCTTTCTTCTCATTGTTTTCTTTTGGCTGCGCCCGTGGAGCGTTGCCTCACCATAGTAGTGCTGTTCCAGCCTGCCGGCCGCATTCGTATCGTTTCAAGTACTTGGGCACCTTTCTTATATACGCGCAGGCTCTCGACTCCAAGCTCATCATCAAAAGCCAGCACTCTTTGAGCTGCCGGCTGTGTTGTCGGCAGCTGGATACGGGCCACCACCAATACACACGCAAGAGAGGGACGGTTTGGGTACTCGAGGCCCGACGTGTCCCAAACGATCTTTCATTAACTCTGGCTTTAACAACGATAAGCCTGCAGCATCAGGCACCCCCAAGACAAGGTAGTCCAGTGTCTGTCATCACTGACACGACTCTTGCAACCGCCCAAAGTTCGCCTCGGACACCACCCACGCCCACTTGGACACCACATCAACAATTTCATCTGCACAACCAGCCGCAGACTGCATCGTCCGCAACCAGACTTGAACGACACTTCCTCCTTGACTTTGGCAAAGAGATTCAATGTAGGCGGGCTCAAGAAGACTGCCGCGCAGGGGACATAAATTCAATGACGGGAAGGGGATCTGTGGCACCGAATGCCTCCATACAGCAGACCACTGGATTGCCACCTCAGGAAACAAAACAACAGCCTCCCCCGCCTGGAACGTCTTCTCAAGAAGCACACGATGTCCGCTCGTATGGTCCGGCCGAAGCCGTTGGCAGGCAACTGTCGTCTACACCACGGGGTATTGGGGTTCAGAACATCCTCAATACGACCGAAGGTGATTATCAGGCCTCGGGCGTGAATACTTTATACGTACCAAAGACCAGAGGCGCCCGGGAACCGCCGCCTCAAAACCAACTGGCCCAGCAGTACCAAGCCCACGGACACTATCCGCCAGCACTGACCGGAGCGACCACCGAATCCTTCTTCGAGCGTCGCCCAGAGAATCGTGATTCTCCCCCAAGCCAGTCTCCCGCACCTTTACTGTCACCGAGACGGATCCTGAGTCCCCGGGGACCCCGATCATCGAGTATTCGACCAGGATTGCCTCCGCACGAGTTGGACCAGCGACTGCAAGCCCCAGTGACGCAGGCCGCCCAGGCCAAGAGACCCTATGAGGATGTTTCCTCCAGCGACTACCTGTCCGGCCCAGCCTCTAAGCGTTTGCCCAACAGTCTACCTCACACGCCGAATCCTCCTGGTGCGTCCCCTGCTCGCGCAGCATCGCAGCCAGCAACGCAGCCTTTTGGCGCGCCGCATGTGCCATCACCAGGCGTCAATCCATGGCTTTCTCTGTCTCAGGAGCGAGGCCCCGTCTCTCCCCTGGAAGCGCCGCATTTGCATAGTTATGGTGTCAGCAGGGCTGCATCGATATCAGGAACGATAGCTCCCAGACCCGGACAGCATGGCCAGTCAGCGGGTACTCCTGCCTTGAGCCCACGTGCTCTGGGATTGGAGGGAAGACAGGCCGCTCCACTAATGCGTCTTCCAGGCTACGAGCACGAGCCCATCGAGGTGCATGTCGATACGTCACAGGGTTCGCGGAAGGCGAGCGAGAAACGCGAGCGCAACGCCCAGGCTTCGAACAGACACCGAGCCAAGAGACGTCAGATGGCGCAGGATGACAAGAAGCACATCCAGCAGTTGCAGGAGGAGCAAGAAGAACTCGAGCGTCGCATCCGCGAATTGATGGCTTTAGCAGACCATTACCGAGCGGACAGGAACCGATTGCGAGACATTGTCCGTGCTACTCCAGTTATTTCCGATCATGCAGCAGGACCGCCGAGTCCGCGGATTACGGAGTATACTAGCGGTGCAAGTCCAATGCTACACCACGCACCGCATGGTCCGGGCACATTGCGAGACTTCAGAGAGCACAGCAGCGAGGCTTCGTCGATGGATCGCACTGTGCAGCGGCCTGTTATGGAGGATCGGCAAGAGCCATATGCGCAGCGCCATGGATCCACGACACCGAGCTCCTCCGCGGCCTCCCTGCCGCACGGGGCACCATACATGTCACTGCCTCGGCCAGATTCTGCCTCGTCGTCCACAGGCATGGGAGAGAGGCTCCCATCGCTCAGGACGCTAGAAGGCCCGCCTCCACCGGTTGCGGATGGCCGCGTGTGGGAACGAGACTTAGGTACGGGACAATGGATGCTGACACAGCCACGTCAATACGAGATGGGGTGGGCGACAGGAGCAGCTGGGCCTCGTCGACCGCCCGAAGGGGCCCAGTGATGCTTGCTAGGCTGTCTTTGCTAGTGTTAGCCGACCTATCGCGCTTGACAACACCCGGCAAGCCCGCCTCCATGCAGAGCCAGTGATGCTCTAAGCAAGCGATTTCTCGGCCATGTCACGGGGCAAGCAACTTGTCAATTCGAGCAAATGGTGTTTCGGAGGACAAAAATAACATGTATTTACAATGGTTGATTCGGCAGGTGCCACGGCCAGGAGCCGGGCTATAGCATTTTGTTTTGAAGATTGGGGATAGTAAGATTGGCAACATTACAGATGCTCGCAGAATGAGCACACAGACATATCCTACTGCATCATTGCAGACAGTACAGACTCAAGACGAGATCAACTATTATACCCATGAGAGCTCTTGTAAGGCTCCAACAAACATTAATAGAAAATTACAAGAATGGCTCCACTTCCTTCAGCTTGCAGAGAGGCGAAATTGAATCAAAAGAATGGTCGAGCAAAAGCAGAGCCCGACCCCTTTTGAGTGTCAAATTTCAACAACACGGAGACTTTCTAATACCCACACCACCATCAAAGAACACTGGCGCCTGCATTGCTTGCGGGATGGGACCTTGGTTCGAGCTCACACTACTAATTCAGGTTGCCCACAAGAACAAGTCATGGAATGGTTTCAACGGCGACCTGTTCACGCAAGAGGAGACCTGTCCTCGACATCGACGACCGTGCCCATCTGCCTAACCCTGCCGGCATACGGACACTCCAAAGTCCAAAGTAAATAATCTGCTCAGCTTTGAGGATACCCATACTTCGTTGGCTTGTAGTGATTGTCTCGTCCAATTGGCCTATGCTGTAGATGGAGCATCGCAGATGTCAAGCAACTGTAAAGTGGACTGAGCTAAGGGGATTGATTGCCTTTGCCTGTTGAAAACCTATACAAGGCTCCCTGAAGATCGATTGGTTGTTTTCCATCTACGAGTGGGCCGACGCACATATACTACAGTAGGCTCTGCGCGCCATCGCAGTAAGATTAAGGTGTAGTGCCAGGGGCAAAGCCAAGTCGGCATAATACGTGGATGGCCACGTCTTCGGCACACACAAGCAGTGACGCACGCAATGAGCTCTGGCCAGCCAACTTGCTGACAATTCGGATGCCTCAAGGCTGCCGAATAAAGAAACAGGCAGACACGAAAGCTGGCAGGCCAAGAAAGGGCGGCCCTGTACGCAACGGTACGTTGAAAAGGCTGCTCCATTAGTCCGTCTGTCATTGGTCCACATGCACCACGTAGGGCTGAGGTACCTGATGCATGGAGCGTGGATTGATCGACCAAGGCTCGATACAGTACTGCAATTGAAGTCTAGAGATCGTCCGAAAGAGGGTTTGGCAGACTTGCCTCTGGCTGGCGTACCTTGTTTCGGCTTCCGTTTGACATTGAAGTGCACGATCCCCGAGGATGCGGACTGTCGTGTTTGATCGTTGATGAGAGGACAAGTACGCAACTTCTCCGCGGCAGAGGCACAAGATGCGGGATACCGTCTGTGGTGGCCTATCAAATTGACTGGTGTCGGTCTTTGTGAAACCATCACCCTCGACCCTGTGGACTGGCAACATTGCGGAAATGCAATACGTAGTTGTGTCCTCAACCAAAAGTGCAGAAGCAAGCAAGCAGCGCACAGCCCCCTTGGCTCGGTGTTGACGATCGGGGCCAGTGGATTTGGGCCTTGGCTGGGAACAGGTGGGCTGCTCCAGTCCGGGTAGTGGGAGCGTTCGACCACAGACTCCATGGAGAGCGGGACTTAGCGCTGTGATTGACTGATTGAACGACTGACTCGAGGCCACTACATAGAAAGGAGTATGAGATAATCTCTCGTTCTGGCATGGGTTATCTCGCTGCCTTGTATGGCCGACGTGGAAGACGTACGTTTGCTAACTCAATTGAAGAACTGAGTCGTTCGAACGCGCTGGCTCTTGCCGGATGAGACGGGCGGGTTGGGGACAATTCAGAGCTGCAGACTGTCCATGATAGCGCGGATACAAGCGCTCGTAGCAGAGGCTGCACATGGAAAGCCGCCAATGCATGGACTGCTCTGTTAGTGCGTCAAGTTGCCTGCAACGGCTGGGCTTAGCAAGCAGGTCTCGGTCAGATGAGCGTCGTTCTGATCTAACCCCCGTCAACAGCCCCGCACATTTACGTTGATTGGTTGGATCACCAGGCAGCAGCGCCCTCTGGCTGAGGGTCTGCCTTATCCTGCTTGAGCGTTTCTCAGTGGCCTTTGAAATGGACGACGTCCTCTGCCTGGCTGCAGCTTCTGTTTTCCCCATTCATCACATCACAACTTCAGTACCGCCTCCTGCCTTTATTATCTTCGCCTCGTCGTTTCTGCCTCAGCCCTGCGTGAGCGTCGCCATTCGTGCCTCAGGTACATCTGCGAGCGACTCGAGTCCCCAGCCGACACCGCCTCTCCAAACACTATCGATCCTGACTCTTCCTCTGCTATCTGACAAATCACGACGGCACCCTCGTCGACACTTGTCCGTCGTCCTCAGTCCTGGATTTGCTTCACAAGTCCTTGCTCTGCCTTGGATTGCCCAACGCTCAGTCGCCCACAACGACGGCAATTGGACAAGACCAGCGTTGTGACTGCCTCGCCACCCGTCAGCATCAGACGCCATTGCGCCGCCATAGGAGAACATCGCCTGTGACAGTCAGACCTGGACCAAAAACGTCTTGGTGGATTGTGCCTTTGGTCGTCTCAGCCCAATCTATTGATCGTACGGTCCTGGACGCATCCTCGAACGCAGGCTTATCATCCACTGTCACATCGGCCGTGACTCATCATTGCACGAATCCATCGACTTCCCACATCAGGCGGAACAATTCGTATCGATTCCGGCCTTGTACTCGCGAACAGATTCCCTTAAACTTCGCACTACGAGAACTTCCATCATGTCTCTCGCAAACCCCCGCCGCCGATCGCCTGGCACTGCACTGCTTGGCGAGGATGCGGACAACGTCTCAACTCAACAAGCCTCCATTCTCCTGAAAGGCGCCACCTTCCATGCGCCAACGTCCCCCACACCAGCGGATGAACAGACCTTCTTGCCACCGTCGCTGCCCCGTGCCCAAACCCATCTTGACGACGCCGTCGGTGCGAATCAGCGTCGCATCGAGTTGGCGCTCAATGACATCGAGGACGTACTGGACCTCGACAAGTTGACATTGTCCACCAAGGACGACAACAAGTTTTTGGCGCGCGATGAAAACATCCCCATCCGCCACGGATTCTTACAGAACCCGATTGTCGATCCTGTTCTCGCCAAGCAGCAGCAGAGAGTCATTGCTCGTCCGCGATCGCCCCGCCGCATCAGTGACGACCAAGTTGACAGTGGTCTCGGCTCCTCCATCGCTTCTTCGGACGAAGAAGTCACAAAGAAGAATAAGAAGTCAATGTCTGCCGTAGCCATCACTCGCTCCGCGGCAAGTCTAAACCGGATCCCGGCTCCTACGTTCAGCAAAAAGGCGATCAGCCGCATCCATGAGCACATTGTCCTCCCTCTCTTGGAGCGAGAGTCCCTAAAGGACTTTCGTCCCATTGTCATCGACGTTCCCCGCCGAATCTCGTCCAAGGAGATCGTCTGCCTGCGCGACCTCGAAAAGACGCTCTTGTACAGCGCACCGGTAAGTCAATTATCTGTGGATTCAGGTGTTTGGGGAGTTGCTTATCAGAATTTGCTTGCAAAGGACAAGGCCAAGTCGGGCATTCACTACCTCGACTTCTGTTTGAGCTCGGTTCGATGCATTCAGGCTACCGTCGAATATCTTACCGACCGCGAGCAAGTGCGACCCGGCGATCGACCTTTCACCAACGGCTACTTCCTCGACCTAAAGGACCAGATTCTACAATACGGACGCGACCTCGCCGCTGCTAAGGGCGACAGTTCCATGGACATTGACCAGTATGTACCGCGATTTGTGCCGATTACCAAGCGCAAGGCTAACCCCATCTTCAGAGGCGAGGAAATCAAACTCTATGGTGGAATTGCCGAGAATGGCCGTCCTGCAGAGCTAGTCCGAGTCCGCCACGATGGGACTGCCGTGTCCATGGCCACTGGTAAGGAAATCGACATTGGCGAGGGCCCCGTCCAGTTCAAGCGTTCTGCCAGCCAGCAGCGCGAGGATGAGGAGGAGATCATGCGTTCCATGGCCCGCCGCAAGAAGAATGCTTCCCCTGAGGAGCTGGCCCCCAAAAGATGCCGCGAGCCTGGCTGCACCAAAGAATTCAAGCGTCCCTGTGATCTGACCAAACACGAGAAGACTCACTCGCGTCCCTGGAAGTGCCCCTTCTCTACTTGCAAGTACCACGAGTTTGGCTGGCCCACTGAGAAGGAGATGGACCGCCACGTAAACGACAAACACTCGGACAAGCCTGCCATGTTCGAGTGCCAGTTCAAGCCATGCGCTTACAAGTCAAAGCGCGAGTCGAATTGCAAACAGCACATGGAGAAGGCGCACGGCTGGGCATACGTGCGCACCAAGACGAATGGCACCAAGAAGGTTGGAGGAAGTGTACCACCTCAAGCCATGGTCCAGACGCCAAGCTCAATGCAGCAGACGCCCCCACTGGCCAACGCGTCCACGCCTTCAGACGCACACAGCGTGGCTACACCTCCTCAGGACCCCTTCGTAGGCCATCCTGGCCACAACGACTTTACCTCGCTGCACCCTCAGTCCGACGCGGACTGGATGGCCTCGTACGGGATTCAGACTGAGGCCCTTGAGGGAATGGATCATTTCGATCAGCAGCTCTCTCCGTCATCGGCCGCTTCGTATGAGCAGTTCCCGCCCTATCAAAACGGGGCTCAGTTTCTCACAGACGAGGAGATCTACGCAGCCACCGCTCGCATGCCGCACCAGCAGGTGCCTCTTGACGGATCGCTATTTTACGGCGGCAAACTGATACCGCACGGAGGGTTCCAGGTCCACCAACCCCAGATCCTCCCCCAAATGCCTATGCCTTCTCAACACCACCACCAGCAGATGCAGACTTACGGCAACGCGCAACAATTCCACGCAGTGCACCCGAGTGCGCCGGCACCACACTTTTCTCCCAACGCGAAGCAGAACCCGATGTTCTGCAGCCCGCCCAACCCCGTAGACGATGGATACGAGGAGACATTCCATACTGTCGATGGAGGTGACTTTGAGCTTCTCCCAGTCAATATGGGGAAGTCGGGCATGCCGCAGTCACTGTTCCAGGAGGCGCCCAGCGCTGATCTGGGGTTCTCGCAGGTCACTGAGCCCGAAATATTCCGTGACGTGGATGTATCACAGATGTCGCAGATGGATTTCCAACACCACTTCCACCCCTGAGAAAGCACGGGTGTCTATCTCGTCTGGAAAATGGCGTGGAGCGGTGTATCATGCACAGCCAAATGGGCTGAATAACGAATTATGATGAGCGTCTCACAGCACGTTGTGGGTTAAGGAATTGGGGAACGAAAGATTTACGACCTTGCAGCGGAAATTGAGCGGGTGGCGGCCAATAGACCCTACCATTTGATTGAAGGCAACGACTACATTGAAGATTGCGATGCCAGTAGTATTGTCGAGCTATGGCTGGGACCTGGGCGTTGGACGGAAGATGCCTGCCGTACGTTGACGCTCGATTCTGTTAGACTGCAACGAGACAAGACGCAAACTGTTCATGGACCTGGCACAGTCAAGGCAATTAATAAAATATGTACTCCATACCCTTCCTTGGTCTGCATGTGAGGTTGGCTCAGGAGCGTCAAGGGTCAACAAATGAAGGACCGTTACCTACTATGTACCGTACCTGAGCATGACTCGGTTCTCGGTTCTGGCCATTCAAACCCCGGACGCACATCCCCCGCACTTCCTTACCGTCCCTAAATCCAGCAGCATGGTTAAGCGTACCTCAGCCTTGGCCTAATCTGGCTACATTAACGAGATTCAATACTCGTACTACAGCAACTCTTGCATCACGCATTTATTGTCCGAAGATTACAATCAAAGCATCACCCATGGGACAAGAGTAAAGGACTAGCCAGCCGTGTTCGTCGACTGTGGGGTGGAGAAGCTAGCGTGGGAAGAGGCGCCTGGAGCCGATGGGCGGAAGACAAACAGCCTGGGAGCTTCCCTGGACCCTTCATTAGCCCTTGGCACTTGCTCCTCCACATCCTCATCATCCTCATCACTTTGTTACTCTTCGACTCGGTCTTCTGGCAACCAAGCTCCGGGCACAACCCAATAAGGCGTCGAAATGGGTTCGCAACCGCCAACAAAGGGCGAGCTTACTGTCCTCGTCACCGGATTTGGGGTATGTATGCAGTCATCTTGGTTACGCAGGGACACTGGAAACGCAGCTCGGCTGACACACGAAATTGTAGCCTTTCCGCACGCAGTACCCTGTCAATCCGTCGTACGAGATCGCACGTCAGTTGCCGACCTATCTTCCGCCCCTGCGTGCCAAAGATCCCTCCAGTCGTGTCTCGCCTTCCATACCTGACGTGCGTATCCTCGTCCACCCTGAAGCCATTCGGGTATCATACAAACGAGTCGGAGAGCTGGTACCGACATGGTGGGACGAGGATATTGAGGGTCGGAGGATAGATCTGGCGATACACATTGGCATGGCCGGCCCGAGACCGTATTACCAGATCGAACGAAAGGGGCATCGGGATGGGTACAAGAGTAAGGACGTCGATGGGCTCGTTGGCGACATCAAGGATACGGGACGGGAATGGAAATGGTACGGCTGCCCGGCGGAATTGGAGAGCGACCTGAATATGGAGGACGTGTTGGGACGCTGGCAGGCGCACAGTCCAGTATGTCACTTACTCCCACCTCAAGGCTATTGACGGAGCGAGCGCTGACTGACCTTGACATTGCAGAAGGACATGGACTTGCGGATATCAGATGATGCGGGACACTACCTCTGCGACTATACGTATTACTCGAGCCTGGCCCATCTGTGGAAGCAGCAGCGCGAGAGAAAGTTGACCTTTCTGCACGTGCCGGCCGACGCGTCGCCCGCCAGCATCAATCTCGGGAGGGAATTGGCCATCAATTTGATACGGGCCATGGTCGAGAGCGAGGTCGTCGCCAAGGAATCAGGATAGTGACCTCGCGAGGCAGAGAAAGCGCCGGCGACGAAGATGATAGGGTGTACGCATGAGCGCACTGTGGTCTCTGATGCTTTACGTACGTATTAGATCCTGCTTGTAGTAGTTCATTTGTATAGTATGATTAGCGATTACGAATTTCTCACGAACCTTCTTCACCATGCGCCCAGAAATTCCATATTCCAGTGTTCACATTGAGTCCAACAGTAATGTACTAGATTCACGTCCTGTAGTGAGTGTCGTACCTAGAATGCCAGATCCTTGCGTACCTACTACGTATGCTGTTGTTACTTAGGCAGTGCACTAGTAGTCTGTCTGGGCGCCGCCACTTCCTGAGGGTTCGGACTCCGCAAAGAGGACGGCGAGGTCGGCCCACAGGTCGCCGATTTCCAGATCTTGACAATCACTGACGTTATCCCACCGTGGTTTAAATGTACGACACTTCTTCGTATAAAAGAAAGCTTATTCTCAAACCCCGTCTGGCCAACAGAAAACGAATCGTACCAAATCGGACACCATTCAGTATTCCTTCCACAGAACGACATACCCGCTCTCTTGTTCGACCCCTCACACGTCATCGCCATCCTCACCATGTGCAAAAAGGCCACCTGCGACAATTGTCGTGTGTACAACCCGTCCACTCAACTCCTTGGTTTTGGGTATACTCTCTTATTTTTTCAGACGCGGAAATCACTGACACTAAGCAGAGAAGACTACTTGGTGGGGTTGTGGCCAGCACATCCCCACGGTCATGGATCCTATCCCCGAAGAGGAGCGCTGTGCGTGCGAGCCAAAGGTTGACGTGGACGGCAAGAAATATCCCCCCAAGGCAGGAAAAGGGGCTTGCCATGTATCATAAATCATGACGGAGATTGCGAAGATGTTTGTTTGCAGGGCGGTAGCGAGATGAGTGGGAGTTTTTGGCGGCGAGCTGTTTAGGGTAGGGTGTCAGAGGAGTTGGGGTATGGTGTACAGAGGATGTGTTGAACACCATTACGTACCTGACGTACGTACGATGCAAACATGGCTCATAGTATTCAAATGTATGAAGTCTGATCATCTTCTCCGTCCGCCAGCACCGCCCGCGTCGCCCCTATCGGCCAGACTGACCACCTCTTGTATTCCCGCCGCCTCCTGCTCTTCCTCCAGCGCGGCAACCTCCTCGCGGCAATCCCACCACTTCTCCTCGCTGAGTTCGAACGCCTTCGCCTTGATCTCCTTGACGGGCATCGATTCGGGCTGGATGTTCTTCCAGCGTAGGCTGGTCATGAGGATCTCTTGCCATTCGTTGGATGTGCGGACAAAGAACTCGCGTCGAGACTCAAAGGGCTATGTGGCATGCATTGTCAGTATCACGGTCTGGAACAGTTGTCATTCTCTGACTGAGCTTACCCTGGGATGAGGCAGACCGTCGTCCACGGACGCCGCGGCGGTGGACTCAGCATCGTCCTCGTCGGTGGACGCCGTCGTGGGCGCGGCAGAGGTCTCTGATCCGTGCTCGGATGTTTCCTCACTCTGCTTCTTCCTGCGCTTGCTTGGCGTGAACTTTTTGTCTGCAACCTCGTACTCGTCGTCGTCTTCATCTTCGTCTTCCTCGTCTGCGTCTTCGTCTTCCTCGTCGTCGCCCTCATCATCCGACTCGATCCAGTCCTCGACAGGTCGCTGGAAGATCTCCTTGCACCCATCGAGTTTATCCAGATTGATGGCGTACAGATCATCAAAAGTGAACTCTCGGTCACCTTTTTCAAATGTGCCGCCGTAGATGTAGAGGTTATCGCCCTGGACAGCCAACTGTGCGTTGAAACGCATGTGCGGCGGCTCCATGGTGACGGGGTATTCCTTCACCGGGGCCTCCTCTTCGGCTTCTTCTTGTTTTTCAAGTTCAATGTCGTCCACATCGTCCAGTGAGGCGCCCATTTCTAGGGCCTGCAGCTGTCGAAGAAGTTCCTCGTCACCACCTTGTCGACCGCGGCGCCCGCCACCTCTTCGTTGATCCTGCGCGGCCTTCTTGTTTTGTTGGCGTGGCTTACGCAATGGCAGAGGCATGAATCGGTTACGCTCCACGTTCCATGCGAACAGCTGGTTGAAAAACTCGCTGTCCATACCTTCCTCGCTCTGCTCCACATCATGCACGCCGCCAAACATGATACCTCTGCCTTTATGCCATGTCATTGTTGCTCCTGCGCGCGGCGGGTTGGGAGAGTTGGCCGGCTTCTTCCTTCGTTCCCATCGCACAGTAGGAGGCGAGTTGGGCGGCGCATCATTGGGGGGTTGCGTCATGCGCAGGAAGAAGCAATCGTCGTGTACCTTGGGCTTGAGGATGTTCTTCTGCCCTTGCGCCTGCCCCTTGCCCGTCTTCTGTTTCAGGTTGACCATTGCTTTGATGCGGGAGTAGCCTCCGTAGAGCACCGCGCCGGACTCGTGTGGGAGGAGCGTAAAGGAGGATCTCGCATCAGGCTTCAGCTGTGCCTGTGGCAGCGCTGGCGAGTGCCACACAAAGTTCACTGTGTCAAAAATCCACAGGTCAGACAAGTACCGCGTCTGGTTGGAGGTGTCCTGGAAGCCCCCAAACAAGATGATGTACTGCTTCCAATACGTCATGCGATGGCCACTCCTTGCCGGCGGGCTCTTGTCCTTGCCCTTGGTCTCAATCTTGGTCCATTCCCTCGTTGCCGGCTCCAGTCTCCAGAAATCAGAGTAGTGATGAAAGGTGCCCTGCTTGGGAGAAGAGAATTCGCCTCCAAAGAGATAGACATGTTTCGGATTCTCCGCACGTGTCCAGGCATGACCAGACCGTGGCAATGGGGCATTTGGGCTGGTCACGCAGCGCCACTCATCTCTGCTGATGTTGTACACATTCAGGTCGTTGAAGAAAGATGCCAGTGAGCCATTAAAGTATTCGCCGCCAAACAGCAGCAAGGTGTTGCTGTCGTGAGGCGAGGCGAGGAGTGTGCTCGCAGCGCGTGGTCGAGGCGGGGCGTCAACGACCGTCTCTGTGATTTTGAGATGCAGTTCCTGCTGGCGACGGTATTCCTCCAGAATCTCGTCGAGATCGGCGTCCTCGGCATCGGAGCCCTCGACCTTGGCCGCTTTGGATTTTGCCTTCTTCTCTCCCTTGTTGGCTTGTTTGGCTGCCTTTTCCGCCTGCAGGTGAAAAATATTGTCAGTGGGGGAGGGGCAGGACATGACGATGGTCTCGGGAGCTGTATCCGTACCTTCTTTGCCTTTTTGGCATCGGCGTCGCTTTTCTTCTTCTTTTCTTTTGCCATTGTTAATTACGAGGATGTGGGAATTGTGACTGAGCAATGAGAATGTAGGATGGGTGAGGAAGTCAAGCTGTCGCACACGTGTGGTGGGTTGAACCTGTCCCCACTTTATGTCATGATTGAACTGAAAGCTTCCTGATCATGTTGAAAGCCAGCCAGGGGGAACTTGACCATCTGGAGATTGCTCGGTGTCGTATCTGAACTAAGTGCTGTCTTTTTGATCATTGTGTACGAGCCATATGCGCTCTTCTTCATCAGTGGAACGAGAAGGCTGGCTCATCGAGTTTGGCTGGGTGAATAGGCTGTCCTCATGCCCTAGGCGCGAAGGCTATCGTCGTCTTTTGGTCTGCCTAGATTCGACGCCCCCGGCATGTATGCAACCATGGCCTTGCTCGCCCCTTCCATGCAGTACTGCACAATCTCAATCTTCTGATCCTCCGGGGCTAGCTTGGCAATCTGGCGAATATCGCTATTCCTTGGGAGGTACAACGCATGGTTCATAGGTCCCGCTATCCCGTGTAGCTGCTTCAGGCTGTAGGGTTGCATTGTCCGAAGATCAAAGACTTCATCCGTGGAATAGCCAGGCCCGCCCCACGGGGGACTTGCAAAGACAACAGTCGTATCCATGTCCAGCCTCAAATCGGGATGCAGCTCCCCTGGGCGGTTGCGGAGAGCGTCCAGGAATTCGAAGCTGTCGCCATGAACCCAGGTGATGATGTCCGACTCAACTTCGTAGACGTCGGCGTTGTGCTGCGCACATGCCAGGGTGGAGATGTCTTTCTCAATGGCAATGATTCTCTCCCATCGCTCGGAGTTGGCAAAGGCGATAGTGTTGCCCCCAGCGCCTGCAAACATGTCGATGAGGATGGTCTTGTTCTCATCGGTGCCGTACATATCGTTGGCAACAGCCCTGGCTCGTTTGTCAGAGTTGCTTATAGAGTCGCACATGGGCGACAAAGACCTACTTTGCTACCGGTTCGGGTGTCACGCCAAACCAAGCATCGTCCGTCATCCAGATGCCTTCATCGTAGAGACTGAAGATGGAGTAGCGCTGCGCAAAGTACCTTGATGTTGTTCAGCTTTGACCCTTTCGCCGCTGTGAGAAACTCACTTCTGGATGTCCCATGGTACCTGGTCCCTGCTTTCGTAATGCTGGCATTCGTCTGTCAACTCAATCTTGCCCGCAGGCCTCATCTTGAACGCTTTGTCCATCTGCGACTGGATCAGCATGCTGAAGATAGAGCCCATGCTGGCCATTGCGTCGTCCATAGCGCGCGATAGCTCGTGCCCATGGCACTACAAATCAGCTGAGAACGTGATAACTATGAGGTGGTGCCTGGGGAAGCTGAGGGTAGCGTTGAAGACTTCGTGTTGATGAGCGTGACAAGGCTGAAGGTTGGAATTGACCAAATTGGTTAGCGCCTTGGCGACGCAAGGCTGTCGGTGGACAACTTTCGCTGGAGCTCCACTGACGTGGAAGCTGAGCAGTGAGCTCCCGTGTGCTCGAGTTACGACATCCTGTCCTCCCTTGCAAGAAACGACCATACTCCACGAGGTCTACGGCAACCACCGACGCAGTTTGATAAAGTAAGGAGAGTCACCATGTTCAACGCACTGAACCGATTCATGTCCCGTCTTGACGGCGACTCGCCGCATCAACGACGACAAGCGGAAGCAGGGTCATTCGGCTTCCAAGTGCTCAGAAACACGAACCTCGACCTGTCGATCGAGCCGTGGTTTGATTTTATCGTCGGCATCAATGGTCGTCCCATTGTACGGCGCCAAGCCTACAATCATCTTGACGCCCTGCTGACGCGGTGGTAGGATAACCCAGATCCCGCGCTCTTCGCGCAAGAAGTGCGCAATTGCGCAGGCGGAACTGTCAACCTCGGGCTGTGGAATGCCAAAGTATGCCTTCGCTTCATGCGCTTGTTGCGAATGCAATCTGACATAGCGTAGGGCCAGCGTACAAAGGATGTACATATCCCCGTTCCCAGCGACACAGCGTCCCTCGGCCTGTCATTACAATACGCCCCTCTCGCTCTGGCCGCCAACATATGGCATGTCCTCGACGTAGCCTCCAACTCGCCTGCGGATCAGGGCTCGCTGCTGCCTTACTCAGACTATATCCTTGGCAGCCCCGAAGGCGCTCTTCATGGTGAGAGCGCATTGGGCGAGCTGGTGGAGGACTTCATTGGACGACCACTGCGGCTTTACGTCTACAACAACGAGTACAACGTCACAAGGGAGGTGACGATTCAGCCAAGCCGCGGATGGGGAGGCGAGGGCGCGCTGGGGTGCGTCCTGGGCTACGGAGCGCTGCATAGGCTCCCCGCACCGTTGGACGAGCCGGTGAACGCGCCTGGCGAAATGATGTTCGATGGCGGGAACAGCAACGAAAAGAACGAACCTGCTTTCAACCCGGCCAGTGTACCGTCGCCCGCTCAGGGCGGAGACTACCTGGTGCCAGCGCAGGTGGTGACGCCAGCAAGTGCCCCTCCACGGGGCGGGAAGAAGAAGGACAGGGGTGGGCGGAGTCCGAATCACCTGATGGATGATTATTTCAAGGAAGAGGAGGAGAAGAGCCGGGCAGTGGACAACGCGCCACAGAGCAAGACTCCGAGCGGACCTCCGCCACCCAAGGCTGGCGGTGGGCCGCCCAAAGCAGAAGAAGCACAGGCCGATGAACAATGATAGAGCAACACCTGGAATTGATGTGAAAGCAACATATGGATGAACCACTCATTTGCCTATGGCTGCCTGTCTCGTGAAATGCTATGGCTTGTCGTACACCTTTTTCCAGATCGAATGCCTGGCCGAGCCCCTCGCTTGCTTTGTCTAGTTGATGAAGTTGACGCAGAAAAAGTGCAGAATGAGACTGCAGACCACGTAATCGGCAAATGCCCTGCTCTGGTCAGCATCCAGCATCTCCACGCTTGGACGTCAATGAAACTGTACCTTTCGGGCGATACCTTGGGGAAGTCGGCCTTGTTTGCTTCGGTCGTCTGGATCCGTAGTGAAACTGCCCATGTTAAACTCCGTGCGCTCAGCGCAGCTCCATTGGCACTCACTCGTCAGGACAAACTGCCCGACCGTCCCACAGAATCCTGACAGGAAAGCGTTGAAAGGCTTTTGAGCTATAGTTAGCCCACCGTCGCAGAGGTTCTCGATTCTCCAGACATACGTAGTTTCCGGCTAGGATGCAGTACAGGAACTGCAAAGCGCCCGCGAGCGTGAGGAAGAGCAGAAACACATCGAGGAGCTTGGTTCGCTGCGGCGTCTCGGCGAGATAGTAATCGTACAAGTTCTGGAAGACTTGGGCCCAGCCACCTTGCGCGGCGACAGCTTTTGGCTGGGCAGGCGTGGGGACGGGGATCGGGTTCTTGGTCGGTGTCGAGGGTGCTTTCGCGGAAGTTGTCGATGCGGCAGTCATCGTGGGTGCCGCAACGGGCTCAGATCTGGCGTTCTTCTTGCCAGCCATGGTTCGCGATGATGTTGATCAATGGCAGTGATGATGGGAAGCTGGAGCTTTCGAGGTTTCAATTGACACGACAGCTACAAGAGTGCAGGGCTATGATTGGACCATATTTGTCAAGTGGGCCCATAATTGAGGGTTCACTTCTATGTCGTCAGGATGTCCGAGGCTATCTATAAACATGTTATATCTGCTCTTGTCCAGTATCGTTACCTGACAGCTGCTTCCGCACATATCAGAGTCTCTCCCCCGTCGGTTAATAAAGCCAATATGGTAAGTGGTTCGCCCGACCGCAAGCGCGCCAGCTAAGACCTTTCCAGTCTGGACTTGAGAATATCTCCTACATCCTCGCCGCGCTCGTCGCGAGCGGTGGAATCATGGGTTATGCGAAGACCAGGTCCCTGCCCTCGATTATAGCCGGCTGCGGCGTTGGCGCTCTTTGTACGATTGTTCCCCAACCTCCGAGCCACCCGCTAGTGCTGACAAACCAGATGGTCTAGGAGGATATCGCATGCAAAACCGTCAACCATATGGTGCTGAGCTGTCACTCCTTGCTTCGGTTGTACTTGGAGGAGCTTCAATCCCAAGGGCGATCCGTCTGAGGAAGCCAGTCCCCATGGCTCTGAGCGTGCTGTCGCTGTTCGGCGCGTGGACCTTTGGCAACGGCGTTCGCAAGAACCTGTAAATTATCTGCCCTAAGGCTGAAAAAACATGCAGATTGTCTATACGTTGTAATGAAACAAGTATGCAATATTTAAACCAGTACAGTGGGAGTTTCGTGCCTATCGTAAGAATCATGTCGTTCGGCCTCTCCCGTGATGAAACAGGCGGGTGCAAAAAGCTGAGCCCTAGCAGCTAGCGCTTCGCACCATCTGTAGTTTACAATTCTCAACAGAGATGGTTTGTGTATTTGCGCGTCGTAGAAACGATTCGGGCTCGATAATCGATCGCATGTGGCCGTGGTTGGCGGCAATCGGCGTCTATAGCCCAAGCTCTTTCTGCTGAGCCTTGATCCTGTCCCTCTTCGCCCGTGCCGCCTCTCTGTTCTCGGCTTGCATCTTGTATCTCTCCACGCGGAGGCACTTGTCGACCTGGTCCTTCATGTCGTTACATCCGCCTGATGCCTTGTGCATGAACCCCTTCGCGTGACACTCTTCGAGCGCGGCGATGACGTCCTCGCAAGCTACGTAGATTTGTGAGCAGGCTGTAATTAGTATCATATGGGCAGCTCCATACCGAGGGCGTTCTTCGTATGCAAATGTGGATGCATGTTGGTTGTGACGATGATGGTGAAAGTTCCATTGGGGATGGGCGGGTTTGGCGTTGCGATTTAGTGGCGCTTGAGCCACTGGATTTCTTGGTTACCTTAGGCTCATCCCACTTTCGCCAGTCCGACACAACGGCGTCTGCCTGACAACGACAGCACGACTTCAACCACACTGAGCAATCCCAAGGCATTCACAGTTTGCGCAATGTCGGAATCAACTGCGCAACAAGGCTCTGCGCAGGCGCAACAACCGAAAGGTCAGTCTCTTCCTCTTACCAGCCAGCTCACTCATGCTCACTTGACAAAGTTGATCTCCAAGCAACGTACTCAAATTACAAGAACACTCTGCAACAAATAGCACAGAAGATCGGTGATATCGAGCAGGAAGGAGAAGAGCACAAGTCAGTATACACCCACCGGAATCAAATGACCTCATTTCTTTCTGTCGATATCTTTGCCTCCCCTCGCTCAATTCTTGCTACGGTCCCGCTTACTGATCCTCTGTAGACTGGTACTCGAGACCTTGGAGCCACTTGATGGCAGCCGCAAGTGCTACCGCTTGATCAACGGTGTACTCGTGGAGAGGACAGTCGAGCAAGTTGTCCCTGCCCTGAAGACGAACCAGGAGGGTCTAAAGAAGGTCTTGGACGACATGTTGAAGCAGTACAAGACGAAGCAGGATGAGCTTGACAAGTGGAAGGTCAGTGAATACCCAAGTGTGCCAGCACTTTCTGAACATGCTAACACATTAATAGAAGAAGAACAATGTTCAGGTAGTCCGTCAATAAGAGACTGGGTCAAAATATATAAAAAAAACGAAATTTGCACTCGCTCAAGACTGTTGAAGCTCGACTGAACCAGGTCACTCCAAGATCATAAAATGCGAATTCTTGGTGTCGTCTTGCAATAACTGCTCCTGCTGCCCTTCCACGGGAAGCTATCAGCCGGAAGCTTGGGCAGGGTATTACGTGAAATGTGAAAGTATGCAGGATGGGATTTTGGTGTGGTGGATGCATATGATGCGCTGTCATCCCACACAGGTACGGCGTTTCTCACGAGTACTAGAGTGAGGCGTGGCGTTGTCCTCAAACTTTGCCGCCTGATTATTATTATTCTAATTACCAGGTATTAGCGACTACCCTATTCTGCCAGTCTGCCATTACCTGGCAAGCTCCTTCATGCTGTTCTGTAGCAACTCGAACGATTATGCTCTGTCAATTGAAAGGTTTCCCCGCGCTTGCGAAGAATCTTCACCAGATAACAGGGTAAGGCTCTCATTTAGGACTTACAAGGCGTGCGCTGAGGGTGTCATCGCCAACAGACGTGCATAGACGAATAGGCGCCAGTTGGCACGGTGAGCCCAACGAGTACAGCACCACGTTTTCGCTCATTCACGTCGTAATATTGTGATTGAATAGAGAGAACCGGCTCTCCATCGGGCAAAAACTGCGGCTTCAAATTGCCGTGGGGGCTGTTGCTGAAATGTGCAAGCATAGGAGCCTAGCATCTGATAAAAAACCCCGCGCACATGGGCACCAGGCAGCCATTAGACAGACATCGTGCACGAGCCAGGGACTGGATGTATCAGGGAATGCCGAGAGCGATATTTAAACCCCTTCCACGGGGTTATGCACCATGGCGCCAGCCTCCTGGTTCGGTCGTGAAGAAGCGCTAACCCAGCGCTCTGAGTGGTAATCCGATACGTAGGGAGTACGGATACAAGTAGCCCCATCTACGTATCGGGATCTGATTCACGGTGCAATGCTGGACCTTCCACAGATGCCTGGAGGCATAGCTATAGCAATACTGCATCATCAAATCAGTCAGTATCCGTCTAGAAGCTCTAGTCCCCCGTTTCAGACGAGCCGCGGTCGAGTTGATCCGTAGATGATCGCTTGTGCAGTAAGCCATCGTCTATGAGAACCTGGCATGCAAACAGACGGGACACGAGACATGTCCCATGGCGGCGAGGTAGAATGATGTGGGACACACCGCTTGTCTGATAATGGATCTCATATTACGAAGTCAAAATCCAGACTGTGGCGCAAACTAGCGGTAAAGGCACTGATCCTTCCCGAACACACTTCTGCCGTGCCAATGTCGAAGACATGAACACAACGGATGTAAGTGTTGTTGTACCTACAGGCAAGAGCAACCGTCCTCTCGCCTGATTGCATATTGACAGCGATGGTCGTGATTATGTAATTGGTCTACAGCCAGTAAGGCTGTTGATATGCAGGCAGGCGGCAGGCGATGCGATTGCCCGGTGGACAAGCGCTGCTAACCTACCTCAGGCCTCACCCTGCACGTATTTCATCATATTGACACACGTTGCGATCCACCATACCTCATCCAAAATCCGGGAAAGCATTGGGCACCATTGACCGCCTCGCCCGCCTAATTAGTCTTGGACTGGTCAGTACGTATTTGGACTCCTCATCCTTGCCTTAGCCTCTACCCGCGTCGAGGACAGATGCGTGCGCGCGGAACCCCACGTCAATGAACACTCCACACATTCGCATCGAAATGCGACAGCCCAGCAGCACTAGGACTGACCGCGATTGAACAACGCAGACACACCCTCTTGCATCCCGTGCCTGTACACCACACGCACTGATTCCTGCCCAAACGGTCCCTGGTCAAGGTAGCCCACTCTCTTTTCTCGCAGCCCGAGTCTACATACTTGGCACTCATCCTTGGTCCGAAAGCATTTGCGCTGACGCGATCTTGCAGAAAAGCCATTGACGAACGAAACGGCGCGACCCTGTGTAGCACAACGTCGCCGTCGCAATAGAGTCTCCGTTCTCAGCCACATGCACCCAGGCTTGAGATCATCCGTCGTCACGGTCAGCTGCTTCTGAATCAACACACGCCCCGCTGGAGCAAACAACCGCCAGGAAGACCGAGAACCCCGTCCACGCTGATCAGCCTGGCTGCTTGCTAGCTAGCTGCAACTGCGACGTCTGTCTGCGGGTCGTCCCACCCCTCCCTCTAGAAGCCTACACGACTACTTCTCACCACCCACAGTCGGGGTGCCCACAGAGAACTCGTCATAATAGTCTCCGATCACTGCGGGACAGGGGATCAACTCGGGTCGAAAACTAGTACTACAGCGAGTAGGGATACTCGCCGGACGTGCAGGATCAGACACGCTTGTTGGAAGCAACAGACGGCTGTTGTACTTCTGTGCCCTGACCGAACAGTCCTGCAAAACGCACCCTTGTGACGTGGCCCACCGCGGGAATACCTCATCGAGGCTCAGCTGTGTCTTTCCGAATATAATACAAAACTGCTAGCAGCCGCTGCAGGTAGCCACAATGTCCGACTCCCAGTCTCCCCCCAAGGATGTCGAGGCTGGCGCACGGTCTCCAAACGACGACGAAGGCAACATGAACGACCAGGACCCACAAGGTGGCCTTGGAGCCTATGAGTATGAGGGTGTAAAAGAACAAGATCGATGGCTTCCCATCGCCAATGGTAAGTCTTCTCATCCCCAATCTTGCTTCGTGACTTGCTCTTGGTATGCGCCATCTCGATAGCCGTGCATACTCGATATATCATGTCACGGAATGCCTTCCAATCGTCCCAAGGGTCGCTGCGCGGTCCCAAGGCTGACAAGAACGACGAACTCGATGCTAACATTCGTAACTTTGCTCCAGTGGCCCGAATCATGAAGAATGCGCTGCCTGATAATGCCAAAATCGCCAAAGAGGCCAAGGAGTGCATGCAGGAATGCGTCAGCGAATTCATCTCCTTCATCACCAGCGAGGGTGAGTCCCTCCATGCTACCACCCATGAGGACAGATATTGACCGCCCCAGCCTCGGAGAAGTGTCAGCAAGAGAAGCGTAAAACTGTCAACGGCGAAGACATCTTATTCGCCATGACCTCATTGGGCTTTGAGAATTACTCGGAAGCCCTCAAGGTGTATCTGTCTAAATACAGGGAGGTAGGTCGAAGCCCCTTGTCTTGTTACGGCGTCCAGTCTGACTAACATCGATAGCAACAAGCACAGGGCAACCGAGAGCGGGTGATGGAGAATTCTAGCTGGGCGACGGGGATGCCTCTCGACTCTACTAAAGTTGGCGATGGGGCTGGCGATTTCGCGGCGGCGGACAGCACTAACAATGTCGAAGGCGGTGCTGATGTCAACTATATGTACGGCGCTCCGCCACCGGGACACAATGGGACTGGTGGTGATGGCTACTAGAGGGGCCCATCTCGCGATGCAGACAAGATAGCCCCGGGTGTTCACGACAGCACTGGTGCGGAGACCTCACAGCAGAGGCCGCCTGGGGCGTCTTCCGACAGCACTGTTCTTCGAGTTCCAGGATGGGAAGGCGGAGTTCTCGACCCTGCGATGGTCAAGCCGAAGTCTCTCTCCTGACGATGAAGCCAACAGGGCGCAAGAGACATCGGGCAGAAGGGAGTGAGGAGGGAGGTGAGAGGAGGGAGTCTCGTTGTGTTCCTTGTAATATTTGTCTCCGAGATCTTTGGCTGCAGAGGTCTGTGGTTAGTATCGTGCGGATTACAGTAGATTCCCCTGGGTTAACCCTTTACTTTTATTGCTACGTACAATTTCCCCCACCATTAGGTGGAAGCAAAGGGATCAATGCTTTAATTTTTTTTCTTTTTCTCGTGATGCTTATATGTAGCGATTTCCGACCCTAGTACTGCCTCTCATAGAGCAGTGAATGACCAAGTACATGGTTTGAGCTTGTCTCGTAATGTGATACTGGTAAGAAAGCTTATGATCATCATGCTGCTGGAGCCTGGTGGTCACGGTGGTGTCGAAGTGGATCAGTGGATTGACGATATAATGCAGGAGCTGGCCCGCTCACCTTACGCTTGCAGATGCGCAAGTATTTTGTCATCCTTTCATGGACCCCTGAAACTGACGTCTTTGCGGAGGGTGGGCACGTGCACCCACTACTAGCGCCGTCCAGATCTAGTTAGGCCCCACTTACTTTGAACTGCTCGGGTTCCCACTGCAGAAACTGAAAAAAAAGTGCCATTCTATTCGCATCTCCGCATTCACCACGCTTTTCCCCTACCTACGACCATTACTTGTCCTTGTAGACGCTGGCGTGAATTTTCGTACCTCGTGAGACCTGTTAAAGTTGCCATATAGGCCATCTTAGCATCTTTCTCGCCAGTACGGATAGCATGACCGACAGCCCAGTTCGCGTGCTGGCTCAACACATCTTCCAATCCATGGTCATACCTTAGCCGCCCGCCTCTAGCGAAGACCGTCTTGACGACACAACGACACGATTGTGACTCTCGTCCTCCCCAGCCACATGGTTCTTCGCGCCGATGAGACCATTCACACCCGCCAAGAGGACCCTCGGTCGTCCTACACCCAACTCGACACCCGTCAAGTCCATTCTCAAACCCGTGTCAGTGCTCGGCCGCCGCACAGCTGAGGATGCTGGCATCGACGAACCCAGCGACGCGCCCAGCAGCCCAACGAAACGGCGAAAAGTGTTCTTTGACGAATCTCAAACACAGTTCTACGAGATAGGAAACCGAAATATGGATGAAATCAAGCGCGAAGTGAGGGAGGCGCTGGAGGAGCACCGGCGGGGCAACGACGGACCATACGACACACTCAAAGACCTGTTCGCCAACGACACGAGGCGATATCTCCCGCCTGTTGTGGGGGAAGAGGAGGACACTCTCAAACCTCAAGAACTCAAGAACTACGTCATAGCCCTCACGAGCTGCATGCCGCTGTTGAAGAGCAAGGAGTGCAATGGGCTGGTCAAGACCATCATCAAGTGCTCCTGGCTTGGAAGGGACAATGAGTTCATCAAGGTCTACACATACTTCCTGGCGTCCCTCATCAGCGCCCAGGGCTCTTACCTGCTACCTGTCCTAAGTATGATGGTCGAGGCGTTCATGACCGTGCGGCCGTCCGCATGGGCAGTCCCTGATTTCCCAGAAATTGGCCGGGATACCGTGCGCGACAGGTTGCACAAGACCTTACGGCATCTACTACAGATCTTCCCTGCGGCGACCAGTGTTCTTGGACATCTCCTCGGAGCCAAGTTCCCCTTTCCAAATGACTCGCTCAAGGTCCACATGTCCTATGTGCGTAACCTGCTGAGGGTGAAGGATTACGCGCCCGAGTTGCGAGAAGAAGTGCTGGATCTCATCCTCAACCGCGTAGTCAAAATGGACTCGCAAATGATGGTTGATTTGGAGGATCTGGACGATGACCTGACGGCCGCTGTGATGTACACCCTTCGAGACAAGCCAGCGGATCCGTCTCAGTGGGAGGATGACAATCTTGACGACAGCGACACAGAGTCGGTTGATAGCGACGACTCGGATTATGATGAGGAGGCGGCGCGCATCAAGAGCGTCAAGGACAATGTCGAAAAAATGGACGCCATGCTTGACACACTATTCACCTACCACACCCCCCTTATCGAGCGCGATCCCGGATCAGACGAGGCTTATGCCGCGTTCACGACAATTCTACGAGAGTTCGACACGCTCGTTCTGCCCACCTACAAATCACGACACACGCAATTCCTCATATTTCATTTTGCGCAGATGCACGACAGGCTGTCGGATGGCTTCTGCGGTCAGCTCATGTCTATCGCGTTCGACAAGACCTTCCCAGCAGTTCTACGGCAGTCATGCATAGCATACTTGGCTAGCTTTGTGGCACGCGGCGCGCACGTCGATCGGAAAACCGTCCAGGCCATCTTCGATCTTTTGATTGAGCACATGAACAACTACCGCGATCACTGGGAGGCCAGCTGCAAAGGGCCAGATCTCAAGCGGTTCACGACTTTCTACTGTCTGGTGCAAGCAGCCATGTATATCTTCTGCTTTCGATGGCAGGATCTGGTGATGTTGACGCCTGACTACGTCGATCCCGAAGATCCGACATCGTACATTGGCGCCGATCTGGGCTGGCCAGCAACAAATCGACGCGACTTCATGTCCCACATCTTTGGGAAATTCAACCCTCTTAAGGTGTGCGCGCCGGTCATTGTGGAGGAATTTGCCAAGATCTCGCACAAGCTTAACTTCATCTACGTCTACCCTCTTATCGAAACAAACAAGCGATTACGACTCACGCAATTCATGACTTCGTATGCGACGGGCGGTGCGCTGCGCGATGCCGGTTATGAGAACGGCGATGAGAGCTTGCACGTACTTGACCCGTATTTCCCCTTTGACCCTTACCAGCTACCCGTTAGCAAGCGGTGGCTCGAGGGTGACTACGTGCATTGGAGAGCGGTGCCAGGGCTGAACGCGGAGGAGGAGGACGAAGACAGCGACGAGGTGGATGACATGGACGACGAAGAGAGCGTGGATCTGGAGGAGAACACGGCCACGGACAGCGAAGGTGATGATGACCTCTAATGACTGTAATCTGCCACTTGAGAGTATTGGCCACTGCAATTGGGTATGATTTCTTAGCGAGGCGTTGGTAGATACAAAAGCCAAAAACGATGACGACTTTCCGTACTCTGTATGCTTGGATGTCTCGTCCGTATCGCGTGTGACATGGTGCAAACCATGGACTGCCGTCAATTCTGAACTTGGTTGGGCGACTAGAATGATTCTCGAAAGATGACACTCAATGTCATCATCCAGAATGGCGAAATCCCCTGTGACGCGCCGTTGTGCATTAATAAATAGGCTCAATTCCCGCCGTTTCCCCATATTGAGTTCTCGCGACGTCCCGACATGGAAATCTGGGCTCTCTTCCATCCAGTCCCCACGCCTACGCAATCGTGACATTTGTGTCTCTCGCGCCAATTGAATACTTGTCTATTGTCAAAGTCGCGAGGAAGAAGGAAAAGGCCACCATGGCTGACGGCCCTCGACATCATTCCCTCGCATCGATGCTGAAAAAGGGCAAACAGCGCCTATTCAGTAACACGTCCACCTCCTCATATCCACAAGCACCAGCACCAGCACCCTCATCACATCACTCATCATCTCCCACGCAAACATCATCAGACGGTGGCACACAGAAAGTCACAAAGCAACAGGCGCGACGCGCCCAGGTCCGATCGGCTCAGATCAGACACAGACAGCGCAAGGCCGATCACCAGAAGGAGCTCGAATTCGATGTTAGCCGCTATCGAGGTCTGATCGCCAGTGCGCGGGACGACGCGGAGGGCTTGCGCAAGGAAAACGAAGCAATGATGACAGTGCTCTGTGAACTAGGTGTATGCAACACTCAGCAGGCCGGCAGTGGGAAGGTAACGCCGGAATTGCTCAGAGGTGTCCATGGCGAGGACGTAGCGGTGTGTCTGAAATATGACGAGAGCCTCGACTCGGCCTGCTTGCAGATCAGCAGCACACCCCCGAGCCTGGTGACAGCATCAACTACAGCGCCAAGCACCGTGAGTAATGAATCAATGACGAGGCAACAAGAGGACGCTGCCATCAACTTTGTACTCGCGTAAGTGTGCCTGTTCAAAGCCCTGCCTCGACACGAGGTTATTAACGTATATATATAGCCTGGAGCACGTGTGCTGGGATCACTATAAAATGGGCGACTTTGCCCATCATGCGGAGCCAGCCCTCACTGGGAACGACGATGACGGGAACCAGGGACATCATCTCATGGCCACCGCGCTCTGCATGGATGGTGCACCCGCTGAAGTGTACGGCTCGAGAACAGAGTTTTCTCCCAGACACCGCACGTCGATACCGTTCCTGTCACGACGACAGGCGGTACCATCGCCTTCGCCAGGGCTCCGGTGGGAGGCGTCTGGCATCTCGCTCTACAATCTGCGGGGATTAGCCGCGTCGCTGAACCCAGGACCGGAGGAGTTGACACCAGTGCAGGCGTGGTTCGAACTGGCCGAGCGGTACTCGCCGGTGACGTTGGTGGAGAGCGGCATGTTGCATGATCTTCAGGTACAGCTCAAGGGTGTAGTTCGTTGTGTGAGCTTTGGCGCAGCCATGGAGAGGGCCGCTTTCGAAAGTGTGGTTGAGCGCGTAGTACGGCAGCACCGACAAATACAGTGAATTCGCTTCCCTCTTTCTTGTACTGTCATCGGTGAATGAGTCTACCTGCACATGTGCGTCCGCCAAGATGCTCGTAGACTGCGACGATGCAATTTAATTATTCTACATTTCAACTTCGGTCACATCGCCCGCGCGATGCTTCTGTCATCAAACAAGTCCTTCAACAACCCCTGAACACAGGCCTCTCTGTCTAGTGTGCCCATGGCGTACGTCGACTCAAATGCAAAGATGCTGAGTTGTCCAAAGAATGGCCGGAGTATTTTGGAGACCAGATCATCCCTGCGCTCGATCAGCGCATTATCGTCGATACCCCCAGGGCCGAGCAAGGGTCGCCTATGCGAGCTGCTGGCGCTGAGGTGTGCTGCAGCCTCGGACTTGTCAAGGTACTGAGAGGCACCACTGCCCAGCTCCTCTGAGAGTTCGTCTATCAAGGCCACGGGTTGGGCTGTCGAGTAGCGATAGACAGCGTCAATGGTGTCTGTGATGAAGAGCCACTCGTGAAGCTGGAAATCGTCTGGCGCTACGCAGATCAGCAGGTCCAGCAGTTTGCAGGCCTGGAGGACAGCAGCATTGGTATAGATATCGGCTATCGAGCTGTTCGCCGGCGCAGTGATCGAGGAAATGGCACTGTGAATTTCGTAATTGATCACGGGCCACAACACAGCCAGATGGACCGGGCTCGTGTTGAGCACTAGAGCTCGCACAACCATGTATATGTCAGCACGTGTGGCTGACGATGGTGATGATGTAGCGGTAGCCCCCAGTAGCTCAGTAAGCTTGTCAAAGATGATGGGGAGATCTACGACAAAGGCGTCCTCGGTCGAAGCAAGAATCAACGTCGCAATGCGGCGAAGGTTCACTTGTGCTTTGCGGTCTGCATCCAGTCGAGCCGAGGTAGCCCCCACGCCAAAGACAATGCCCGCCGTAGTGGGTGCTGTCAGGCGCTGCACAATCTCAGGCATCTTCTCTTTTTCTGCCATGGTCCACTGACGTAGCAGTGGCATCCATCCATCCTTCACAAGATCGAGGTGCATGCTGAAGAAGCGAGCATCATTGAAGGCCTCTCCGACGTCCTTTTTCCAGGTTTTCTGGTTGTTCTGCAACCTCGAGAGCTCGTGGAGCAAGCTCAATGTGCTGTGTCCAACTGTATCGGGAAAGTTCTTGGAGCGTATAGTAGGGCCAATGACATTGCCCGATATGGCACCAGCGGCGGACAGGACGCGGTCTGAATCAATCAAGATCTTGGGCAGGTTTGGTACAATGGAGGCGAGAATGGCCACCACGTCTTCGGACCTAGTAACAGAACCTAGAGGCGTACGCCGACCAGCTTCAGTTCGAAGTGCCTTTTCCATTGCACCACTGTTGAGGTTCGTAGACTCGGTGGTGATTGGCTTCGTTGTGAACAAAGCAGCGAGCAGTCTGGTGAAAAGATCTCCCAACTCTCGGCGCATTTTCCTCTGCTCGCCAAAATTGGTATTGTCCACCTTCTCACCCAGAAGCGCGGCAAACTCGAGCAAGCTCGGCAGATTCTGCCTGTGAGGGAATGGATTACTGAGGAGATCCTTGAGGAAGACAATGCAATCCTGCCAAATTTCATCCATGGCGTCGTCATCCAGCGAACGCGTATACTCCACCAAGAAAACCACAAGATTGGTATCTTCAAGGGAGATAGTCATGGTCGACTTCCGCGAAGGCTCCAAGGCGGTGGGGTTGGTCCGACTGTAGATGGAGTTGAATAAAGCTGGGATGGTATGTCTCGGTCGCGAAGCTTCCAATGCTGACAGTAGGTTGAAAACCTCCAATCGGGCCTTTGAACATGGCGCTTTTTTCCATATATCAATGATTGTCTCGAGGCACTCGAGGTTCTCCGCCTGCAAAAGGTGTTCCAATAAACGCCGCGCACGGTTCCGCATTCGGAGCGAAGTGTGGTTGAAGGTGGCAGCAGATGCGGGATCCTGTTGCGCAGCCTCATCGCCGAGGCCCCAGGACCAGATCTTGTGGCAGATACGGCAGGCATCTTGGAACGCGAGATGAACGGTCAACCTATCGTTGGCTGTTGCGCTTCGAGAGCGATGTCCTTCCGACTGGAAAACCCCTGAGACCATGCTGCCGAAAAGAGACTGTTGTTGGTCGGGGTTCTTCATCAGCTGGGCACGCGCTTCCTCCGATAACAGCTGATCGTGGGATCTTGCCAGAACCTGTTCGAGGCCGTTCAGTAGGTGTATCAATGTCGACTCAGGAGACCCTGTGCTGCTGACAGCTCGCTGCGCGCCATTCTTGAATGTGGACCTCAAGTGATCAAAAGTCTCTCCAATCTGCGTGCACAGCGTCTCAACGAGCGGTATCAATACTTGAAAGATGGTGTCGGCGTAGAATGGAAGACATTCGCTTAAAAAGACAATCCAGCTATCCAGCACTGATCGACTACCGGGGGCAGCCAACGCCGATTGTATGCATTGTAGTAGCCGCCGCGGCGGCGGAACTAATACATGTCGTGTCTCGCTTGCTGCAAAGGAAGGTCGACCAGTGCGTCCTGGATCGAGGTTGGAGGTTCGCTTCTCCGAGGGCGGTGTCCCGGGTGCTTCGCCCCCGGATGCTTCCCGAAGCTTGAGGGCGTCGTACACCACGTCCAGCAGCAGAACTTGAACATAGGGGTCCTCTTGATCTATAGCTCTGGAGAGTCTCTCGAGGAAGAGATTCTCCAGGTTTTGTTCTGGCGAACCGCTCATGTGCCGGCTGAGAAAGAAGTGATGAAGCATACTGAGCGCAAATCGATGCAGTCGGGAGACGCGTTGCTCTAGATCAGTGCTGGCTCCGGCAACGGCATCAGCCATCACACACTTGAGGCATACTTTGACGACGAAGTCCTGCAGCAGAATATCGCCCTCTTCTCCGCCAGCTGTATCGAGTCAGCCATGCCGAGTACGGTGTAGCAATGAACTTACAACTAATGTGGAGGCCTTGGTGACCGAACGATACATGCTTAGAAGCTAACACAGCCCATGCCACGTCCCCGCAAGTGCGCAGCACGTTGCTCAGGGTACGCAGGTAGTAGAGGCATAGGTCAAGGTCGTCTTCCTCTCCAAAAGGCCGGCTGTCGGGTACTCCTGACTGAGTGATTCCGTCCCGCAGGGTCGATAAGAATTTGACTTCGCAGAACTTCTGCACCATAATCAGGAAGAGCCTATCGATCCCAATCATGTTGCTGAGCCACGACTTCACCGTCATGTAATGACGTGTAGTGTCATCCAAGAGCACATCCAAGATCAAGAATAGTGGTCGCGTCAACATGACTTCAAAGTGCTCCATTCCGGCCAGACGAGGTCCCGACCTAATCTCTTGTGCGGCAGCCTTGGAACCACGCCGATCAGAAGGGTTGTCCTGAAGAGTGAGGGACCACAGAACGCTAAATGTATGGGCATCGCTCACACACTGATGCATGCCCATGGGGTCTCGGGATTCTGCTATGAGTGTAGCAAGCGCGGCCTCAATGTCGCGGTTTGCAACGGATAGTGCCGTTTGCAGCTGCCATAGACATCGGACAGTCTCCACGTGGAACTTGGGCTCCTCCGTTGAAAGAAACCTCCAAGCGTGTTTCACCAGCACAGTAGCTAGATCAGACAGGCCCCTCGACGCTATGCGATGCGCCGCATGTAGCTCAGTAGAGAGGTGAACCACCGCCGTAAAGTCGGAGAAAGTCAGGCGCTCCGGTGCTTTCAAGCTCAGCTGGAGGAAGCTCAGTAGCTCCTTTGCGTCCAGCGCGTACGAAGCAGGCATCTTTGTTAGTGCCAACACAAGCATCCGAACGGACGCGTCTCCCAGTGTGGAGCCTGTCCGGATGAACAGAGATGACTTTTGCAGAATCAGCTCGCCCAGCTGCTGTGAGTAGAAGGGGATGGAAGAGGTCTCAATGTTCCCTTGCTCATTGACGTAGAAGTCTCGGATCTTCTTGAGAAGCTCGGTGTTTGCCGTGCTGTGAACCAAATTTGCATTTCGACTGGGACTGGTGCCCCCGTCCGGAAAGGCGCGTGGCGGGACCATCTCGAGCAGGACGATAGCAGTCTCTAGTGCTTTCTTGGACACGGCTGAAACCCAAGGAACCGGGGTAGTCGATAACTTCCTCCAACTGTCCAAGTCTTCCAACATACAGATCGTAGCTAAAGACGATAGAGGCGCGTGGATGGTGACCATTTCCTCCTCTCGAACGTTGAAGTTCGCCAGGATGAAGTTTGCCATGGCAATTTTATCTTGCCGTTCCTCAGCATCGGCTTTGCCTGGGCTCAGGGCTTGAGCTAGTAGAGACACAATTTCGCTGTAAATCAGTCCGCTTTCAATGCCATCGAAAAACACGCTGGCGCTCTTCAACACCTCTGAAAACTCGGCGCTCGAGGACGCCTGACCCTGGAATTGGCGAACATTTTCGATAATTGGGAGAAAGACCTCTGGCACTACCAACCCGCCAATCTCCCAGCGATCCATCAAGGACAAGCATATTCGATAGGGTCGCGCTCGCTCTGCGGGGTTCTTGTTGTCACCCAATGTCACCATAGCCAAGAGCGCCCGTGTCAATGGTTGAAGGCCATACTGCTCAAAGTAGCTGGTTCTGGATGCCGCCATGGATTGTTGGTCTGTGGCTGGTGATGTGGGCTCAGCCTGCTCCGTCTCGTTGCCCGCAGGCTCCGGTCCCAAGAACCAGGCCCACAGCCGGCGATTCAGGCTCATATCGCGCCTTATGACAACTCCAACGGCTGCTTTCATGAGGAGCTCCAGGTCATCGGATTTCACCTTCCCTTGAAGCACGTTTGAACTCAGGGGCAAGTGAGTGACTAGCAGGTCTAGAAACCCCCGTTGAATCAGTAATTGCTCGTCGGACAGACCGCTTGCGAAGCAACGGATCAGGAGCCCCGGTTCTGGAGAGGTGACAATGGATGCTACCCTGTCGCTAGGCTGATCGGCGAACCCGTTGTTGCTGTTCGCTGAATTTGTCGCCGCCCCGCCTTGTGCAGGCAGGTACCGAACGAGATACGCCAATGCGCCGGGTCGCCGTCCCGAACTAGTGATACAGGCTAAGAAGAAGCACTGCCAAAAGTAGTCATCGCCAGAAGCATGATCCTCGGTGAGGAGCTCACTGCTCGGGGGGCGGATAGCCTTCTTGAAGCTGACCACGAGCTTCACTGTCCGGTCAAAGTCCTCTGCCGTCTCGTCTTCTAGCCCCGGTAGCAATGCGAGAATGATTGACTTGATTGCTGGTCGAAGCGACCTCGGGTCAACCTTGAGGAAATACGTCTCCAGAATGTCCAGGTAAGGAGCCCTGACCGACAGAGATGCAAAGGACAAAACAGAGGCTAGTCCTGTGAGATATAATGGCAGTTCTCTAGACAGCCCTTCGGTGCCAATGGTGGAGAAGACATAGTTGTAGACCTCGAGAGCTTTCTGGTGGACGCCGGACGGTAGTGAGGGGTCCAGACATTGCGACAGCCTCTGGGCGACGAGACTACGAGCTGGTACGGTCGATACATTGCTTGGTCGTGCTTGCAACGCTCTGAGCAGGCGATTCAGGAAGGAGATGTAGTCCGCCCACTCTTCCAGGGCCGTCTCGAAGAGGGCCAGCGCCTTGTCCACGCCGGTAGCATATTTGCGGAACGTCTTGTCCTTCAGCAGCTTGTCTTCCGCTACCATGCGTTAGCTTCTCCGGGCATTTCTTCCTGGACGGAAGAGGTACAAACCTCCAGCAAGCTGATTCCTCCACTGCCTGGGTATTGGCGAGTCGCGGCCAGAGCTGCCAGGGGACAATGGCCGGCGACCTGAAGCGGGATCAAGTGCCATGGTTGCTTGTCTCGGGATCAAAATCGACAATCATGCTTCGCGCGTTCGAATTCGACTTTTGCTTTGCTCGGGGATATTTTGATGGCGCCTCTACGCCATCAACGTCGGAAGGTAAGGTATGGTTCTCGTCAAATGGCGACGTATCGCATTTGGAGTCGGACCCCGAACGTGCATCTGGGGGCGTACGTCAGTGGTAGGCTACCGCCTCCAGGCACCACCCGGACACATCTGGTTAGCGCGGCTGCGGCTATAGTCTACAGGTAATTATCTCGGACATCGCTCTCGACTTGAGACAGCTCAGTTATCTGCTGACCCTGTAGTTCTTGCCCATGGCATGCTGCGGTTGCGCAACGACGATCTGGGCATGTTTTATTTTATAGAGAGAAACGCGGCGTTTGTTACCTATTCAACGCTCATACTGCAGACTTCTTTGAAATCATACTTATAGGTAGGTAGGTTATGTAGGAGTGTGCATAAATTAAGAACGACACAAAAGGCTACGCAGCTTCTCACTACTTTCAACTTTTAGCACCAAAAGCTAGTGATGGTCGTTACGCCAGGGCACAATGCATGCACGATCTAACACGAGTAATTGTGTCCATAGAAATGATTACGCCAAGGGCCTAGTATGATCTTTAACGTTAACTTGATGGATCCAGAAAATGAGGTTCTCCTCGCACTCGTAGCCTTAAAAAAAGAGCGACACAACCTCTGTCGCCTTCAGCCGCTCTTTTTTTTTTTTTTTTAGCTCTTCGGACATACATCCATATCGACAGACAATCGTTCATTGCTGATCTTTCTGATCGCGTCAACTCTTTACATTGCCCTTCCTCTTACATTCATCCCCATGGAGTGGCATGTTCTCGCTGGTCTCTGCGAGTACGCCCTGTCTACGGATACATGGAGTATTGACCCGGACCTTAGGGTGTGGGGGAAGAGACGCCACAGTACGGCAAGATCACCTCACAAGGCTGCTTCACGAATGAAGCTAATATGACCTTGATGGCCGATGTGAATCTAGCTATGGTGTCCGTGGGGTCTTGCGCACAGCAATGCTTGGGAAACTACACCATCATGGGAGTACAGGGCCAACAATGTTGGTGCGGCAGTCACATGCCTCAGGAGGATTATAAGACTGCCGCCAAAGACTGCAACCACCCCTGCCCTGGCTACCCATTGGATGCATGCGGCGGTATTGGTCAATTTGGTCGCAACGAAGCGTTCAATATCTTCAACCTGGGCATAGACCTGAATCCTGATGTTTATTGCACGGGGGAAAATGAATTCATCGAGGACTAGAGTGACAAGACGACGAACACCGGCATCATTTCCAAGCCCGAGTCGGCCACCTCCACTGTTTCGAGCGAGGACGAGACGGTCACGGTCACCACCACCAGCAGCCCTGACGGCACTCCAGGTGGCAACCCAGCGCAAACCGATTCCGAAAGCGAATCCAGACCTCTGAAGCTGTCAATGAGAGCGAGACACCAGATGAACCTGGTATGGGCAGCTCCGCGGGCAGCTCCGTGGTTTCCATGGCTGTCATTGCTGGAGCCAGCGGCCTTTGGTCCTTGTTGTAAACTTGTCTGCGGAAAATGTGTTGTCAAACATCTCCCCCAAGGTCTTTGACTCGGTTTGAGGGTAGGAAGAGATGGGCGTGGCTTTCCATCTAATGGTAATCGGGGAGAAAGGCGCAATAGCCTTGTACCAAGCCATGTGTTTACACCAAACTACATATACAGATATGATCGATCGGTGAAGTTCGAGCAACTCCTTCATCAGTAGGTGCAAGTATCTCGGGCGTATTCAGCAGTAACATGAACCCGCCCTCGTCTAAAAGCGGCAACCAACACCCACCCCACTTAAGTTACACCATGGCTTGAAGCTACCTACCCGGTAATCCTTTTACTCCGCTGCGCTGTCTACCGACGTGACCAAAAGCTGCCAGCCTTCATGCTGCATCGAAGCTCCAGCCATTCGTTACTGCACAGCGTAACCCAACATTCGTTCCCTCCATGCTTGCAAGCAACCCTCCGCTGGCTATGGCACGATGAAATGCCACGGCTCACATCACTATCCAGCGATATTCCCGGTCGCGCACTCCCTCATCGACCGAAAGCTCTCTTGGCCGGTCTAGGCTGAGATGTCCCGACCCGTCACGAGAACCGAACCTAGAGATACACAATGGGACAAGACAGACCAGCCACCGAAGCGGAGGAGCGTCCTCCCCTGCCACCCAGACCGTCGACATCAGCCTCGGTCGACCCCAAGAATCTCCAAGCCCAGGCTACCACCGCCGTTACACCGCTGGAGATACAAACATTGTCGTTTCCCGATGGATCGCGAGGCACCTTTTCGACACCCGGCGCCGGGGCGGCGTCTAATCCCGTGGACAGTGGGTCATCCACGCCAAGAAGGGACAAGGACAGCACGAGTCCAGACAATGACGACGCAGCGAGCGTGACAAGCTTCGCGCCTACCATGCGACCAGCTGCAGACATTGCGAGTCTCCTGGCTGGGGGCTTGCCCAAGAGGAGTCCAGCTTGGAATCTGCTACGCACCCAATCGTCCAACGTACATCCCTTTGAGAAGAGTCAGGGCGCGCCAGATAAGTTTGACGATTTTGCGCGAGAGTTCGACGCACTTCCCGAGGATTCTAGCGAACACTACGGTGACGAGGAGCGGCTCGCCATTTGGAAATCCAAGCTTAAACATTACATGATCATTTCGGCCGCCGGAAAGCCAATCTGGAGCCGCCATGGGGATCTTGCCCTGATCAACTCCTCGATCGGGGTCATCCACACCATTATCTCGTTCTACGAGGGCGCCAAGAACCCACTCCAGGGTTTCACGGCAGACCAGACCCGGTTCTTCGTCTTGACGCAAGGGTCTCTCTATTTCGTAGCAATCAGCAAGTTGGGCGAGAGTGACTCCCAGCTTCGGTTTCAACTTGAAGCTCTCTACATGCAGATCCTGTCAACCCTGACCCTCCCAACATTGACTCACATCTTCGCCAACCGCCCGTCAAGCGACTTGCGCAAACCACTACAAGGGACAGAGTCACTCTTGTCTTCCCTAGCGGATAACTTTACCAAAGGTTCACCCACCGCTTTGCTGGGTTCGTTGGAGTGTCTCAAGCTCAGAAAGTCGCAGAGACATACGATCAACAACACGTTCCTGAAAAACAGGACTGACAAGCTCCTCTACGGACTCATTGTAGCAGATGGAAAGCTTGTCAGTGTCATCCGCCCGCGACGACACTCACTCCACCCGAGCGATCTGCAGCTCATCTTCAACATGTTGTTTGAAGCGGAAGGCGTAAGAGGTGGAGGTGGTGAGAATTGGATTCCGCTGTGTTTGCCTGCATTCAACAACCGAGGCTACCTATACATGTACGTCAGTTTTCTCGATGAAGAGGGCCCAGATGTGAAAGCACCAGGCCCGGAGCAAACATCCTCAACGGCACAGGGCGAAGTAGCCATGGTCCTCATCAGCACGGAGAAGGAGAGCTTCTTTGAACTTCAGCAGATGCGCAAAGATGTTGCGCAACAGCTGGCCAAGAGCGGGAGCCTTGCAATCATCCGTGCTGCGGCACGAGCGGGTCGCCCCCGAGTGGATGGGATAGCGCCAGGAAGCCATATCAGCCACTTTCTCTTCAAGTCGCGTGCCAATGTCCAATACTGCATGGGCTCCCTGGATGCCCTCTTCGCAGAGCTGGATGAGCGGAGAAAGCTCATGACCATTTACCATGAACTGCATGCGTCTGTGCATGCCAAGTTGGCGCACCTCAAGGTCCTGCACTCGACGCGGCAAGATGCCACAGCCTTGGCCTGGATCACGCCCGTCTTCGAATTCTACTGCGTAGCTGGACCCAACATGTCGAGAGCAATGATGACGCAAGGTGCGAACAAGATCATCCAGTGGGCCAAGAAGGAGGAGGAGCGTTTATTCATCATCGGAGGGGGTGTTTTCTGATCCTGCAATAGCTGGCCAGGTGAAAGGACGCCGAATATACCAGCTGAGTTTCTTGCCTCGACTGCCTGGGTCTTCAACGAGTGTCATCAATCGCAGCTTCCGTGACATGTTGCCGGCCGTACCTTATCAAACGCATTCCATCATGTGACACGGCGAAAGAGCAGGAAGCGGGAAGGCGTTCGACGGTGCCATTCTACCTTCCCTCGCAGGCAAAGCCCATGGTATGTCCTCGCTCTTATTCATCTTCAGAGGACGTTGCACGAACACCCGTGCTTCTTGCCTCCATGTCTCTGTCTACTCTTTTAGCTTGTCTTGCCACCTCCCGTCGAATTTGCTTGAAGAACATCGCTGGTCTGCTAATCAAGGCTTTTGCCAGGGAACGCTGCTGGGGCCGCAACACAGCTGGAGGACTGAGATCAGCAAACATTCTATCGTTACTAATTGTTCACCATCATCGATCTGACCTCTCATGGTCACTTGTACGATGCCGTCGTCCGTCAGTATGGACTCAAAGATGGCAAGACAGAGGGCCATGAGCCAGACCACTCCTCGTATTTCTTACTCGTTGTCACTTTCTCGCCAAGGCTGTGGCAGGTTGTCGTTGCATCGTCAACATTCACGGCGTACGCCGCTCCGGTGTGTCACTGAGGACACCACCAACTTTCTACGGTCACCTGGATCGCTGGAGAGTATGCTCAAAACAACAACGGAAACGGGCGATATTGGACTTTTCAGTATTACGCCAACTGTACCTCCTGTATCAGTGCCAGACTATCATCAACCAGCTCGCGCAGGGTCGGACTCGGCCGATGCCCACCTGCTCCAGGCCAGTCGTGCCCAATATCGATTCAAATCCGACTATGATGACCGCGACCGACTGCCCTCCTCATATAGAGACACAACATCAGACACTCTGGCTCTGGGTGGTCGCAGCTTTCTCTGCTCAAAGACTGCGTCCCCGGAGAACCAAGTAGGCCACATGACGTACTCGATGCCCACTCGCAGTGCCCGGTATATGCACTCGCGAAGGGCGCCCATACCATTTCAAACTTATCGTTCTGGCACAAACAGATGCAGGTCCCGCTCGCCTTTTGTGTACCCAGCGCGTTTACGACGGCCTGTTTGGCATTGTCCGCCGTCTGAGATCGATGCTCCATCTGTGGGCGACTCACAGCATTCCGACTCGGGCCGGAGCTACCAGGTAAGCATGTATAGAAGTCTACACAATGAACAAGACAACTGATTCAGTTCCTATCAACAGCAGGATTGCGATTCGGAGAGGCCAAACTACACTTACAGTAAAAGACAAGGCCCGCCCCCCTCACTCCGACTGGACAGTTACAGCGCGACGGCCTCGCCGGCGGTTGACTACTCCCCAGGACCCTTGTACAGGACAGCATCTTCTCCGCTTCGCTGCCGAACAGCAACGTCTGGTCAAGGAAGGCCGCAAAGGGCAAAAAGCAGAAGCCGTGGTACACCCGACAACCCCAACATAAGAACGTGCAGCTTCACCTCTACCGTCGAGATGCATGATCAATTTTTGTTCGCGGGGCCGACGGCACCAGGCAGACATCACATGGAGCCTTCCTACTACCGTTACGGTGAAGGCTTTAAGAATGCACTTGTTGAGTTGGTATCGCCGCTGTCTCCCAACACTGAGCGGAGGGGGAGTTCACGGCCACCGATGATCACAAGTACCGAAGACCAAGACGATGATCTTTTGGGAGTCTCTAGTGAAACTCCAGGCATGCGCGATGTTGAACATGCTAATGCAAGTGTCCATGGTAGGTCACAATGCCTCTAGGTTGCAAGCGATTTAGCTGCTGATCGTGCACAGAGCCTCGCTTTGGTGAGATAAGCCCGCAATCGATGTCTGCCGAAGGGATGCAAAGATTGGCCCTTTGGTCGAAGGAGGCCGCTGCAAGTGTTGATTTGGATATTTTCTCAACGCATGCTCCTGAAGAATCTATGACCGGCACGTCATGCACGGCGGACATAGGTAAAGGTTCTCTCCTCATGGAAGTTCGACACAGGGTCGAGTCAGACAATGAAAAGGTGACGCCCCAGCAGCAGATTGAGCCTGACGGAACCACGACGCTTCCGGATCAACACACTACGAGTGAATGGCCTCAGTACAGCTTTGAGGACCTCCGATGCTCGCTGGATGTCGATTTCAGTGCATTTGAAATCTGTTCGAACGGTAAAAACCACCGTAATGAATCTCCTTTTGTGGCGTATGGGTATCGCACCAACAATGGCCGGCCAGCCATGGAGAAGATGTGTCACGATGCTTCCGGACACGCAGAGGACCAAGAAAAAGCCTTGTACCAACGGCATCGACGAAGGAATGCCGTTACGAGAGTCAGCACCTCGAAAATTGATGGGGATGCCATCTCAGTGCTGCCAAAGCCACAGGCCGCGCCCCGGGACTCGCAGCCAGACTCAGTGTTGCCTGGCAGCACTTTGCAACCCGAGGTCAGCAATCAGCAACTTGTGAAGACGTCTCCGACTCTGCTGGTGGAAGATCAGCAAGGCGAGAAGGGAGATCTGAAAGTTCCAGCTGAGCCGCCGGAGGATGCCCCTCTGCTCAGCGGCGAGACCAGATCAAAATTGAGACTGCGGAGCAAAGCTGTTCAGGGCACGTCAGCTAGTAGTATTGACGGACCCGATATTTTGAAATGCAGCTCAGAAGCCAAGGACGATTCAGAATCACCAAAGAAGTTCAGAATCAAAGTCTCCCAACACCATGAACGGGGCTGTTACTCTTTCAACTGCGATGGCACGGTGGTTCGCAGCCCTGCACTGAAGCGATGCAACTCCCTTGCCGAACTAGAATACTGCGCCACCAAGGACATTTTCACGAGTCACTGCCGACTGGAGCAGGCTTTCGGAGATGGTGAAAATGGGCTGGCTGGCTCGAATCCGGGTGAAATACATGAGACCATGGTTAGATCCTCTACCACCCAGCCCTCGGGTCCTGGCCTGGAGGCCGAGGAAGACAGATCATGTTCAACAGCCGGGGTTACAGCTAGAAAGCAACGTCAGCAAGCCCATTCTTCTTGCCCAAAGCCACAAGGTCGTGGCCATCGTGGACTCCGTAGAAGGCTCTCTTTTTGGAGACCACGAAGCGTTGATGGCACACCGACAGGCTCGTCCTCGAAAATGCACAGCGAAGATGCCACCGTGCCCGTCTTTGCCACCCCGGATCCTACTTATGGGCCTCCATTGAGAGTATCAAAACAGAAGTCAAGATGGATCAAGAGATGGGCCACCAAGGCGTTCCATCTATGCACGAGGAAGAGGTTGTCCGACGGATTGGGTTCAGAGGCCTAGGGCCAAAGGCGATTGTATCTTTCTTTGGCAGGCGAAAGGAGGCCTTTGTGTCTTCACATTAGCATTACATAGCAACAAGTCCACGGCATGTTACCGGGAAAGGTGGTAGGAGGCGGGAATGCCTGGATGGCCAGCATATTACATAACCACCATTGAGGAACCGTTTGTGTCTTCACCTCTCGCGATGTTATCATTGAGGGGAGTACAGTGCTACTACTGACTAGTACTACCGAGCGGAGGTATAAGGCTCCGAGAGAAGACGAGAAGCAGGAGAACGCGGCGGCGCTTCCGCCGGGGGTTGGAGATTGTTTGATGGGTCTCCCCACAGTTCGAGCAACGCTGACCCTCGTGCCATCATCTCACGAAGACGCGAACCACTCAATGAACGGGGCCATGGGCGAGCATTGGGAAAGGACTTGCGCCAAGGGTGCACCGTGGGACTTAAAGATGGGGGCCTCATACCGCATCATGGGACACGTACATACGGAGGAACCAACTCATGATTTAGCCTAAGCGACCGCGACTCCGGGCCGACAATGCATGGATGGCTCAAGGTATAACTACTTGACGGGGCCTCGAGCGCCGCTCACCACCGAGTGTGATCGAACCCGACTCACCAGACGACCACTTCCATTCATGTTCACAGGGACCATGGCAACCTCAAACGACCCGCTGCTCGGGCCAAGCCCCAATGGCCAGCGCTACGAGCTCAACAGCCCGACGGCGCTCCCCGTGGCCAGCGGCTTTCTCTGGAACAAGAGGATGATGGTGCACTCGACGTGCCGGGGGTACTCAACGGCGCAGTTCATGCAGCCTGAGCCTGCCAAATACTCCCACGCGCCCAACATTGAAGCCAAGACCTTTATGCAGCCCGAGCAGAACTACTACGCCCACCACCCTGGTCGTTTCGTGTACATCAAGGACGAGGACACCAATGAACTCTTCTCCGCCCCCTATGAGCCTGTTCGGGGGAAACTGGATCGTTTCAACTTTTCCCACGGCCAGAGCGACCTCCAATGGACGGCCGAGAAGCTCGGCATCCGCGTCGAAATGACGCTGACGCTCACAGTGGACGAGGCGGTCGAGCTATGGTCCGTCAAGGTCACCAATATCTCGGGTCGCTCACGCAACATCAGCGTGTATCCGCACTTTTCCATTGGCTACATGTCGTGGATGAACCAGGGCGCCTCCTATAGGGAAGACCTCGGGGGTGTCGTGGGCACCAGCGTCACGCCTTATCAGAAACCTGAGGACTGGCCCAAGCAGAGGGACTTTAAGGACAAGACGTACTTTTTGTGCGAGAAGCCCCCCGTGGCTTGGGAGGCACGGCAGTCGGCCTTCGAGGGCGAGGGCGGCCTCCACGCGCCGTCGTCCATCCTGGAGGTTCCGCGTCTTTCAAATAGTGATGCCATCTACGAGACGCCTACTGCCGTCGTCCAGTACAGCGAGAAATTGGGGGCCGGCCAGAGGCAAGAGTATCGTTTCATTTTCGGGCCCGCCAAGACCGATGATGAGATCAGGAAGATGCGCAAGGCATGGCTCAGCGCGGAGAGCTTCGCGGCTGCGGCGAGGGACTACCACGGCTATGTGACCGCAGGCGCGGGCTGCCTGCGGATCCAAACGCCCGACAAGGACCTCGATAACTTTGTGAACAACTGGCTGCCCCGTCAGGTGTACTACCACGGCGTGACGAATCGTCTCTCTACGGATCCGCAGACGAGAAACTACATGCAGGACAACATGGGCATGGCATACATCGACCCGGACGTGTGTCGGGAGTCCATCATCACGGCCCTGTCGCAACAAAAAGAGGACGGCTCGATGCCGGACGGCATCCTGCTGGCCGCCGGCGCGACGCTGAAGTACATCAACCAGATCCCCCACACAGATCACTGCGTCTGGCTGCCGGTGGCCCTGGAGCTGTATCTGGGTGAGACGGGTGATTTTGGCATCCTCAAGCAGGATGTGACGGGCGTCAAAAACGAGACGTACACTGTCTTTGACCGCTTCTGCCGCGCAATGGACTGGCTCCTGACGGCGTGCGACGAGCGTGGCCTGAGCTACCTGGCGCAGGGCGACTGGTGCGATCCCATGAACATGGCGGGCATCAAGGGCAAGGGCGTCTCTGGGTGGCTCACGGTAGCAACGGCGTATGCGGCCAGCCTGTGGGCGGACATTTGCGACGAGGTTGGCCAGACAGACCTCGCTGCGTATTTTCGCAATGGCGTGAACCGTTTCAACGCGTCGGCGAACGAGCACCTCTGGGACGGTGAGTGGTTCGCGCGCGGCATCACCGACGACAATGTCAAGTTTGGCGTCGCCGCCGACAAGGAGGGCCGCATCTGGCTGAACCCGCAGGCGTGGTCCATCCTGGGCGGCGCCGCCTCGAGGGAGCAGATTGCCAAGATGCTGCCCCAGGTCGAGAGGCAGCTCGGCACCCCGTACGGCGCCGCCATGTTCGCGCCGCCGTACAGCGGGATGCGCGACGACGTGGGCCGCGTGACGCAAAAGTTCCCCGGAAACGGCGAGAACGGGTCCGTCTACAACCACGCGTCCGTCTTCTACATTCACAGCCTGTACCGCATTGGCGAGGCGGACCGCGCGTACGCGCTCCTGCGCCAGATGATCCCGGGGCCCTCGGATGCGGACTATGTCCAGCGCGGGCAGATGCCCACCTTCATCCCCAACTACTACCGCGGCGCGTACCACGAGCACCCGCGCACAGCGGGCCGATCGAGCCAGCTGTTCAACACGGGCACCGTCTCGTGGGCGTACCGCTCCTTCATCGAGGGTCTCTGCGGCCTGCAGGGCGACAAGGACGGGCTCAAGGTCCAACCGCAGCTGCCGTCGCACTGGGAGGGCATCAAGGTGACGAGGGTGTTCCGGGGCGCCACGCTGGTCTTTGATATGCGCCGGGCCGACGTCGAGACGGTCACGGTGTCGCTTGGCAAGGAGGTCCTGCCCGAAGCGCGGGTGACGGGGTTCAAGGAGGGCGAGACACTCGAACTGTCGGTTGCTGTGCCCAGGGCGCATTAAGCATGGGTGCTTGAGGCTACTAGACAGACAATGACTCTAGACTCATGCATGCAAATGCTGCATGCCCTTTTTTCTTTTTTTCTTCTTTTTTCTAAAGAAAAAAACCTTGCTCGCCAATGAGGGATCAATTACCTGATGTCTCGGGGTTCCGGTTTGACTAGGCATCTGAGACGTCGTGGGGTTTCACCTGGCGCGGGCTAGATTGCCGGCCCCTGGCAAAACTAGACGCCCTGCGTTTGAACCTATAATTCATCTTGTCATTAGTAGCGGCTATTTCGATTTCGATTCCAACTTTGAGGGGAACGCGTGGGGCTTGCCACGTTGAAAACTTGAACTTGAGACGTCTGAGAATCTGACCTGAAGACGACATCGGACGCAGCTGCAGCGAAGGGGGGTCCTTGGGGCCACGATGACGATGAGCTGCTCGTGAATAAAAGGAGAAGCAAGAAGCACACATTTCGAGAAGACGGACAAGCCGGCCTTCACCTTCTCATCCTTGTCCCCAACAACAACTTTGCTTTGTTACTCCCGCAGCTGGCCTGCCTTTCGCTTCGATTCTATCTTTAATTCTTCGGTACCGATTTACGATTTGGACATATTACTCTCAAACGCCACGATGAAGCCAGCCGGTCTTTTCCTCACTTTCCTCACGGCGGCCAACGCCAAGTTCCTGTACGGACGCCAGGTGTTCTCCGTCACCAACTACGATGACCTCTCCATCTCGGGTGGCGTAGCAGGCAACGCTGCTGAGGAGGCCTTCTCTCTTCTGCGCGGTCCATTGCCCGCCAACCCGGAGGACGTGTCTTCCGACGACCTGGACTTTCTGGACAGCGTCAACTCCATTTGCAACGACGCCGAAAAGGAGGCGTTCAACCCTGCCATTGAGGCTGCCGAGGGTGAGGAGGCCGATGCTCTGCAGGTAAGTCTCCGCCTCTTTGTTACCCCCCGTGATGACAGTGCATGTTTGCTGACCGCAATGGTTCGACAGCGCGGCAAGATCAAGAACAAGGTGCTCAAGTTGACGGCCACCATGCTCAAGCTCACGGCGCAGGCTGCGCAGGGCCAAGATGTGGCCGCGAGGCTCGAGGAGGAGAACCAGAAGCTGCAGAACAATATTCAACAGGACGAGGAGGCTGCTGGTTTGCCGTCGACATTTTTGAGTTTCGATGCTACCACGGAGTAACGAGACACGACTCGAGTGAACGAAGAATGGGATCACGAAGGTATCTCATGGCTGCGACGTCCATGGTGGTGTCCTATTTAGTTCATTAGCTGCATTGGAGCGACCCAGCAAGTATTTGCTGCAATCAATTGCAAAATTCCGATGAGCGGCTGCATCACACAATGTCGAGGATCGTGACTGCCAGCAGACAAAGAGTACCCTTGTTCGGGGCAGTGTGTACCTCTTAGTCACAAGCCACACTTTGCATTGCCAAAATCAGTAGCATCAGAGTTGAAAGTTGGGGTCCGATCTTGCCCAAGGAACCAAGGACAGCATGCAAGATGCATATGACATGTGCAGGGAGTCGGCACATGTTTTCTCGGGCGCGTAAGCTGGGCTTTCCTTGAATGTGTCGATCGGTCTCACGGTTCATCAGGAGTCTGGCGGGCGACGCTCAGGGATCAACACAGTGACGAGTGACATACCTTCCACCGAAGCCGGCCAGGATGCCCTTGAGTGCGTCGGTGATATCGCCTCGCCTCGATCGGCGTTACTGGCAACTTGTTGGGTAGGCTGCCAAAGTTGAATGGTTGCGCATGCTCGTGAGGGTCACCAGCTGCACCAACGTGTACATACTTGTACATGCATGGGCGACGCACGCAGCGACAAGCCCAAGCGCTTCGACCCGCACAGCGGTTCGGGTTCGCTGGGCTGTTGGCTGGAGAGAAGAGTCTGTGTCGCTGGTTGGTAGGATGTCAACGAGAAGAAGTTCCAGAGTGAGCGGATGTTGAATTGTTGGCGGAGATAAACCGTGAACCGTGAAGGTAGCAACCAACGTTAGCGCGGACTCGTGGAAGGAGCAACTGGACTGGATCCACGGCTGTTCTAGAAGGGACGGCTGGCTACCCGTGGGCCGTGATTAGCACGTCTAGGCGGGCATACCTCAGGTAATTAAGTATTTACGCACAGCCACTCCTATCACCACCACCATCGCCAACAGAATTATCCTCGGTCGGCCGGTGTCTCACTTTCCTTCATCTTGCAGTTTAGAATACAACCGACAAGCTATCACGCCTGCGCGGCACACATGGCACACATTCCGACCTTTCTACTTGTACCGCATCGTCCACACTAAGCTTAGCCATCCATACGCCTCGGCACCTGTACCTCTCATCGAAAATCCTCCATCCGCGTCTTGATAAATCTGCCATGGCCTTGTGCAGCTCCCGAAAGCGCTGACACCCGCCGCACTTACGTCGTCCATCTATGACCCGAGGTCGTCTTCAACATCATGGCCGGTGACGGCTCAACAGACAGGGTTCGATCGCAACCTGACGCAACCCCTTTCGACCGCCTGCCAGACGAGATAATCGAGCAGTAAGATGCTCCGTTGCTACTCAAGACGAAGAAGCCGCGCGCTAACCATGACCCGCGCTTTAGAATCCTTACAGTTGCCGACGCCAACGGCTTTGCCTCGCTCGTTCTACTCAATCGAAAATGGCGTTCGATTGCCCAGCACGCCCACATCTATCTTCACCACCTGGCTCAGTGCCCTTCCTTTGCCGCCAACAAGACCACCCTACCCACTGTCGATGACGATAACCTACCCACTCTGCGTCGCCTATTCACACGCCAGGCGAAGCTCAACCTATTCGATGCATATACCCGGCCACATGAGACAATCGTCAAGCTTGTCTCAACCTCGATTAGCTCCTCGTCATGTCCCGGTGGCGAGGGCATGCATTTCAGCGCTTCGCCACGCTGCCAACTGCTGCTGGCCTACAACTCGGCGCGTATCTTCGTCCTCGATGTTCGAGGCGAAGCACCCTTGGTGAATCGTGAATTCAAGGTCTCAAGGAGGCCTATCGCTGCATGTATCAAGGATGATGGGTCGTTACTTGCTGTGCTCTCCACCGAACTACAGGTGGACCTGTACGATCTTGGCGTCTCACCACCCCGACGGAGGCAGGCCATCATCCTCGACAATACCCCTCGAACGATTGCCCTCTCGCCCTGCGGCTCTGTGCTCGCGGCTGCTTATGAGGGCGGCATTGAAGTCTCGTCCATCGACGCTGGCGCCTTGCCGTCCCAGAAGCGCTCTGTCAAATGCGATCCGGTCGACTCCTTAGCCTTCTCCTACGATGGAACCCAGATCGTCGGGACGACGACGCAGTCGCAACCGCCCAACACAGTCATCATCACGGCACCATACTACGACCCTGGAAATCTCCTGACGGACGACAGTGTCAGCTCCATGTGGACCACGTCAATCCTCTTTCCCACATCGAGCCGTGATTGCAGCCACGCTGTTTTGCTCCAGGATGGAAGTGGCGAGGAAGCAAGCTGGTCATTTGCCTATGACGGCAATTTCGAGGCGTTTCGCGCGGTACGGATCGATGACCTACGGAACGGTACGACCTACTTCACCGGGCCTGCGCCCAAGCCGCACTCACAAGCCAAACTGCTTCCTTCAACCTTGCCTGGAGCCACATACAAGGGCGACCTTGTGGCAGCAGGCTTGCATTCACAGGAAGTTTGGATCTATGGTGTGCCCGAGAATTTAGATGCAGTGCCCGAGCTACGTGAAGGCGCGCACGGGCTGGGCAGGAATAACAGTGAGCGCAGTAGCGTCTCACGACGACTCTCCTCGCGTGGCTGCGATGCAAACGACGTGCGCCAGCCGCAGTGGCAGATACTTTGTGACAAACTGCGCAACACACTCGTATCTGGCGCCAAGGTGGTGGATCTCCCCGGGGTGAGCAATGTGAAATGGGTTAGCGGTCTGTATGACAGCGCTGTTAAGGAGCGCTTGCTCGTCACAGCCAAAGGAGTCATGGGGCCCAGGTTGATCAGCGATGAGGAGGACATTGACTTTGTGGACGGTGGTAGGGTCGCTTTCCTGGATTTCGATTATGGCCCCTCCAATGGTCGGCGGACCGAGCTTAGCATGGAGGTGGGCACCGACGACGCGGAACCCCTGGAGGAGGAGCGCCGTGACATGGAAACAGAGGTCGCCATTGTTCGACGACGCACCGTCGCACAGCAACGCCGTGGACGCACTGCTGTGCTGCGCGCTGCTACGACAGCGCGTGACAGGCCTGGTCCTGCTGGACCGCACGCGCTCGGCACTTCTTCCGAAGAGGCAGACGATGATGACCCCCTGAGGCCCAGGAAAATCGGTGCGAACCCAGCCACGAATGCGGTGGATGAATTCGCAGATGACCCTGACGTGGCCACTATCGAGGAACAGGAGGCGATGGAGTCTCCTTACGCGCACGCCAGTCCTCGATCTGCGCCAACGCTACGTCGTGCAGCTACAGCGGCTGCTGTCAATCAGAGGCTAAACCCTCGTCTCGCCGACGGCCGGCCAATTGAGTACCGTCGTGCTGATGGGCGGCGCGAGCATCCTCACGAGAGTGATGCTGACAATTGGGTTCCTCCTCCACCACCGTACCAGAAGGACGATCCTGGCGAGATGCCCAGTTTCATGCGAGGTCCAGCTGTGAAGCCTATGGAGCCGCCTCTGGTGCCGGCGGTGCCGGCGGCGACCAGGTTCGACGCTCTCGCCAGAGCTCGAGGTCAGCATGAGCATCGTGACTCTTTAGCACGATCTTCTACGCGATTTGGTCAGTTGGGGAATCTCATCTCGCCATCCGCGCGGCCCACGTTGCAGCACTATCGTTCAGCCAGTGACTCGACCACAATCAGCAGACCACCTGCGGACGACACCACAGCACGCCCACGGTCAAGCCCATCGACACGTGTCGAGACAGAAGATATATATGAGGTCTCGCCACCAGCTTCACCGACCGTCGACCCTCGACAGATGGGACTCACTTCCTCTGAGTCTCGACAGGCGTCATGGTCGACGATTGGCCCAGTAGACTCAGTCCACATGGAGTCTGCCCAACCTCAGCCGGTCATCGTAGCAGAGCCCCAAGAGATTACGCCTCCCTCGCCACATGAGCCTGATGAGACCGCTGGCTCGCCAATATTGATACTGTCAACTCCAGGTTTACCCAAAACCAATACTATGCCACTCCCACAGACGAACGATGAGCCCCGGGCTAGACGCCTTTCCAACGCTCAGACATGGCCAGCAGGTCCGGGGCCAGAGGCTTCGCAAGTACAGCATGCGAGTGCTGTTCCTGTGCCCGTTAACCCTTTGTCTGCGCCGGGCCTCCAGCCTTCTACGAGTGAAATGCCCATACTGCCACCAGCACCCAGTTCTGGGCAAATGGCCAGCTTGAATAAGAGAATCAGTCAGGGCAACCCCCGCAGATTGTCGGGTGGCTGGTACGGACCTCAGTCGGGCGGACAGATGGTCAGCAAACGGCAGAGCTCCCAGTCCATGCACCGACCTCAAACAGACCTTCCGCCCTTACACACAGCCCCTGCGGCAACATCCTCGTGGACTGCGCCCGAGCCACCTATGATCATCAGCACCCCGCGAGGTGTCAGCGGAGCTTTCGACCCGCCTGACCGGCAAGCCTCCACCCGCCGGACGGAGACACCTATTGTAGCGCCTGTTCCTCGCCATCCTCGTCCAGGGCCTGGCTCAAGCACGAGGCCGACGGTAGAGCGCCTCGAGACCATCTATAGCATCGCAGCTTCCACAACGTCACAAACCCAGCAGCAGGCGCCGCGACGCCGTCTGTTGGCACCTTTCCGTCGCTCTCCGTCTGTCTCCCCTGGCGTGCCTGTGGGTGTGGCCCGCAACGGCAGCCGCGCTGAGCGGAGTGCAGCCCTCAACATCCGTGAGGCCAAGAAACGAGGCTGGGGCCCCAGCAAATCACGAAAGAAGAAGAAGAGAAAGGATGTCGAAGCAGCAAGCAGTACCGGGTGGACGGATGTCTCTACCACAACAGCACTCCGCGAAAGTTTGAAGGACAAGAAATGTGTGGTTATGTGATTTGAGCTTGTCTCGATTTTCTTTTGTCAGTCCTTTTTCTTTATTGGGAATATTCAGCGATTTGGGGTATTCACATGAAGCGTTCTTTGGCATAGCGATGACACAACAAATTGGCGACATCGATACTTTCGTTTGCATATGGACGCGGAGAGAGAAATATATCATCTTACAGTATTAATCAAGTGCGGCAACCAGAAAAAATGTACATAAACCTTGAATCCATTTGTCTAAAGTCAGAAGCCACCAACGCCTAGCTACCATTTGTTTCCCACCCTGAACCAGCATTACATGCGTCTATATGGTATACCTTTGGCGACATAACAAGAGAAAAGGAAAGAAGCTGCTAACCAGAGTAGCTTCATATCCTTTTGGGCGTACGGTTTGTGGGGACATAGGACCTCTCACTCCCGACCCCCTCGAGGTCAGCTTGATGCATGAGATCCGAGAAGCGCGTCCGCCTGTCCTCCGCCGAGGCGTCCTGCACAACGAACTGCGGATCGGTAAAGACATTGATGCTCTCGGTGGAGTGGTTGGGTGTGGTGAGCATAATGTGCCTCGCTGTCTCGGGGTGGAGGTGGCGCGACGCCGTAGGCCGCATCGAGCGGATTGGGGCGAGCTTTGAGGAGGAGACTGTACCCGTGCGGATGGGTTTGCAGGCGGAGGATGCGTTGGAGGGTGTCCTCGGCAGAGTGTCACTTATGGACGGATTGGGCGAGCCGTTGGCGAAGGCGTTTGGTATCGAGTCACGGCGTCTCTCGTGGTGGTGGTCATGATGATGGTGAGGATTAGTGAGGCTGCGGCCGGACACGGACCGGCCGAGGAGACCGAGGCCGTCGACGCGCGGTGCCTCACGGGGTGTGCAGATGGGAATGTCCTCGAATGAATCGCGTTTTGGGTAGCTGATGAAGCGAGGGTTGATGGGCTGCGTGGCGCTCATGTTGGAGGGCTGCCGGCTGTGGCCTCCTCTTGATGATGGTACCGCCAGGGTTGCCATGGCTGGCTTGGGTGCGGATGGAGAAGGCTTGGGGTTCCGCTTGGCGTTTCGGCGGACGCAGATGAAGAGAATGACAGCTAGGATGACGAGGATGCCACAGGCGCCCACAACACCGCCGACGATAGCGGTGATGTCCGGGCCGCCATCCTTCTTGGTATCGGCTTCCTCTGCCTCGTCACTGGATGATGTCGGCTTTGAAGACGCAGTCTCGGTGTCCGTGGGCTCTGAAGCTGGGTTGGTGGTAGGTGATGTGGCTGCTGTTGTTGTCGAGGAGCCCTTGTCATCGTCTTGCTGCTTCTTCTTGGGCTTTTCTGACTGATCCTTGTTCATCCGGCATTCCTTGCCGTCGTCCCCTTCTTCGCAGCTGAAGCCGTGCGGACAGCAGTGGTTATCACCGCACTTCTCCAACGGGACGTCGAAGACGGTCGTCTTGAGGGGGATCCGAAAGTCCTTTTCCGCGTCCTGCCCGTTGAGGTTGCAGGTGATGGGCGCCATGCCTTCGCAATTACTGCCCTCGGGACAGCATAGGGCAGTAGTGCCGCCGGCGAGCGAGAGACACTTCGTGTCTTCTTGGCAGCAGAAGTAGTCTGGGAAGTCGTTGCCGCAGGACTCGAAGCCATCGGCTGGGCAGCTCTGTTGGCGAGCGAAGAGCGATGCCCCCGGTATGGCGGACGATGTTGTCGAGGTTATGAATGTGAGCAGCAGAAAGCTCACTGATGGCGTTGATGGCCGGAGCATTTTGCGGTATGCTCTTGCAGTTGAGATTTGATGAGATGGCGTGAGGAATTATGAGGCTGATGATATGAGCTATGCCCGCGCGTATCGTTTCCTAGTTCTAGGTAGGTTGAGGTTGGTTCGATCAATATGCAGGTCGAGCACGATTAGACTTGGTCCGCGAAAGACGAGGAACCAACAGTATGAAGAAGGGAGGTGGGCGGCCCAGATTTGTTGGTCTTCACAAACAAGGGCGAACCAGCGCGCTGTTCTTCGTTTCCGGCGGTTTGTTTTCTTCTTGTTTGAAGGCGAATTGTTCAAGGCGACAGAACAGCAGAGTACATGAGAGAATCACCAGTGACCGGACAAAGGAGATAGACGAGTGTAAGGAAATGACAAAGAGAGGAGGAAAGAGAGAAAGGATTGACTGATGGAAGAGAGCGCGTGCTTCCCACGTTAGTGAAGACTTCTCATCCCAGTCCATCATTGATCGTGGCTTCGGGATGCCGCACATGCGACCAGGCTAGTAGCCGCCGACACGATCAGGTTTTGCCCCGTCATTCATTCACTGTCGTCCTCCCGATGGACGGAAATGGAGGCACTAGACTGATTGCTGCGCGGCGGAAGGACTCCACGGAGACCATTGGGTAGGCCATGGCGAAGGCAGTCTGCTACGCGACTGGCAATGGTGGTTGTCGCGGTAGACGCCAGGTGAGGTCGAGATGATAGGCCACGGAGGGATCCTGGCGGTTAGGCACGGATTGGGCGGTTGCAGCGTCGCGGCTGGAAATGTGCGGCGCCAATCATGTCGCCAGGGTCGTCGTCAGTCCAGGGCAACAGACGCTGGCTGCCTGTGTCCTCTTGCTCGGCATGTTTTGATTATTTTCATCCAAACTGATGAGGGAGAATCAGCGGAGGGAATGAAGGATACCTCCCTAGGCAGTTGCCAGTGATGCTTGGAGCCTTGAGCTGACTAATCAGACCATTGTTCCCCATCTGGATTAGCGTCATCTTTTAAGCCTGTGCTGCTCCAACCCTCCAAATACCCTACAGCAAAAACCTTGTCGATGATCTGGACAACTTGCACAATCGGTCCCTGATCAACCAGGTACGTCATCTCAAGAAGCTAAAGACAGTTTACAAAAGAATGGATACTGAACCCTTAACTGTCTGTTCCCTCTATATCTTTCAGCTTTTCCGGCCGACCACCTGGCGGTTTCAGCCAGCCTCCCCCAACCCCAACGAGATCAGAAGACCATGGTCCAAAATGCCTCTCCTATTCATCGTCGCCTATCAAGTGAATTTCCAAGCCCTTGACCAAGACAGAAAACATGGCACACAGAGAGGGGCAGACATAGTGGCACTACACACTTGGGTCATTTGACTTACGTGCCACTCTGGCGGTGAGGCTTCCTTCCCCCACGATGACTCTTCTTGCTCGCAGGCAGGCAGGCAGGCAGGACATTTAGACCCATGCTCGAGAGGGTGTGTGTTGAGTATCAGAATATTCCTGCACTGTATCGTAAAAGAGAGTCCAGAAGGTCCATTCTGAAGAGAGGATCCCACGCTGGACATTGTACACCATTTCTCCCTGCAAGTGCTCTCCCACATTCATGTCGGCCCCCGCCACCTGGCGCCGTGTAAGTCAAAGTTGGACGCGAATGCCACTATGCGTACAGCCTGCTGTAATGCAGTGTACCATGCATGAATTTCCTATAGAAGTAACATTTCCGTGGGACATATGCTGGCAAACGAGAGGACAAGGGACCTTGCAGTCGTATGCTGCCCTGCTACGTCGCACAGCGTCCTGGAGGTCGCAGTGCAGCAACGACCTCCAGGAAGAGCCCGCCGACACTGCTCATAGCCTAAAGTCTGTCTGTACTTCACAAGATAGCAGAGAAGAATATGGTTATCGGTAATGGTGGGGTATCTTGTTTCGCCTCACTATATCCTAGCTATGGAAGATTGATTCCCTGAGACATCCAGCCTCGCCCAGCCCGGAGCGGGAAAAAAAGAATTGAAAATGCACCGCTCTCAGAGCCCAAGGTGTCCGTCCCAAAATGCAAACCCGAAGGAACCCAAAAACCTGCACGAGTCCGGTATTGTCCACGACTCGGCCTCCTGTTGCGCCATGTACGCCTTTCGTCCCTCTCTCGGAGAGTGCCTATGGAATGCGTGTATATATGGAGATGTGGAAAAGAAAAATGCCCAGTCCAGCGGGTGATAATGTCCCGCATGCAGAAATGATGAAAAAGAAACCCGTCATTCTCCCGTTCCCACGTAGCCCATCAAGAGTGTTGTCGTCGTGTCTCTCAGTCCTCTTTAATCATTGGTGAAAGTTCCCCCGTTTCGCCTCCGCTGGCCTTGCGGCGTGCTCTAAAACCCAGCCCAGTGGGTATCATATGCGTAAATGCAAGAACAGAACTCAAATAGAAGAAGAAGAATAGAAGAATAGAAGAAAGGAAGACGATCCTTAGATCATGAGGAAATCCCAGCCCTTGGAGCGCATGACGTCTCGCCAGTGGACGTGCGATGAGTGACCATCCGAGGCAGTGGAACCAGGCGTGCTCGCCATGGACGTGATGTCGTTTTGCAACCACGTCTCGCGAAGCACGGCGCTCATGCGACCGAATGAGCCGCAGGTGGCCGCATCACCGAGCTGACTGACGCGGTCCTCAAAGAAGGCGCGGAAGCTGCTGTTGGGCAGGCTGATGGAGCCGCCCATGAGGTAGACCCAGGTCATGCTTCGGTCGTAGCCGTTGGGGCCCGAGGGGATGGTCTCGAGCACCTCGGTCAGCTTCTCGACAAGGTTCATGGGCGAGTGCTGATGGGGGCTGAAGCCAGGCACGAGGCTGCACAGGTAGATGCGCGCCGCGGTGCGGAAGGCCGTAGTCATGTTCTTGGACAGCTGCTTGGGCGAGAGGCTGCCGTTGGCGTTGAAGGGCAGCTTGAGAACCTCGATGCCCATCTCAGTGAGGCTGATTTGCTCGCCAAGGCACGAGACGTGCTGGCAGAGGGAGAGGTCGCTCAACATGCCCGCCGACTTGAGAGACTCGAGGCAGGCAATCTCCGAGATGAGGTACATGACGCGGTCCTCGCATCCCATGAGCTCACGCAAACCCAGGTGGTGGTTGACTTGCGATAGGTGCTTTTCGCGGTAGGCGTGCGCAAAGGTGGGCGAAACGCCCTGCATGGACGCTCCCAAAATGTCAATCCAAGCGGTGAGGGTCATATTGAAAGGTGTCTGGGCCATCTGTTGCACAGGATCCGAGATGATCTGTGTAAGGCCAAGCTTTTGGACCAGGTTGATGGCCGCTTGGAAGTGCTGGTGCCAGGGGATGTCGAGCAGACCATCGTCCGATCGGCCCACGACGCACTGGAAGAAGATGAGTGCCAGTGTGGCTTCCAGGATCTGTTGGTGGTTCTCGTCGCGCTTGAGGGCCTCGCAGAGCGACCAGATGGTGGCGTAGCGATGGCGCATAATATCCTCGTCAATCTCCTCGCTCACGGCGTTGACTTGGCCTTTGAGGTGCTGGGCGGCAATGCTCAGGCAGCAGTGAAGGTAGACCTTGTTGGATTGCAAGGCCGGGAGAACCAAATCGGAGCCGACCGAGCCATGCTGGTTCGACTCGAGGATAGGGAACAAGGTGGGAAGAACAGACTGGATGAAGTGGTCGAACAGGCGCTGGTCGTTCTCCTCGAGTTCAATCTTGGCATCAGTGGAGGTGTTATGGGCAAAGTCAAAGAAGTTGACATTGAGAGCCTCCTCTGACAGCGACTCTTTCCGCTCATGGCGGGTGTGCTCAATCCAGCCGCTCTCAAGAGGGTCACACTGCAGAGCTGTGCCTGGTGGCGGTGGTGTCTGGAACGTGCTGAATGTGGAGACGTGCGACTCCTTCATGGTGGGCACATTGTCGACAAACATCTGCCTTTCTGTCTTGACGTCAATCTCGTAAGGGGAGAACTGGCCCTGGGCAAAGATGAACTCGGGCGGTAATTGCGCGTTGTAGGCGCCATAGTGCCCTACGGACGGAGGGGTGTTGAAGTTGAAGCCGTTGGAGAAGTGGGAGTCAATGGAAGCCGAGCGGTTTCGATCCAACGGGTCTGTGCCCGAAGCCGAGGTGGGCAGTGAATGTGACAGGCCAGGAGGAGAGCTCATGGAGGATGAGATGGAGTGCGCCGACTTCTCTGAGAGCTTCTTGCGCTTGATGATGTTCTTGATGTCCTCCTTGTGCTGGCGGCGGGCATCGTTGTTACTCCACCAGATCGGTCGCTTGTACTCGCATTGGAGACCGAGATGCTTGCAAGCGGTGCACATAGGGTTCCCCTCATCGCACTTCTTCCGTCGTAATCTGCAAGTGTAGCAGCCTAGACAGTGGCATGGTCAGCTTCCAGATGGGGGCTCGCGTGTGAGTGATGAAGAGAGTGTACGAACCTGTCCTTGAACGACGGTGCATCTGTGACTTTGACTTTGCACTGTTGTTGGCAGCGCCAGTGCAGGTGTCGCCTTTGGTAGTAGCGTTTTTGGCATTGCCAGTCTTGGAGGCCATCTTGGCCTTTGCAGACTGCGCAACAGCCATGTTGGCTACGGGTCCGGAAGCTCTGATTGTCGTGGCTTTGCGATGGCTGGGGGGCATGGTTGACATTTGTATGATAGCTCTGCTGCTTCGACGGGCCTGCAGCACCGGACTCGAAGGGACCTCCCGAATCGAGTACTTGGGGTGGGTGTGTGTATGGGGGAGATTGAGAAGAGGGGGGGTGCGGTACTGTGTGGTCGAGAGCAGCACACTGTACGGTGGAGTCGACAAGGAGCGGGAGCAAAAGGTGCTAGAGTTGCTGGGGTCCGCCGCCAGTCGACAAGGGGCTCGCGCACGTAGCCAAGAGGAGGACTGCGAGGTAAAGCAGACTCAGAGGTCGAGAACAGACAGTGCCGTGTCCGTGTCCTTGCGTGGCGGGGTGGCTGAGGTGACGAGTGATATTAGGAAATTAAAAATGTCGGCCGTTGGGATCTGCTCCTCGTCTGAGCAGCTGACGATTGGACGCAGTCAAATCAAATGATATAGCAGGGCGAGTTATCGTATCAAACGGCTCGTGGGGTCCAGCCTGCTGCGAAACAAATGTGTCCTGACGAGTGCCGAGGACTCTGTTGTAGTAGTGAATGAGTGGATGTCTGTTTCCAGGTAAACAAGTCCAGCTTGTCTTTTTGGCGATGGAACAGAGAGGATGGTCTGGGGGGAGGCGGGTAGGAAGGGAAAAGGGAATAAAAAAAAAAAGAGGAAGAGGCGACGACGACACCACAGCTCCTCACCTTGCGATACGTTGCGAGAAGGAAAAGAGGGCAAAATGACCCGTGGACGAGGCCAAAGTCTTATATCACGGCCGCCTTCCTCGAGGCCCAAGGCCAATCTCGACGACCGTGATGCCGCCTGGTAATCTGGGCTAAATGTTGCTATTTTGGTCCCGAGCTCCATATGCCGACCTTGCCTCATTGGTGCATCTCACTCAACTGCATCTGCTGCGTGCGCGACTGCGCTTAGAGAAACCAATGAGGCTGGGCCGCCGTATGGGCCGGCTGGCCAGGACGCTCTCGGTGCTCTCCACTCTGGATGAGGAGAAATGCAAAAGGCATATGCAGTCAAGGTTAGCTTGCAGCAGCCGTAGAGGAAAGTCGCGCACTGATCCAACAGTCAGTACGGAGTAGACGTGGAATGTCCGACCTGGACATTCATTATCGTGAGCTACCGGTCTTTAGGAGCTGCCAGTCGGAGATCTGGATAACATGATCCGAAGGAATTGTCCACTGGACATTCGTGGGAGCAGAACTCCGACCCTGTCTACTAGTAGTCAGACCTCTCCAGTCGCTATTGCGTGCAACAAAGACCTGCAAGCAGCCTTCGATGCTACTGTGGCTTATTGGTGCACTCCATGTCTGTTGCCGTTGCTAGGATATTTTGGTGTATTGTCTGTACTAGTGATGCTGCATGCTTGTGTTCATGCGGCTAGCAGAGCTGCGTGAACGACCTCTACGCAGCTAACGAAGGAATTACTGGATAGTTTGCTCCAGGACCATCCCAACACGTTCAAGGTATGGATCAGTGACAGAGCTGGGGTAAGATAAATTATGCATGAATCTTCCCGGTTCAGACGAGACTACCTAATCAACCGAGAATGGACCAAGACAATCCAAATTGGAAATTATATCATTGGCGCTTGTGCCTCTTGGAGAAGCCTCTAGCATCGATGTTGTTATTCTAGAGGATATTTGGCTGCCATGGTTCATGTTCGTTCAGGCCAAACCCGGTCATGCGCAATGATGCCACTGAGCATTCGCTGCAATTGCTTGCGATATCTTACAAGGCTCTCATTGAACATGGTTGGGCACTGGCACCGTTGTTCTGATATCGAGCCTGAGAGCTTGACGCTGAGTGGCGGTCAGAACATTCATTCAAGCCAGCTCATGCCATGACTCCTCGATCCTTGCCACACCACTGCGTGACTGACCATGTATGCTGATAATTATATAACCTGTTCATTGACCAAGAAGAAGCCGGAATCATTTCCAAAGGCGTGCAATCAAAGAAGAATCTCATCTCATAGCCCAATCGGCACGGCAGAGTGAAAAAAGACTCGCAGGCTCAACGATGGAAACTCTTGCTGCTTGCACACGCTCCTCGAGGCTGGCAGCGGTCATTGGCCAGGATGATGTGATGAGTGACTTGCTGGTGCATTAGTCTGGGCGGGGCGGCGGGACTCGGGACCAACCGATTGTAGCGTCATCTTGGCGCCTCGGACAAAAAGAAGGGCTCTGGGATCTGATTGGCTGGCTTGTTAGCCAGGGGTAGCAGAGCCACTGGCCAATAGCGATCTTTATCGCTCCTTCTCGAGTCGTGGAGTCGGTCAACTGATCGCTTGAGGCCGTCGTTCTTTCCTGTTTTGTTTTTTGCAAGCTGGAGAACGGGACCGTATTTTCCGTGAAAAGCCTCACTCGCTTGCACTGGTTGCTCTCCCGCCAAGAAAGATCCACGATAGCTTCAACTTGGCCATCCATGCATGGCCTAGGGACGACCTTGCTCACAGAACCCAATCCTTCAGATGCGGACTTCCGATTAACACGCCCCCCAATCCATCTCTGGCCATTGTCCATTATACGGAGTGCGCTGCATACCATTGTCCGACTGCAGAGCGTACACTGGCCCCCGACCGACCGGCTGCACTCGAGATAGATCCGGCCGCCCGCGCAACAGGGGACTGGACCTTGTGTTGCCGTGTTCGCGCGCACGCACTAATAAAAGCATGATTCCTGCTTTGGTAATGCCCTCGCGAGTCTCACACTCAGCCGAGTGGAATTGTTGGTCCATTGGTCCGACGGGTATTCATCTGCATGGTGACCTCCATGTCGTCGATAATCGCTCCGTCCGTGCGTTTCCCCGTCTGTGCGTGCATTCCGTGCTGATAGTAGGCTGCATGTTTGCTGCTTGTTTGCTAGGCCCCAATCAACCATCTCGATCGCTCACCCCCGCGAAGGCTGCACTCGAGCCTTGCGCTGCTGTAGCCGCTGGCGCTTGTCGTGCACCTTTAAAGGCGCCAAGTTGTGCTATTTTTATGTTCACTCGAATGTCGTCGCGCGCCTAATGCGTAGCACAGAACACTCAATGTCGTCGAACAGTCGACGCACTTTATCGTCAGTTGCGGCGCTTGTCAAAGGTCTCCATATTGCTTCAGTGTTCTCACTTTTTTGGTCAGATAGACTTGGCATTGGCAGCTTAGTGCTGCAAATAATACGTACGTGCACTCGAGCGGGTGATTGCGCAGCTCGCAATTTCGGCAGGGCCCTCTTCCGCGAGCCGATGCCGCCTCTATCACATTCTGATCACCGCTGTCAACCAGGATGTTTGCCGTTGTCAATGGGTAGACCGCGAACCAACACAACCAGTTGATTGTTCTTTCGATCCCTCATGCCACTCCCGACAACGATCCAATGGAGTCGGGATCGCGTGTTTGCCCCTGAGCTAGCGACTGTTCGTCTGGTGAACGTTGGTGGTGCTCGATGTCGCTGGAATGCAACGGGACGGCTCCGACAAAGCACTTTGTTTGTGGGGGCCGTCCGGGTTTTTCTTCCGCATGTGTCGCAGGCGAATGGCCCAGTGTATGACACTTATTGGGGGCGACGCCATCTGTACGTATTTCGATGCCTCCGGTGTCAGGTCCCGCTCTCTCCATTCTTCCTCTGAAATCTGAGCTACATGAGTCGTTTGACTCGTGCGCCCCCAACATGGCATCAAATCAAGACACAGACTGTCACTGACCTGATCATATCTTGTCCACTGCCGTATCTTGTCCATTGCCGCTTGGGAGCCATAGTCCACGTGTGCGGGCGCGAGAACTCGGGTCGGTGAGTCTACGGCTCGTACTCGTAGTTTGAACTAATACACACCGCTGTGTATGGCCCCCAATCTGCAAGCTCACCACACCCGCATGGCACTGTGGGTTCTACTCTTGAGCGAGGCTGGCGAGAAGCGAGAGCCAGCTCTTTGATCGTACGAGTAACAAATGCATTCTGGGAAATCATCCGTTCAGGTCACGTTTTCTCGGAGCTGCATTCTGGATTCGGTGCCAGAGGGTGGTTACTACAATCCAATTGGGGAATGCGTTTCTTCATTTTGTGCATGCGAGGTGCATCCTTTGTGGTTGCATGCATTGTTGAAGCTGAATGATTGCCTGACTGGGTGAATGTGGTGTATTGGACCCTGGATTGCGCCGCGAGATTGCCACAAAGGAGGTCCCATCGAGAAGATGACATTTCAATTGGGACAGACTGGAGAGAACCTGCTCGAGCAAAGACAGGGGTCTATAATTTACTCATGGCGTTGTACAGAGTACGGAGCATATCTCGCAAGTTAAGGCAGAATCCCTGCTATGAACCTAGTCTTGCTACCTTGGCTTGATCTGGCAGCTGACCGGCGCAAATGCCAGAACCCGGCCGGGCTTTCGATAAGGTGGAGGAGGTTGGTGGGACAGCAGGGATCGCGGCGCACTGTGACAGACGGGGACACCCCATTCCGCAAGGACGATCCTAGGGTTCCGCACTCGCCTTTGGACCCTAGTCTTTGATCTTGTATCGCCGCATCGCGTCCAGGTTGGTTACCTACGTAGCCCCCAGCGGGAGAGGCAGGCGGGCCGGCGAGGCTTAGGCACAGATGTCGACGCATCCGGGTCTGTGACTTGAATTTTGAGAAGAACTTGGGCAGATGACGCCTGGTTGACTCGAGGAAGAACGAGTAACAGCCGGTCACGGCCTGCGCCGGACAATTCCGACTCCTCACGAGCATCTCGGCCGAAAGTGGACACAAAAATTGGGGAGGACGGCAGCAACAAAACGCCAGCCCGTCCAGATCGAGGCGGACGGCTATCTCGCAAGCTGAACTGACCGCGCTCTAGTTACACAGTAGCTGAGCGCCGAATGTCTTGAACTAATGACCGGTGAGACACTATAGACAGAGATCGTGAATACAAAATACGGCTGGCTGCGGTCTGCCGTCTACCGGGACGACGACGTCAGTGACTCAGTAGTCCCGGACCGCATGTTCAGTCGGCGAGCATTCTTTGCATGCTGCTACCCGTCGCCGTGCTTGCCCATGGCCTGCACGAAGGCATCGCATTGCGGAGGCGAGCTAACAATTATTGGGTGAGCGATCTTTCCCTCGGTTGCTGCGAGTCGCTGGTCATTCAGTCAGGTCATGCACACTTGAAAGACCGACCAGGGGATGCACTGGACCAACCGTCGGCACGGCTTTTGCAGGATGCCGACTCGTCAAAATGACAAGTCTCATGACAGTCAAGAGTCGACCGTGGGATCCACCGCAGCACTGTGATTGATTGAGCAGTGACCAATGGCTTCTTGTCGCACGAGTTGATCAAGGCGATTGGGCCTCGAGGTAAATTGAACATGACCAGATACACGGCCGCGGAGCGCATTTGATCATTGGTCTTGGAATTAGAAATGAGGCCATTCGACAGATGGCAATCCCCCACGTCTTCAATTAACAAGCTTTGCGTTGTATCCATCGCTGCTTTTCTTGGTGCTGCTGTGAGGGGTGACTGGACTCTCTTCTCCTCGTTTCTTGTTGAGAAATCTAATACACGTAATCAATACCAGCCCACAGTGCAGTAGTACAATGTATGCCTGATTTAACGAGTCACGACAGGGGTCTTTCTTCCGCACACCCTCCCTCCGCGCGCCCCCAGTCGTCTCCAGGCTAGTCAGTAGTCACCACGCCAAGGGTGGAGATCACGGCAAGCGAGATCTGCACGTTAGTACCATTGATCTTCAGGTGTCACGTCGTATCCTCCGAGGTGCTTCTTCATACTTCACAAGAAATCCGCGCAGACGAGGGTAGGGGAAACAGAAAAGGACTTTTACGGTTTATAATGCCGCCCAACGTTGCCCCTGGCTGAGTGCGGCATGCCCATGCACCCTCTGCAGCAACCTGCAGCTCATTTACATTAACAGAACAAAACCAAACAAGACCAAACAAAGCGGACATTTGGGCTACCCTACGAAGAATCACCAACGACACCATGATCTGTATCTAAGTACTCATAGTGAGCCACTGCGCACCAATCCAAATAGAAATCAGGAGAAAATTTACAGAGTATTCGTACTGAGCTCTCATAATCCGGGACTTGGGGTGTTCTTTGTAGCGTAGGATAGGGCCTAAGTTGTTCATCACGCAGTGTGGTAATATCTCATTTAAACCATGCGATCATTCCACAAGACCGACCAATGACCGTTCATATTTCTGAGAAATGTAACCGCTGTCTTATTAGGACAGATAAAGCCACGGACGTCGCACTCGCTGGTTGCGATAGCGTACTGCCAATAACCACCACATGAGTGATGAAGGGCTCGAGTCCTGCTCATGCGATAGATCACATCCTCAGTCTGGTGGTGTGCCACCTCGACAAATGCGAGTGATGGTGATCTGGCTGAGCGGCCGTCAGCAGCATCACGGGCTTTCCATTTCATCCAGATCAAAAGGTCTCCTGTGCCTCTCGAACCCTCAAGAAACTATCTTCCCAACTCGACAAGATGCAATTGTTGCTGGTCAAACACTGACTTCATGATCATGATCGTCGGTCCTCAGAAGCGTCCCCCCCCATTGAGATTACCGAAAACGGAAAGCCTGCAATGGACTGGAGAGGGTGGTCGGAGCCCTTGTAAGTGGCCACTGAGAGGACATCCTCCTACTCCCACTCCACAAGACAGACAAAGGATGATGGGAATTCCCTGCCCTGCGTAGAACATGGAATTTCGAGAATTGGCTATGCGGCCGACTCCGTCCGACGTCTAGCCTCCTAACTAGGTGCAGGAGGAGGAGAAGCCAGGTTGAACCTGGTAGAGATTGCTGACTGATGCAGTATTCATCATGGACGAGTGCGGGCTGCTGGTCTGTGGCTCGCGATTTTCGCTTGATATATAGCCTCGGTCGCTAACTAGCATGAAGTTATGAACACCCCACTTCACAAGCATCTCGTGTGCCCGGTGCGGGAAAGGGTCTTTTACATAGCTCCTCTGTCCTTGGCCGTGAACCTGCGTGAGTCACGAGAACGCCAAGTGAGGGTTTTTTCGTTGTCAAGTGCACGCTCTCCACCGCCAGTTGCACGATCTCCGGTGTGGGCAGAGCGGGCACGTTTCGCCCCAAAGCAAGGCAGACATTCTCGTCGGAAGCCACATGGTATCTGTTGTAAGTGAGGACAACCTCGTGGTGGTGGACCAAGTGGGCAGGCTTGCTGCTGGTTACTCAGGAAACCACTGTTGCGCCGGTATACGTACTTATACGCATGGTTGCATGCGTAAAAGCATTCAAGCCTCCCCAGACGGTACGTAGAAGTCAACGCCCGGACCGAGCTCAGTGTCAGTTCCCCGAGGTGAGTGATCTGTCTATCGTGCGCAAGCCGTTCGGGTGTCGTGCTTCCCCGCTGCGGTGTGCGGGCGATAGATAAGGTCCCATACGGTACTCCCTGTCAGACAGGGGAATCCATGAGGGCTGGTCTGGCCTAAGCGTCGGTGTTAATCATGGACGGCGTGATGAAAACCAGATGTGCTTGGCTTGGCTCCCGCGCTAGGCCAGGAGGGGATGGGCTGGGCTAGTGCATCTTGAAAGGCCAGGCGTGGCGTCTGTATGAACGAGGCAGGCCGGCCGTGGCCTCGGGTCCACGACAGACTGGACTCTTGAGAGGAGAGGTGAAGGTGGAGGAGGAGGGCGAGAAGGAGGGGAGGGAGGGGCTGGCGCTCCTGCCGTCTGTCGGGTGCCACAAGTGGAACGGCATCGGAGGTTGAGCATGTGGAGGCCCGAGGTGCTGCTGATTGGTGCGAGAACCTGCTGCACAAAAACCGCCCTTGTGACCTTTTCCCGTTCACAGCAACGCCAACCAATGCCATCACCAGAGCGCCCATCAGGGCGCTTAAACATCTGCACTCCAGCCATCTTTGACGCTCGCAGCTATTTCTGGCGCCTGGATAGGCCTCGTTGGGCATCCTCGAGCGAATCACGTCCAGCTCTTCTTCGATGTGGCAGTCGTCCACGCACTGGGCCTATCATGCACGACTCGAACAGGCCTCGACGATGGTCGGCAGGGTCAACAGGCGGTCTAGCAGCGCTGCTCCTGGCCTCCAACTGTTCTCATTCTGATTGACGCAGTGCTTGGTTGCCAGGAAGAGTAGCATCAGTCGCAAGCTCAGCAGCCAACTGGCCCCTAGGTCTGACCCGTCGCCCCTAAAGTGTGCCCAAGAATGGCTGCTGGGATACCTCGATGCTGCTGGTGCTTCATGCACCAGTGACTGCAGTCGAGAGCTGCCGCGAGGTAGGGTAGCGTCCGTCACATCACACCCAGTTCTGCTCGCCCCCAGCGCTACCTGCACGCTGCAGACGCATCCTTGGTCGTCCGAAACAGCTCATCCGCTCATAACTCCCACTAACCGCCCTCGAGTCTCATTGTTTCTCCTCCTCCCGAGCTTTGCGATCTTGACCAAAACATTTCGACGCTGCAAGCAGGACTTCCAGCGTGATACGGTGACGATATACAGTTTTTGCTTCACAGCATACTTGGAAAGAGACGCCACACCAACAGATCCGAAAGAAGGGGTCCAACCACCGGCACCAGCCGCAAGGCGCCAACGCTAAATAAATCCCAAGGCACTGGGTGCGTTGGTCAAGGAAACGAAACACATCGTTGGGAATCATAGCGACCAGACGTCTGGACCGCGGCCATGGTAAGTCCCGCCCACGCTCGATTAGCAACATTCCAGTCCTGACCCATAGACAGGAGTACACATATGCCCAGCCTGGCTACCGCCAGACATATCAGGAAATGCGACAGAAGCCGGCCCCCAGAGACACATTCTTCAGTTTAAAGCATGAAACCGTCGATCAGCGGCCAGTTTCAGTTGCCACTGAGTTTGTCGATACTGATTGGGACGAGGAGGTTATGAGTGACGTGGAGGACAACTCGCCGCGCATCAGTCTGCAATCTGTAAGTCGAGAAATGCTTCGTCCGTGCGCGAGGTGGCGCTGACACTCACCTCTCAGGCTGGCCAGCCAAGCTTCACCACGCAGTCATCATGGGATGAGGTTCCTACGCCGAGATCTAGCCAGGATGCGTACATGGCATCGCACAAGACCATTGAGGGGCCTCGGGGACCACATCTGTTCGGCAACTCCATCGAGGATGACTTTAACGAGCATGATATGATTTTGACAATGTCCCCGATGACGCCAAAAGCTCCGAGCCATGTACCCGATTTCTTCTACACGTCTTCTGAGAAGCCGCCTCCTTTGCGGAACAGCCCCTTTCAGTACACTAGCGAGGAACTCGACACATCGAACCTGGTTGAATGGACACCGGAAATGGTGGCGCAGTCCATGCTCAATGCTGGCATTGAGGTTCCAGTAGCTGATCGCTTCATCGAGAACGACATCAACGGAGCCATTCTCATCACCCTCAAGTTTGAGGATCTGCGTGAACTCGATATCTCTTCGTTTGGCATTCGGACTCGCGTGTGGCACCAGATTCAAGCACTCCACGACAGCCGACCTGCGTCTCCCAGGGCTCCCACGCCGATCGAAGACGCGCCCAGTCGTGAAGCCCGAAGGGAGCTCAGGGACCAGGACCGCACCGAGTTGTCTCGCGGCGCGAGCAGGCGGCGAGTGCGCAAGCAGCCCTCGGCGAACGACAGTATCGCTCCTGGCGAGTCTGTCTCCATCATCGGGATTGAGCAGGTTATTCCCAAACCCCATGTCTGCTCCAAGGGTGAGAACTGCTCCAAGTTCCGGAAGCAGGCACGCTTGATAGAGCGATTCCAGAAGATGAACCCAAATGTCGACGTCCATGCTGCCGCTGGTACTGTCATGATCGCAGGCGACGCAGGAAACCCCGAGACAGCCCAGGCCCTCAATCCCAATGAGTTCCATCGCCCAATGTCGGATGCTGTCCCTTCTGTCGTCGCGTCGTCCGATGTCATGGGCACCCACGGCATGGCACCTCTGCAGTATCTACAGGAGGCTACCTTGCGCAGCGTGCAGGAGCGCGACCCCCAGGACAACGTGCGACACTTTTTGCGTTTCCAAAAGGCTGACGCCAATGAGGTGCCCCCTACGCCCCCTTATGAGATGGGCAACAACGGCGCACCTCACCAAGGCCTTCGGCGGCTACCAAAGCTGACGATCCCTGGCACGAACACATCGCAGTCCCCTAACCGCCCTCAACCACCGCGAGCCGCGACGGTCCCTCCACCTACGCAGCAGCAGAAGCAACGTTCGCCTCAGCGGCAGCAGCGCTACAGCCACCAGTCGCCCCTCTCCCAGTCCATCCACCAGTCTCCCGAGGAGGAGCAGTTCCAGCCTTACTCCATGGACAAGGCTGACCCCCGTTCTCCCGATCTGGAGACATCTCGCAATCCTTATAGATTCGGTACTCCTTTCTCAGAGATGGACGTTCCCGTCACTGCTGTTGCCCTGGGCCCAGTCGCACGTGATGCTTCGCAGTCGGTGCCTCCCGACATGAACTATCACCACTCGATGAACATGAGCAACCCTGTTCCCCGTGCTCAGTCACGCTCTTCGCGCAGGCCGTCCTTCCCCGTCATGCCTGCGCTTGACGAGAACAGGCCCATCCGTGCTATCTCAAAGACACCCTCGCCTCAGGCCCCATCACCACCCAGACAGTCCGTGCGGCCACAACCGCAGCAGCCTCTACAAGCACCCCCACGGGTCAACTACCCCTGGTCTCCTGTCGAGCGTCCCAGCTTTGAGAAGGCCATCCCTCCCTCATCTGCGTTCCAGATTGGTGATGCCTCTTCGGTGTCAACCGCTTCCTCCAACGGGGTCTCCTACCAGGGACCCATGAAGAAGCGCAAGACCAAGCTCCTGCGCCACGAGTGGCAAGACGGGTACTTCTCCATCAAGGGGACCCGTCTCAACATGCACAAGGACGCGCAGCACATTGACCGTACCCTTGAGTATGTGGACATTGATGACTACGCCATTGCTTGCTCCAGCGTAGCGTCTACATCCAAGTTGTCAGCTGCCTTCAAGAGGGTCAACATCTCCCACAACCGCGAGAAGAGTGACCCTGGCGCGTTCCAGTTCCAGCTCATCCCTCAAGACAAGAACACCGCTCGCCTTCGCAAGCGCGACAGTGCCTTGCCGTCACAGATCCCTGTCGAGGGCGTCAACGGCACGGGGAAGACGCACCACTTCGCCGTGAAGAACCGCGACGAGCGCATCGACTGGATGCGAGAGCTCATGCTCGCCAAGGCCCTCAAGCAAAAGGGCGAGGGCTTCGAGGTCAGCGTCAACGGCAGCATGATCTAGAGCCTCATTCACTTCACGCCTCCCACAACACCCACAGCAAACAGCAACCGAAGATCAGCTTTCGCAAGAAAACAGCCATCACCACTCCTCTTTCTCTCTCTCTCTCTCTCTCTCTCTCTCTTTCTCTTTATACCTGGGAACATGCTCATCGGCGCTTGCTTCAATTCATAGTTTTTTACGACACTCCTTGGCAGGGCTAGGACTTGGTCTGCGTACGATCTGATTTACATCTCCTTCTCATTAGCATAGCGAGTCGGGCTCGCGCCCTCGACTACGGTTTGATACCATTTTTGACATGAAGAGGATTATGCCATTTTGCGGACATGAGAAACTATCTTTATCACACGAATTGACATTTGCTTGTTTTCTCCGAACATTTTGCCTTTTTGTAATCCGTGACTTGACACAATGGTCTGATGACGTGAAGCTAGCTGCTTGTAGTCTGTTCCCTTTGCTGTCACGCTTCTTCATCATCATCATCAGCCCTTGCAATTGGTAGGAGGACGAAAAAGCACAGCGCCGAGGTGGTGTCCATCACATATGATACAATTCGCCGAGTGATATGTAAACAACACTATCGTACAAGCTTCGTAACCTCCACGGTCCACCTGTACATAATGACATTGCCCAAGTATGCCTTGTTTTACCTGAAAGCCGGCCTGGTAAGCTGCGCCTTCTGTTCAACATGTTGCCAGTCAATCATCTCCCACCACGACTCGGCGTACGCCAACTTGCCGCCGGCGCCGCCCTTTCCAACGCCCCAGTCGAGCAGCCAGGTGTGCTCCCACGTATTCAGGCACAGGAGCGGCGTGACGTCGATGCCGCCCGGTGGCAGGTCGTCCTTCTTCGCACTCTGGGCCCGTCCGCCAAAGGCTGTGTTGCGCAGATACGACGTCGCTGTGCCCCTGTTCCCAAGCGTGTTCATGTCCTGCGACTGCGCACGCCAGTGGGCGCCGGGGTACGGCGAGCCGGCGAGATATGTCGGCAGCAGGCGGTACGTGCCCGCGCCGGCCTGGACGAGCCAGACAAACCCGGGTCCGAACATGGAGTTTGCGGTCAGGACGAACTCGCGGCGCAGGGTCTCCATGGAGGAAAAGCAGGCCTCGAGCTCCTTCTTCATGGGTTCCGAGATGGGCGTCGGATTGGGCGTGATGCCGTCAAAGAAGAAGTGGTTGTTGTGCGCCATGGAGGCCCAGTTGAATTCGCGGGCTTTGCCAGGTTCGCGGGCGGTCATGAGGGAGACGCTCTTGGCGTCCTTGCCTTCCAGCTCGGTGCCTGTTTCTCAGGCGTCAGTATGTCCACGTCCACCGCTGGGTACGGGGGTTGCGCACCTGCCGTCAGCTCATTGAGCTTCTCTGTCACCAGGGTCATGTAGTCCGTCCATGCGATCGAGAACCCAGCCGGGCTCATCAGGTTCGGCACACCCGTCTCGGCATAGTCGTGCCTCAGTTTGGGCACGCTGTGGAAACTCCGCCTCGAGCAGACGCTGGAGACAATGGACTTGCTGGCCACAGTCGGGGCGCCGAAGCCCAGTGACCGTAACCTCGGACGGATCATGATGGGCTGTAGATGGTGCGTGTGTGTGATGCGCGTCAGGATGCCACGCAATAGGAAGCCTTCGTCTCGAACTTTTTGCGACCAGGCTAGGGGGAGCATGGAGTTGGCTGAATGGGTCCAGTCCTTCGTGGCCGGACACACGTTCCGCCGGTCGCGGGGCGGATTAAGCCACGCGCTGCAGAGCGCTTCGCACAGATGTGGCGCAGGCAGGCAGGTGCCAGGCGGCAGCCAGCTGGCGGGGCTCGAAGCGGGGCCGGTACTGGGACTGACTGCGCCCCGGCGCTTGGCTCAAACAGGAGGCCAAGATCCAGTCAGTCGCCAGTGCCTGATTAATCCAGTACGTACCACGTAACCCAGGACACAGAGAATACTCGCTGGGATCTCGGGGAGCGGCATCACGAGGAGTCCACTCTTGGGTCCTTGCTTGCAACACTTCAAATTCTTTTCGTAATGCCTGGACCGACCCCTTTCTAATTAATCCGACCTGCTCTCTTCATCTCCTGAACTCTTTTTCTTCGAATTCTATTCTTACCTACCGCCTTGCTCCTTTGTCTCGTCCTTCTCCCCCCAACCGAACGCGACATTGCAACGTCCTTGGTTGCGTATCACCTCTGGCAGCAGACTGGCCTTGTCGACATTCCTAGCCGCATCCAACGACTACACTCCTGCCATCCAGGCAGTCTCCCGACCTCACCTTCTCCTCATGCGTCTCGACTAGTCTACTTCTCACGTTTCTCCCTGCATAGCACATGCAACCTCCCGCGGACGTGGCAGCCCCCATCCTTGGGGTCGACCCTCCCTCCTCCACGACCACGATGCTCACCGCCGCCGCCGCTACGGTCGTTTCTGCAGCCTCGACGATCACTGCCAGGATGAACTTCTCAGCGGACGACTCCACACCGGGCGAGTGTAGCCTCATGGGTCCCTTCGCCATCCTCGTGCAGGCAGCACTGGGGGCCCTAGCGCTTCTGTCCCTCGTCTTCAAGCGGTGGCGGGAGAGGCCACAGCGGCCGGTCAAGATCTGGTTCTTCGATGTGTCCAAGCAGGTTTTTGGCTCCGTGCTGGTCCATATTGCCAACATCTTCATGTCCATGCTCACCAGCGGACGGTTCTCCGTGGCCGTGGAGCCCGTGGTGGCAGCGCGGACGCTGATGAGGAGAACAAGGGAGGACGACTACACCCCCAATCCCTGCTCGTTCTATCTCTTGAATCTTGCGATCGATGTAAGTAATTTCCTTTCCCTGTGGAGGTTCTGAAGTATCTTGGACAAGGGCTAACGCTTATACTCAGACCACCATTGGAATTCCGATCCTCATTGTTCTTCTCAAGCTCGTCACCGGCCTCGTGGCATACACTCCGCTCGGCAAACCGCGCGAGTCGATCCAGTCGGGCCACTATGGCCAGCCGCCCAATGCGTGGTGGTGGCTCAAGCAGTCCATCATGTACTTCATGGGCCTCTTTGGCATGAAGATATGCGTGCTGATCATCTTCCTTGTAATACCTTCGATATCAATGGTGGGAGACTGGGCTCTGGGCTGGACAGAGGGCAACGAGAAGTTGCAGATTGCGTTTGTCATGATGATCTTCCCTCTCATCATGAATGCGCTACAGTATTACATCATCGACTCGTTCATCAAAGAGAAGGATGGCAGCAGCGATGGCCACCCACACGAAAGGCTGCCGAGCGAAGATCCCGAGGAGAGCCACCGGTTTCGACGTGGCGGCGACAGGCACGCAGAAGGGCTTTTGAGTGACAGCGATGATGAAATGGGGGACGAAGTCACCAAGAGGGGCGCCGACGTCCGGCTCAGACCGAACGGCGAGGGTGAGGAGTATGATCCCGATACAGATGGGGATGCTCGCACAGTGGTGGGCAGCAGCAGCTCGAATCGTGCCTTTGAGTCACCGGGTAAGTCGATCGCGCCGGCTTTATACCCCAAAGAGTGATCTTTGCTGCGTGTGCTTGCAGAAAAACGGCGTTTTCTTGGGGTTTCTTGGGTTTCTTGACAATCATGGGCCAGGTTCCTTTTTTCTTGCTCGGGCTGCTGGGTAGAAACATTTATACAAGCGGTCATTTTCCAAGCCACTGGACCATATGTACCAGGTCAGCGCGATTTAGCCAAAACATGCCACAACGGCCTTATTTTCCTTGCTCTTGCCTCGAACCTCTTTGCACTTTAGGCGCCTTACGCAATGTAACTTGACCAGAGCCTGCCAGGTGAATGATAAAACAAATCGATTGCGAGCAAGGTATCAAATGCTGTTTATATGATGATGACAAATTTTCCTAACAAGTCGTGGCTCTTCACTGCCAGCGACCAGATAGTCCTTATATGGTTTCGAATGGTTATACGAAGCGGAACGAACGCTGTCCATGCTCCAAAGTGTTTAAAACGTAAACCCGCACCTGTTCCCCTTAACGCCTTGAAGAAATCATTCGCACGCCCGCCAACTATCAAACGTCCTCACGACGGGCGGTAGGGCTTGTAGCCTGGGTACTCCTGCTTTGGCTCGGCTGGCTCGTTGAAGCGTTGCTCATAGGGGTTGTTGCCATCCGAAGTCTGGGGTCGAGAGAATCCAGAGTTGAAGTCAAACCCGGAGTTGTTCACAATGGGTGAGGAGGGAGGCTCCTCGTACGCAGTCAACGGCGAGGGCGCATGCATGATGCGCGGTGACTGGGCATATTGACGGTCAGGCCCGGGCGAATAGGCGCGGTCAAAGTTCTCTCGCCGAGGACTTTGGGCAGAAGACCCGTAGTTGGTGTTGACGGGTCCAGGTGATTGCCTCGGGGGCCGAGCGTACGGATCAGCATGAGGTCTTGGTGATGCCCGGGGTCCGGGCCCAGGCGAGTTCCTCATACGGGGATCCATGCCGTACGGCGCGGGGCTGTTGTTCCCAGCCCGGTTGGTACCAGGGAGTCCTCGGTACCCAGCGCCAGGACTGCCTGGTCCCCGTCCTGGCCCGGGGCTACCCATTCTCGGGGCTGGGCCAGGGCTACCAATTCGCGGGGCTGTTCCATAAGGGTCGGCACCAGGACCGTGACGCATGCCGTAACCAGCAGCAGCAGCGCCCATGGGTCCAGGGGCAGGGCCGTTTTGAAAGGCACCCCGGTCATCGAATTCGCCTGGCCCTGGAGGCATGTCGGCATACCCAGAGCCCATCTCACTGGGGGCGCCCCTGGGATCGTGGCCAGGTCCGGGGCCATACCCATGACGTCCGGGTCCAGGTGAGTTCCTGCCATTCGGCATAGGCGCCATGCCCGCTGGGGGAAGATCGTAAGGCTGGTCGAGCCCAAAGCCATTGTCCTGGGAGTCGTAGGGATTGGTGGGGGCGTATGAATCTTTGTGTAGTGTTTGCGATGGCGCAGGCATCATGTTTGGCAACTGAGGCTGACCCTGTCCATATGGCGCATTGAAGTTCTCCCTAGACATTGGGCTGTTGCGGCCGGGACCGGGGCCAGGGCCGGGGCCGGGGCCAGGGACCGGAGACACACCGACGCCAGCGAGTGGGCTCTTGGGCTCCATGGGAGGCTTTTTGAGGTCGTTCATCTCATGCTCCTCTTCTTCCAGCTCGACCTTCTTGGAGTTGGCGCCCTCCCAGCTGGGCATCTGCGGCAGTGCATCTTCGCCTTGCTTCTTGGTCTCGAACTCGGCATATTGTGGGGGCGTGACGCCAACCGTAGCGGGCGGGAAGGCGTGCATGGGAGCTTCGGTCCGGTAGCCTTGCTGAGGAGGGACGTATGGTTCATCCAGATACTTGTGCTTCCGGTCTTCTGGCGCATCACAGCATCCGCAGCAATTGCCACAGCACTTGAAGCAAGCGAAGCAGCTGCAGCAGCACGACTTTGCGCAACACGCACAACGGACGATGCAGGTGACAATGGCGAGAATGATGAGGCCTCCAACCACAATGATGGCAATGGCGGGCCATTTGCAAAAGTCGGCCGCCATGCAATTGTCCCAGCTGGATAACGCTGTCTGGATGTCGGTGACTTTATCCTTCGTGTCATCTACAATGCTTCTGTGGACCAAGTGTGTGGCCGGACTGCGTGCCAAGCTGTCCCTGAGGCGCTCCCATGGCCCTTGGCGCAGGCTTGAAGCCATTGCAACGTCAATCGATGGCATCCTGGCGTTTGCTATATCTTTTGAAGGAAAAAAGGGTCGTCGTACTGCTCAATGAGCTAGGCGCGCGTGGTTACTTCGGCTCCAATGTCGACGACTGTTGGATGATATCGTGGTAGTGACAGTTGAGAGGTAACTCTGTCTGAGTATAGAGACCATGCAATGAATTTCCCTTCTCGCTTGAACCTTGGACAATGTCAAGTCGTGGGTGAGGGCAGCGAAGGCTGCAACACCAACAAATGCAGAAAAACAGACAGCGGGCGACTATGCAGCCACACCATAGGATGATTCGAGGCCAGAAACCAGGATCTGCGTCTGTTCGCACCTCTCGGTGAAGTAGTAGCTAGGTAGTTCGAAGGAAGGTATTTCAGCGTCGCTCTGCGTGGCCCGGTAGCAGCGTCACTGGACAGGGAGTATTCGGGTGATCGGTTCGGAACGACGGTCAACTGGGAATGGGAAGGACAAGGCTCGGGGCGTCAGGAGCAAATAATGAACGTGATGGAAAAAAGGAAGCAACGAACGACGACTTCGCTTCAACCAAGTCCCTGCAACGGAAGCACGCAAAGACACACAGTATCGTGCGTCTATCGAGTGAAGGAGTGAAGAGGACGGACTGAAGCGGCTGGAGGAAACATGGGCAAGAAGATGCACTTCTTTTGCCCTGCCCCGGTGAGTGGCATGGTAAATTGCAAATTGCGAGTGCTAGGAGCCGACAACGCTGGTACTGCAGGGCGAGCAGAAAAATAGAGCGCGGAGACCCCTGACGTGAGTGGAGATCTGCGTGTCTCGGTTCTCAGACAGGCAGTGACCAGCGAATCACACGCTCGTGCGTTCTTTACACCAAACTTATTCGCCGTTTCTATTAAATAGTGTCCAGTGTGCCAGTCACGGACGGGCCTTGTGGCTTCTTTTCTTTCACGGAAAGTCAGCTGCTCGGGACTGCCGCATGTCCCTCGCAGCACCAGTCGCCGGCAGGTTGAGACGGGCCGCGCAGTGCCCTTTGTAACGTACATAGGCACGCAGTTGAGTGCTCATGAAGGATCTTGGTCCAGACTGATTGAACATTCGAAACCGCTGCCAATATAGATTAATTATGAACAGGGTCGCTCATACGTACGTGTAAATGTAGAGCCCTTGGCGGCGCTACGTACCCCTAACAGAATGGAGTTGATGGACCTCTTCTTCCGCCCTTGGATTTTCAGGGGCTCGGGGACGGGATGACGATGCCCAACGTGGACTCGCGTATCACGTGCATCGCCGCCAATCGCTTGTTTCACATGGTGAGGAGAATCTCAGAGTAATACTGGCTGTTGATCTTAGGCTTCGAGCCACACACAGTTGTCGTAATACTCGAGCACAAAGGTACGTACTCAAGGTAGCTACGCCTCAATCACCCTCAATTTCGATGACTCTGTGATGAACCGAGTACGTTTCTACGTACTTATAGATTGCCTCGGTACAGGGTAGTATCGAACCAAGGGGTCGACTGATATGTGCGAATGATGTCTGTCAGACTACCTACTTTCAATTGTCGTGACCGTTAGTTCCGAGTCCTTCATCAGTCGAATGGATGAGCAAGATGCAAGATGCATCTCGCATACTACGTAGCTCGGGATAGCAAGATAAAAACGTATCGCAGCAGTAGGTGGAGTCTTAGATCATATGAAGTCAAACGCAAATCTTGGCGACTACGTTGAATATTTCTCGTCTATTAACAGGTGGTATCAGTCATTGCTCTTTCAGAAGAGCTGCATATTTCGTGAGCGTTCATGAAAGCACGCAAGTCCTGAATGCTCGCGCAGAACAACAGCCGACCATTTTGTGATGGCTTCTGGTTGTCCAGTCTTCTACAGCCATCCTAACGCCCAAGTCATTGTCCCGTTTTTCGTCCAAGCAATAAATAAATAAATCACAAGCGGCTATAGCCTCTCATACACATCGTTTCAGCAGCGGCGGCGCCCACGCTGGGGAGTGTCCAACTATTTGACGCCAGGCGGCGGCGGGTAGACGTGGTTCTCAGGCTGATACGCGTTGGGCGGGCTCTGCAAACCATTCTGGTCGGGATAGTTCTGGTTGCCATAGTACCCGTCCTGAGCATATGCAGTTCCGCTGTTCTGGGGCTGGTGAGGAGGCTGTCCGTACGCAGGTGGAGGTGGCTGCGCCCATTGTCCCTGGTTGTGTCCCCAGCCATGCACGGCATGGCCAAGTTGGTGGTCGTTCTGGTGCGCACCGTACTTGGGAGGAGGAGCCATCCAGCCAGTGCCGTACACGGGCTTCGTCCCGCGCTTGCGACGGCGACGGGCGAGGCAGCTGAAGCGATGGGTTAGCAGAGAGCGCGGACCAAGTGGTGGGGAACTCGGCAATGAGACATACCAGCAGCTCAATAGCACGAGCAAAAAGACGAAAAGCGCGACGCCGGCGAGAACCCAGCGTCCATAGTAGTACCAGCCCGACTCGCAGAATCGCTGGCCATGGCGATTCGTCCAACAGCGTTCGCGCTTCTGAAGGTGATTGACGATACTCTCGCCGTCCATGATGAGCTCGCTACTGTTGCGCAGTAATTCCGAAAAGACGCGTAGTAGAGTGTAGAGAGTCGTGTTGTTGTTAACGTTGATAGGACGGGAGGGGATGATGGACTGGAGAGAATGGAGGCTTGGAGGAGTCTGGGGGATGGAAATGAAAAGCGTTGGAATTTGGGTTGCAGCTGCTACCCGGATTTCCAAGGTTGTTACGCGGCGACCGGACTCCAGTCGCCGCTTTGTCTGGAACGTCGCGCTGCCGGTGCGATGATGACGTGGACGCCAAGGGTCCGCTAGCAGGAGGACTGGGACAGATGATGACTGTATAACTCTAGAATGGCCTGTTTTGCTACTTTCTCGTACTCGTCGCACCGTTTTCCCGGGGCTAGGATTTCCGTTCATCAAATGAGAGCCTACTCCTGTCTCTCAGATACATGATCTTGAAGGCAAGGCAAGCTGGGCATTGTGTGCTTGCAATCGTTTTGCCTGCGTGTGGGCGATGGGCCTAGCGTCTCGGCAGCTGGGGCCTTGCAGGTCCCTACTTCAGGCCTTGACAAGCTTCACAAAGGCTGTGGCTGAGTCGAGGCTCAGCCCAGTCACATGGAAGCACAGCCTGAACACCATGACGCTTGTATCAAGATGGCAAATGCAGGAAAGTGCCCCCTAACCATAGCCTTTTCAACACACGATGATATGCAAAGGACCTTTTGCTCTCTGCCGTCAATTGTTTGGAATCTCTCCAATTTGCTAAACGGGCATGGGGATGCAAATGTCATATCAAAAAAATTAAGGTTGTGGCAGATCTTTTCGGTGCCGACATGGAGCCACTCGACGACCACTCGCCAAGCTGATACCTTGAGCTATCCAAGAGGTCCGAAGTCGACCACCGTGCGCAGACAAGCGGGATTCTTGCAAGCCAAGGACGACCAAAGAGAGTACCATGAATTAGTCTTGACTTGGACGTACGTAACAGAACTTCTCACGACAACTTAGGGTCAAAACCCGGGGTTACTCCAGTGGGTTTTAGTGATCGTAGTCTGTACTCTGTAGAGCTTTGCCCCACGATCCACCTGCGCAGCGTAGGATACTCCTTGTAGCTGCGTGGAGTCCATGGAATGGACTACCATTAATATCATGTAAGTGGGGCTACAGGCTGGACTCACGTCACGGATCCCGCGGACCATGAGAAAGCCGCGGTTTATCTAGCGGTGGAATGATAATTAATACGCTTGTCGCAATACTGCTCCGTGTACGGTCTGATCCGATAACATGTTCTGCCAAGCTGTGTGGACTAGAACGCTCAGTACCTTGACTAGCCCCCTCCCGATGCCCCTCACGCTGACGAGTTCCGAGCTCCGCAGGACGCTCACTGTCACAAACATCATGTGTATTACCACCCCTTCGCCTCGCATTGTCGAAATCCCGAGCGCCTAACTCCGTACTAGCCTCCAGGGTCATCCTTTGGTGGCTTGAGGCCCCGTCTCCGTTTGCCGAGCCGGGGACGATACCTCGCTGGCATCTTCCCGAAATGCCCAAGGCGTGTTGGGATTGGTTGAAGATCGCGTGATGTAATCTTAGGAAAGACCGTGTGACTGCTGAACAGACAGACCTGATCAACGAAGCCATGTAAACTCCATCGCTGAGCTCACCCAAAATCATCACTTTTTCGCGTCCATCCATCCAGAACGCCAACGCATAATTCTCAAAACACCAATTCCATTCTGACTCCATCCATCATTATTTTCGTCGCTGTTCCATTCAGTCGTGGTGAAACGCGTAAAGAGGTCGTCATCGTTGGAAGGTGGATGCCTACAAGCCTGGCTTGGGGAACGAGTAGCGGTTCTTGCGCAGCTGATCCGCCGCCTTGGCCTGACGCTCGGCCGCTTGGTGAGCTTGCTGTTTCGCAGCTAGCGAGTTAATCTTCTCGCGAGCCCTGTTGAGGCTCATATTGTCCTGCTGCTTCAGCTTGGCCCGGATGTCGTAGAGGGCCATGAGCGTTGAGGCGCGTTCTAGGTCGTCATCGAGGCGACGCTGCAAATGGTGTAAGCTATCAATACTACCTGCATGAGAGCTTGCCGACATACCTCAGGCTCACCGTGTCGTGGGGTGCCAGGTGCCGTGTTGGCATTGGAATGGCTTGGCGGGGTGATCATAATGCGACGACCGAACTTGTCCACTTTCATTCCATCACTGGACCAGGCGCGCTGAAGTGCTGATGATGGTCGGGGGGGCTTCAGCTGCTGGTTCGTGGGAGCGCTTGGGGATTCGTGAATATCGGTTGGTGCCGCTTTGTGGGCGCTGACAATGGCGGCGGCAGCTTCGGGCTCCTGGAAAGCGTCAATAGGCATCAGGCAAGGGACACATTGCACGTACAGCCGCGCCGAGGTTGCTCAGGTCGGCGAGGACCATGGAAAGCTGGAGTGTTTCCATTGTGACGGCGAAAGTGGTGATATGGTCTTCTGTTGGGGACAGCGCGCGGCTCTGTGCGAAATTGCACTGATTGCCGCTATAGGTCTGCTCCTTGGAGCAAGCACATCGACCAAAGATAATGTCGGATGGCCGCTTCCAGCAACGTGTTCAGTCGAGCGTTGTGATCGGCTTTGTCTTGGTCTACCGTTGAGCTCGTTCGTGGTGCGTGCGCAGCGAGAGTGAATGTGCTGTTGGAGGTACTAATTAGCGATGCTGGCTGGGTTCTGTGATGAAATGATGGCGAATCCAGATCCAGGAATTTCATTGCCAAGAGCTGCTGCCTTTGCTCTGTGGAGCCAAGACAGATGCTAGCGGATGCTGTCGACCGGCCGGGCTAGACGAAGCGGGGCCGAGAGTGGGGTGGATAGGGCAGGTAATTAAGCAGGCAGACAGTGTGGTTTTGTTCTTCGTCAAATATTGTAATGAATAAATGAGAACAAAGCACCTAAGCCAGAGGTAGTACCTTAGGAAAAGGGCAGATGGAACGAAGAAAAAGACTGCAAGGAACTGTGGCAAGCAGGTGGCAATGGTCCAGGTGGTGTGCACCATACCGCCCCGAAAGAGGCGACATTCGTCCCGGTAAGGCAGGCGCAACTTCCCTCGCGTATCATATCACGCACCACCATCATGGAACCCGGGGCGATTTGTACCTCTTGACGCTCCGGTCACTGATCAATTCTCGTAAGCCTGCAGGGACTGGACTCACTGGACTCACTGGAGCCCCCAAACTATTCCCCCACACCCCGTTCTACCACCATGACGGGGTCACAAGACGTGCAGGTGCATGGCAACGTGCATCGACCCTTGGGGGTGCATTTCTCCTCATGCACGGACGGCACACGATGGCACGATTACGCTCTTAGTCGTATAAGTCATCCTTCACCGACAATGTGCCTCAAGCCACCGGTGAGGGCCCGGCAACTTCCATGGTTCCCCGGAGCCCGGACGATCCTCTTTGTCAGATCCAGTCTTTGATCAATCTTAAGTTTGTGCCGTATGCTCAGGCTACTGCGCGCATGCGCACGCTGAAGATTCTAAACCAGGCATACAGGCGACATTGTTAGACTTGTGGTTTGCCCTCACACTATACGTATCTCATATTGTCAAATTCTAGACTGGAATTGACTAGCTGGCATTGAGATGAGTGTTAACAGGGAGAATAAACACACAGTGGACATGACGTTAATGAATTCGATCAGCTTCCCAAGGGTTGCGGCGGACACTGGTTGAAAAGAAGCTGTCCCTACATGTACACATAGATAATTATACCACGATTGCATCTTTACAGAAACCCTTTCCTTTGAGTATCAGACTCATCCGCGTCCTTCCACAAGGACTTTTGCGCCCAAGATGTGCGAATATGGACGTGTCGGCTGCGCCGAATGCGCGGCGATTATCCTCACGGCAGAAGGTCACTGCAAGTACCCAGAAGACTGTCCGTCCGAGCCAGCTTCAAGACCATGCTGGAGCACCAGGGGCTTTGCGGCTCTTGCCGGATGAAGAAGAAGCGAGGAAACATCGTGTTCCAGGTCGTCCTTGATTCAAAAGGATTATGTGTGCACACCTCTGCCTCAGCGCGCAAGGTTGGATGGCGACGGTTCGTGAACGGCATCAAAAGGAAATTCAAAGACGTACGCGGTAGCCCTCTCACCGAGGCCAAGAAGCTGATCTGGGCCACAGGAGGACTATTGATAGAGGCCAGTGACTGGGGGGACTTCACGACCTCGGTCCGGAGTTCGCTGACGTCCAACTTCACGGCCAAGGGCACGGGACAGCATCGGAATCTACTCGAAATAGCTGCTCTCCAAGAGGCCAATGCAAGAGCCAGAGAAACCTACCCACGCCTTGATGGAGCAGGTCTCTCCACCACCTTGGCATACAAGCACCTTCCAGAGAGGCCCTCGAGACGGAAGAATCAGAGCACTGGACGTAGTGATGCCGTTGCTGTTCAGCGCCCAACACATTCGACTTCGAGGCAATCTGAGGCACCGCTGTTTGGACCAACTCGGGCTACGGAATGTTCAGCTACCTTGGCGACTTTGACGAGCGCCAGCATCACTCAATTGCAACCGCCGTTGTTGCCAAACGACACTTTCGACAATATTGAGCGAAACATACGCCGGAGTAGATCGAACGAGGAGGCTGGCTCGTATCTTGTCGCCTGATTGCGCCAGGGTGGTGCATCTATCTTTCATTTCTTGTTAGAGTCTTCTAGTATAGAACTCGTTCGTCCCCTTTCGAATATTTGAATTCTCATTTCTCAAAATGGTCAAAGAGCCAATTTACTTGTCCTGGGATGCTACGGCGGCAGCCATCGATCGTTTACTGGACTAGAAAAAGGTGTCGTCAGATCTGTTGTCGCTGTAGCATGTGTGTGCGAAGACGAGGCTTGACTGCTGTTGATATCGATAGAGGTCTCATCTCGATATCGCTCGGCAGGTGATCCGTCCCAGTCCCGTCTCAATCTCACCCAACACGAAAATGGGGAACAACACGGCCTGTGTTTCATTCCACAACGACGCACCCTTGTGGTCGCAGTAAGCCGACAACATGACCACAGCTCGCGGCCACCCAGGCGTCGGCTCAAGAACTTGTTCAACTACAATCTGGAGACTTCCTGGCAAGTCTAAAGCGCACGTGCTCATCGTGCTCTTGGCCCAACCTCCATCCGCAGGGACCTGCGACCACATGGGCTTGTGCTCCACTCTGATTCGCCAGCCCGACCACAATGCCAGAGGGAGCACGCGACCATTTGCTCGATGATGCTTGGTCAATTGGTCCCCTGGGACCAGAGTCAGTCGAGGCGTGCTATCCTCAGTTCGTGGAGGGGTGCTGGGCCTGGACGACGGGTGCCATGGCACGATGATACCTTGGTGTGGTCGTGGCGGCCCTGCTCTCTGGCATGTCCTCTTCCTCTTCAGCGTGTGGTTGTCAACTCTCGTTGCTCAGTCTTGCATCTCCGTTACCAGTCCGCACATACAGACAGACATATAGCTGTTGGTGAACCCAGCAACCCCGGCTTAGCTACGCCGGTTCGCCGACCAACACGATAACACGGCGCTCTCAACCATTCTGAACTCCAGGCTCAGCGCCTCATCAACGACGAGAACGTGCCGATCTGTACATATTTGGGACGAGTATCATCTCAATTACTTTAATTTTTGTATCGTCAACCATGCCTCGTCCAAACTTGCCGCCAACGCCAGGCTCGTCGACAGATATCAATGGCAGCGACGGTACGCACGCCCTGGCACCTCTGCACATGTCTTTCGAACTCCCTCCACCTGCAATCCACGATGGCTCCAGGATATCACCTGTCGACAATGGCAAGCATTCATCTTCGCCGACAGGATCCACAGCTTATCGCATGCAAGCTGCGGAGACCGTCAAGTCGAGGAGACGGTCGTCTGCTGCTGCTGCGACTGCCACTGTTGGCACTGGGAGCGGGAACTTTGCACTGCCGCCTCCGCCGACGAGGTCAAGAAAGATCATCCAAATGAAGCCTCCCGTGGAAGAGGTCCCCGATGACAACGGCGCAAGTACTACAAATACGACAGCGAAAGGTAAGGCTTCAAAAGCCAGCATACAGCAGACCACCAAGGGCGCTGCAAGCACCGCCAAAGCCTCAGGTCCAGGCGAGGTGCCACAGTCACAGGGCGGCAAGAAGAAGCAGCCCAGTGCAACGAGTGCGGCAGGGCGGAAGATTGCAAGGAAGACGGCGCATAGCTTGATCGAGCGCAGGAGACGAAGCAAGATGAATGAGGAGTTTGCCCTGTTGAAGAGCATGATTCCGGCATGCACAGGTGAGATGCACAAGCTCGCAATTCTGCAGGTATGTCTAAGCGCCATCCGTGTACCGCTTGCTTGCGACTGACGTTCTAGGCCTCGATCGAGTATGTTCGATATCTGGAGGATTGTGTCTCCAAGCTCCAGGTTCAGCACGAGAACGACCAGACCCGCGCTCAGCTACCCTCTATCCGGGAGTTCCACCCTACTTTCCGCGAGGATGACACGGCCGATGTGGAAATGACGGACTCGGATGCTGTCTCGCCGACATTCACAGCTCAGCCGGATCACAGCCACCCTGCGCACCTTCGTCACCCGTCAGCATCGCCAGCCCTTCATCCCCAGGATGCTCGGGGGAGACAACATTCCTACTCTTCCGTGTCGACGGCGGAGCATCAACGCCATTACAGCTACAGCACTGCGTCTGGTGCGACGTCGCCAGCCTTCGGTCCGACACAGGGAATTGGGTATGCACCGAGCAACGCAGGCTCCGCGCTGACGAGTCCTGCGTTGAACCCGCAGTCAGATCTCGACCAGGAAGCGACGGCAGCACTGCTCATGCTGAACAACGATCGGAGGGGTTACACCACAGATGGCCGTCGGACGGTCTCTGTTAGAGATCTGCTCACACCATAATGTCTTATTGGCTGGCGTTTTGCTGGAGGCTTCAGAAAGGGATACAGGGACTTCATTAGTATATTGTGCGAATACTCGTACCAGCGGCGGCGTCTGGGGCTATTCCTATTTACTTATTTCCGGGGCAACATTCTTGAGTACACTTACTTTCGGGGCAACATTCTTGAGTACAATGTAATATTTACCTCAGTGAGTTCTCAGTGAACATGGACTGTCGCAGTCAATGCACGGAGCTATGGGAGCAAGCCAGCAAGACACTGCACTCGCTTCGAGCACGTTCTCCTCTGCTCAGTAAGCCCTCTCGAACCGGCGATGCAAACTGATACGTGTGCAGCATCAGACCGTCCGGTTCGCGGGTCATGTAGCAAGTTCCGTCGATAGCTCTGTCCGTGGAGCTTTACTCCTTCGACCTCCCTAAGCTTGCAATGTTCTCGTGCGAGTCCTTGACCAAGAAACTGTGCTGTCAGCACATGGAATGTGAGCTGTCATAAGGCCAAACCTACTTATACCACAGCACGGTTGGCCCGATTGTCATCAAATGCCACAAGCTGTGGGCGTCGACGCAGCCTAGCCACGGCGGAAAGTCAAACAGCTCCATGCTCATGCCAAGCATTATCCATGCCACAGCAAGACCAGGCCAAGTGGTCCAAAAGCGCTTGGATTTGCGGTACTTGTCTATACTGAACCAAGTCCAAAGCACGTTCTGCACCATGCCAACAGCCACATTTGCCGCCATGTTGTAAGTGTAATCCCATCGTATCCCCTTGAGGTAGCCGATATGCATCATGTATAGTAGCAGGCAAAGAAGCGACCACGCGCGGAGCACAGACCGTCGACGGGGACTTGGGATGTCGAGACGGAAGACCCGGACCGCTGACAGGTACGTCCCATACAGGACGTTTAGACCGGCAGCGAAGTAGTCCAGCTCTTCGGTCATCTGGAAGTCTCTCGAGTGGAAGATGGCACTAAACACCCAACTGGCAATGCCGACGTAGGCGAATCCTATGCAGAAGGGTCGGAGCGTGTAGGAGGCGGGGACTCGTTGGCGGAGCTTCCGCAGGCCATAGTAATGCGCGAACAAATTACCCAGCGAGAAGAGGACGCTAAAAGGCTCTTGCATGCCGAGGAAACGGTGAAAGGGCCATTTTCCGTGAAATTGAACGACAGGAAGGGAGGCGTCGAGGCGGCGGTTCGTGATGATGTGTTGGCAGGTATAGTCGCATTCGCTTGCGCAGTTCCAGAGCATGAAACGATGCAGTAGAGCTGCGATTGTTAGCCACGCGCTTTGGACGGGTCAAAAGGGGTCTCAAGCTCACGCATGGCAGTATGGGGTCCATTCGCGCCGCAGTTCTCTGTCTTGCAGACGGCGAGGCACTGCTTGAACTCGGGTAACCGATCGCCCTTGGAGGCGTGGACAGCGCAGGCGAACACGGCGATGAAAGCTAGCACCATTACAGGGCTCCACGGCCTTCCCACAACAGACGACATGGTGGCGGCATGGACAACACTGGTGTTGTGTAGGTGCCAGTGTCGTGTGCAACTAAGGAAGCTCGCAAAGAGCTTGGATGGAATCAAGGGTCCTCACGGACGGCGGACCGTACTTGTTGTGCTGCTGCGACCGAAATCCGGTCTGGTAGCTGGCAGTCGTATGGCCTACCCTAGACCATATCACTCGTGCTGAGGAATGCCCGTATCCCAGAGGTAGAAGCAGAAACAAATGTCGAATCAGATAAATTCTATGTCCTGGGGCATCATTTGAAGAGTATCCTGGCATTGACGAAAATCGGACATTGGCAATGCCGCTGTTTACGATCGTGAAGAAGCTCCCTGGGTACCTTGTGTGAATGACATTTATGCCAAGCATTATCATTATTCACACCAGAACACAGGGATATGCCCACCAGACAAGTGCTCGGAAAAGCAAACGAGCATTGCTTGCAGGACATCAGTGATTTCAATGGAGCATCGTGCTGGGAAACATCCCAATCAACTTATGATCAAAACTTCACGTCCACGCATGTACCTGTGCTACTATTTGGGGAATGCTGAGGCCGTTGCCGAGACAACGCCGTATGGCCCCACACGGAAGTACACACAGAGCCAAAATAATAGCCCATGTCGCCCTTCATCCTCTGGACTGATTATTCGACACGAAATATGAACACATCGACGCGCAGCTCCCCTTGAAAATTTGATTCTTGTTGCTTTTGAATGATGCCCTGAATCGAACGCGCATGTACACCTCACCATCGAATTAGCGACTGCACCAAAACACCATCACAACATCCCGACGCGTCCTGTCCAGATAGCGGTTGTCGAAAATGTCGACAGCATCACCAACACCAGCGCCCGCAGGCGTGGTACGAAGAACATCGCAACGCCAGGCATCCCTTCGACGACCACCTTCACGCATCTCGATTGCCAAGAATTCAGCCTTACCTGTCCCTGCAACTGCTCCCGAAGCACCAGCGGTTGCTCAACAGCTTGGTCAGCAACAACAATACGATAATGACAGTTCAGAGGATGAGATTCCCGTGCCTATGAAGCTCAGCGCCCTCACAAAAGCTCTGCTGAGCAATGGTGCGCCCATGCAACAACAACACGCGGCTCTGCCTTCGCCTCCTAGGACGAGACGGCAGACCAGCACGCTCAGTAGCTCGACCTCATCAGCGCGTGAAGGTCGCAGGCACCTGAGGTCAAGCAGTGTCCAAGCCGCTGAGCCCAAGAACGAGAAGCCTTCCAGCCCTGTTAGGGATCAAGAAAAGGAGATTTCCCAGCCGAGGAAACGCGTCGTTCGTCTCAGCCACACGCCTCAGAGTCTCGGTCAGGTCGGACCCAGCAAGCGACGTTCCACTTCCAACACTAGGTCCAATGCAAGGTCCTTGCCTCATTCGAGATCAGAGAGCAGGTCAGGTCACCGAGACGAATCTGCCGACGAGAAGCGTGACTACCATAAGGTCGACATCAACACGCCAGGGCAGCCCGAGCGCGTCGTTCGAATTGTTACAGGCTCTTCGGGCAAGCGCAGTCGACTGAGCTCCTCAGGACAGTATTCTGGCCGCCAGCATGACCGCTCCATGGCTGAAAAGTCGACTCTGGACGGTGATCATGCCGATGAAGATGATCCCGACGCTGTGGCACGAAATGCACCGCCCGTCAGTGTTGGCGGAATGGCCAATCCTCAGGGATCCATGCGGGTGAAACGAATTGGAAAAACGCCAGGGAGCTTCCTAAGCGGACCTGCGCGTCGTGGGAGGCGAAGACAGAGCGAAGAGGACGAGAACGGTGACGGTGAAAATGCCCTGCACGACCCGGAGGCGAGCGCGATGCGAGCTGAGGACCTGATGGTTTCCTCGTTTTATGGCGCTGAGTCTATGCGAGACTTCAACTCTGGCAGTCCTGTTAGTGGTAATGCTGCTTCGAGGGCCAGCCACCGCAGGCAGGCATCAAACGCTGACCTCCTGGGCTCCGTCCGGCGATCATCTGGCCTTCGAGAATTGGCGCATGAGCCGAACGGTGAAATCGTGATCCCTCAGTCGCGGCAGCGTCCTACCGTGCCATCAACAAACGATCAGGAAAATGCGGGCCTGGCGAGTTCCAAGCCTCCAAAACCACTGGATCTGTTAGGCGTCCAGCCGCTGAATGTCGAAGCCGGCGTGGCAAAGGCTTCGCCGGATAGGAAGCCGTTGGGTACTGTCGAAAGGAATACACCTCGTCGATCTGCACCCGCACCGCCTCCGAAGATGTCAGTGCTGGAAGCCGCCACCTCCAACGCGGGAGCGTCCACCACGACTCAGGCCAAGCAGCGCAGAAACGTACTCAAGGTCAATGGGAAATGCTACACCAGGCTCGACTGCTTGGGGCGTGGCGGCAGTGCCAAGGTGTACCGTGTGACGGCAGAGAACGGGAAAATGTTCGCCTTGAAGCGCGTGGCACTTGAGAATGCGGACCAGGCAACTATCACAGGATACCGTGGCGAGATTGATCTCCTGGGCAAGTTGAGCAATGTTGACCGCGTCATCAACCTGTTTGACCACGAGCTCAACTCGGAAAAACAAGTCCTTACTCTGGTGAGTGGACATTTTGAACCCAAATCATGTCGGTGACCTAACCTCTGCACAGCTCATGGAGATGGGTGAGCTGGATCTGAACACTCTCTTGAGGTCGAGGCAGAACCCGGAGAACGCCAAGTTTGATCCCGTCTTTGTTCGCTTCTACTGGAAGGAGATGCTGGAATGCCTCCAAGCGGTCCACCAGTGCGATATTGTCCACTCGGACCTGAAGCCTGCCAATTTTGTCCTCGTCCAAGGCCGCCTCAAGCTCATCGACTTTGGCATTGCCAACGCTATTCAGACTGACCAGACGGTGAACGTTCACCGCGAGAACCAGATCGGAACACCCAATTACATGTCGCCCGAATCGCTGCTCGACTCCAACAACCCCCGGGGAGGCCGTGTTGCAGGACGCCCAAAGCTGATGAAGCTCGGAAAGCCAAGTGATGTCTGGTCGCTGGGCTGCATCCTGTACCAAATGGTCTACGGCTTGCCTCCATTTGGCCACATTGCCAACCAGATGTCTCGCTGCCAGGCCATCATCAACTGGGACCACGCCATTGAGTACCCATCACGCGGAATGGGTGGTGCGCCCGTACCGCCCTCACTTATCCGGACGATGAAGCGCTGCTTGTACCGCGAACAGCACATGCGTCCGACGTGTGCAGAGCTTCTCAACGAGTCTGACCCGTTCCTGTATCCGGCTGAGCTCAGCGACAAGGCTACCCCGATCGACGAGGAGCTCCTTGCTAGGATCATCCATAGCGTCGTCAACCGGTGCAAAGAGCGAATGCCTACGGACGCTGAGGTGGCAAGCGCTTGGCCTCAAGCATACTGGGCGAGCGTGCGAAAAGCCACGGCTGGCCGCATGTAACGAGTCAACATGTATCAAAATCCTGTACGACTGAAGGCGGGAGAAGGAGATGGAAGGAGATGAAAGGAGATTGAAGACGTTCACGACAATCGACGACCCTGGTGGTGGAAGAGCCAGCATTCACATTCAGAGCTTGGTGTTGGGGAGTTTCCTTTTTCTTGTCGGTTCTTGGGCGATCACTTTTACTACGCCCAAACATAGGCGATATTCCCCCATTGTATGCTTTCCTGTTTCAAAACCGCAGAGTCCAGATAGTAGGGCTTGGTATGCTTGGATAATCTTTGTCATTCGTTTGAATACCAGGCCTCAACAAGCGATTATTTATAAGATGATATGCTTCTCTCAATTGCAATGCCCAATGATCCTACTTATACAGTTATTCGGAGCGTCCGACTTGTCGTATCTGCACGACAAAACCCGAAGAGCTCCTTTCTTTTGTACACTTTTGTCGTACCATCCCTGACATTACAGCTCCACATCATCCGCGTTCTTGATGTTCAGCTCCGATATCCTCAAGATTGTGTAGCGGTGCTTGCTGTGCACGCGCCTCGCCCGCCTCTGCCTCCTCTTCTTCTTGATTTTGATCCGCAGCGGTTCGCTCTCCGTCCCCGTGACTGTGGCTCGGCACTCAAACACCCTCTCGTCAATGTGAGGTGCTCCCTTCATGGTGTAATCCCTGCTACCGATGACGCTGGCGCGGTTCAACCGGAGCACGTCACCGGGCAAAACACCCGGCATGCGGAATGGAAGACGGATCTCGTCGCCTTCTTGAACGAGGTACGGGAACCCGTGGATGTGGACGGTGATGTAGTGACCGGGCTGTGCGGCGAGGAAGGGCAGGAGGTTGCGCACAGAGTCCTCAATGGGCGCCGGCGGCGGGGCCGGGTGCGACTTTTTGAAGGCGAGCGGTCGGACATGGTGCGCGGTAGGGTTGACGGCGTTCTTGACGTGCTGCTGCTGCTCCGGTGGCACGGGCTCGACGATGGGCGCTGTGGTGTTGAAGGCGCGGGCCAGCAGCAAAGGCGTCGTCGCCAGGCGGATGGACGGCGGGACAATGGCACCACGCAGCGCCGGCGCGGCGGAGCGAAGGAGTGTCCTGCTCATGTTGGAGCGCAAAGGGTGCACGCGATTGGGGTGGTGTATCTTGTTGGATGGGAATCCCCCCAGGCGCGTGTATGCAACTTTTCTGGGCTGGACCGGACAAATGCTTTGGAGATCCACCGGGTAATTGTCGGCCACGAATGCGGCATCAGCCACAAGTCACAAGGTCACTCGAGCATTCATTTCTTGTGACCTGGTACTTTAATTGCTTAATAGACTCCTAATACTCTAGACGTCTACTGCTGATTCAGCGAGGATCCATTTCGTGCATTTTCCGAGATGGTATCATTCATATCGATTCATCATCACGCCCCTTTTGTAGTCTATCACGCAAATGAAGATGCCACGCCGGGCATCCCTTGTCCGAAAACTGCGAAATCACGGCCATGCACACGCCACCCACGTAGTCTAGCACATCCTGTACGTGCACTGTCCCGACGAATTGCGTTTCTCGTCACCCGTCTCCAACTTGTACTGCACTGCAATGTCCAGGTCGCGGCGGTTCTTCTCATTGGGCTTCACCTCGAGGTCGCACTCAATGACCTCGCCATCCTGCACGGTCAGGACATCCCGGAAGTACAGGACAGTCTGTTTCCAGTGGGTGTACTTGGTGTGGGGGCCCGTCGAGAAGCGGATGGGCTTGTGGCAGGCTGTAAAGTCAATGTCGAACCAGGAGACGAGGGCATGCACAAAGTCGTCGCGCTTCACGGGGAGCTTGAAGGACGTGTTGAAGGCGAGGTCCGCCGTGGTGCAGGTGTACAGGTCCAGCGTGAGGACGGGGATAGGATCGGTGACAACCGTCTTGACGTCCACGGTGTCGACGAGGGGTTCCGAGAGGGCGGTATCCTTGAGCGGGGTGTAGTCGAAGCCGTACACATTGTCCCAGAAGCCAATCTTCTCGTCCTTGTAGTCGCCGTCCTCAATGCCCGCAAAGAAGATGGTCGCCTTGTCGGGGAAGATGAGGCCGTCCTTCTGCAGGTAGGTGTCGCGTGCGTACAGCACGGTGTCCAGCATGGATTCGTAGAGGAGGAAGTAGCCCATCCACTCAGAGATGATAATGTCGACCTTGGGGAACGGCATGTCAATCTCCTCCATCTTGCCCTGGATCAGGGTGATCTTGTCGGACAGACCATTGGCATCAACAATCTCGCGAGCCTTGAAGATGATGGTTGACATGTCAACACCAATGACATGTTTCGCGCCAGCCTTAGCGGCAAACCTGGCATCGGTTGTTAGCGTTTGTTATCGTCGCGAGTCGTGGCAGATGTACATGGACAGGATGGCGGTACCGCAGCCCACGTCGAGAACGACCTTATCCTTAAAGATGTGCTTGTTCTGAACGATGGCATTCATGTACGACCGTGTGCGGACTTCATCTTTCTACCATATCAACCAGGTCAGCCGTGCTCCTCTACCGTGTGCTTGAACCACTCCGCTGCAGTGCTGTCTTGTTTGCGCGCTGGTGGGGGAGGGAGGGAGGGGAACGAACCAACATCTCCTCGTGGATGCCTGCACAAGCGAGCAAACATGGTTAGTGAAGTTCAATCTCGTCGCGTCTATCGTCCAGTATCGTACCATGGTGATCATAGCTGGGTGGTCCTGTTAGCGTTGTGTTTGCCCAAGTTCATCGCATTCTCCCACGACAAGTGGGGGGTGGGTTGAGGTGAGGTTTACCTCTTGAAGTAGTGCTGCTCACTGTGCTCCATAGTCTTCATCTTCTGCTCGGCAGCCTCGACGTCCATCTTGTCGCCGCTCATCTTGTCGGTTCTGAAAAAGAAATTGTTGGGGTGAAATTGGGGAGAAGTGCAACCTGAAAGTATGCAGAACAGACAGATCTTTGGACAAGTCCCTGGATCGATGTGAGCACAAGTGGCTGCGCCGGCGGGCTGTGGGTCCGACTATTTTCATCAGGCAGAAAAAAAGAAATTCTGCCATCACCGCCTTTGGACCCTGTCGCATCTCCTAGGTACGTGTACGTGTAGATCCGGCCGGGACTGACTCGCAGATCATACGACACCATATTATCACTGACCGAATCTGCTCGCACGGATAGGCCCTGCAAATTTGGGTTATGCCTTAAAGTTGGACGACAGCAACACACGATGTGTTTGGGGGCTCCAGTTTATATATCAATGTACTCAACCTGCGTGCTTTTCTTTCCAGCCTTCCGTATCTTGTCTCATGATCTCATGTATCGTCGCAGAGCTGGCTGTCTGGCGCAGGTCTGGCGCAGTATGCTATGTTCATGGCAACGTAGCTATCCATAATCCAATGCGAGAGAAATCATTTCCATTGCTACCCAACTCCATTCACCATTTTGTGCGCTCGTGGGTCGAGCACTGAGCCTTTCTGGCTTTGCTCGCCGCGTTTGTCTCGCCCGCTCGCTCAAGGCGATCCACACTTCTTGATCACATCAGCAACGTGCTTCGCCAGCTCATCAGCCTCAGAGCGTGTCGCCGCCTCGGCATACACACGGCAGGCGTTTTCAGTGCCGCTGGCACGCGCAAAAGAGCGGGCATTGGTGTACTTCTTGACAAAGCTGTCAATTTCCTCCTGCGCGCCCGTTGGAGCGCTCAACCTGCGCTCGGCGTCCGTGGTCTCGAAAAGATCTTTGTCTCCCACCTCGACACGGACGAGTCGGTTCGGCAGGTCGTTGTACGTATTGGCCCAATCCTTCAGGGTCCAGCCTTTGTGGGCAAGAATGACCTCGACCATGAGCATGTCGGAGATCGCATCCCCAACGGTCTGGTTGATCAGATCAGCAATGGCTGCGAGAGTCTCGAGAGCCTCCTTTTGTGCGGGAGACTGGGGCTCTTTCTCGGTAAACAGGCGGATGGCCTCTTGGGAGAAGACGACTGTGCCATGCCCATTGGCCTCAAAGTAAACGCCAATGTCAAACTGACAAGCGGCGTGGTGGAGATGCTTGACACCAGTGGGCGTAAAGACGACGGGCAGCTTGAGGTGCTTCTCAATGTAGGCTGTGCTCGCGCCGTTGGCGTACGCAGTCTGGACAACGCCGATGCGGAGTTCGTCCTCGAGACCAGCCTCGCGGACAAGCCCGCCAATGAAGGAGGCGTTCAGAGACGAGATGCGATCTCCATCAAGCATGAAGAAACCAGTGTCTGGGTCGATCCAGTAGTAAATCAAGCGGTCAGCATCACCATCAAGGGAGCAAATGCGGTTTCCGGGGACGGGTGTCGGCTTTGGAGGAGCGCGCTGCCTTGTCTTGACGTAGTCTGCGCCAGCCTTAAATTGATCCTTAGTGACCCGCTTGAGAAAGATAGCACGAAAAACTTACATCTAAATTCAAGACCTCTGGCCTCAGAACATCATCGTTCACAACCTTGACGTTGATCACGTCCTTGGGAATGACCTTGAGAAGCTCTGACAGTTCAGGGCCACCGACACCGTTGGCGCAGTCAACTGTCAGCTGGCCCTCAATCTTGCGGCCTCCCAGCGCGCGAACCAGCGCATCGGACATCTTCTTGTTGTAGCCAGCTTTGCTGACCTCGCCGTATGACTTGGGTGTACCCTCGGTGTTGATGCAACGGACGAGATAGTGGAGCTGCGGTGTTGTGACACGCTTGTAATCGGTATACTCGATATCGATGGCCTCGCAGGCATCAGCCAGCGCTGCGGCGAGGCCGTGACCGGAAGGTCGTGTGTCGCGACCGCAAATGACACGGCCAGGCGTGGACAGATCGACCTTGAGCTGGGCGGCGAGCGACCTGTAGGTATCGAGAAGCTCCTGGTCAGAGGCGCAGTTGACGAGCTTCGTAGCGTGGGCCTCCCAATCCTGCTCGAGCATCTCGCCCATGGGATCGACAATCTTGACGCCATTGTCAACAGCCGGATTGTGGCTAGCCGTGATCATGACACCAATCGCCTGGCCGTTGAGGCGACGACTGCGCAGACCAGAGAGCAAGCCGACGCGGAAGGCAACACCGTCGAGCAGGTCGGCCTTCATGCGGAAGCCAGCGGTACCATATTTGTACGCATGGTTGGGTACAATGGGGTGCTTAGCCGAAGCCGCGAGGATTTTATCGTCCATGATATGCGTAGGCAGCTGATGAAGGTGTTGGCGTCAACTGTAGGGAAGAAGCGGTGTCCAAAGATGACAAGAAGTGGGATTGGAAACACAGAGGTACACAAACAGTGCGAGAGGCTGCGGACAATAAGTACTAGCCTATCCTGCTCGAGTGTGGAGTTCGGGATTTCTAAATTACTTGACCAACCTCATCGGATTTTGAGGCTACACACATCACGTTCCATATTTCAGGCTGCCTTTCATCGCCTCTACACGATGCGGGCGAGACGCCACTCGGTGTGGTACATTCCCTTCCGACCTCATAGCCCCTACAGGAGCTCACGGTAAGCACTACTTGAATACGAAGGGGAAAGGGAAGCCAAGAACATGATCTGGTATCTCGAGACCCAAGCGAGGGAATGAGGGGTCCAACAAGGCTTCCAGAGCATTTTGCCCCGCCAACGACGGGCAAGGTTGACATGCAGATACTGCCCGTTAACCCAGAAGGGACTAGCCGAACACCGCTGGAGCGTCATCTTGCTGCACGAGAACACTGCCCCGTGCTTGCCGGCTGACAGCTGCCCACAGTCGATCCACTATTATAGTCACGTGCTGACGTGTCAAGGTTCGTTTGGCTGACGCTTCTGTTTCTGTGGTGAAGAGCCGACGCGTCTGCGCCAGTCGCCAACTGATAACCACTACGTACTGCCTTGGCTTGAGACCTGTCGATCTTGGAAGCCCAAAAACCAAACGAAACCCCCGGTTGCGGCGTGGCTATCCGGTTAGCCTACATGGCGCAGACCCATCAACCCTCATCGTCAGCATTCACTGCTGCTCACACATGATGGCAGACTCTTCGGAGGTCCCGAACCCGCAGTTCCTGGCGTGGGTGGAGGAATGGGTCAACTCTGCTAAAGAGCGTAGTGCACACAGCCTGACAACATATAACCGCGCATATCACTCGCTCAAAGCCTGTCCAATCCGCTTCGAGCATCCGGCAGAGCTGGAGCAACTCAAAGGTTTCGGACCCAAGTTGTGTGCCAGGTTGACAGAGAAACTGCAGGCACATTGTAAGGATAATGGAACAGTTATGCCTGAGCATCCCAAGGCGAAGAAAGCGGCTGAAAAGGCCCGCCAGGTCCAGGAACAGGGTGATGGCGAACCGGTGGCCAAGAAGCCCAAAAAAGCCCGAGCTCCCAAACCATATGTACCAGCGTATAGGTCGGGCGCCTATGCACTCGTACTGGGGCTCTCGACCTTGGATGAAGACTCTCTCGCCGGGATGACAAAGGCAGAGCTGATCGAGGTGGCCGAACCTCATTGCGATGCTAGCTTCACTGCTCCCAGTGACCCTACCAAGTTCTACACGGCCTGGAACTCAATGAAGACGCTCATCCAGAAGGAGCTCGTCTTTGAGAGGGGCAGGCCCCTGCGCAGATATGCTCTGACTGACGATGGGTGGGAGGTGGCTCGCAGGACTAAGAAAACCAAGGAATTTAGCAAGGACAACGAGAGTCTGCCTCAAAGGGCGCGTGACGAGTCGGTTATGGAACCAGAACCCGCCACCGCCGTTCAGCAAGCCCCATCAGCACCGCCGGACATGTTCGAGCCAACCGAACCAAGTTCCTCTTATCAAAATATTGTGGCCGAGGGACAGGTCATCTCAAGTGACAATGCGCTTCCATCTTTTCTTCCGGTTCGAATCCCTCCAGGATCCTTCTCGGTCAAACTGTTGCTCGACATTCGCGAGGTCAGAGCAAAGACCGACCGAGACTACATGCAACAGGAGCTCGCAAAGCTTGGTGTGCCCCCAATCATGAGGGCTCTCGAGCTCGGGGACGCGCAGTGGATAGCAAAGTGTCATGATCCCGAGTTGCTCTCCAGGCACGGTCTGCAAGGCGACGAAATTGTCCTGGACTGGATCGTTGAACGCAAGCGCCTCGACGACCTGCTCTCCAGTATCAAAGATGGCCGCTTCCACGAGCAAAAGTTCCGCTTGAATCGCTCTGGTGTGAAAAAAGTCATCTACATCATTGAGCAAATTGCGATGGATCTCACTGAACAACAGGCGGACTCTATCAATACTGCCATCGCTTCGACGCAGGTGTCCAATGGCTATTTTGTCAAGAGAACTGAGAAAATGGATGACTCCATCAGGTACTTGGCCAAGATGACCTCGATACTTAAGAAGATATATGAGAAAAAGCCGATCAACATCATACCTACTCAAATCATCACGGCGAGGAACTACCTTCCGTTGCTGGGCTATTTACGCAGAAAAGAGCCGACCCTGAGCTACCACGTCACATACCCGGCTTTCGCGTCGCTAGCATCCAAGTCGGACATGATGACTCTGAAAGACATCTTTCTCAAGATGCTGATGACGACGAAGGGCGTCACAGGAGAGCGAGCGCTTGCCATCCAGGAACGATGGAAGACTCCCCACGACTTTGCCAAAGCCTTCGAGGCCTGCGGCACGGGAGCTGCGGGCCAAAAACGCAAGAGAGAATTTTTGCACCGTGAGATGGGGGACATGGTGGCTTCCAAGGCGGTTGGGAAAGAGTTGAGTTCCAAGATTGCCGAAGTATGGAGCGATATGTGAGAAGCATCCTACGTGCAGCCTCCTGTCGTTGTGTATTGTTATCCAACAGTCCTTCGCTACTGCGACCCCGTACCAGCGATGATCTGTTTCACGAGCTTCTCCAGCAGGGGAATGTTCGCTTGACCGCCCTCGGCGCCCAGCATACCGGCAACAGACTTCTCAGCGTACTTGGCCATCATGTCGACCTCAATATTGACGGATTCGCCGGCCTTCTTCTGAGCAACAACGACCTTCTCCTGGGTGTAGGTGATAAGCATCACCTCCCACCAGCCCTCCTGGTCGTTGACTTTGGTCACCGTTAAGCTTGTCCCGTCAATGGCGATGAAGCCCTTGAAGATAATGTATCGAAGAACCTCCTTGTCTCGGGGGTTGAAGCGAAACGTCAACGCGTTGCCGTCGGGTGTCACCGAGACGATCTCCGCCGTGGTGTCTACGTGGCCTTGGACAAAATGGCCACCCATGCGCGTATCCGCACGCACGGCACGCTCCAGATTGACGCTGCTAGAGACTGCAAGATCACCCAGGTTGGTGATCCGGAGAGTCTCGGGGGCAACGCCAATTGTGAAGGCGTCAGATGTGAAAGAAGTGACAGTCAGACAGCACCCATTAACAGAGATCGAGTCGCCTTCGTGGCAGTCCTTGAGAAGCCCTGACGAGTCGGGAATGGTGATTCTCATAGAGGTACCGCCGGTGCTGTCATTGTTGTTCAGCTCACTGATGGCTAGCAATTTGTCAGCGCGTGATGCGCAATATCAGCTGAGGGGAACGAACTTCCGATGTCTTCGACGATGCCGGTAAACATGATGGCGAAGTGAGGGAGTGCTGTGGTAATTCTGCAAGAGGAGGGTTTCAATGTGAGCTACCGGGGTATCCGAGTCTGAGTTTACGGGTTGAGCTGTGAACGAGACGAGTCGAGACGCTAACCTGCATATATTGAGGATACACCAACTATTATTCGAAGCTGTTCCTCAGGGGGCCGAAACCCGCGAATCCGATCGGCCTTCACCAACTGTCTCGAGTGCCCCGCGGTGGAGCTATGAATCATGTTCAAGATGGTCTTATCGATTGTCGGTCCCCGCTCAAAATTTTGTGACGATGCTGCTGGTTAGCAAGCTACCCTTTATAGGAGCCTCTCTGTTCAACACAATACTATTCTCAACGCGCTCGCTCAACTGACCTGACCATTGCTGCGACGCTTCCCGAAGAGAACTGAGGCAGTTTATCAAAACTTTTGTACTTCACGATCGTCAGCACGTACAATGGCGCCCAGTCGCCCCAACAAGGAAGCGAAGCCCTCTCCAAGCACCCTACTTTCGGATGCCGAAACCCTCCACACCGTCGGCAAACTTCAAGATGCGATCCCAGTTGCACAACAGGCACTTGAGCTGACCGGCTCCGGCGGCGACCACGAACTGCGGGCGCTCAATCTACTCGGGATCCTGCACATTGAGACAGGCGACACAGATGACGCGCGAAGCTTCTTTGCGCGAGCTGTAACACTCGATCCGGAGGGCACACTAGAAGAAAAAATTGGCGGTGGACCGGAAAAGTTCCTGTTCCTTGCACAATTGAGCGAGGAGGGAGGAAGTGACAGTGTCCAGTGGTTCGAGAAAGGTGCCTCCGCGCTGAGGAAACGGATACAGGCTCTGACTGACCTGCCAAGTCGGACACCCGAACAGACGGAGAAGCTCAGCACCACACAGAGTCATCTTGGCTCCGTGCTATGCTCTGTCACCGAGGTGTACATGACGGACTTGTCATGGGAAGAGGACGCGGAACAAAGGTGCGAGGCGCTGATCACAGAGGCGATGATGATCGCACCGAACAGTGCCGAGACATGGCAGACTGTTGCCAACGTCCGGATATCACAGGAACGCTACGATGACGCGAGGGGTGGTCTGAGGAAGAGCCTGGAACTATGGCAGGAGAAGGACCCTCTCGATCCCGCCGTGCCTGAATTTCCTGAGCGAATCAGCCTCGCTCGTCTGCTCCTGGAAGTCGAGATGGAAGAGGAAGCCCTCCGCGTCATTCAGCGCCTCACCTCAGATGACGATCAGAGCGTCGAGGCCTGGTACCTCGGAGGATGGTGCCTGTTCATCATTGGCGAGAAGATGCGCGATGGCAAGCACGACGCCCGCGCGAATGGAGAGGCGGACGAGTGGAAGTCTGTGTGGACATCCTCAAGACAATGGCTGGCCATGTGTCTCAAGCTCTACGAGGCACAGGAGTATGAAGACGAGAGGCTGGGACAACATGCAGTGGAGCTGTTCGAGAACATCAACAAAGAGCTGGGCCCGCCAAAAGAGGGAGAGACAGACGACTGGGATGATGCGAGCGGCGACGACGACGACGATGATCTGGACGAGGAGATGAAAGACTAGACCTGAACAGACGTGATCAAGATGCATCCCAAAAATATTACGGTACGCAATGTGGTGCAACAGTTATGGCGTCTGTGTGGCGGTTCCGGGCCATGACGTGATCTGTGACCCAAAGTACTACTCCCAACTCCAGACAATGCAATACTCTGACCATCCTTGTTATGCTTCTATGTTTACCTTTTGCATCTGCTCTGTAGGCGGCACACCACCTTCCTCCTCTTCGTCTCCGTCGTCCACCTTGCCCGCCAGACCCTGTTCCCAGAGCTGTCGTCCCGTCATCTTGGTGGGCTCCTTCACCTTGGCCTTCTTTAAGTCGGCCAACCTTTCCTCCTCTTCCCGAATGCGCTTCTCTTCCATCTCCTTCAAAAAACCAGCTCTCCATTTGAGGAAGGTCTCCGGTGTGACTTTGGTGCCTTCGAATTTCTTGTTCTCCTCCCGCTCAGCGGCGAGAGCTGCCTCCTCTCTCTCCGCCTCCGCCGCACCCTTCCTGTCAATGACAAGTTGCTCCGCAGCCTCCTTCAAGGCAGACACAATCGTGAAGATCATGGCCATACCCAGGTTCTCCTGTATTGTCTCGTCCAATCCGGCTAGCAATTGCTCCCTGTTCTCGCCCACGTTGAAGTCTGGATGCGAGGGTGCATTTGGCACGGTGTGAATCTCGAGGTCAGGGGCCACATCGGGATAGTCTGCTGGGTATTTGACATTGAGGGCAAACTTGGGCTGATCTTCTTCTTCCTCGTCGGGTATGTCCAGCGTCACAGTGACCTTGTATTCTGTCTCTGAGATGTCTGATGCAGTAGAGTGAGTGACGAAACCTCGACAGCGGGGGTTTGATTGGCAATGAGCATACCTGTGATCTCCTCGGGGAAAATGGACTCGAGCACTTCGCGCTCTTCTATCTGTTCTTCGCGACCCATGCTGAGTATATCTTTGCGTTAATTGGTGGAATGGCGCCGTCAAAAGATGGAAGTGAGCCAGCAGTTGGATGAGGTTCATGAGGTACTGCGACTTCACGTGGGTGGAGCGCCACAATGAGGGGCGGTTGACACAATGAAGCGGTCAATTTTATTGATGTAGTCACGCAACCTGATCCTATGCTTTCTGTCAACCTCGAGCAGCTCACGGAATCATCCTCCTGCCAAACACAATGAGAGTATTCAATCCACAGGATCAACAGAATCTTAGGCTGCCTCAATCCAGGAGTTACTATCCCCGCTACTATTCAGATCCTAGTAGTAAAATCTACAGTAATACGGTGCATCACTGCATTCCGTAGCGACCTCAATTCCGCCCGTGGGGCAGACCCGAACTGGCTTAGCTCAAAGGCCACCGCCCGGCAGAATCCAAAATTTCTGGACGATTTGTCGCCTTTCAGCCACCAGGGTCGCAGTCGTAGAATTTCCGGTGGCAGAGCAGGCCCGTTCCTCACCTTATCGACAACCACTACCTCGCCAACCCGACATATCAGAACACAATGGCGGCAAAGGCTGCTGGAATTGACAAGAAGCGCAAGGCGCCGTCCGCTGTCAAAGAGAAATCGAGTGGCAAGCCCAAGAAGCCCCGTGCTGAAGAAAGCCCAGCCGACGAGATGGACCTTGATGAAGAGGACTTTGAGGATTTCTCTGGTTCGGAGGACGGGGGTGCGAAGCTGGATGAGAGACCGGCAAAGAAAGGCAAAACAAGCGGTTCCAATGGCAAGAGCTTTGAACAAGGTATGTTCTACAGTCGACCTCTCGCAGCTATTGAGTACTGACGCCCCTCCCAGATGCCGGCCTGACATCGCGCGAAACCCATGCCAAACAGAAGCAACTAGCCCTCGAGCGCAAGGCCGCCAAGCCCCTTGCCGACGAAGTTCAGCGAACGAAGAAGATTTGGGAACGTTTGCGCATCAAGTCCAGTGTGCCCAAAGACGAGCGCCAGAAGCTAGTCGACGAGCTGTTCACCATCATCACCGGTCGCATGCGTGACTTTGTCCTCAAGCACGACGCTGTGCGCGCGGTGCAGACTGCCCTCAAGTATTCCGGCTCAACACAGAGGAAGCAGATCGCCATGGAGCTGCAAGGTGCGTACGCTCAATTGGCGGAGAGCAGATATGCCAAGTTCCTCATTGGCAAGCTGCTGGTCAACAATGACGACGAGATTCGCGACATGATCATCCCCGAGTTCTACGGCAGGGTCCGCAAGATGATCAACCACCCTGAGGCCTCGTGGATCTTGGACGACATCTACCGCACAGTGGCAACGAAGGAGCAGAAGGCCAGACTGTTGCGCGAGTGGTACGGTCCGGAATTTGTGATCAAGGAGATGGCCAATGATACGGAAGTCACTGCCGACCTGAAGAAGATTCTCGAGGCGGAACCGAGCAAACGGGGACACATCACCAAGAGTCTGTTCGACATGATCAACACACTCGTGCAGAAGAAGATGACTGGTTTCACCATGCTCCACGATGCGATGCTGCAGTACTTCCTCAACTCGACACCGGGCACGGAGGAGTTCAACGAGTTCTCGGAGATTGTCAAGGGCGATGAATCGGGCGATTTGCTTAAGAATCTGGCGTTTACAAAGTCCGGAACCCGTCTCACCTGCCTTTTACTGGCGTACGGCAGTGCAAAGGACAGGAAGCATCTGTTGAAGGCGTTCAAGGACACATTCCAGATGATGGCGGGCGACCAGTATGCCCACCTCGTCATCTTGACGGCCTTTGATGTCATCGACGACACAAAGCTCACCTCCAAGAGCATCTTCCCTGAGATTCTAGGCGAGGGTGGCGATGCACAAGTGCAGAATGTGCTAGAGGCCGTCCACAACCCATTCGCAAGGTCCACGATTCTCTACCTGCTCGAGGGCATGTCCAAGTCATTGTTCCCTGCTGGTCAGGCCTACGATGTCGAGGTCTTGAACGAAGTTCATGAAATTCGCAAGACAACAAGTAAGAAGGACCCCGAGGCCCGTCGACAGGAGCTCGTTGCCGCCTTCTCGCCTCAGCTGATCAGTGCTGTGGCTGCCACACCGCGCGAGCTCACCTCGTCAACATTCGGCTGCCAACTCGTCGCCGACGTGATGCTCTCCTGCGAGGGTGACAAGTCATCCGCCCTGGATGCCATTGCACAATGTGCCGAGGGTGCGCCGACGGCAGTAGTAGAGGGGGCCGATGATGTGGCGCCTCCTGTGCACATTTCACAGACCGCATTTGGCAGCCGGATGCTGAAGTCGCTCATTCAGGGAGGTCGATTCGACAAGGCCGCTGGGAAGGTGATCCTCGTCGAGCCACCGCTGAATTTCTCCGACACGTTGTATGCGGTGATCAAAGACCATGTCCTCGACTGGGCGACCGGGCCTGGCTCGTTCGTCATCGTCGGGCTCGTCGAGGCAAACGACTTTAGCGACAAGGAGGCGCTCAGGAAGGTGCTGAAGAAGAACAAGAGCATTCTGGAGAAGGCGGCGACTGAGGCAACAGCCGAGCAAAAGGCGGCAAAGGAGTCAGAGAAGAAGGAGGCCAAGTCAAAATCGAACAAGAAGGGAGCTAAGAAGGGGGAGAAGCCCGTTGGCAACATGGGCAGCAAGATCCTGTTGAAGGCGTTATAATGATCAGGGTTTTCCAAACGATGCATGAATAAATTTGTCACATCTACACCACGACGCCTATGTTGAAGCATCAAATTACCGCTGTGCGTGTGTGCTTTAGAGCACAGCAGAGAGGCTTAAACCCACCATGAAAATGCTGCCGCGCAAGGCATCGGCGCACGAAAACATGTCTGAGGATTTGAGAAGGCAAAGTATGTAGCACATTTTGAGCACGGAAGCCACACTGCAGTTTAATCGATCCACTCACGCCGTACACAGCAGCGCAGAATGGATACGATTCGTAACTCCTAGTCCAAGGAGCGATCACTGAACCGCGAGGCTAAGAAGCATACAATATTGGCCACAGTGACCAGTCTGCCTTTGATTGGTGTCACAAATAAGCAGCCTGCTAGATAGCAGCTTGTTCGAGCACTAGGATGAGATTGTTTAAGAAGACGCCTGTCTTGAGCGTCGTGGGTCGCTCATGTAGTGCGCCGACACTAGAAGGGACTACAAGTGACACAACATCGCCCTACCAGCTCATGAAGCAGCTCGCCACGCTGAGTCCTTTCAATCATTGACCAGGTTTCTTAATGAATTCGGCAGGAGAAGCACGCCGTATCATCTCAGTACGGTCAATCTTGTGGGTAGATGTCTTTGCCGGCTTCAAGTCTCTTGCATTGTACTCAATGCTGTGTACAACGCACTAGCCAGTCCATCCCATGGACTTTGCAGCCGGCAACTGAGCAGAACCTAAACGCGCGGGCGGCATGATACAGGACTTGGGTTGTCTGATCACAGCGTAGCTGGATTGGAGCCTCACTTTAGAGTGAGTGTTGGTGGTCATGGTACTGACATCGGACGATGACAACAGCTCCTGAGTTGCCCCCTTTTGCACCACCTTGTGAAGACTTTTCGTAACACAAGGGCTCTCTTCTTCATACCCTTGCTTGCTTCCTTCTTTGCCCATGTTGTCTGAAATTCTTCAGTTTCTCTTGAGTGCTGGCCACGCGCGCTGATCCAGCCGAATCGCAGCTGACGTTCTCAATTCCCCCTATCTGAAGACTCACTGAGGAGAATTCGAGCCCTTCATACGCCTGCCCCATCGTCACGATTCTTGGGCATTCCCAACAACTCATTCCACCCGCCCCAAGCATTCTGATTCTCCGAGACGCTCTTGTGTAGAGTTCCTCGATCAGACCAGATCCCAGGCTGCACACTATCAAACCTTCGCCATGGCTGCCATCGCTAACAGCGGCCTCGAGCAGCGGCAGATAATTACTGACCCTGCCGAGATCAGTGATTTCTTCAGAGACCCTTTCGGCAAAGAAAAGGCCACCAAGACGGAGGCTGCTTCTCAAGACGACGACAAAGAGGAAACGAAGACCGATAGCGAGGGTCAGGACACCGTTGTCACAGAGGGATCAACGATCACCGACAGTCTCATCACCAAGACCGACTCCGGGAGAACCATCACCGTGCCCAACAATGAGGTCGTCACCATCACCAGACACACGACCATCGTCACAAATCGACCACAATCCTCAAGCAACACAGGTTCTGATGCCACATCAGCAGCAACCGGTGCTATCACAGAAGGGCCGTCCGTAACTACAGGCTCTCCTTCAGAGACGCCACAACTCAACGAGTCCCACAACGTAGGCTTCCCAACGGGGGCCATTGTCGGCGTCGCCGTCGGTGGTGCATTTCTTGTAGCAGTGGTCGTGATTGCCCTCGTCGTTCTCAAAAGGCGTTCTCGCCGGCGTCAAGACGACACGCAGAGCTCGCTCAGCAGCAATGATCAGTATGAGCGTACAGACCGCTTCGACGACAAGCACTTCCCACAGCGTCAATTGTCAGCCCATACTGCCCATACTGCCCAAACTACGGCCACTGGCGCAGGTGACCCGTTTGCTCCCTTTGGAGGTAAGCAATGCTTCGCAAGTAGGCTAGGCCTGTACTGACATGTGAAAAGGTCGGGTTGACAAAGACTCGGAGTACCCGATCCGCCCGCAAAGCAATACCTTCGAGATGGACGCCACGACCGCTGTAGCTGCGGAACTGCCAGACTCGAGTGCATTTGCGGCCAGCCCGACAACGACTGTGCGTGCTCCAGTGTCAGTTGAGCCTGCTACCCCTGCTCAATCGGCAGCAAACCTCAACCCTTTGGTGAAAGGAGAAGGCAAACCCAAGTACATCAACCACTGGGACCAATATCGAGCCATGGGGTCTACGCAAGAGGATAAGGAGTGAATAGGTGTTGGGGAACTGGGAATTCCGGATGTATTTGCTGGCGTGAGACACAGATATATCTGTTTGTTCTTCCGCCGTTCGTTCTAGTTTCGCATGTCAGTTCAGTTCGCATCTCTAAACAACATCTTGCCGAAATTGTCGAGGGGTATGCATACAGGTCATCAAAAGCGTTGATGAGCAGTGAACAAACCCAGGCTTCCGATACTGATCGTATACATCACAACGCAAACTTGTGATGTTATTACGTACGACAGTAAACGAGGCTCTTCACCATTAACATCATTGCATTCATAGGTTCCTAAAATGTGTAGAGTAGCAAGCTGACCTAATCCATTTTGATTTGGCACCAAACGCCAGAAATGCAACTCCTTTTGCATAGCCATCCGTCCCAGATGGCTGCGCCAAAATCAAACCGTGTCCGTTTAAAATTCCATGTGTCGCGGTAGCAGTCGCCCTTCACTTCGTTTGTAGCTTCGTGATCTCGTCAAGGAGGTCCTGCAAATCGGCATCGTCAATCTTGTCCTGCAATGACGGAATGAGCGTCTTGGCTTCGTCCGCGTTCTCGCAACATAATGAGCCTATGACTGTCAGTGGTATACACTTGCCGCATAGAGATATGAAAGGCCGTACCAAGCTGGGCGCGCTCAAACTTCTCCAGCTCCCGATGCGACCGGAGCAATCGCTCGACAGCTTCGACATTCTCCTTTCTAGTGAACCGCGAAAAGTGGTCCAGATATTGCAGCGTCGTGTGCAACATCCTAGCCCTCGTCAGTCGATCTGTTCATGAACAGCACCCCGCACATCTTATCATCCTCCTTTGCTCGGGTCGTCGTACTCAGTCTCGTTCAGATTCATCTGTGGCGCGCCGTCAGGTCGGACCTTGGCTGCGCGCTCGCGTCTGCGCTGGACAATCGCATTCAACACAAGTGATGCTTCGGAGAGCGTGAGGGTTTCGACATCCTGGAACTCGCCCAGGTTGAGGACTGTGCTGGCTTCTTCGTTGCCCGGCGGTGGAGGCTTGGGCCGGGATGTCTTGGGGAAGTGAGCCATGGTCGGCGCGCGTGGAGCTCTCTAGACGCGGGAGAGATTGGCGTTCTGGCTTTGAAGCGGCGTAGGCTAGTTGTCGTCTTATTATGAGACGTGGGTAGTGTTGTGAATGCTACAGTCAATGCGCGAACCTTTGGCGTGAAGTTCGGACACAGATTCGTGTACCAGGTAGTTTGGCACTAAGCCCTTTTGGGACCACGTCAGAGTATAAGTCGACACCAAGTGTCCAGAACTTTCAAGACAGATTTTTTCCGACTGCAATTTTTAGAATTCACTGCTAACTACCGAATGATCTCACCAGGTACCTGGCTCACATTAACAATCAAAGTATCAGCTCACGCTGAATGAAGGTACCTTTGCTGTTTCGGTACCGTATTCAGTACCTGCTTGCCTACATGACATATATGCATGTGTCGAATTCAGCGACAAGTTAATTTCCTATCCTTCACCGGGATCACATGACTGAGGAGAGCTACCAAGATCCTCGTCGTGAATAGCCATTGATTACAACATGCCCAGGGGCCATTAAAGAGGCTCTCGGTCTCTCATGGCCTGCAAAGGCAACGACTCCTCTAGAATTGTCATCCCGCAATAGGACTATCTGCCAAACAAGCTTTTTGAGCCCGTTCAATCACTTGAGGCAAGCTTATTTCTCGATCTTCATCTCCAGGGCAGATGTTCGGACCGTTAGTTCGCCCAAAGCGAAACAGATGTTCATCGTTGAGGGAAACACGTGACGTCTGGTTGGACATTTAGCGTACCCTGTACGCAGGGTGCATCGATCTTTGATAAGGTACGTGATGAAGCTGGAAACATCGGAATCTTTAAATTGCTCTCGTCAGATGCATTTCGTAAGAAATTAATTGGGCAGTACTGGTGGAAGAATCGGGATGTTTGATGGTGGCGTTGCAGCTCCAAGATTGTCTGTTCCAGTGGCAGTCTGTTGTTCTATCTCACATCACAACGACATCCCAACATCCTGCGACTACGGCTTCGACCGCATCGCCGAATTTGCAACAACGACAATATACTCCAGGCAGTCTGCATTCACACCGGCCGTAGACTCACCCTTCGACACAACTCTCTCATGAAGGCGTCGACGCGATGTATGTTCACCTCGCGCCCCCCCACCCCTGAACACCCTCGTCTGACTATCAATTCAGGACCGTCTTCGCCCTCATCGTCATCAACAAGGCCGGCGGCTTGATCTACAACAAGAACTTCCACGATGGCCTAAACAAGATCAGCACAAACGACTACCTCGTCTTAGCCGGTACATTTCACGGGTAAGGCCATCCCGCAGTCAGCAGGAGCAACAGCAACAGCTTACCCATCTCGCAGAGTGCACGCCATCACGGCGCGTCTGACGCCGATTAGACCACCAGCGCCGCCGGCTGGGCTTCGACCCGAGCCAGTCTCTGGATTGGAGGTCCTCGAGACCGAGAATTTCCGCATGCAGTGTTTCAACACATTGACCGGTTTGAAGTTTCTACTCTTTACCGACACAACACAGACCAATGTCGATGTGACTATGCGGAAAGTGTATGACCTGTATGCGGACTACGTCATGAAGAACCCGTTCTACTCACTGGAGATGCCTATCCGGTGCGAGATGTTTGATAGGAAACTTCAGTCATATGTTAGGGAAATCAACAATCGATAGATGCCGCGGAAATGTCTCATGAATCTCATTAGCAAAACAAGCTGCACAATGCGGCAAGGTCTCGCGCCTATCGTGTCCCTGTCTACTTGGTCCCTGTGTCTATTGCACACCAGGCGCAATGACGCCGAAGCAATGCGACCTTGTTTCAAATGCTCAAGAGGTGTCCATCTTGTCGCCGTTCTTCTTGCTGCCGTCACTGGGGCCAGACTCGTCCTCTTCTTTGACATCACCCAGCGACTCTTTCTTCGCCTTCTCCTCTTCTTCTTTTGCCAGTTTCTCCTGCCTGGCTTTCTCCTCCTCCATACTCATACGCAGAGCCAACGCAAGCTCGGGCTCCATTGATGGGTCGATGCCGAATTCGAACTCCTCGTTGTTGCCACCGCTCTCGCCGCCACCCTGACCGTCAGCACCCTCACCCAGAAGGATGGGGCTCGATATCAACTGGTCACCCAAGAGCTTGCTGCTGGGAGGGAACACAACCATGTGGGAGCCTTCGTTGCTCTTGACGGCCTCGTTGAATGCCTCCAGCTTCTGTTGTGTCGCCTCATCGTCGAGTTCTCCGAAAAGCACAAAGTCCACTGTCGTATTGCTCTTCTTCATCTTCTTGGCCAGCTGGACAAGCTCCTTCTTCTCGTCGGCGATCGGGGAGCATACGAATACTATTATCCGTTGACGTTGGGCTCGGTTCTGACGGTGCTTGAGGGCCAGCTGCACATGATTAGCCACTGCACAAATCCCAACAATCAGAAACCTACTGCAGCGACCTGGACAGCTGTCTTCAGATGCGAGGAGCCGCCCAGCTTTTGCTTTGTATGATGCAAGCCCTCCAGTACCTTGCCCATTTCAGTAGTCAATGTGACATGCACTTCGGGACCTTTCCCCCCCATGCTCATCAACCCGACTGAAGACTCGGGGTTGCCGTTGGTGATCGTCTGGAAGAGCGTCTGGACGGCGTCGGTCTGTGCATCGAAGCGTGTCGGCTGGTAGTCGCCATTCCTAGCGCTCTCGCTGTTGTCGACAACGACCATTACCGCCTCGAGAGGCATGCCGGCGGTGTTGAGAGAGTATGAAGCTGATATTTACGAAAGGCGAGGTTGCAGATGGCTGTCTCTGTAGCCAAAAGTGAAGCTGTCGGATTTATGATGCCTTGGGTCTGCTTGGAGAAGGCTGGCGATCAGTCAAGCTCCCGATGTCGTAAGGCGGATTCAGCCTGCAGTGGATGTCGGTCGAAGGATATCCACGGTAGAGGAACCTGTCCGTGCACCGGCGTCAGGCGAGCGCACTGGTCAGGGTACCTGGTATCCACATGCTCCACTCTAGGGTAGGTGGACTCAAACTGCTTACATAACGACAGCGAAAGGTCCCACACTTCAGCGGATTTGTTTACTTTGTCCGACTTGGTCGCAGCACCTACTCATCAATATCATCAAGCTGCACCAGGATTTCACATTGTGAAGAAATTGATCGAATTTCTTACAGAAGATTGGCTCATTAAGCGCGAAGCTGATTTGTATTCTCACAAGAGTTCCAACATAATGGCCCAAGGTCGACCGCCGAAGCGCGCTTCAGACAATGCCGCGCTCAGCCCACGCGCGACAACCCCAGCTCAGCAAAGAAGTCCGATCAAGCAGCGCAAGATGGGGATAAGCGCGCACCACAAGCAGGCTCTCATAGACAATCTGCAACTGGAGAGTGTGTAGAACACCTCTGTACATAAGGGAAGCCCTCGTGCTAACACGAGCAATAGTCACTGAACGCGCGCGCAGACTCCGAGCGCAGTACAGTCTCCAAGCACAAGGTCTCCGGTCACGGATAGAAATCAGGGTCAACCGAATCCCAATGGCTCTGCGCAAGATGAGGATGGAGGACCTGGTACTGAAGTACTCTGAGAAGGAGCAGAAGTCCACGATGACTGCCCGACCACCTCCTGTGCCGGCAAAGGACAGACTTGTGCGGAAACCGGCCGACAATCAAAGCGCGCTCTCAAAAAGTACGACAAATCTCAAACGAACAAGGTATGCGCGTGGGTCGATAAACTCAAAACCTCTGCGGCTAACAATGACATAGTGAAGACTTTGGCAAAGACAAGGAGAACGAAAACGTAGAGAACCCCAACAAGAGGATGCGAGCAGCCGAAGGCGGGCATGTTCGTCCTGCGCAGGTCTTGTCTCCCACGTCCTCCAATTCTAGGCTCAAGGCCGCCCGCCCTGTTTCACCAGCCAAGTCACAAATCGCGCGACCCGGATCACCGCTCAAAAGCACTTCCCGAACAGCTGCAGCCACCAACATGCTGTCTAACTTTGTGGAAAAGGCCAAGTCGACACGCGCTGGGACGCGGAAGGCCCCCACTACGTCGAACACAAGCAGTACTGCTGCACCAGCGGCACATCCAGTCAAGACACGACGCGCCGCGCCCGCAGCAACTAAACCTCCAACTTCGCGACCAGCAACACGCACAGGCCGACGTGCTAGTGCCACAAGTGAAGCTAGTGATGGCAGCAACTCGACAGTGGTCAGGAAGGGAGCGGCTCCTCGGCCCGCCCCCCCAAAGAAAACATTGGGGAGCTTTACGAAAGGAACTGCGAGCGGTGATGCCAAAAAGACCACAGCGGTAAAGAGCACGCCAAAGACAAGAGCTGGGCGAGTGCTGCGGAACAGAGGGTAGACATTCAGTCGGATTTCAGGATTTGCTCATTTAGCAGGCGTTACGTTCTTGGGATTGGGTAGAGCACCGATGACACAAACAGGGCTCGGCAGGAAGATCACTCACGGCGCTATGAACAAGAAACATGAGATTGTATGTACAGCGGTGAATCATGCAATGGCGCTTTTGATGATGTCGTAGCCTAAGCAGCGGCCGCAGCCGCGGCCTTCTTCTTCTTCTTGTCGTCCACGAGTTCGATGTTCTCACCAGGGATATCCTTGTACTTTTCCAAAAGGAACTCCTCCAACTCCTCGCTTACATCGCCCTGAACAACAATTTCCTCTCCACCACTTGGCACCTTGGTGACCGACGATCCCGTAGCAAATTTCTTGCCTAGGTCTTTCGCCACCTTCTTTAGGTCTAGGCCGAAAGCCTCTAATCCAAATACGGCCGTTACGAATTTCTTTTTGTTACGCTCGATGCGCTTAATCGTGATGGTACTCGAAGCGAGCTTCTCGTTCTGTTTCGCTTCAGCGGCCTCGGCCTTGGCTGCCTTCTTCTGGGCATCGCGCGCGGCTCGCTTCTGAGCGTCAACAGATAGGGCGGCAGTGGCAGCCTCGAGGACCTCTGCACCAGATTGTGAGCGAGCGCGCTAGTTGAAGGAACCGTTTACATACCTGGTGACCATATTTTGGCATACATCTCCGGCTGATTGGTCTCTAGCCATTCTTGACATTTCTTTACAGTTCCGCCATATTCGCAGTACTACTTGCAATCGCTTAGCATAATATCGGGAGCAGATCGCAGCCAGGAAGGCAAGGTCGCACCTCGGGAGGCAGAGTACACACTAGAATTCGCGGTCAGTCGCGAGAAAGCCAAGAGCGGCGATAGATAAGCAAGTACTCACCTCCACAGTAAATCACATGACGCCCCTCTGATGGCCGATCTCCTTGCTCGGAGTCTGCCATGTCGTAGCTGAGTACAGGTTGAAGGTGAGGTTGTTTGGAGTCAAGGAAGAACGCCCTTAGACGCGTGCTCGACCATCGTACTTTCTGTAGGCATGGCGGGGTAAAATTGATCGATGGAGGGGCTCGCAGCATCCGACGTCAGCCCGCGCGTAAGCTCAGTGCAGACTCCAGAGGCCTTTTGTGGGGTTCCCGCCAGACCTCGAGGAAGAGCTTCATCCTGGCCTTAGGCAACAAGTGCAGTGAGCATGTTCATCTAACATCATCCTCACCATCGGCAAACAATTCGTAACTCTCCAATCCCTCATGGTCCACGTCGCACCGCTCCTGGTCGAAATGCAAGCATTGTCACACGGTCGGCAACTCTATTGAAACCCAGAGGCCGCGTTCACGGCCGCTTTCCCGACAGTACGCACAGAATGCCTCTACTCGACCTCTGAGCTTCGCGCGGAGGGCTGGGCCACGGAAGACATGGCGCGTGATGTTACTTGCGACTACGAGAGGCATCGAATGAAAGCGATCCAGCGTCCGCATGCTCTGATATGCGGTTCATCAATAATCTGCAGCAGTCCAGTACATGTCGCGGCACGTAGGCGCCCGTCGTCTCCAGCGGGCGACCATTGGCTGTCGCAATGCAGCCGCCAGCCCAATCACAGCGCGTTTCCCGCGCGCCAGCCTGGCAATGAGATGCAGCGGACTATGTTTAGAAACTTGTTCAAAGTTGTTGATTGGTACGTGCCAGCCTTGGCTGGGGATGGAAACGATGATGGCTGTCCAACTGCCAACGTTGTCCAGCCTGAGATCCCCATCACAGCGATTATGGACACACCTTGTCCGCATTGGGCTTCGTTTGCGCCCCCAAGAGCTTCTCGACAGCATGCGTTCCTGCAATGGTCTCCCGGCGGCCCACAGTTCGTGTCATGTCAAGACTGTCTGGCAGCCACAAGCGTAGTGTTGCGCGCCAGGAAGTGCTTGTAGCCGCTGACAAGATGGGCCACACCATGATCGAGAGCGAGGCCCCAGATCTGGTGCTCGAATAAGAGCCTTCTTCGTCCCTCGGCCATGCGGCCGGCCCTTCCTGCTTCTTCCCCTCCACCTTCTATTCAGTACCTCCTGTTTGTTCCTTGCTCTACGCTTTTGCGCTTTTCTAGATCATCGCTTCGTTGACCGAAGCAGCCTGTCGTTCACACAAATCCGTTCGTAAAGCAACTCGACGCTGGACGTCAAGAAGTCCAACTTTCAGTATACCCTGTTTTCTCAACGTCTTACTCTCTGAGCCTATGCCAGGTGCCGGCCAGCTCTAATTGTGTTATATTCTGGTAATAATCACGTCAGTTGGAGGAAACAATGGCCGACACTATCCGCATGGGAACACAGTCTTCGCTGGTTCGAAGACAACACACCCTTAATCCTATAATCGAAGAGGAGAGTGATGAATGTCACACTCCACACGCGACGACGGCGCCAACTCTACAGTCGAGGCGGGCCGACACGTCGCACCTGAAAATCCAAGCATGGTTGTCACCGATGAGTGACCACTTCCCCACGCCAAGGGGCATCCACTACATGTCGGCGCCTGTCTTGCCTTCCTCGCCCTCAGTATCCTCTGCCGATGATAGCTCCCCGACGACCTCGTCGAACCCTTGGAACCGCACGAGCATCATGACCGACAACACAGAGTTTGAGGACCTTTACGATGTGACTGATGATGAGGGCGAGGACCGGCGTGGACTGCGCAGGGGGTCTTCGGGGAGAAAGTCGAGGCCGCAAAGCTCGACTAGGGCATCTGGGAAGGGATCCATGCGTCTGATCATCCCAGACAGCCGAGGACACATGGGTGAACAGCGCTCTGCCATTGAGGAGTTCAAAAAGATCACCTCACCTGTTCCCCTGACACCATCAGCCCAACTCACCATGTCGCCGGCGCAGCTGCAGTTCATGGACCAACAGCAGGCTTTGGACACCCCTACGACATCAGCACCACCTTCTCTGGATGGCAGCCTTACCTCGGAGCAGCTGGCAGCGATGAGTGCTCCGCCAACACCGGTGATTGGTAACGACGAAGACGCACCGCCTGAGGAGTCATGGTCTGGGGTCCAGCTACAGCCCGGTGCTTTGGCGACCCTACATGCTCTCTCAGGCGAGGAGGAGGACGAGGACATGCACCACGAACAGCCTGAGCGTGTTTTGGAAATCCCCCAGCCAGTTCCCCGACGCATTAGCGAGATGCGCCAGCAGCCTCTGCGACTTGTTACCAGCTTCAACCCGCCCGCTACCGCAGGTGTCGCATTCTCGCCCAACACCAACCGCCAGTCCCTCGCCGACTTGACAAAGCTGGACATTCCTTCCCCTGGCGGTTTCTTTGCCGGTCTCTCGCCACGGACCCGTAGCACCTGGCACATGGTCGCCAAGTCTCCTGACGCCATGGTGCCACCGACATCGACAACGGCCGAGCAATTCTACCGCTGCCCTTGGAACATTGACGAAGCTGTACCACCCGTCCCCGAGCTCAAGGTCGCTGAGATCCCCGAGCGCCCCGACTCTGCCGAGGGCTTCTACAGAAATGCTAGCATGTCGTCGGCCCCTGTGGAGCAGGTGGTCGAGGTCATCGCTGACGACGTGTCTGATGACATGCCCACGGCTCGCCCGGTCTTCGAGCACAAGGTGTCTGATTCCTCCGAGGAGACGGTCAAACAGTCCGCTGCTCCTCCTGCCCCCGAAGCTGAGCAGGCCGTTGCCGAGATCGTCAATGACTACGACTCCAAGTATGCAGTCAAACAGCAAGAGGAGGCCGTCTCAAACCTTGACCGCACTGAGCTCTGGTTGCGCGCCCAACGCTCTTACCTTCAGATCTTTGATGCTTCAGAGGATGAGTCGTCCCTGGAGACCATTCAAGAAGCGGCTGAGGAGGAATCTCCCCAGGAAGCTAAGATTGAGACCAAGGTAGCGCCTCAGCCCGAAACTGCCCAGTCTCTCGTGCCTGGTAAGAAGAGCGTCCGATTCTCGGAGCTGAACTCGGCCGTTGCGCAGCCCAAGCGTCTGCCCTCAAAGCTGGTGCGTCAGGAGTCTGCCTTTTACCGCGCTTTCCAGGACTACATTGTGCGCACGCACAGTGTCGACGTGTTCGTGCACCAGCTGGCACGCTTCGAAGCTCTCCAGGCACAACGTGTCTCGCTCCGCCAGAGGCACCGCAACCAGCTCCTGGGCAAGTTCCAGCTCAGCGTGGTCCCGCTCTCCGCGAAGAAGCGTTTGAGTGCCAACGTTGTGCGCAGCGACAACAACCTCACCATTGACCTTGACCAGCTGCGCCTGGAGAAGGAGATTGAAGCTGCCGCCCAGATGGCGATGCCCACTTGGCACGTGGCCGCCATGAAGTATCTCAACGGCGGAAGACTCATCACAGCACCGGTCACGAAGCGTCTGGCACGTCTGTCCCAGCCCAAGCCCAGCACTGGGGGTGTCCGTGAGCGTGCCAGAATTCTGGACCTCGGTGGCCAGTCGACATGCGACTGGGCATGGCACTGCGCCATGCAATACCCCAACTCAAAGGTTTACACGGTCACCACCAAGGCCATCCGCCAGCTCTCCAACTCTAATATCCGCGGGCCCCCCAACCACCGCCAAGTTGCGATCGAGCGCCTCACCCGTCTTCCATTCCAGGACAACCACTTCGACCTTGTGTATGCCCGTGAATTGCACAGCATTCTCAAGTTTGTTGGGGAGAACGGCGAAGACGAGTGGGAGAGCTGCCTACGCGAGTGCATGCGCGTGCTCAAGCCCGGAGGCTACATTGAGTTCTCCGTGCTGGACTCGGAGCTGATGAATGCAGGGCCTCTGGGCCTTGCCAAGAGCGTAGAGTTCGGCTTCTCGCTCAAGACACTTGGCTACGATCCCAGCCCATCAAAGATGTGGCTCGGCCGGCTGGCTCGTGCCGGCTTTCAAGATGTCCGCCGTGCCTGGATGTGTCTTCCCGTCGGCTCCAAGCGCGACATGTACAAGATCCCCCGACCTACGGCGGCGGAAGGCGAGACTCTGCCTCAGCTGCCCCTCATGGGCAGCGCTGACAACGTCGCGAGTGTGTGCGGCGTCGTGGGAGGCTGGAACTGGGAGCGCTGGCTCCTCCGTTGCGAGATGGAGAAGGTGGCTGGCGAGCTTCGGTTGGCTGACACTGTCACCGCTGGGGCTGCGATCCAGGAGGCCGGGAAGTGCCTCGAGGGCGTTGCGGCAGTCATGGAGGAGGGAAGAAACTGCAAATCGGCATTCCGCATGCTTAATGGATTTGCGAGGAAGCCTTTGGCCAACTGACAGACGAATCAAATCGCCTTGTCCGAGTAACTCTCCTCTGTGCGGCGTAGAGCCCGTTTCTGGGAGTTTGGCGATTTTCGTTCACATAATGAGAGGTGGAGAGTACTGTTGCATGCAGTCAGTCAAGGACGAAATGTATATAGCAAATTATACTCGTAGCTACAAGTAACAATCGAGGAGCGTTTGTGTTCCCAGTATGAAATTCAAATGCCTGCGTCCATGTGCCTTAAATCCGGGGAACGAGGTGATGGCATTTGGACGAATCCCGAGGCCGCAAATGAGTGGGTCGTGATCGAGCTCGTCCATTCTCTGACAGCTTGATCTGGTCATCCATCACCCAGCGTCCGTGCCTGCTCGTTCTCATCACGACAGCACCCATCGGCCAGCTGCCCATTCACGCCTGGTATCAAGGTGCAAAGACGGTCTATTCGCGAACTTCGAGGTCGAGTCACCATGTCGAACGATTGGCAAAAGGAGGCTATGCGCCGCTTCCGTCAGATCCAGCAGCAGCGCGGCGGCGCTGGCGGCGGTCCTCAGATGCCCAAGGGCTCCGCGGGTGCTACTGCTGGTGCCCTGCTGCTCCTCGGTGGTGCCTGGGCTATCTCCAACTCTCTATTCAACGTTGATGGTGGTCATCGGGCGATCAAGTACACAAGGCTGGGTGGTGTCGGGAAGGAGATCTACAATGAAGGTGTGCAAATCGGAGGAGCCGGACGGCTTTCACAGAGCGCACCATGCTGACGAGCGGTTGTAGGAACACACATCAACATTCCTTGGTTCGAAACCCCGATTACCTACGATGTACGAGCGAAGCCGCGCAACGTCGCCTCGTTGACGGGCACCAAGGATCTGCAGATGGTCAACATCACCTGTCGTGTTCTGTCGAGACCTCAAGTAGAGGCGCTGCCCCAGATCTACCGGACGCTCGGAACAGACTACGACGAGCGCGTCTTGCCCTCGATCGTGAACGAGGTTCTGAAGAGCGTCGTGGCACAGTTCAACGCCAGCCAGTTGATCACCCAGCGTGAAATGGTCGCCAAGCTGGTTCGCGACAACCTGTCTAGGCGCGCTGCGCGATTCAATATTACTCTGGATGACGTTTCCCTGACGGTACGTGCTTTTGTATACAGTCAGAGACGACTGGACTAACCCAATGACACAGCACCTCGCTTTCTCGCCCGAGTTCACTGCTGCCGTCGAGGCGAAGCAGGTTGCTCAGCAAGAAGCCCAGCGCGCTGCTTTTGTCGTCGACAAGGCACGCCAGGAGAAACAGGCCATGGTTGTCAGGGCGCAGGGTGAAGCGCGCTCTGCCGAGCTGATTGGCGACGCCGTCAAGAAGAACAAGGCGTACGTGGAGCTCAAGAAGATTGAGAACGCGAGGACGATTGCGACGCAGCTCCAGGAGGCTGGATCAAAGAACAGGCTGATGCTGGACTCGGAAGGTCTCGGGTTGAACGTCTTTGACGACTCGAACAACAAGAAGTAAACGAGGGCGCACACGAGGTAATCGGGACGAGGGAATCTCCACTGTACTATGTCTTCTCTAAACAATTGCCTATGAGCAATGTAACAATATCATACCTGGTTCTACATTGGTGGTTGTGAGCTCTAGTTTTGGTGCCATCAAGTAGACAACCTCTGCCAAACATACTATTGTATGGGCGCTGATGCCATCGGCAAAGCTGTGACGCTCTGTATGTAGGGAGTATCACCACCGTAGGCGATGAAATGACATGGCAAACACGGAGGATCGATTCTTTCTGGAAACTGGCCGTTCATGACCTCATCATAAAGAGTTAGCTGTTCGAGTGCTTGCGGTCTTCTGGGTGCCCCTCCAAGAGAGACCCTCACGCCTCCAAACCCCACCATCCCAGCTGCCAGCGTTGGTCATCATTGAGCTCTCGACCGCCGTCTGCTTCTGTTCTTCCCCAAATACGAAAGATTACCCTTGGCGACTGTATCAACACCGCCGCAACAAGTCGCCCACCATGCAGATCAAGTAAGTTGGAGCATCCACTCCTCGTCCACCCCACGGCGCAGCTAACCAAGCGTGCAGGGTGCGAACATTGACCGGGAAGGAGATCGAGCTCGACATCGAGTCCGACTACAAGGTGCGCCAAGCCGAAGACGAGGGACTTCTCGCGCCAGCAATACCTAACCACTGCAATAGGTCTCGCAGATCAAGGAGAAGGTCGAGGAGAAGGAGGGCATCCCGCCAGTGCAGCAGCGCCTGATCCACGGTGGCAAGCAAATGTGCGCGTCCATACATTCAGCGGCACAGGACACGGCTAACGTTTTATTTTTAAAAAGGACTGACGATAAATCGGCCGCGGACTACCAGCTCAATGCGGGCGACACACTGCATCTCGTCTTGGCCCTCCGAGGAGGGTGCTAGGTGTTTCTAGAGGGCGGCATGATGCGGGCGTTGGGACCATGATAATAACCAAAATGAATGCCAATGGGCTACAAAAACAACAACAATCACGATTCTACCATGACTAGGCTCCTCTTGAAATGTAAGGCTGATATTATTTGTTGGTGACCCAAATGCTGCAAAGCCCTTGTTGGCAACATAGGAATGAAAATTAACGCCCCAAAGCTCGAAGCCTCAAACCAATCCGCTACATAAGCAATCCTTGCCACATGCTAACTGTTCATATATGACAATACAAATATCGACCGGGTTCTGCCATGGCAGAGATGCCGCCTGTATACTATCTCTTCCTTTGCATGAATATGCTATTTGGTGCTTTTCTCTTCATCGGTCTTGGTGGCATGACCTCGCCAGCAAGGTCTGCAGATCTTGAAGCCCGCGTTGTTGAACTTGCCTCGTCAAGCTGCGCCGGACTGGCTTCTGGCTCTGTTTGCCCTCTGCCATGCGGCCGCGCCCTGTCCGCTGAGCGTAGATCAGATGCGCCAGGCGCCGGCCGCCATGCCTCACCCCTGCTGTTGGCACTCTGGCGTTGCGATGACCCGCTAGCTGGTGCAGAGGCTCTTGAGCTGGATGGCGCCAAAGGTTTCGACGTAGGCCTTTGAGCCGCCTTTGTCGTCGCCCGACCTTTTCGAGGCGAGTCGTCAAATAGAACTCCCTTGGTGTCGTCCTGATCATCATCGTCCGAGTCAGGCAAGAACGTGGCTCGCTCTTCAAACTCAGCAACAGCCGAGGACTTGACAGGCTTCTCAGCGGGTTTCCTCACCGGGTTGCTGCTGACCCTGCCGACACCGGGCAGCGCAGCTCTCCGACGTTCATCTATCAAGGCCTGCGGTGCCTTTGCCATCTTCATCAAAGGCCTTGGCGCGCCAATGTTCCTAGACAAGTTGCCGTGGATTCGGGCGACCTCCTTGACCTCCCTGCGGACCTTCTTCATCACGCTTGCACCGGACATTGTACCAGTGCGACTCCCACTGCCGAATCTCAGCGACGATCCGCTTCTGTCTTGGGGCCTTCTGCTCCTAGAGGGCTCGCCTATGGCGCCGCGCATGGCTTTTTGGTCCACAATCCTGCTCGTCTTTTGCTCTTTGTTCTGTCTCAAGCCTGCGAGGGAACTGGCAAGCTGTCTTTCACTCTCCTCGCGTGCTTCGTCATGTTCCTTCTTGTACTTCTCGTAGACCTTGTGCCACTTGTCGGGATTGGCAGGCTTGTAGGCTTTGTTGCGAAATTCAAGTGGAAAGTGCTTCTCAATGAGTCGTAGCCAGATCTCTCCCGTCAAGCCTTGGATCTGGGGGGAGTTGACCTCGATGCGCCGTAGCTGCGCGCCATTCTCGACCCGCATCAAAATGGTTCGGACATTCTCGTATGGAAGGTAGTCGCCGACGCCGTCGAGATGGCGAATATTCTTGATACAAGCCTGCGTGGCCAGGTCGACGAGACACTTAACCGGCATGGTCAAGTAGCAGCTTGCTGATGATGCGGGTAATAGGTACTGATGCGCTCAGCAGAACGTGGATCGACCGTGTATCGAAGGCACAGAAGCGAGGGAGGCTGTCGTAGGCAATCCGAGGTTCATTGTCGTAAAGATGACCAGTGCGCCATTAAACAGATGCTGTGTCTGACAGTTTGGACAGTTTCACATAGTCAGATATAACGTTTTCAACCTAATCAATGTTGCTCGCCCGGTGTCGATGAGGAAGAGCAGAACTGGCTGTGAGCAATTGTGCATCTCGTCAAGGACCAGCAGGGGTCACTCAAGGTAAGATAGATATCCGTAGATACCTGCCCCACAACGGGCGAAGCCTGAGTCTAAGCGGGAAAGGTAGCTGCTAATTTCTTGCCTAATTCAGAATGATGCTTGCACAAAACCTGCCTCTTAAAGCTAGCGAAATCATAATTGATCGACACCTGGCAAGAACGTACCTCAGCCGTCATAATGCACGGTCGCGCTTCTGAACAGCCAGAAACCTTCAACTCCCGGCGATCATTGTTCACACAATCCTCACAACCTCACTCACCTACGCACTCACGAATCAGCGATCGTGTAGAGTCCCTCTAATAGCGCTTCCGCTCACTCGAAAGTTGTTACACCTGCGCAAACAATCACCATCAGCGACGGGATCTCGACCTTCCTCCATCATGGCCGACACCACCGCGGCCATCAAGGCCGAAGCCACAGAGGAGATGCCTGATCGCCTGGGCACTCCTGATGAGGAGGACTTGTACGAAGATGCCGGCGACCTCGAGTTCTTCGACGCCAACAGCGCTTCGCAACTGAACCAGATGTACCTTGCCCGGTTGCCAAAATATGTCTGGGAGAAGTGGGAGAAGATGTTGGAGCGCCTTAGCGACGAGGACGAGATTCAGATTGCTACCATGCGCCTTTGGTACGACAAGAATGATGCAAGCCAGGGAACGGTTCGTTGGCGCTTGTCAAATTGTCACGGCAGAAGGCTAACGACGCACACAGAAACCTGTCACACGCATGCTGTTGAACGATAAAATACCAGAGCATCAAGGCATTCCTCTCGAGTACAAAATGGACATCAAAAACAACGACAAAGAGCTCGAGAACCACTTTCTGTTCAGCGAAGAGGATCTACCAGGATTCAAAGCGAAGAACAAGGCGCGCGCTGCGGCGTTGAAGAAAGGCATACCAGCTCATATTCTAAACAAGCCCAGAGACGGTGCTGTCGAGAAGCCAGCATTCGACCGCAGGAATAGATATCAACCATTCTATCGCAAGGCCATCCCCAGTATGTGATCTTCATGCATCACTATCCACCACGCTAACACCCTTGTTAGAAAAAACAAAGATTGCTGGAAAGTTCAAGTTCGACTGTCGCATTGAGCCGCTCAACAAGGCTGAGGAGAACAAGATGATTATGCGCCAACTGCATGAACTGGAGAAGCCTAAGAAAGGCATCAAAGTCATCAGTGGAAGCGAAGCCGCAACCTTCCGGACTGGCCCATCGGGTGGCAATATGTGGAACAACAACTTTGTTGTAAGTGCTTTGAGCCTAACGTTGCAGTTTCGAGAGGGCTCACAATGTCTACAGAAGGGAGCTGCGCCGACGGTCAAGCAGAAGAAGGGCCCCACGATCAAGGCTGCTCGCCTTCCCAAGAACGAGCTCCTGGACTTGCTGTTCCAGAACTTTAACGAATACCAGTACCACTCCATGAAATCTCTACGCCAGAGAACGCAGCAGCCCGAAGCATGGCTCCGCGAGGTCTTGGATGAAATTGCTGTTCTTATCAAAGCTGGTCCCTTTGCCAACAGGTACAAGCTGATCGACAGCTATGCGGACCGTGGTACAACACAAGGCAACGTGGCGGAGGAAGCCAACGAGGAAGACGAGGAGGAAGAAGAAGAAGAAATGGAGGATGTGATACCCTCCTAGGTCGTCTGCTCTGGTGTGGGGTGTTGACGGTGAACTTTAACAACTGGCGTCTAGCGTTTGGCCTTTATCTGACAAGGATCGGCTATTGCTCTACCTTTTAGCTGTAGTTGATAACCGGATCCCTAGCGAAGCATTGATTCTCGGAAGTGCTTTTGTGGCCACTCAATTAAGCTCCAATGACGGTGGCTTGGGTCTGTCGTCACCAACAAAGGCCACACCTGCCCCACCCATCGTAGACATCGTGGTCCTGATTCCTGAAAGCCACCTCGATCTTCAAACCTACCTTATCACGGCAATTAGAATATCCATCCCAGTGGACACGACCTCTCAATATGCGACTCATCTTCGACTTCGATGGCACTATAACCCAGCAAGATACTATATCTGAACTGGCCGGTGCGGCAGTTGCTTTTCAACACACCGAACGGGGTCAACATCTTCAAGCGACATGGGACCAAGTTGTGCGACACTATTTGAGCGACTATCAACAGTACAAAGAGAACTATGATCCCAAAGAAGAAGAACGGCGCGAAGTGGCCCAAGAGATTGAATTTTTGAACAGTCTTCGGCCCATAGAACGAGCATCGCTGCAACGGGTACGGGCCTCTGGCGTTTTTGAGGGGCTAGAACACATGGGCCTGTTCGAAATGGGGGTGAGTGCCGTGGAATCCAAAAAGGTTGAGATTCGGGAAGGCTTTCAAGCCGTGACGAAGATGGCTCAAGACAATGGATGGCCACTTGGGGTGATCTCCGTCAACTGGTCACGCTCATTCATCAGGGGCGTCCTGCATCAATTCTCAATGCCTATTGTGGCTAACGAGGTAGCAAGTGACGGCCGTATTGAAGGACCAAAGTTCTTGGGTGAGCAGCTCACGAATTCGGCCGGCAAGTTGAGCGTGCTGAAGCATGAGTTTGGTGGAGCTGACGAGTCGATCTTGTATTTTGGCGACTCATCGCCAGACTTGGAATGCCTGCTCGCGCACAAAGGCATTGTCATAGCAGACAATGATAGGGAATCTTCGCTCATACGCACACTGCACCGGTTGAGTATCCCTGTCCCGCACGTCGAGACATGCGACAGGGCGGCGAATGCCAGCGTGCACTGGGCGAGGAATTTCCAGGAAGTCATCGCAAGTGGGCTCCTAGATCAATGAATTTGAACGATCGTTATATCGCATGAGGCATCTGATGGTAAAGGTTGCGGGCGATTTTCAGGCAATTACAGACCATGTGTGTTTGCCCCCTGCTGCATGTGGGCGTCCGACACACCCAGGCCTAACTCTCAAGCAAGCCTGAAGAACAAAGGCTTTGTGAAATTTCTATGGCACTTGAGTAAATCTTCTAAGATGCTGATTCCTCCACGAGGGCTACATGCAGTCATTATAACTATTTCAAGCCTCCTATGAACTCGCCGGCCTCCGTGCTCTTGATCAGCACAGTCTTTGCCAACCATTATGTGTACCTACGCTCGCTTCGTATTCACTTGCTTGCACTACATCCAGGGCAAGCGTGTAAGGTGCTGTCCCATGGGCGAGGCCTTTATCAGCGGCATCGTGCCAACGGACTGTAGCTTTGAGCAGCCTCATGGTCTGTATTCTCGCAAGTTGCCGCGGAAGTGCGACGAATGCACAAAAACAGACGAGCAACTGCACGCTGCTCGAAGAAAGCTGGAGAATTGCCACGGGATCTTCCATGAGAGATGGCCAGAGTATGGGGATGCAGAGGTCTGCAAAGAGTTCCGTTTGATATCTCGAGCAGTGGAGCTGTACGACTTGGAGGACAATAAAGACAGTGCTGTATTCTCAGTCAAAAGGCACTTACACCGAAGAGAGAGCGTTGGACCATTGAGTAAGCAGGGCATTCATGAGCCAAACAGTAGTTCGAGATGGTTAACGCCTGCAGATACCGAGACAACCAAGTTACCAGGACGCAACAGCTCTCATACAGCCATCTCCAATGTCTCGTCGTCACCTGGGAGGACCCAAGCACACACGGATGCCACGTCAGAACCAGGCACCACTAATAGTGCCCTGTCCACACCCTTAAAAACAGGAGAGGTCAGCATGAGGGTGAAGAAGCCACTCAAATCTCGGATCGCGGTGCCAGCAAAGACAGGTCCAAGACCTCTACTCCTCAAAGCCACTGCCAGATCAAAGCTGCCCCTGCCAGGCGGAGTGATAAACTCGAGCACTGCCTCGAAAAAACCGTCGATCATGAACCTTCTCGAGTCACGACCCCGAGCGTCAGGCTGCTACTCTGGGTGCGGAAGTTGGAGATAGACAAAATTGCTCATGTATGTAGCTGGGACCAACCCAGGTTTATCACATTTGTTTGCAGCTAAATTCTAAAAATACATGTAAGCGAGCGTAGATTATCAAGCACAAGCGCCACGAATGTTACGCCGTGATGAGGCCATCATACCAAAGACCCTTCATCGACGCTACGGTAGCTCATCCGACGTTCGATCCAAGTTGAACGCCGCGCTGAGCAGCGCAATGTGACTGAACGCCTGGGGCGTGTTTCCAAGCTGTTCTCCACTCCTGGCAATCTCCTCAGAGAACATGCACAGGTGGTTCGAAAACCCGAGCATGTTCTCAAACAGACTGACGGCGCGAGCTTTGTACTTTGGCTCGTAGACGCTGGCGCGGGTCATGGCCTCTACGAGCCAGAACGTACACATGCTGAAGGCACCTTCGCGCCCGCCCACACCTGTCACAGTTAGTGGTTCAAAGGTTCAAATGAGGCAGCATTTTCTTTTTTAGGCGCGAGTTTGAGGTAGGACTTACCGTCCTGTGAGAGTTCGGTATTGTAGCGATAAACCAGATCGGTGCTAGTGAGTCCCCCCTTTTCAGGAGGCAGGAGGATGCGATCCAGTGTCTTGAGGAAGCGAGGGTCGCAAGGGCTAATAAAGAAGACCAGCGGGGCAATCAAGATTGAAGAATCAAGTGTGGTGTTGCTTTCGTAGCTTTGGATGAACGAATTCATCTCCACGTTGTACCCTGGCCCCTGATCAGAAATCCTGGCTATCATCGGCCGTGTAGCACCACGTAACATACCTTTCTCCATGATTTCCTCGCACAGTTCATCTCGCGCTTTCATCCAAGCGTTTCTGTTCGGACAAGGGAAGCATCGTTTATCAGCGAGGCGCAAGCCTCGATCAAAGGCCACCCATAGCATGATCTGCGAGTAGGTGAAGTGCTGCTTGTGGTTCCGGACTTCCCAGATTGACATATCCGGTTCTATAGCCGTGAGCCAGGTTCGATGCACATAAGGGGCTGGGGGAGCTCACGTCCAAGTATAGTCAAAACATAGTCTGCGAGAAAAGAAAGTAATGTCAGCAGGTACTAATCATTCGTGCTCAGTCGCCTTGACATACCTAGAATCCTCTTCACAGCTTTCCACGCACCCCAAGGTACCGGTTTGCCGTACTTGTTGTACAAGTAGATACCATCCATCAGCTCCCCGTAGATGTCAAATTGCTGATGGAAAGCTGCCCCGTTGCCGATGCGAACAGGACGGCTGCCTCGATATCCCTCGAGATGATCCAGCGTGATTTCGGGAATATCGGTTTCGCCATGAATGGTGAACATGATGGGTAACGCGCCGTCCGGAAGCCTAGACTGGGTAAATCTCTCCATAATGAATTCCATAAATGCGTCAGCCTCGGCCCGAAAACCCAGGCGCAGCAGGATGTAGATTGTGAAGCTCGAGTCCCTAACCCAGGTGTATCGATAATCCCAGTTGCGGACGCCCCCGACATCCTCGGGTATAGAGAACGTTGGCGCGGCCACAATAGCCCCTGTCGGTTCTGTAGGTTGTCAAAAAATTGGCTGTTCACTAAGTTAGGTGGCGTTCCACATACCGTAAGTCATCATTTTGAGGATCATCAGACTCCTCGATACCTTCTCCATCCATCTACCTCTGTACTTGGACTGTTTGATGAAGTTGGACCAAAAGTCTTGCGTGTCGTGCTGTTGAGAATCGACAACCAGAGCTGTGATGTGTTTCGTAATGTGATTATCCATGTCCTTGCGCAGAATGAACGAAATGGCTTGACCCTCCACCACTTTGACACGTGCCACGAGACCCTCTGATAGCATCCCAGGCTTGCGAACCTTTTTGAACGATGTCGTGGGGCAGCTTTTCATGTCTTCATTCTGTTGTATGGCAACATCGAGTTGAAACTGGACGTCCTTGCTGTGGAATGTGGCCACTTTGCTCTCTTCCATATGGGATGTATGACGCTCATGTAGAAGGGTTGTCATGTGAGGATCCTTTGCGTACCCAAAAGCTGGGAAGATCTCGACATCTGGTCAGGTTAGACAATGTCTGCCGATGTGCTGCGCAGCCGAAGGGCTCACCCATTTCGAGTTCTCCCCGAATGCACTCAACCCTCCGGACAAGCCACTTTTTCAATTCTTCCTGAACCGGAGCCGCCTCGCGATAGGCACCTTGCTTGTACTCCCTCGTCATGACATGGGCACTCTTTGGACGGGGGAAGAAGTCCACAAGGTCCACCACGCCAATTTCGTGGATGTAGCGAGTCTGCAGAATACATGATGAGGGCAGGTACTGCTGCTTCGTCGTACAAGTGAGGCCAGCTCGAGGAGCGATGCTGAAATAACCGCCCTTGTCTTTATCCAGAAGGCGGCAGAAGATCGTAGGAGAGTCAAAGACAGGCCTGGTGTTCTCAGCACACACTTGTGAGTCGCCGAAGCGACAGTGCACGATACTTACCAACACATGTAGTCGATGCTCCCATCCAAGCCTACCAAGGCACACGTGTGCATGTTGCCAATCATTCCATAGTCCTCAATAGGCAGGTAGCCTCCGAGCTGGTCTCGGCGGGAATGCGACGGGTAAGTTGTAGCGCCCTGGAAACTCATGGTGCTCAGACAGGCCCTATGCTCGAGGCTTTGGGACCAAAGAAAGATGGTGACTGAGGGAGCAGATGCCGGGCTATCGAGTCATGGTCATACAACAGCTCTAGGGAGATAAAACTCGCACTCTTGGAGCAGTATTTGGCATGAATATGAAGTGAGCAAGGCAAAACGTCATCCACGGCACGCTCGGCATTAATGAGGTGGTTCGGTCCCCATTCTTTGGTTCAATTATCATTAGTCCAGTCTGCACTCAGCTATTTTGTGACTTGCGCAGCAAAAGACTACCAACGAGCATAGACCCTAGTGTTACGGCTCGATTTGTTGTAGATAGACCATGATTGCTTAGATGGGGATGGGGGATGAGGAAATTAATTACCCCAGAAAATGGAACGCTTAAATCTGGGGTTCCAGCCGGGGGTCGTGTGCCAGGACCCAGGGCGGCAGGGCCCAGCGCCGCCCGCCCAGGGCAGCCAAGCTACAATTGAAGGGGGGTGGTCGAAATACCGAGGTCAGCAAAGCTCATGTGTAAATGCCTAGTTTTGCCAAGGGGCACTGTGAAGTCCCAAGGTCAACATGTCATGCCGCAATGCACAGTCGAAAGTCGAGCAAGCTACTGACGTTGCTATCCCCGACTCCCCAGCAGCCTTTGACAACCTGTTCGTTGATCGCAGCAGCGACAAGATCACCTTGCTCCTCCTCAGATGCAGTCAATAATCCCATGACCGACGAAAATGAACCGGCCGTCTTGGCGTTGCGCATGTCGTGAGACCGAGGTGATCATGGGGTTCTTGTTGATCTAGAAGGAAGGAGGGGAAGCTCTCATGAACAGCGAGTAACTTGGCATTGGGTTGCTGTGGATGAGATCATCGACTACACTTGGACCGGATCTGCTTGAGTCAGTGTGCCGATGGCTTGAGAACGGTGTGACATGATTCATGTCTGGCCAGCGAGCTACTAATAATTATCTCGGGAAGATAAAAGCAATTCTCCAACTTACAAGCAATGAGCATCACGTACGGAGTACGGGGTCCGGATACGCACTGCTGAATCTTCCGAGGCTTGATGCAGTGATGAACAGCTTTTGACTGGCTCGATGACGAGACCCCCGCTGAAACCTGAAATCAGGGCAGTTCAGTGGCTGGTGCATGCTTTAGGCGGGCAGTAGCTCAGAGGGCCAATACATGACCGCTAGACGATGGCCTTGTGCCTGACCTTGATAGCTCGAAGGTAGAAGATCGATCCATCGGGCGATCCCAACTCGATAAAAGAAGTGTGCGGAGGGCAAGGGGGATAAAAGACTAATCAGAACTTAGATGCACCAAGAAAATGGTAATGACCTCAAGGCGCGGTCCAGCACCTGTCGCGTTATTAGTGCCATCATATCATACCAGCCACAGACTCAATGACAGCATGGTGGGCGTGTTAGCGGTTTGCACAAGCACAACAAAACACGACTAGCTAGCGGCCTCTACGGTTTCCGTCGATGATGTCAATCGCTGACACAGACTAGATAACAAAGTGACAGGGCCAACCGCCCATTGTGATGCGAAATCAAAGACAACCGTGCTGGAGGACAGTGGACTGGAGGCCCCCGTGAAGTTGCTTGTGACAAATGCCAAGGACCCCGAAAGACAAGCGCCACAGCCAGTCTCAGGGGTATGGAGTGAGCTGGCATGTCCGAGACAAGGTTTCCAAGGGTGCCTTTTTTTCCCTGTGAATGTGAATGTGAACAGGAACAAGCACGGCCACAACCGCTAGCTCAGTAATTAATTAGTAGCCCTCAAAGCAGCCGCCATCTGACCGCCTCTCATCGGCCACGCGCAACACCGATCACAGCACCGAATAACTTTCACGTCCCCACTGAGCGCGCGCAAAGCAACGACCTGAAGGGCCGTGGGCAGGCACCCTGTGGATCATCAATCTGTCCCATTCCCAAGGCCCGGTGCTCCAGTCCCTACTAGTACGGATTTCACGTCCGCACCACCCATCAGACCGTGACCCCGAACCTTTTGCTTGGCTGTCTCTGATTGCTGTGTACCTGACGTACCTTCCCTCTACCTTACCTGAGGCTTGGACGAGTCGGGCTTGGTCCTGCCAGTCCAATTCAGTTCGGTCGGGTCAGGCACGCCCGGCTGCTCCTGCTTGTCATCCTGTCCGTCTTCCTTCCCCCAAGACTGACTGGACACATAAGATGCCCACCTCCACCACCTCGTCCTCTACTCCCTTACCTTCTCGCCCTTCTCGCCTTTCTCGCCCTTCCCTGCCACCAATTGCAACCTCCAAAGCTAGCGGTGTACTCTCGGCTGAGGCTTCGTCGCCTGTCTCGACTGTCCCTCCTGTCAGCTCCACCCCAACCGACATCGGCAAACACATCGCAGTCGCTTCTTCATCCTGTGCCGGAGCTGGCTCGGCCCGCGACAATATCGAGATGGAGCCCATAGTCACGGGCCACAGACGCCGCAAGAGCAGTCTCATGGGCGGCGTCGCCGGCCTCTCGCCAGTGATAGCTGGCCGCCCGCGATCCCAGAGTCTACGGACACCCCAGTTTCCCCGATCACCGGTCGCAGGCTCGAGCCTGGTCGAAGAGCCAAAGATAGCGGAAGAGGGCGACCTCGTGAACAGCTCGGGCCCGAGGAATTTCGCGAACGACTCGGACAGTTACAGCGACGACGTTCGCGACGACGAGGAAACAGGGCTGACCAGGCAGGAAAAGAGACGCCAACAGAAGAAACGGAAGCGCAATACGCTGCTGGACCAGCGCATAGCCAAGGAGAAAGAGTCGTCAACGTCTTCGGAGGAGGCCGACCAGGGGATTGTCATGCGCATAGCTATCAATGTTGGCCTCATACTACTCTGGTACTTCTTTTCGTTGTGCATTTCCTTGGTAAGCCAGTAGCCCATCAAGTCTCGCCGCAATCAGCCACTAATTGCCTGCAGTACAACAAGTGGATGTTCGACGAAGACAGACTCAACTTTGCATTCCCCCTGTTTACAACGTCAATGCACATGGTGGTGCAGTTCTGCTTGGCCGGCGCCGTCTTGTACTTTGTGCCATCAACCCGACCAGGAAAATCGCACTCGTCGGACAGCGGGAGATCCAGGCACGAAGACGAACCGGCCAGCAACAGCGGCAATTCAATCATGAGCAAAATGTTCTACTTCACGAGGATTGGCCCATGCGGTGCCGCGACGGGACTGGACATCGGCTTGGGCAATACGTCGCTCAAGTTCATCAGCCTCACTTTCTACACCATGTGCAAGTCATCGTCGCTTGCCTTTGTCCTATGCTTTGCATTCCTCTTTCGCCTTGAGACACCCACATGGCGTCTGGTTGCCATCATCGCTGTCATGACCGTGGGAGTCGTACTCATGGTCTTTGGCGAGGTCCAGTTTCATGTCGGTGGCTTTGTACTGGTCATCTCAGCCGCCTTCTTCTCTGGCTTTCGATGGGGCCTCACCCAGATCTTGTTGCTCCGGCACCCAGCAACCTCGAACCCCTTCTCAAGCATCTTCTTGCTCACACCCGTCATGTTCCTCACATTGCTCAGTCTGGCGATTCCAGTCGAAGGATTCACGCCTCTGTTTGGTGGCTTGACGGAATTGAGCAAGGAATTCGGCGTCTTTTTGACGCCCTGTTTCCTATTATTCCCCGGATGCATCGCGTTCCTTATGACGGCCGCTGAATTCGCGCTTTTGCAGCGTACCTCTGTCGTCACGTTGTCCATTGCAGGCATCTTCAAAGAGGTTGTCACCATCATGGCCGCATCTGTTGTCTTCCACGAAAAGCTCACGGCGGTCAACTTTGTCGGTCTCGTTACCACTCTCATTGCTATCATGGCGTACAACTACATCAAGATTTCGAAAATGCGCGAAGAAGCCCGCACCGGGAAAGCCCCAGCCCGATATCAGCGCGCCTCGGTATCCGATCACTCCAGTGCAAGCGAATTTGAGGATGACGATACCCTTGAGGAAACAAGTGGTCTGCTGCGCCCCAACGGGGACATGGGCCACGACGCCCTCATCACAACTGACGGCGATATCCACCCTAATGTACTGGGTATCTCCGCACACGATGAGAGCAAGGAGTCTGCCGTGAATCGCCATGAAGACTGAGCGCATCAACACCTTCCCAGCGTCTGTTTTGTCATATTTTCTATTTCATCTACAAGAGCCAGGGATTCACTCGGCTGCACATGTCATGATTGGGACTACATCACTGGGCCATGTAGGGACCAATGCCAGGGTCATTATTGCATTGGGCGGGCTATTTTTGGACATTCGCTTGTAAAATGCACAGCATCGGAGTACGTAGGGCATGGAGAACCGGATTGATTCTGCGAAGCTTAGCACAGGTCGCTGTTGGGCCTTCACGATACCCCCAAGAGTTTTATTCAGTAAAATTTGTTATATATACTTCATCACAGCCATCGGGTCCCAGCTAGAAAAACAATATCATTATGGATGATTCCAACACCGCGCCAGACACCAGGCTAATGCGCAGATTCCCTTGGCTACCATTAACCCAATAGCTTTAACCCACTCTTCGTCTTCTGGCCCGGTTTCGTTACACCAGCACCGGCATAAGGCCCCATGTGTGCATCGTGACCTTGATCGCTGCCATGGCTACCAACCCCACTACCACTCTTCTTCTTGTTATTGTTGCGGTTGTTCTTACCGCGGCCTCGATCCTTCTCCTTGACGTTGGCAACCTTGATTTCCGTATTGGCCTTTTTGATAGTGACAGGGTGACTCTGAATATACTTCCCATTCATCTCCTTGGCAGCAGCGAAGAAGTCGTCGGCGTTGCTGAAGCTGACGAAGCCATAGCCCTTGGACTTGGTCGTCCTCTTGTCGCGGATGACTCTTGCCTTTTGCACCGACTCCCAGCGCGAGAATGCCTTGAGCAGCGAGTCGTCCGTCGTCTCGCCCGCGAGATTGCCCACAAACAGACGCATGTGCGAAGGATCCCACTCCAGCAGCGTATCGTCTGTCCACTTCTTGCCTCCGCCCTCGCGCGCGACCGTCTTCTCCCTTTCGGGGTTGGCGGGCGCGGCGTATTCGGGTTTCTTGCCAGGCGCGGGCGCCTGTGCGCCCTCCTTAGTGACGTAGGCGCTTTGCCATTGGGCGATCTGCGCGGCCATTTCGGGGTCGAAATCTCCTCCAGGCGCGGCAGACTGGCCGCCTATGGGGAACGGATTCTTAATCTGCGGGGCCGCATAGGAGGAGGCTACGGTGCCATAGTCGTGGGATGCGTAGCTCGCGGGTGGTTGATTGTATGAGTACGTCGAAGTAGAAGCAGGAGCAGCGCTGCTCACACCAGGATAGGAAGGACCATAGTGACCACCGGCAGCAGGTGGCGCGGGCGGCGCGTAGGAAGACGACGAGGGCGGGGGGGCATAGCTCTGAGGCTGGGAGTTGTAGGACTGTGGTTGTCCGCCGTATGTTTGTGATTGGGAGGAAAAGGCAGGCTTGAAGCCGCCCCTGTTGAAGCCTCCGCTGGATGACGAGTTCGAAGGTGGAGGTCGCGCGGGAAGGTTGGCGGTGCCTGGAGGTGGAGGGTACGCCATGATGAACAAGGCTCTTCTTGGATGGGCAAGCGTGGTGGCTTGGGGACGTACCTTGAGCCCGGGGAAGAGAAATGTGCTCAAGCGATAGTGCACAGCGAGTATTCTAGAACGCGCGGTTCGAAGTGGTGAAAGTATGCGCGCTGAGGGCGATGCTGGTGCTGATCGATGTACGTGGTCGAGTTGGACTTTGCAGGTCAACGCAATAAGTCGATCGACTTTCGAATCCCGGTCACGTGATCAAGCCACTGCGAAGAGTGATGTAAGAAGGACATTCGTGCCACATTGAGCCATTACACGCCGTGGGCTTGCCTAGCCTGATGATGTGATCGAAGGATTCTGTCCATTGATTGTCTAATAGATGCTTTTGTAAAGCAACTACAAATAAGGCATGTCATGAAGTTGCACTCTAGTCTAGGTTGCGCGGCGGAGACTCCGCCTTCAGAAACTAGGCGCCGCAATCTTGACCGCAGAAACCTGTCAGTACTGTTGTACTTCTTCCACGGAAATGCAAATGCAAGACCAACACCGGCCGTTGGACGGCTGTCGGGGTATTGGCCGCCGCGGCGCGCGCAAGAGTGATGGCACCTCGGTGGGTTTGGCCGGCGCAGTTCGCGACATCAGCACCCGGATTCAAGTCCGACATGATAGTTCCCAAACCCGCCATGATGAAGCGCTTCGGATGCGGATTCATCATGCGTTGCAGGCCGCACATGCAGGGCCCCTGTCGCTAATGCTAACGGCTATTTTGACCGGATGCTGACTGAGGCTAATCACTGCTTGTATGTACGAGCTTTGTTAGAGCAGCCGTTTGAGGCTGCGACGTAGGTCGTCAGATGCGCACTTCTGGACAACCCGGTACTCCGTCCAGTCCAGTCCTCTTCTCCTTACCAGATACTGAGGTAATTACTTTGAACGTGGGGGTGACCTCATGCTTCGTGAGCTTGTTCTTATTAGGCTGGCCGCTGGCGGGAATCACAACAAATGCCTCGAATCGCTAGAAACTGCGCAGTGATGATTGCGTGAAAAGCGAAAGAGCCACAATCTCCACCAGTCAACGTTGGCAGCCGACCACCCAATTTCTCGGCAGCATCCCGATGGTCCCGAATGAAGAAGACATTTGATTTTGGGTTGAATGGCCTGGCATGAGTGTGGATATGAATTGACTCTGACCTGCGACACTGTTTAGGGAAGCATCAGAAGCATTAATTCATTACTCAATGCTGGCATGCCGTCGCTGGCTGGACTCAGGCTGAGGCAGCGATACTCCTTATTACTTACGGTGTTACATACTTGTGTTAGCGTTGGCCTAACTAATACTGATGTCTGATCAGATTCATGTTGTTGAGCTTTCCACGTCCGTGCTCAAGTAAGGTATGACATAGCACGGTAGGCTTTGTAAGACGTGCAAATAGTATGGAGTAGTGCGGATTTGATGGGCGTCGATCGCGTGGCAGCCCTCCGTGCGAAGCTATTTCCTGGGCGCGACCAGAGATACGTATGTAGGTATTGCCGGCGTTCCTGCAACTCATCGACATGGCAAGCAAGCAAGCGTCTCAAAGGGCAATGGAAAAAGAATCAATGCCTCGTACTGCTCGCCAGAGCCCAGTCCACGTAGAGATGAGGGCATTTGCAATCCCAGACCAGCCAAGATGACGATGAGGCCGCGGGGCAGCCGTTTTTTCCAGCTGCAACCCCTCCAATCAATGCCAGAACTACGGTGATGCCCGCTTTTCTTGGCGTGTCTCGACAGCGATTGCGGCTGTTTGGGGGTCGTGTCGAGAGCATGTTGGCATGATGGTTGCTGCGGTAGGCGCAGAGCGCGGACGCAGTGGATGTCTGGATGACTGAGAAGCCACTTTTTGTACGCGATGGTCCCCTCTTCGGCTCCTTCCCCCTAGCCGTCTTTAAGTAACCTTCCATCCATTTCCTTTCTTCCACTCCTCCCGACTTCATCTCCAAACTCTCCTCCTCTTTCATCATCTGCCGTTGCTTCAGCTCTTACTGCTGGACATTGTACTTTTGCGACACAACTCTTCCTCCATCACAACGCCATCATGTCTGGTCCTGTGTAAGTCCATGCCATTGCCCCTCCATCTGGTCAAGTTACCCCACCACCCCGCCCAAACTCTGCTGCCTCACAGCTCTACGCATCGATGACCTCAATTCCCGCAATGGTGAGGCTGCTATCGCGAGCTTCCCTTGGTGTTGAGCTGTTGTGCGGCGGGCCGTCCGTCCTCCCAGTCATCCCTCTATCCAGCTTGGATACGCAAGTGGCTCATGGTCTCCATACAGCGCTCGCCTCGCAAATATTGTGCTGGGCGGCGCAAAGAACTCTTCATCATTCACGAGTTCGAATCAAGTTGCTGACAATGTCCCCAGTGCTGATCTGGGCCTCATCGGCCTGGCCGTCATGTAAGTCCAGACACTCGGCAAGGATATTGTGTTGCCTTCTGACGAACCGCAAACAGGGGCCAAAACCTCATCATGAACATGGCCGACCACGGCTTCACAGTCTGCGCCTTCAACCGAACCGTCTCCAAGGTCGACCGCTTCCTTGAGAACGAGGCTAAGGGCAAGTCCATTGTCGGTGCTCACAGCGTCGAGGAGTTTGTCAGCAAGCTCAAGACCCCCCGCCGCGTCATGCTTCTTGTCCAGGCCGGCCAGGCCGTCGACGACTGGATCGAGAAGCTCCTGCCCCTCCTCGAGGCTGGCGACATCATCATTGACGGTGGCAACTCCCACTTCCCCGACTCCAACCGTCGCACTCAGTACCTGAACCAGAAGCAAATCCGCTTCGTTGGCTCCGGTGTCTCTGGTGGTGAGGAGGGTGCCCGCTACGGCCCCTCCATCATGCCCGGTGGCAACGAGGAGGCCTGGCCGCACATCAAGGACATCTTCCAGAGCATCTCTGCCAAGAGCGACGATGAGGCTTGCTGTGAGTGGGTTGGCGACGAGGGTGCTGGTCACTACGTCAAGATGGTCCACAACGGTATCGAGTACGGTGACATGCAGCTCATCTGCGAGGTATGTATCTCAGATTTGGCCTAGACGGTCTCAGGCTAACATCTCTCCCCAGGCCTACGACATCATGAAGCGCGGTCTCGGCATGTCTGGCAAGGAGATTGGTGATGTTTTCGCCAAGTGGAACAAGGGCGTCCTGGACTCCTTCCTGATCGAGATCACCCGCGACATCATGTACTTCAACGACGACGATGGCACCCCTCTCGTTGAGAAGATCCTTGACCAGGCTGGTCAGAAGGGCACCGGCAAGTGGACTGCCGTCAACGCTCTCGACTTGGGCATGCCCGTCACCCTCATTGCCGAGGCCGTTCTGTCCCGCTGCTTGTCTGCCATCAAGCCCGAGCGCGTGGAAGCCTCCAAGGTTCTTGAGTTCAAGAGCCGCGAGACCAAGTTTGAGGGCGACAAGGCCCAGTTCCTCGACGACCTCGAGCAGGCCCTCTACGCCTCCAAGATCATCTCGTATGCGCAGGGTTTCATGCTCATGCAGGAGGCTGCCAAGGAGTACGGCTGGAAGCTCAACAAGCCTTCTATCGCCCTCATGTGGCGTGGTGGCTGCATTATCCGCTCCGTTTTCCTCAAGGACATCACCTCTGCTTACCGCAAGCAGCCTGACCTGAAGAACCTTCTGTTCGACGACTTCTTCAACAAGGCCATCCACGATGCCCAGCCTGGCTGGCGTGCGGTTGTGGGCAAGACTGCTGCCCTCGGTATCCCGACCCCCGCCTTCTCCACTGCTCTGTCTTGGTTCGACGGTTACCGCACCGCCAACCTGCCCGCCAACCTGCTCCAGGCTCAGCGTGACTACTTCGGTGCCCACACTTTCCGTATCAAGCCCGAGAACGCCAACGAGCAGTACAAGGAGGGCACCGATATCCACGTCAACTGGACCGGCCGTGGCGGCAACGTCTCTGCCTCTACTTACCAAGCGTAAGAGAAGATAGGGGAGTGGATGTGAAGTGCTGTCGAGCGGTGCTGCGCATCAGCTTAGGTGCTTTTGAATAATTTGCTCCATGTGAGGGCGGAGCGGACAGGATATCCATGTTGTCGAGTCGGGCAACAGACCAAAAGAGGGATCACCACAGATATATCTGAAGAATGACCAGCAAAAAATAGACATGTTAATCGATCGCTTGATCGCAAGATGAATTTTGATGTTGAGTTGAAGTGTAGCGTCCTGAAGGTTTGAGAGTATCTCGATACTGGGGCAAACCCGTTGATTGCATATCGGGTTTAATGGCTACAGTGTTATATGGTCAAATTGTTATGGTTGCGTAAGCACGTCAATATTGGACGAGTGCCGTACAGACCTCTACGGCTCTGGCTATAAGTGTTGCCCAATATTGATTGGCACTAACTACCCTTGATAAGGATATTGCCTGTCAAGACAGACCAGCGATAGCGAATTTGTCTAGTGAGTATGGTACAGGTCACTGGTGAGGAAATGTATTCTTGTTGAATAAGTGTTTGTACGGAGGAGTATCCGTAAAGTAGTCTAGGTTCAAGAAGAGGATCACAAGGTGAAGCTCAGAGGCGCGTGTGATTGGTCAGCTCCCCACAGCCTCGTCGCGAACGATTTTTGGGCGAGGAACGGCCTGGCGCGCATCGCAACCAGCAGCCCGCCCCGACCACATCGCTTTAGCCACTCGCGTCTGACATCCATCGCGCAGTCAATTGTAGCATCATCGCTCAACCCGAGATCCACATTTTGTTACAGTGTTGCACTACTTGGCGTTGGAAGTGTTACGCGGGCAGGCGGTCCTATCCAAGCCACATCTCACGGTCGCGATCGCAAGCTCTCTGCGCGCCCGTATCCAGCATGAGCCAACCCGATCCCAGCTTCAGCGTTCCGCAGGAACTTGTACGTTTTGTCCAGGCTGCTCTCTCTCAGCATCACATTGCTAACGTGCTCTCAGATTGGCCATGTTCACCTCGTCTCGTCACATCGGTTCCCGCGCGTCGCCAATGTCAACGTCAACGAGGTCGCCAACTGGCTGATGAATGCGCCCAGTATTGCTCGCGACAAAGCCTCCTTCTGCTGGCAATTCCTCGAACGTCCGGCTGATGGCACGATCATCATGACATGGCAGCCGTTGCAGAGACTCAACACAGCGTTCGCATCTGATGGCTACATCTGGGCACCCCCCGAGACCCTATACAAACACGACCTAGGCAACGGCTTGGTATGGCAGCCCCGGAAACCGAGAGCGCCAACATTGCTAATTGTGAATAGATTCTCGAGATCTACTATCTAAAGTCAGGCTTCGTTCCTCAGCAGGAGCAGTATGCTACACACGCACGACGTCGATTCCGCCTGGTCCCAGCGCAAGGCCACCCCAACGCGCCGCAGCCCGACCCGAACCTGTTTATCATCCACTGGGGTCCCGCGGAGCCCGCCGATCAGATGCCCGCGACAATGATTCCCGTTGATCAGCGCATCCACGCGACCATGCAAGCGCGTCAGCATCTCCTTCGACAAGGCCAGATCCGTCGCAAGGACTTCATGCTGTCGGATCGGGCCAACTGGCCCACCCTCCCGGAGCTCACTGGGCGACCCATGGAGCAGCAGATGGCACCTCGAGGTGTCCCGCAACACATGGCCTACCCTCCCCAGGGCATGGCTGGGCCTCCGGCAAAGCGAGCGAGGCACGCGTCGAACCCTAGCCAGCAGGTGCCTACCCCAGGCATGCCCGGCCAGAATGTCCCGGGCCCTATGGACATGGTGGCTTTTGATGATGACGAGGACACCTCCAGGGGTGACATGTTCGATCACATGACACCCCGTGAGATCTCGTACGCCCGCTACCAGCAGAATCACGAGTGGATGGAGGAGATCCTGTCTTCTCCCTACAGGATGTATCAAATCACCCCTTCAGATCTTGGACTAGGCCTCAAGGGGAGTCTGGCTTCCCTCACCGAAGGTATTTTCGCGGCCCAGGGCGCTGAGGCCTACCAGCAGACTGTTGAGGCAGACAAGGCCTACGTTGGCCGCTTGGACCCTGAAAAGGCTACCGAGTTCCGCAAACGGGTGGATGAGCACATTGCCAAGGAGAAGGATGAAATGGAGGAAATGAAGAAGGCGCATGAGGCAGATCTCGCAGCCATGAAGGACAAGTCAATCATGAGTGTCCGTGAGAAGGAGCTCAGGCATCTTCAAGATGCCGGGTCAGAGCTCTGGATGCCCCATGAGAACGGCGAAATCAAGAACGAGGAGTTGAAGAAGACGGTGGATGAGATCATGAAGGAGATTGAGGGCTCGACAGGGCGCAAGATTGAGAGTCAGCCGACCGTCAAGTGCGTTCAGAAGGGTGGCTATCAAGCCCCTGTAGCACCCGAACCGGCGCCTGTTGCAGCGGCGCCCTCCAACCAGATGTCACGACAAGCGTCCAATGCTGGCTCTCAAACCAGTGCTCTCATGATGGGCGAGTCTGACATTGACATGGGCAACACAGCAGCAGGCCTTCTCGATCAGATGGGCACGGGCATGTCAGCGCACTCCACGCCAGGAAATTTCCCGACTCCGCAGGCTCATCTGGTGGGTGCCCAGTCGAGTGTAGCCACGCCCCAAAACGTCAATGTCGGGTCTCCCACTGTTCCGCAGCAACAGCAGCAACAACAACAGTCTATGCAGCCCCAGCCCCAGCAGCAAAGCGGTGACGTGAACATGGGCGGTACAGAGGCTCAGAAAATGACCCCCGGCCAGAGCACGACAGGTGGCGATTGGGTGGTGGTCCCCAAAGACAACACAGCCGCGACAAATGCGCCCTCAGCTTCCAACGGTGGCACTGAGCCAACCCCCCCAGTGCCAAGGGTCCCCTCGGCAGCAGGTACGCCTGGGCTCAATGACACTGGTTTCGATCACAGCGACTTTGGTTCATTGGGTGATCTTGATTCGGCTGGTGATGCACTGGCAAGCTTTGACACGGGTGACCTTGACGGGGGAGCAGGCTCCATGGGCGATGGACTCGATCTCAGCATGGACATGGAAGACTCTGCCTTTGGTGACGCTTTCCATGGAGTGGGTGGCTCGGCAGGGCAGACACCAAGTGGCCATGATGGCATGTAAGAACGCACCTGGTTCTTATCGTCGTGATGACAAAAGTCGGGTAGATCTTGCAAGAGGGGTTCAGGCGTCCGGTCTGTTGGATTTACGCGCAGGTAGAATGCATCTGTTGTTCGCTGTACTGCTATGCGATATGTGTGTTTCGGCTCGTCACTGCTCGATTTGTAGGAAATCAAATAAACACGCTGGACGGCTCTGAATCGGTGAACAGGTGAAGTTATTAGCGACGCGCATACACTCCGTTGGTGCCCGACAGGGGACCCCTTATTTGCTTAAGATTCTCCTAGACAGCATGCAGCCTGGTTCGTACTAAACTCATGCGGAATGAATATGAATAATCAGGGCTTGTGTTCCCATGTTGAATCCTTGTGTTCGATGGAGCTTTACTATTGTGCCATAGTGTTTATCTCTTGGGATCCTAGTTCACAGAGAACAAGAATTAGTATTGTCTTCGGACTCTTTGTGCTATTATCTCCCTGTTTCTTTGACAATGAACGTGAATTGTTCGATCCTTCGAAGTATTCGACCTCGCTTGTGTTCGAAGAATGAACGCCCGAGCTCGAAGATCCTTTGTGTGTGAACAAGGCTGAAGAACGCCGCGTGAAAACCGCAGTTCGTGCGCGAGCCCATGCTTCACTCGAAATGCGTATATACGTAGATAATCGGCCGCCAGTAATGGCTTTTGCAGAACCAAACACTTCAGCCGTCCAACAAACTCAAGATATCTCCTGCAGCCTCACAGCTCACACAAGAAATCTACCACCTCACAAAACACACAAATACGTACAAAGATGCCTCACACTGTCGAAGTCGATGCCGCAACCATGAACATCAAGGACGCCTGGGCCGTCAAGGAAGCTTGTGAGGCTGCTGATGGCTACACTGTCGCCTCGATGGGCATGGAGGAATGGAAAATGACAGTTGACTATGAGCATGGTATCGACAACGCGACATATGAATTTGGCTGGCTCGTGATTGCGATTCAGAACGCGGGCTTCACGGTCACTCATGGTCATAACATGCACACGGCGATTGCAGACTACCAGACCATTGATTTGCTAGTTACCAAATAGGGGGCTGTCAGCCTGAGGCAAAGTTACAAAAGGTAAGTGAGTGAGGCTAAAGGCAAAAGGAATTGGGTTTATTTTGTTTCAGCTGCGGGCGCAGGGGGGGAAGTTTTATAGAAATTGAACGGGTGTGAACACGTTTACTTCTTATCTTGTGCATGTCATTTGTTCTTTGTGTCGAATAGCGAATCTCTCATAGATGCTGTATTACACCACAAAGGACCTGTCTTGCATAATTTGCTGCCGTGCCTGCAGAAGCTGCCTCTGTCTAACGGTCGACGCCCTGGTTTGCGTTCGCTGCAGTGCATCACCCCATTTATCGTGATTGCCGTTCACCGACATAGACGGGGGACTCTCATTCTGAGGCCGCACTCTCGTGGATCTACTCTCCTCGCGACGCGATGACAGCCAGAAAATGTCATGTATGAAGCTGTGCTCTAGTTCTCTGGGATTGCCGTCAGCGGTCCAGAAACGCTCCTCACTCAGCTCTTGCGAAAGATGCCGCCTGAAATAACGATCCTGGGTGACCCACCAGAGACGCCACACGAGGATGATGAACAGCGTCAGGGGGATGGAGATGATCCAATACACCCAAAAGTTGCGACTAAGGATGTTTTCGGACTCGTCGCCGCCACCTATCGCCTTCTTCCCGCCCCCACTACTCCCGTCTTCTTCGTCTTTGCTTGGTGCGAGCCAGTCAAACATGGACATGCCGAACAATGTGCCAATGAACTCTCCGGGGAGGAATATGGCTGTGATGACGGCAAGAGCTTTCATGGAAGCACTGTCGCGACTAGACGCCACAGCCATTCGGGCGTTGAGGGCATTGTCCTCTTGTGCCATGCGACTGTAGATATGTTCAATGAATTAGCTTTCAGCCAGAGAGACCATGGGGAGGAAGACAAACAATGTCGATCTGAGCTCGACACCGAGAATCAGCCATGCGCCGTTCCGTTTCCAGACTCATTGTCAGTCGCAAGAGACCCTCAAGGTATTGCCGAATCTCGTGCCAATGCAGGCCAAGCTCGTCAGCCATTCCAAGCGCAGACCTTGCTCTTGGCCGTCTCCCACCTTCTGGGACCGACAGAAAAGGCAAAGGAGACGGATCCCTTTCATAGGAGCCGAACTGGTCTCCCCCCATATTCAGGTCACGCGTGGGTGGCGGAGCCGTGGAACCCTCCATTCGTTCGGCCAGCTCGTCCCCAGAGATGATCAGCAACTTCACCGCTCGCTCCATGCAACGTATGGTATCCAGAAGCTTGATCGTGTCTCGCAGTACTTCGTGCGCCCGCTTCATGAGGTTTGTCATGTTCATGGCACCCCATGCCTTCACTTCGTCGCCGCCATTACCTAGCCGACGTCTGATCTTTGGATCGCTGGCTTCGAAGCCATCTGTGCTCAATGTGCTGCTGACCTCTTGTTCCAGAGCAACGACATCAAGCGAGTTCTCCTGCACCGCTTCCTCGCAGCGCATGAACTGTACCTGAAGGAGAATCACTGGCATGACGAGCGGATGGGCCCATTGATCGCGGCATGATTCCAGCCTGTGGTCGTACTCGTCCAGATCGTCAAGACGGTCCCGCCTTGGCTCCCAGGTTTGCCTGATCAAGATGGTGGCTGATCGCGTAAGAACATTATATGTCATGGACAAAAAGTCGCACGGCGTTTTGGCCGAGTCTGAGAATGACAAGATCAAGCCTACAGTATGTGAGCATGAAAGGAAAGTAGTGGCAGTGAGCTGCTGAAGACTGACTGAGCATGGTTCGGTCTCTGGACCAGAATCTAGACTCGGTTCCCACGCGGGTAGAGTACTGCAGCGTTGCGGGATGCAGATTGAGATCAGCCAGATCAATATCTGAGAGACTGAGCATATCCGGGGCACCTTCTATAGGTGAAGTTCTCCGGAAACATATTCTAGGGACAATACATCAGATATCTTGCTCGCTCAATGCTCAATGAAGACTCACACTCTACGGACTCGACCATGCAAGTCTTCCATGCCTTCCTCGTGCGGCTCAGGAACACGAAAGTCGCCCTATACAGCGTCAGCCGGAATCTTCAGCGCATTGGAGAAAATAACATACATTTCTGTCCACCATAAATCCATTCCTGAAAGCCAGGTCGAGCATATGTGCCCCTGAAGAGTCATTCTGGCTGAAACGATGTGTGATATGTGTATCACTGTGCCTTTCCTCTGTGGGCTCTCCTTCAAACGAAGGTGTTGCAGGCCGCCTGTTGTACACCACATACTCATCGTACTCGACTCTTGTGTGCGCATCATCACCTGTCAGTAGAACTTGCGCAGAGGTGGCTTGCCGGTCGTAGGTGAACAAGTCCGAACCGTGGTGAACAAAAAGCGTCATCTTGCCCGGGTAGTAGTGGGGGCCGGGAGCAGAACACGCCTTAGCATTTGTGTGTGAACATGAGGCGGTCAGAAGGCGTTTGACAAGATCAATGGATATCCACCTGCGACAGGATCGTGACGGGGCACGGACGGTGGTCATATGTACAAACATAGATCTACAATGGGAATTCGGCAAAGTAGAAGAGTCGGAGTCAACGCTCGCTCGCGGGATGTAATTTCAGCCTCGCTCGGATCGCTCCCACATTGACAACGGACAGGGATGCATGTTGTTGCTGTGGAGCACCGTGAGTGGGCGGCTTCGCTGTGATCCTTGTTGCTGCGGCGCATTGCATGTCGCCCAGAGTTGCTCAGCCTGTCCACGTGATGTAAGCAGGCGATTGAGGCAGGGGGATGCCGTGAGACGCATGCGGCGCAGCAGAATGCAGCTTTCATGTTCGACCGCCTATTATAAGGTAGTGTGAGGAAGGTCGGGAATCCGAGAGATGGATGATGTTGAGTAGAACGTACCTGGTAGACAAGGAGTGCATGATCGGGTTGCTGGATCAAGCTTATCGCTATCAGGGGGCTTATCGAGCATCAGATAAGCAGCCCCTGACTGTTTGCTTTCTTCCCGCCTCCTCGACTACGGCGAAGACTTTATCATTGTCAAGAACATGTCTTATTTATTATTAGCCTATTAATGTCGCGAAGCATCAGGAACATAGGCTAAAAGCGCTTAGCTCCAATATAGTGCTGTCATTCCAGTCGAGGACATGCCTTGTTCAACCCATCAATATCATAGACTACCGAGGACTCAAGCTCCAAACGCTTAACTCTCCAAGGTATACATATTCATTACATATAACAATGTTGCCTAAATACACGCTATGCTGATCCACTGAGCCGCCGTTCAGTGTGCAGGTCTTCAACTGTTACTGGGTCTCCTACCTGTATGGTCGGCCACTGTTCCTCTGCGGTTCTCCTGCTGGTCCTCGGCTCATGTCGCATGTGGCATCCAAAATACACTTTCCCGTCAAATTTCCTCGTTTTTGCCAAGGTAGAGTATGGCTCCTGGCGTTTCTCCCCGGTTCGCTGGTCCACACATACCATCTGGCAACGTCGACAGGCACCAAGCAACTTGAAATCCTGAAGACCTATCCGAACAGACCGCCACGTGTCTTCAGCGAACGGTTGCTCCTCGTCATCTTGGCTGCTTGTCCCAAAGACGATATTGGCACGGAACGACGCCTCGTCAACTCCGGCATTGCCCCTTGCCTTGATCTCCATATTGAGTGCGGCAACACTCGCACTCTGGATCATCAGAATAGGGCTCTCGTTCGACAGAAGTATCTTTCCATGTTGCTGCACCTCGCTATCTGAATCAGGAGGAGATGGTATCTCGGGGAATGAACCAGCTAGCCTCTGATGGGAATTCGCCTGCTGGTACTGTTGGATCCTGGCCTTCGAAGACCGACTCCCTGGGCCTTTACCGCCAGCAGGGAAGCGAGCCAAGGTACACGGTACACCCAACGCTTCGGAGAAGAAGCCGTTGATCCTCTGAGACTTGTGATAATGAGTCGATATAGACTCGCCACAGACGCGAGACAATATTTGCCGCGGGCTGTTCTCGAATAGATCCGGATTGAGTGACAAGGGTACTTCGACCGAGCCTAGTGGAGGATACCCTCTCCAGGAAACCCGCAGAGCACCTTGTTCAAAATCCAACTCGGGCTTCAACAGAGCCATCTGCGGGTAGCGCTTCTGGCTGAGAGCCTGGCCGGAGCCACGATGCACTAGACACCACTCTCTATCCCACGCCAAACCCTCTCGCTTCACCTCCCAGCGCACCCCGGGCGGGATTTCGAAAGGCGCACAGCTCTTTATGGGGAAAACGGAGAGACTCTTTACCTGGAGACCACGCGATGGAGCGCGCAAGCTCGTCCGGGTCGTCGGATTCGGGGGCTCATTCTCGATGAAGAACTCCTTCAGAAAGGCCAGGAAGCGATTGACATCCGATGCAGTACTCATGGCCCCAAAACTAACTCGAATAACGCCACTTGGTTTGCCGCCCGTGAGGTCGCTGTCCGTGCCGCAACGAAGTCCCGCCGAAAAGTTGTGCTTCATCTCCCACGGCTGGAGACTCAGGGCGGATGCAAGGCCACCAGGGCTACACATGCCTCCTGTTCGGACGTGCATCTGCTTCAAAGTCGCAATTTTGTCAAACTCGGCCAGACTCAACCATGCCCCAGCAATATTCCTCAAGTTAAAAGACACAATCGGTCCAAAGTCTGCATCATTCCCTGCTTTGCCATACACCATGCATAAAGGGTTTCTGTTTCCGTGCTCCAAGGCATGGAGCCCATCGATAAATTGTTTCCTTAGTCGACTCGTATGAGAGGACACTTGAGCCATGGATCCGTAGAGCCTTTGGTGGGTGACGATGGCTGCCTCCACCGAGATAATGTTATGCAAGGGTAGTGTGCCATCTTCCAGACGTTCGTGGAGAAGGTCCGGTTTCGGCGCGTGCCATCGTTCCTTTCCAGTGATAACCATGTCCACGGTTCCCCCGCCAAAGTACTTCCTTCGAGAAAAGACAGATCCAGCCGCCCGGCGAACAATGAGAACACCCACGTCAGGAAACCCAAATAGTTTGTACAAACTTAAGACTGTGAAATCAGGGGCCCGGTCATGGCCACTGAGGTCGAGTGGTGATGTTGCGGCCAGGGACGCCGCATCGAGGAGTGTATAAGTTCGAGACTGACTGGCACGAGGGCAGTCTCTGAGGTCTCTGGCCCATGTCAGGGGGTATCGTTTCCCATCAAAATGAGACTGTGCAGTGAACGCCACGAGTGTGTCCGGGGTGTCAGCGCAATCGACAAATAACGGTGCGTTCCCCTGAAGAAGTTGTGCGACGTCTTCGTCATCGAAGCAGCGAGCATGTCGAGCTTCTTCACGAACACCAACGAGGCTGGTATGACACGCCTGGTGATGTGCAAAGTTGAATCCACCGGGCAGTGATCTCATGCCTTCCACCACAAGCTTGACGCCAGCTGTAGTGTTGGAGACAAAGACCAGGTCGAAATCACTCGGGTCAGCTTTGAAAAATGTAAGGAGCTGTGACCGCGCATTCTCGATGCGGTCGGCTGAGCGCTGCGATGGACCCGAAACTGAATGTGGATTTCCATAGAGGTTCGAGATCATGTCCTGCGCAAAATTTTCCATGAGAGACCTTGGTGGTAGGGTAGTTCCCGCATGGTCAAGATATGTGGCATCTGGGAAGCTGTCAGTCAACAGGACCGGACCAGTACGTGCAGGCATCACATACCCTGCAGCATGGGGTACTCGATCTTGCGCATCCGTTCAATACCCTCGTCGTACTCATCGGGCTGTCTGCAGGAGGCATTCATCTCCATCTTGCCTTATGCGTTGACAGGCTTTTGGCTCAGTGACTTAAAAAACGACACCAAGGGTTTGTGTCGATATGGACTTTAGGGACGAGACGATCGCTCATCTATCGCGGGATCGTCGGGCCTGTGAAGTATGAACCACAGGTGCGTTTGATGTGAGATTCATCTCGGATACTGAGAGAGACAAAGCATGTCGAAGTGAGGAGGAGAGCAATGGCTGGGCCATAGAGAAATTGTACATGTGTTCATCCTCTCTTACCATAGGTACTCGTGGACTCGGTTTAGTCCGGCGAGACGGAGATCGCCACCTTCCATTCCCGCCCTAGGCAAATGGTCAGCCACTCCCATTGGCCGACGCGAAGAATCCAAGCACTGTGCACTAGCACCTCAGAGTGGCTGTACGTTGTGAACAAAGTTAGATGAAGGTGGCTTCACAGTGTGGAAAATTAGGTGTGCATCGCACCAATTGAGCTCCGCGCGCACTGTACCAGAGGTGCAAGCCGGAGCTGACGACCCTACACGCATCCGCGCGACTTCGCATCGGCAGCAGCTCCGGCTCCAGTTCAGCTTCCTTCGCCCTCGCAACAACGCTGGCCGTGTTCTCGCAGCGCTTCAATTGATCAACGATTCTGGTCTGCCCACATTTGCTCGTTCGAGCCTGCATCATCCTTCAAAATGTTTGTTCAACTATTTCTTCTCTATCGCTCCTCGACACCTCTGCCCAACCTCCCCTAGCTCGCGGTTCTTCATTGCAGCTTTCTATGCTGCGGACCGTCGATCCCGATGCACCACGTCTCCGTCCCATTTCTCACGATGTTGCCGCTCTCTTTTTCTCGTGGAGTCGCCCGAGGGCGGCTTCCAATTACCTCCCACTCACTTTTGCTTCCTTACCTACTTTGCCTCGCGCAGCACAGCCACCAACTCTTTTGTCACCTTTGCTTAAACGTACCTCTGACCATCTTCAAGACGTCAAGCCGCCCAGATCCACTGCTTCAAGTGCCGGGTGTTGTTGTTTAGTTTTCGGTTGATAGATTGACCGTCCCTGTCTGCCAATATGGACTCTTACTCGTCGTATCGCGATCCGGCGCGCTCGCCTCGCCCGCGCGATGACTCCCGCGACAGAACTCGCGAAGACAGAGGAGATTCTTACTATCGTGGGCGATCGCCAGGTTTGTCAGCCTCTTCCGGAATCCAATGCTCGGCCCCTAACCTATTTAAGGCCACGACCGCCGCGAACGACGTCGTTCCAGATCACCCGTCCCGAACATTGACCGATATGAACCGCGCCCGAGGCGCGACGACCGTGATCGCGATGACCGCCGCCGTAGTCCGCCAGCGATTGACCGTTACGTTCCCGGCCAAGACAGCGGAGCACCCGCTGTACTACACAATCCGGTTGCCGATCCCTCAAAGCTCCCGTACCAGGTCGGATTCTCTTACTTTAGCGAATGGTGGAGAATGAACGAGAAAATCAAGGAAGATAAAGAGCGAGCGCGGACTGGACGCCGTCGCGAGGCAGAACGGCCTCGCGGACCCAAGGAAGCCCAGGAGGAACGGGAAAGGGAGAAAGCCAAGATCCAGGCAGCGTACGACGCGTACAAGGAAGAATTGCAGGCCAAGATGGCTCGCACCTTTGTATCCGAGCACAAGGGTGAGCAGTGGTTCAAGGAGCGCTACGTTGCGGAAGTGAGGGATCCTTTCCGCGCGAGACTTAACGAGATGCGCAAAGGCTCGTATGCGCAATGGGAACATGCCGTTGAAGCGGGTGTGCTCGATGACCTCACCCTCGAGGGTCTGACGAAGAATGAGAACGGCGTAGCCGTGACAGACAAAGAAGAGGGTGAAACTCACGATGTCCTTGGAGTAGGCGACTTGGTCCCTACCACCAGTGCGGATGTGAGGGACGAGGCACAGCTGCAACCTGCGTTGCTCATCAAGACCATTGCTCCTCACGTGAGCCGGGCAAACCTGGAATCTTTCTGCAGGGAACATCTCGGCGAAGAGGAAGGAGGCTTCAAATGGCTGTCATTGTCCGACCCCAACCCAAGCAAACGGTACCACCGCATCGGCTGGGTGATGCTGCACCCTGGCCCAGATACGGAGATGGCAACCGATCGCGTCGACCCGAAGGACGAAGATAGAGATGGTGATGAGCCGATAAGATCGCCGCAGCCATCGCCCCAGCTCGTCAGCACAGCCGAGAAGGGTCTGCAGGCCATCAATGGCAAGACGGTCAAGGACGAGCAGCGCGGTGACTTTGTGTGTCACGTTGGAATCCACAACCCGCCGAGCAACCCAAGAAAGAAGGCTTTGTGGGACTTGTTTTCGGCGCCAGAACGGATCGACCGCGACCTCGAGCTGATCCGCCGACTCGTGAACCACTTTGAGGATTCCTTTGGGACGGACTTCCAGGCCATCGTCAAGGTCGAGGAGCGTGTCGAAAACATGAGGAATGAGGGCCGTCTGCAGCCGCCCGCACTCCCGACGACCAAGAAGGCGGTCAAGCATGAGCCCGAGAATGATGAAATGCTCGACGCCGAGACGGGCGCCGTTGACGAGGAAGAGGAAGAAGAGGGCGCCATTGAGGACGAGGACGCCGTGGACGACGAGGAGCTTCTTGCCAAGAAGAAGCAGCTGGACATGCTGATCGAGTACCTTCGACGCGTGTTTAACTTTTGCTTCTTTTGCGTGTTTGAGAGCGATTCAGTCCATGAGCTGACCCGCAAGTGCCCAGCCGGCCATCTCCGTCGACCGCGCTCGACACTGTCCCCTACCGCTCGCGAGGTAGCCCGCGCCAGCGCTCTCGGAGAACCGTTCCCCGAGAAGAAGCGCGTCGACAAGGTCGAAGAGGGCGAGATTGACAGTCCGGAAGGAGAGCGAAAGCCCCGAGGCGCGACGAGTAAAGCTGAGCAGCAGCTGCTTCGAGCTTACAATTGGGTCAAGACCTTTGAAGACAAGGTGATGCAGATCATTGACCCCGCGTCAGCCGACCTCCGGAAGCTTGGTGGTCGCCCAACGGAAGAAGCCGTGGAGGAAGAGATGCTCAAACATGTCAAGCAGGAGGATGAGCACAAGTTCAGGTGCAAAGTGCCCGAATGCACCAAGTTGTTCAAGGAAGAGCACTTTTGGAAGAAGCACGTCGAGAAGCGGCACTCTGATTGGCTCGATGGCCTGAGAGAAGAGGTACGAATAAGACACGGCATGACCAAAGATGCAGATGCTAACGAGGTTTTGGCAGTTTGACCTGGTGAATGCCTACGTGCTGGACCCTGCACATATTGCCCCGTCGCGAACAGACGCCAACAGTAATGGCCACTTCCCGCAGCCGAATGGACAAGGCATTGCCGGCACACCGAGGGGGTTCAACCTCTCCAACTTCTCCATGAACGGTATGATGCCGAACCTCCCCCTACCTGGGGCCAACTTTGGCCAATTCCTCGCGGGGATGCAGCCTGGTGGCTTCAACGGCATGGGCGACGACCGAACAGGGGGCCCTATGCGTCGCGGGGGCATGCAGAGCAACCGCGGCCAATTCAGATCTGGACCCTACGATCGTCGTGGAGGGCGGTTTGACCCTGGACGCCGCCCCGGTGGCTCGCGCTGGGGGGACGGTGCTGGGGCTGCTGCCGGTGGCCCACAGGAGGCCGTCCAAGGGCGCAGCCTGAAGAGCTACGAGGACTTGGACCATGTGGCAGGAGGTGGCAGCGGCGAGCTCAACTACTAGCTTGCGAGGCTGTATGGACTGTGAAGGTCCTGCTATCCCCTTTAGAAGAAAACATATCAAGGAACGGAGACTGCGGTGGCTTACTCTGCTTAAGGCGTTCAGGTGGGTTAATGGGGTGGTTGTACAGAATGGGAACGAATGACAGATTGGAACTCTAGTTAAGGATTTGGTCACATAGCCACAATTATTATCACTTGCAGCCAAGTATTAGGCCTGTTTCTGAAGTTATGAAGTGGTGGAACTGAGCTGAAACGTGCACACATGGTGTAAGTACCATTCACTCGACAAGGTCGCTCGCGTTGGTGTTTCTTGGCTGGGCAACTTGCCAGCGTTGGTGCCAATATCGATCCATTCCTATCTTCATTCTCTACTACCGGCAGCAAGTCGCATAAGGCGATGATGAACAGGTTCGACCGTCTCGCTGCGGCCGGAGAGACTGTCAAGCTCGCCAAGCTATTTGTGCAACACTTACGTGTCGATAAGAGGCCCGAGGCTCGCACGGACAGGAAGGTCCATAACCTAATCTACTAGACCGCTGGCGTTGAGGCGCGAACTGGCTTCCTAAAGTTCAAAGTCGACGTTCTGCACGCCATCAAACTTCGATGGTTCTTGGCCTACGTTGCAGACTGCGTGGTCCTCGCGTATCGACTGCAACAATTTTTACAGCCTGTGAGCATTATAAGGCTTGAGGGCTACATAGAGCCATATAAAGGTTTGCACTTTACGATACAATCATCTCGCGGACTGGAGGGAGTTCGGCAGAGGCCTTGAGTAGACTCTCGACAAGCCAATCAGCGCTCCCGATAAAGCGGCCCGTGTCCCCACACCCCACCATCCATCCGGCTGCTTATCTGTGACATTTTTTTCCTCTCCCACTGCCAATCTGAATCTGAATCCCGACCGGCTTGGAAGATTTCTGCTATTGGCATTCAGTGATTGCTTTGCCTTTCCACTGCGCGAACAACTGGCCGAAGAGGGCCCCAAACCGACAAAATGGGCATGTTAGCAGAGACCAAAAGGTAGATTGACCGTCGGCAACTACCCAGACAACCGCTAATTGCTCAACAGCCGGCGCAAGCTCAACCACGATCCCAACAACACGAAATGGTCTCGCGACACGACGACATTTGGCCAGAAGATTCTCCGCTCGCAAGGATGGCAGCCGGGCGAGTACCTCGGCGTGCAGGATGCGGCACACTCCGAATTCCACACTGCCGCCAATGCCTCCTACATTCGCGTCTCACTCAAAGATGACATGAAGGGTCTCGGGTTCGACAAGCGCAAGGAAGACGAAGTTACGGGCTTGAACGAGTTCTCGGACCTACTGAGCCGCTTGAACGGCAAGAGCACCAAGAGCGTGGAGCAGGAGAAGGCCAAGAGACTGGAGGTGAAGATGAGCGCGTACGTGCAACATCGGTACGGAGCTATGCGCTTCGTGAGGGGCGGACTCTTGGTTGGAGACGAGTTGAAGAAGGACGATGAGAACGAAGCGACCTCCGAGACGGTGGAATCTGACGAAGGCTCGTCTGGTACGGACGAGGTGTCCGAGAAGAAGCAGGAAGAGGCGCCCCCATCGTCGAAGAAGCGCAAAGCAATGGATGACGACGAGGAGGACCTTTCGTCGTCATCGTCATCATCGGAGGAAGAGGAGAGTCGGAAAAAGAGGCGCAAAAAGGAGAAGAAGGAGAAGGCTAAACCCAAGAAGGACAAGCACGGCAAGAGCAAGTCCAAGAAGCCGTCCGCCTCGCCCACCGATACAGACGACGAAGACGAGGCAAAGAAGGCCAATCGAGCGCGGAAGGAAGAGAAGCGCGCCAAGAAGGAGCTCAAACGGGCGAGGAAGGAGGAGAAGAAGCTGAAGAAGAAGCGCAAGGTGGAAGCCGAAAGCGATGCTTCCGAGTTTGCTGCTGCTACGACAGCTACCGCCACCCCTGTGATGTCTGGAGCTTCAACGCCGCGGATCAACAATCCTCACCGTGTGCGGTCACGGTTCTTGGCGGCGAAACGAGAGGCTTTGATGGATCAAAAGGCGTTGGATAAGGTATGTTCACTTCCCCTCTCTAGGTTTACATTGCGCGCCTTGACTGACTTGTGGCAGATCTGGATGGTCAAGACTTGATGTTACCTATATATGTACGGCTGGTTGAAAAGGCACGATAGAAACGCCACTAGATCCACTGGATGCAACATTGTGGTTGTGCATTTACTCAAGGAGTTTGCAGCGTTCATCTGGGTTATACCTAAATAGATTGCATTTACATCTATCGCTCACGTCTGTTTGAAGCCGCGAGTGCAGCCAATATCGCCGTGTTACCACAGCCCTGCCCCAGCCGCTCTTTAAAAAGATGGGGTTTATTGTGTTTAAAATCAGGTGACAGGTTTTATGGAGAAGATGCTATCCACGTTTTTGTGCAATTAATTCGAATCCTACCCCGAGACTTTGGGCCACGAACATGTGATCATGGCTCGCTGTGATCTGCATAGAGCGCTTGCTTCATCGAGGCTTTCCCGTCGATGATTAGTCAGCGCAAAGAGAAGAACTTCGATGATTAGAATATCAGAGCTGCTACTCGATGTTGACTTTACATGCATTGTGAACACGTAGTAATATTTATTCGTTGTGGCAAGCTGTCTCAAGAGTGCGATAACCCTGCCGCCAGCCCGGCAACACAGAGACGGTGCGAGGGCGGCGTGTGAGCCTAATAAATTCGCACCCACCTATAATTTCCAACCTTGTCTGAGCTAAGAATGACAGTCTAACAGACCGCCCCAACCAAATAACGTCTGCCCGGGTATATATAGAATGGTGCGTCTTCACTGCTACCTGAACTCGCCTTTCCTCTTATTGTCGACATCCGCACTCTGCCTTTTGTTTACATCAGGTTCTCGTCTCCCCTAGGCGAACTTGATGACTTCAATCATGTTTCCTATTCCATGAATAACCCCGTATGCGCCACTGCTACACGCAGTCACCGCAAATCGATTCCATCATCCGGCACGCCTGCCTTGCACATCTGCATCCATCTACAACATATCACTGCCACGCAACATCCTATGCGCAGATGTATTCCGCTCTTGCTGTCATAACCTTCCCAGGTAATGCTGGTCGAGGGTCTGGCGCGTTCTCGTCAGAGCGAGACCCCCGAACGACTTGCCCGATTGTCAACATGTCACGGCCACACTTCGAGTCCTAGCGTCTTGCCATTTTCTCAATGTGGCCGGTTCTACATTCCTGGCATATTGACGATGAGCGACCGACGGATCGTGCCGACTGCGACGATTTGTCCTGGGCAGGACATTAAAAGGCCCACTCGGTGTCGACGTGGTATGGGCTCTCCCACCTCGACAACCAAGGATGGCCAGCATCTGAGTCAGGACAGTGCTGGACCAATGGGTCCTGGGCATGACAGTTAAAAGGCTCGATGAGCGTGGGTGAGCCGACGTCGCTCCCCACGCAATCAGAGTGGCGAGACTATTGTGTCGGCCACATCGAAACGCGGTCGTAACTAACGACGTACGACGCGTGAATTTCCTCGGACCGTCAAGAGACACGGGCTGAGACAGGTGGTGCCTTTAATGATGACAGATGCATCATCAAAGGCAGATCAGAGTGAATTGATTGGATGAGTCGGTTCACTCAATTAACCTGGCAAGAGGGATTAACCCCTCTGTCCCCAAAAGGGACAGACATTTAATGTCGTGCAATCAGTGATTTGTTTGGATGAGTCGGTTCACTCAATTGACCTAGCAAGAGGGATAGCCCCTCTGTCTCTAACAGGGACAGACATTTTATGTCGTGCCCATGCCAGTACGGAACTATATGTCCGTACTGGCGATACAGGCTGTTGGGCCCACCAATATGCTCAACAGCAGTGGGTAGGCGTTTCCAGTATATGATATTGCAAGTGGCCCGAGCTGCCCGCAACGGGCAGGGATCCCAGGAGGACTCTTTCTGAAGGGGACAAGCGTGATAGTGTGAGCAACTTCCAAGCTCACTGCCCCGGAGCCAGCGTCTCGGACTAGGCCGAGGAGAGTTGTTGGTCGAGTAGGCACTCGACAGCTATGTGCCTGGGATGTGGCGGATGGCATTCATCTCCCGACAGACTGCGGCTTTTCGCGCAGCCCGCAGGAGATGAGCGGAACCTCAGGATGGAGGGATGGTCACGCCTCCCGCGAACTTTGCGGAACCATGTTTCGTGGTGTTTGGTCCTGACACTAGGCGATATTATAACTGGAAACGGTCCCACTCCCCGACAAGAGGAAATTGGATGTGGTATTTGATTTGGCTGGAGGGACGCTTGAACTCTTCATCATATGATAGTTGAATTTGTGAATACAAGTCCTGCCTTTCCTACCTTGCTTGTCACCGCGTGAGATATATGGATACGTGACTAACACGGTAAGTCTGAAGACCTCGTGCATCATATAGACACATGGAAGCAACACAGTAGCACGGCTTGCAATTCACAAGGACTCATTGGAATGAGTTCACAACATGTTATAAATCTTAGAACAAATATCAGATTGTTTCTAAATCCGGCATGAAAGCCTCGCTAGCTTGGTACTTGCTTTAATGCATACCCAAACGCCATCAATCGGTAATGTACACTAATGCTGCCCTTGCATAGTTCATGTTCTCTCACTCAATTCTCACTTCGCATTACGGCCGAAGTTACTGAAGCATGGTTAGTGTCAGAGCGAACCATCGGGCACAGCAACACATACTTGTGGAAGAATGTTCCGAAGAAGCCAGGCTTGGGCCCTTGGTCGGACAATGACTGTCGACGGGCAAGGTTGGCGTCGCTACTACGCTTCTGATTTTGCAGACCCTCAAAGGCAGGCATGAGACCCGAGCTCTAAGTTTTGTCAGATACCGTACATCAGACTTGGAGAATGGAGGGGACTAACCCGGCGACGGCTGCCAGTGCTGGTTTGGGCGGTGGTGGGCGGGCTCTGGGATGCTTCAGACATGTTGGCGTGTTCGGTGGAAGATGTTGTCTTAGGGGAGAAATTGGCAGTGATTCAGATGTTGAGGTACAGGATCGTGATGGGTAGAGGGTGGAGGATGGACAAATATTGGTCATGGCGGGTTGCTTTCCAATATATATGTTCCCCGAACAGTACCTACGCTTCTCCTCATTGACAGGTAAGGGCTAGTGACACCCCCTCCCACCATGACGTTCTTGAAGGGAGGACGGCCATCATCGTATTCTTAGGGGAAGATCTGTCCCACTGTGGAATGCGGTGATCCAGTGTCATCATAAGCTGTGCATTCTTCATTTAGAGTAGCTGGCGACAGCCTTATCCTGATTCAAAGCTCTACAAGGCCTATCTGAGCTCCCGGGCACAAGAAACGTGCCAAAAGTGCAGCTCAGATGGAGAATTGACAGAAACAATGCTCAAGGCTGTCCTGTCTGCACCGACATCACCTGGTCTTTCTGACAGCTTCAGACCATCCGCACCATTTGCAGGGGACACACCCCTCCTCTAGCCCTGATAATCAGGAACTGAAGCGTTGGCTTCGATCGCAGCACCAGTGCCGCGTGCATGTAGCGAGTGTGATTCCGCTACTGCGTTCATGACAAGGTTCAGGTGGTGCGGCAGAGCAGAATCGAGAACAGTCGATGATCCCCAGTGAGTGGACTCTGTGAGTCTGTGGAGTACGTGGAGGACGTCATGGCGGCCTTTAGCGTCATCACGACCCTTGCCGGCGGTGGGCTAAGCTAATAATTACGGGTCGCTCAAAGTCCTGGGGCAGGTGATTAATGATTCTGCATGTCTATCGCTTCAAAGTGACTCGGGGTAATATCTTGTGGTAGCTTCTGTGGATGGATGGGCAGCCCCTCCCATCCAGCGCCAGTCGATACCTACACGTACGTGTAGACTCAATCCACCACTGCACACACGCAGGGTCTGGCCCACCCACCTGCTTTGCTTGGCTACAGTAGCATCCTTCTGACACTAGAACACTAGGAAGCCATGCGAATTCGAGAATTCCGAATCAGAACCGCACCGTCGATATGCAAGCCCACGTTTTGGCGATCCAGGCCGAGAAGTGGTGACGCATCACAGATCCTGATGCTGGAGTTGCACCAATCTCTGGCGATCGATGCTAGCCATCGGGGCATGGTTCCGGCGGACGGATCGGCCGTTGTGGGGAAAGCCTGGAGACAGCCGTGGACCCCTGTTCCGGTTCTGGGCACGGGCTTGGCAGGCCTAATCGAAAAGCAGCAGCAGGAATCAATGCGTGAATTGAGCGAATGTTGGGTCTTTCCCTCGCTCGTGTCGTGCGAGCGTTCCTCGTGGGGTGACTCATTAGACTGGGAGACATCGTAATTCGTGATGCATTGAGTTCTGGTCTACCCCCTCCTCTACTACCCCGTATCCTACTCCTTTTCCAGCCGCACAGCGGGGTTCCTCTCGATGAAGTTGAGGTCCACCTTGTGGCCCAATAGCTCGCGGATGTTCGAGATCTTGTACTTGATCATCGTCGGCCTCTCCAGGCTCAGACCCCAGCCAAAGACACGCATGTCCTTGGGGAGGCCCATGGACTCCAGCATCTCCGGCCTGAACATGCCACTGTTGCCGATCTCAACCAGCTTGCCCAACCCTTTGTGGTAGCTGAAGATCTCCATGCTGGGTTCGGTGTACGGGTTGTATGCTGGCTTGAACTTGAGGTCGGTGATGCCCATCTTGGTGAAGAAGACCTCCATGAACTCCATGAGACCACCCAGTGTCAAGCCGTAGTCGGCAATGACACCCTCGACCTGGTGGAACTCGGCCAAGTGTGTAGCGTCGACAGTCTCGTTACGGAAGACGCGATCGATCGAGAAGTACCGTGCGGGTGGTGGCCGCCCGTCAGGCCCCTTCCTGGATGCCAACTTGTACAGCATCGCTGTCGAAATGGATGTAGTATGTGTGCGCAGCACGAGCTTGAGCGACTCATCTGCTGACCAGGGGTACTTGTAGCCAGTTGAGCCAAACTTGCCATCCTGGTGTACCTCCTTGACGTTGTTCCAGTACTGTTGCGTGTCCTGTCCCTCCACCTCGGCGCGCGGCCTGTCTGCCACTTTGGGGTCTGAAATGTAGAACGTATCCTGCATATCACGCGCGGGATGTTGTTGCGGTACAAAGAGCGCGTCAAAGTTCCAGAAGCCGGTCTCGACAAACTTGTTGGTAGGCATCTCCTCGAAACCCATCTCAAAAAAGATTTGCCGGAACTCGTGTCGGACCTTGTTCAGGGGATGCAAGGCGCCGGCGTGCTGTTCCGATCCGAGTGCATTGAAGTTGTACGGCTTAAACTTGGTATCTTTCCACGACCCTGAGCTGAGCATCTCAAAGGTCAGATCTGTCTCCTCCTTCTCAATCTCCAAGGCGAACTTGGGGCCCTTGTCCACGGTGAAGCTGATGACCTTTTGCATCTTGACGAGCTTGCGCTTCTTCAGCTCGCTCACTTGCTTGGGCTCGGCCGTACGAGTCTCCCTGATCTCCAGCAGCTGCGCCCGCGTGGTATCCTGAATCGAGTCGACAGTAGCCACGAGTTTGCCCTCCTTGCCCTTGGCAATCCACTTGTCCTTGAATCCGACCTTTTGGCCGGCGCTGACCACGTTCTTGTCGCCAATGGCCTGCTGCAGTTCCTGGACCGACAGCCCCTCCACCGCCTGGCGAAGTGCCTCGAAAACACGAGATTCGTGGCTGCCGTGTTCAATGATTTGCTCGGCTTCGGGCTCCAGAACGACCTCCTCTCGTGTCTGTGTCTCGTAGGTGATCATGGACCTTGAGCCCAGTCGGTCCAGTGCGGCTTTGACATCTTTTGAGGGAATGGATGGGAAGGCTTCGGAGGTTACAATGGGACTTTGCTGCGAGAGTTTCTGCAGGATTTGGGTCGTCAGATCCCCCGTCGGCACCGAGCTGGCAGTCGTCATTTTCGCTTTGATGTCGAGCTAGGCCCGTGGCACGCCAGTTGCTCAAGACTGGTCGGATTCCAAGTCAATTTCTCTGAGTCACTTGTGTGATCGCCAACGCTCCGATTCTCGTGGAGGGGAAATTTGGCAGCTTCGCGGCATCTGCATGGCGGGGTGCCCTGCATCGGCGCGGTGATTCTTCCGCTCCGTTTGAGTACGTACCTTACTTGGCTTGACCGGGGTGAGTACGTACTCTGTGAAGTGTGGACCACGCGACCAACCATCGCTGGCAGGCGACTCCGTCGACTTCGACCTTTTGAAGTAAACATTGAACGATGAACACTTATCGTCGAGTGAAATAGGCGTGACAATTCCAGCCTGGTGCAACAGTTCAACAAATCACCGCGAATGGTCTTGAGTCATTGATGTCGCCTGCGTTGTGCAGACCTTCCCATGTTGACAGAACATGAGCACAGGCGACTATGAGCAATGATGCCCCGTCAAGCTCTGCGGCGCCGATACGAGACAGCGGCGATGCTATCCCAAGCACGAACGAGTCTCCCGCCACAGGTGGTCAAAGACTGCGCGATGGTCGCCGGCAGAAGAAGAAGACGAAGAAGCGGAAGAAGCGCAACGAGGGTCTCAGGAAGAAGCTGGATTTCGTAACGGATCTACTCAAGGGGCTGGACACGTTTGTCTTCGCCGAACTGAGTGCGCTATACTACATGGAGTACGTTGAGCCAAACATCTCCTCGAAACTTGTGCTAATCATTGATGCAGATGCTCCTTCTTCCGACTTCTGATCCGTGGCGCCGCGCAATTGATGTACTTGTCGCCGAAAGACGAGACTATCCCATTTCACATGCCAGCGAGTCGCCTCCACGTCGTCCTCCTTCTTCTCCCCAATATCTGGTGTACATTGGTACATGCGTTTAGCGTTGTGCCGCAAGCGAAGGAGTATCACAGAGGGTATATGCATGGCGGCATGATCATAGACTTTATTGGGCAGAAACCGCCCGCGCATAGGGCGTACTACCTGCTCGCGGATCTTCTCATTCTTTTTCTGCAATTCTTCATGCTCGCTGTTCATACAGAGCGCGAGAAGCTGCGAGTACTGCTCAAGACGTTTCGTCCACTTGCTTCGGAAGCTACACTTGCATCGACGACGACAACGACAACCGCTCGCACGATTGAGGAGTTGGATGCAGAGGAAAGGGGCATGCCTGCGATGGATGCCGGCCAGGGGGACGCTACCGACGACATCGAATTGCAGCCTCTGCCCAGCTCATCACACGACTTGCAAAGGACGGATACAGGTGACTCCAATCAACATGTTGAAACATCGCGAGATCGCACAGCGGACATACTCGACTCAGGCAACGCTACGATTGGCGAGTACCATATCATTCAATGTATAAAGGTCGCGGCCACCGAGACGGAAAGGACGACGGCGCAGTCACTGCAAAGTATAGGATACCGGGCTACCCTGGCCGCTATAGACGCGAGGCGTAGGGGCGTGCCTGTACAAAGGCGGGTGTCCAGCACGAATGGAGCATAGATGGACGGACGGAGGAGAGGCAGGCATAACATGGCGTTTGTGGAGAATACGTTGTCCACTTTATCGCATTCAATGCTTCCCATTCAAGCCATTTTCCTACCAACATTGCCAACGCCAGTTCCCTTGACGGAAATTAGGATGTCATCGGTCTCGTCCTCCACATCGCGTAGACCCCAAGTGCTTGCTCCGAACGTTCGCAAGTCCCGTGCCAAGCCAACCATCTCTTCACTGCCCAGGACTTCACGCCCTATTCGTAACCGGCCAACGTCTTCTGAGCCCATTGCCATCAACACGAGTATAGTGTTCGCCGCTACCGGGCTGACACATCCACCCTTGGAAATGGTCTCCAGCAGTTGATATGCGCATCTCTTGCCGATGTCTTCCGGGACCTCTCCTCCACTCGGTGGCACAACCACGTCGGCAGAGTAAATCACACCTGCGGCGCTTGACTCGGCGACCAGGCTCAGCCCGTACCCAATACCCAGTCTTCGTTTGCTTCCCGTCTTGTCCCCTGTAGCAACCAATGGCGCTTGATCGTACTGTGCGGCGATGTGAACGTCGGATACAAATGGGTTCAGGATCTCCCTCGCCGAATGAATCATTCTCGCGTTGTTTGACGCAGACACGCCAGTTGAGTAGGCCACACCTCGTATCCTCTTTATCCTCCCAGGGCTCCGGTTGAGGTGTAATGTCTTGGGTAACCGAACCTGGCTTGCAAACCGTAGTTCCACCATACCACCGCCGCCTTTGCCTTGCGGACCTGCGCATGACCTTTGCAATACCCGAATCTCGATGCGGGCGGGTGGGATGCCGAAGAGGGCAAAGAGAGGGAGGATGGCGGTTCGGAAGGTGTCGACGGAAGGATCGCCTGTTTCGGTGGATGATGTGATGACGCCCGAGCCGGAGAAGCGGACATTCATGTGTGATTTCGAGAAGGGTGCGAGGAGACAGAGCGGCAAGAGGAAGTATGTCACTCCACGGGCGCAGTTGTGTGGGAGTAGATGTTCAATGACATCGCCTTCCGTCGCGCCCTGCCCCGGTATTGTCCCCGTGATCAGGCCGGGGTGATATGTCATGGTCGTACCGGTGTAGGAGATCTGCATGGAGGAGCCATTGGTGATGGCCTCGAGCAGGCGCAAGAAGGAGACCTCATGGGGCGCAAGGCCAGGGTTCGTCGGGGAGGAGCTGCGGATCTTGGAGATGTGGACGGGTCGGCCAGTCAACGTCGAGAGAACGAGGCGCTGGGCAAAGGCCCGATGGCCTGTGAATCGCAGGTACTCGGGCGCTGAAGTCGACATTTTCGCTGTGAATATGTGCGCTTGGCCGATGCGACCATCTCGGCTGCTCAACGTTGGTAGGGGAAAAAAAAGGTCTTTCTGCCGAGTCAGCCTTGAAGGAAGGGGCGCGAAAGGCAGGCGGTCAAGGGTGCTCCGCTAAAAAGTCAGAGGTCATCCCTTATCGATAAGACCCAGCTTGCAAGATCTTGGACATGCGTGACGCGCTCCTGAGTGCTGACCCTGGATCATCAATCGCTTGCATGGTTTCTTACTGGTTTCTTTCGATTTGTTTCTAGACATACATGGCCCAGTGTAAATAAGATGTCAGGCAGACCGTCGCTGCTGAATCTACGGAATGGCAGCGACAAGATCTGCCAAACCTGCCTCATAGGTCTACGTCGAGAACGAGCCCCGCGACCGCAACCATGGATCGCCCATTTCTCTGCGCAATCAACTGCGCCCCAGGGTCGAAGAGCTCGCATGCAGGTCCAGAAGAGACGATCTGCCTTCCCGAAGAAGGCTACACCTCTCGACCCAGAACCACCGCAACCTCAGGAGCCAGAGCTCAAGCTTCCTGCTCTCGACGATACAGTCCCAGCTGCAGAGGAGTACTCTGTCGAGTTCTATGAGCAGGATGGCAACCGAAGAACAAAATTAAAAGGCGACGAGACATTCGCGCAAAGCTTGAGTGGTGAGGATGCTACACCCATGAAGCATGCCATGTACGACATTCGACGATCGCTCGGCACGGACAGAGAGAGGGCTGCCTTGGACCAGGTCATGTCCCAACTTGGTACGACGTGGGAGAACTTGCGAACCTCTGAAGATGTGAAGAAGGCGGAGGAGGCTCTCGACAGATACGGCGATCGACTTGACAAGCAGATTGAAGAGGTTCTGGGCCACATGGACGAAGAGTTTCAGGAGGCCGTCACTGGTCATCTCAGCATGCTGGTCCCCAGCTTGAGAGGCCGGGTTCCGACAAAACCACGCACACCTATACCGGAAGTTCCAGAGACGTCCTATACAATGAACCAGCGGAAAAAGGTCTCTAGGCTGAACGCCACTATGCGCCGTATTGCCAAGGAGCTCAACTTCTCCAACGCAAAAGTCGATGCGAAGCAGGTATCGGCCGTCTTCAGAGCGTACCACGCTGCACGCAAGTCCCTGGAGCAGAGCTGGGACAGCGTGCCCTTACCCGTCTGGGACTTCTTGTGGAAGGTCTTCTCCGCCGACGAAAAGGAGAACCCCAGCCGGCTGAGTCATGTCGCACTGTTGGCCAGGGACATGGGCGAAGCCAAAGTGGCGCTCAGCCCTTCGCAACAGCTACTAACGATCGAAGCCGTATTTGTGGATGGCTGGAATGCAAAGGCTTTGGAAAACTGGAAGCGCTGCATACCGTCCTTGGGAGGTGCCTCTTCAGAGTCGTTCCAGCAGTTCTGGGAGCTGGGTGTCCGCATGTACTGCCGTTCAGGGGATATGGATGAAGCCCAGCGTGCCTTGAGCAAGCTCCTCGACAGGGACTCTGACCCGCGCATCCTGATGCCGATCATCCGTGCTCGCTCCGAGCGAGCTGCGCCTGGGGATTTTGAAGCTGCGTGGATAGCGTACCGACAGATGAGAGAGCTACTGGGTCAGAACATGAAACTCAGCGACTACGACGACATCATCTCCTGCTTTCTGACGACCAACCAGACCGAGAACGCTCTATACGCCTTTGTCGACATGATGAGTGACGGCCAGATTGACCTGAAGAAGCAAAAGTACATGCCTTCCGTCGTCGCGAACAAGTTCTTCGTCGGCAAGTGGCTTAAGCGTCTGATTGGGGCGGGCGATCTCGATGGAGCGCACAGCGTCGTCAACTATATGCTTGACAGAGGTGTTCAAGCTGCACCGGTGCAGCTCAACGGGCTGATCGGCGCGTGGCAGAGATCCGGCGGCGCCGAGAACACGGAGAAGGCGGACAAGATGGCCTGGTCCATGATCCAAGCGCGCATTGACTTTGTGAGAGCCAGAAAGGACGGCACTTTCAGCTTCCGGCCCACCAAGGGCCCGGCTTCGATGCCATCGGCGACCCTCGAAACCTTTTCGGTGCTTGCCGAGAATTACCGCATCCGCGGTCTTCACGCAGGGATGGAGAAACTCTGGGACGCTTTCCAGGATGCGGAAATCAGCCCCGATGCTTTCATGATGAATCAATTGCTCGAGTCCTGCATCAGGGCTGGTCAAGTGGAGGAAGCTCAGGGGCTGTACCAGGCTCTAGTTCTGGAGCGTGGCCTACAACCTGACCCTTACACTTTCAGTGCCCTTTGGAAAACTCTAGACATTAACCAAACAATTCCGAACCATGAGGAGGTCAACGTGGAAGGTATCCGCGCCGCGCGCGATCTCTTTGCTGAGATGGCGCGATGGCTGCCCGTGTTCCCGCCTGAAGGCATGGATGGCCAGCTGGCTCGCAAAATCCTCCACACCTTCCGCCGCCTCAAAGACAACACTGGCTTCCTAGTGGCCCTGACATCGATGCGAAAGCTGTTCAACTTCCTGCCGCCCGAGACACTCACACTAGAGCTCCTCATGGGTACAATGCGTCTCATCTGGGATTCCCCCTTGCAGAAGAGGAAGATTATGGCTGCCAAACGCGACATGGACCGTGAGCTCACGGAATGGGCCGGCGGTGACGAGACGAAGCTCGCTGGCGAGGGGAGAGGCATGGCCTTGTATGAGTATGTGCACAGAAAGCATTGGCCCAAGGAAGGATCGCAGGAAGAGATGGGCAAGGCTTTCGTGGAAGCCGCCAGAGAAATGGGCGTGTACGATGGGCTCATGTCTACTCGGGACTAGAGGGGGCTGTATGAAGTATTGTATCATATGCAAGACGTGGCATTGTACCATGTGCCAATATGTGGACAAGAGAGCGAGGATCTAGGGGCGTTGGACATTCACTGTACATTAGCATGCAATGGTTTTGAGTATTGAGCCTATGCGAGGTCCATGTCCCCTACTACCTCGTCGTCCTCGTCCTTGGTGCGTCCTGTCCGCTTGGAGATCCAGTCCTCTATCGTCTTGAGCTCGCCGCCGCCGCCCTCGATCTCGATTTCGTTCTCGTGGTCGGCGGGTTTGCCGAGGATAGTGCCTTGAAACTTCCCATCATCCGTTTTGTTATGCCGTTTCTTAAGAGCTGGTCTCGGTTAGTCATACATCCTTCGTCCGTGCCCCCATCCTGTCTTCCGATGACAGAAAGAGGACTTACCACTCAGATAGTCCATTTCGTCAGACTCCATGTCCCCTTTGGCAAAGTCCATGATCTCCCTCATGCGATCACCGCTGAACCACTGGACAAACTCCTCGACGCCTCGTAGGTCCTCCTCGCCACGCCATTCCTGCTCGGCGAGGGACTTTTCAGGTAGCATGGCGCCCAGGTCCTGGAGCGCGAGGCGCACTTCGACAATGGTATAGTCGCCTGCGTCGCCATGGTTGTGAACTGCATGCCCGGCCGTCTTCTCGCACAGGAGGGACAGGTAGCGCGCCGCAAGATCTGTGATGGCGTCGAGCACTGCAGGCGAAGTGCCGTGATATCCAGTCGCGCGAAGGATCTGGAGTATGGAAGGTCGAAGGAACGCGTGAAATAGTGTAGTCGGGGACGGCATCTCGGACGTTGTCTATTCGTTGCTATGACGGGAAGGGTTTCGCAGGTTCAGACTCGGGAGCGTCCTGTGGTTGATAGAACAGGAGATTGATGAAGCATCTTCAGGTGACTGTGGTAGCACGACGAGGAGCCCGGCTCACCCGGTCAAGCTTGGTTGGTTAAGGTTTTGGTTTGGATTGAAGCGCTGGTGAATTGTTGAAGCTCAGGTCTCCAACTCAACTCGCAAGGCTGCGAACCGTGTGCGCACACACAGTGTTGTCTGATCATACACTGTGCTATCCAAGTAAGTACGGTAGACGGAAGACCGTGGTCAACTGCCCGACGTCCCCATAACATTCACATCAAGACATTTTCTCCTCTATCATACATGCATCTTCTCGAATTCCGCCTCCAAAGCAGAATCCTTGGCATTGCCGCTGAAATGATTGATCCAGTTCAGGACTTCCCGGTGCCACACCAATGAGTTCTCTGGCTTCAAAACCCACTGTGAATCTGCTGTCAGTATGTGCATAGTACGGTACTGTCAGACGTAAATATCCGCCGGAACTTACATGGTTCTCGTCAGGGAACATCAAAAGCTTGCTGGGCACTTTGCGCGCCTGCAACACGTTGAACATGGCCAGCCCCTCCGATATGGGCAGACGATAGTCGAGTTCGCTGTGGATAACAAGCGTAGGCGTCTGCCATTTACCAGTATGACTGGCAGGGTCCCATTTCTCGTATGCCTCCCTATTGTCCCACAAAGTGCCGCCAAAGTCGTGTTCGGTGAAGAAGAGCTCTTCGGTAGCCCACTGGTTCAGTGTCGAGAAAATGCCGTCGTGGCAGACGAGGGCCTTGAACTTGCGGCCAAGGTCATGCCCTTGTATCCAATCTGCAACAGTCAGTATGTGACGCCGGTACAATAGGTGGTGGGACGTACTGATCATATATCCTCCATACGATCCTCCCAGGGCGACTGCGTTCTTGGTGTCAACATAGCTGACCTCCTTCTCCAGAAGATCGAAGCAGTTCACGAGATCCCCGTACGGAGCTCCGCCCCAGTTCTCCGTGATCGCATCGACGTGATCCTGGCCGTAGCCCGTGCTGCCCGCTGGATTGGGGCACACCACAACGTAGCCTTGCTCCGCGAACACGGCAGGGTTCCATCGAGTGCTCCAGTCGTCCATCCACGCCGACTGCGGGCCACCGTGGATCAGAAAAGCCAATGGATAAGTCTTTGACTTGTCAAAATTCGAAGGGGTCATGACGAGGGCGTGGACGTCGTAGCCCGCGGCGCCCTTGTACCAAAGATCCGAGCACTGATCTCTACTGAGCCCGAAAGACTTTCCACGCTTGGAGCTCGAGGATAGTTCCCGCACCGATCCGTCTTGCGTGTTCAGGATTGAGTAACAGGAATTCTCGATCCGCGACCTGGAGGTGACCAGGAGCGTTGAGCTGTCGCCCAAGAACTTGGCGTCCGACACACTGCCCTCTTGGAAGAGGGTTTTCGACTTGCCCTCTTTCAGCGATCGCGCCGACAGCTCCCACAGGGATACGCGCCCATGCCTCTCGGCTACGACGATCATCTGATCATCTTTGCCCCAAACTACCGAGTCTGGTCGCCATTGCGCAGTCTCCTGTGACTCTGAAAACTCCTCCACGGAGTCCAAGTCAGAGATGTCTGTGACGACGAGGAGCCTCGGTCTGTCTGCTTCATACTGATCCGACTTCATGCGGGTGAACGCCACCTTCTTGCCATCGCGAGAGAATACTGGTGACATGCTATAGCCCCGCAGGCCCTGCGTCTTAATCATCTGAGGCCCCTTGTCCTTGGAGGCAGCGCCGTTTTGAAAGGGAATGTAGTAAAGGTCGGATTTGGTGTATCTCGCAGGGTTCAACTTCGGGTCCTTGGCTACAAAGACGATGCCATCCTTGGAAATGTCAAAGTCGCCAGTGCCGCCAAAGGGCGGAATAGGACTGCTGAGACCAGTGTTGGCCAGCAGGTTGGTCAGGCTTGGGCTCTCAAACGCCCACTTCCCCCCCCGCTTGGTCAGCTTGCCGAACCACAGCGAGTTCTCGTTTTCAGACGCCCAGGTATCCCAGTGTCGGACAAAGAGGGAGGTGTAGATTTTGGCAGAAGAGTGTCTCTTCGGCTCGGCCGCTGGCCAGTAAAGCTCGCCCTTGGGGGTTGTCGGAGCTGAGCAGCAAAAGTACACGCTGCCGTTGTCCAGTCTCTTCGCTTTGGCATTGGCAAGACTGCCGGCGAAGAACTGGATCCTCTCTGCGGATCTGCAACTGTCAGTCGCGTACTCGTGGCGCATTCGAAGCAAGATACATACTCGGCTGGCTGGAAAACATTCTGATTCATCAAAGCAGTACAGCCACGCTCATTCGGCTTGAAGTAGGCGATTTCCTCCTCGCCAATCCAGACTGGGTCGTAGGCTGAAGCATCCTCGGACACCAAGTGTGAGTGACCATCAGGAATGCTCAGCACCCGGATCTGGGAAGTCTTGCTGTGGCTTGTAAAGTCATACGTTGAGACCTGTGAGCGTCAATATATCTGTATATGTAGACAGCCATCGAAGCGCTGGACATGACCGGTTGCTGACCGTGTAAAGTAGCAGCTTTCCTGAAGCATTGGGCACGCCGGGGGATCGTCGAGGTGCCGAAAGCATCACCTCTGGGGTGAAATGGGAGGCTTGGATGGTCATACTGAATGGAGATACGTCCGCGTACGCCTGCCGCAAATAGAAGTCGACGAGACTGCCGCTTTAGGCAATTGTAATGCAAGAATCAGGATGAGCCGGGATCTGTCCTCGCATCGACCCTAGCTTAAGGTAAACTTAGCGTGAGAAGACTGACAGCCAACGATTGGTGAGCGGAAAGGGAGGCAAAGCTCTTTGTAATTGAAGAGTGAGCGTATTATCGATCTTATAAGATGAGGAGAAGTGTCCTGCCGTCGAGCCCGAGATCTTTTTGGCAAATGACATCTTGACGTTGTCCCGATCCTATCTTCTTCCCCTCTTCGCGAGCGCCGTCGACTCGAACACCACCCCCTCTTGCAACAGCATCTTCCCCTCCTTTTAGGTCTTGAAGAGACGCCAATAGAGGGGTTCCTAGCTCAAGTAGTCCGACCCCGCACAATGATTGCCTCATGGGGACTTTTGGACGGGGAGGGGGCCTGAAGCAGAACCTTGTATCGTTCATAGTGGTCCCCAGGATCCAGTATGCGGCGATCTTGGTTTGCTGACTTTCTTTAGGTTTAGCCGTTTGTATGCATGCATCATCTCTCTTGCCTGGAATCAAGGTTGGTCCCAGGGTACAATCCCAGTTCACAGGCTCGCACGGACACGTTACTTGCTTGTTCGGTGACCCTGTGTGTTGTCCCCTCTCATGCCCAGGCGGGCAAACTTGGCCCTGACGTGCATGTGCTGCATTGGAATGCACACATCCCGCGCAGCTGTCCGTCGTGCCACGACGATACACCTATTACAAAATCCCCTCCATCGTGCCACGACGATACACCTATTACAAAATCCCCTGAAGGCCATTGTCCTTCCTAAACCCCCCATCCAGAACGCCGAAACCAGACGCTCGAAAAGTACGCCACCTCAGCTGGATGCGGTGCCGCTGTGTCTCTGAGAGATAGCCATCTCAATCCTCAAGGTCGGTCGAAACTGAGAATTGTAGTCACTGGGACATGCACCTGCGATACCAGCCGACTAGTGACAGATCTCCACGATCGCTCGTGCCATCCTCCGCTGTAGTTTCATGCCTGGCCACATTCGCCACCTCTTGTCCTTGTTGCTCAACAAAGAGGTTACTAGGCAAGTCCGGCATGGAACTTTACTTCCTGGATGCTCCAAGGTTGATCCTCTTCTTCGCCGGTGGCACGTCTGCTTCGCTGTCTTCTGCCTCGGCCGCCTTCTTCTTCTTCTTGCTGTTCCCGCCTGCCGTCGTTGGCGTGGCTGTTCCGCTAAACGAGCCGGATACTGGTGTGGGAGCGTGTGAGGCTGGCGTCGATCCCGGCGTGCCGTCCTAGACCTTAATTAGTACTCTCGCCTTGCAAAGAGTTTCCTCCAGACGTACGGTATTTGGCTTGTATGAAATGGAGGACCTGGAGAACACACGGTTCTGTTCCATAGGGCCGGTTTTACGTCTTTGGGCTGCCGCGCCGCTTTGCCCCTTCATATAATTATCGAAGCCGGTAATGATGTTTCCACTTGGCGTGCTCTCTAGATACATAGCTTCCTTTTGTGCGATCGCTTCCTCGATTTGTTGCTGCGCACAAGTCAGCGGCTGTCGTTGCGTCGCAACATGTCAAACACGAGGGTACCCACGAGTTGCCGCTCCGTCCTCCTACGACGCTCGGTCATCTCGCGAACTCTCTGGAGGCATTTCTTGTATTCCGCCATCGTCGCAGGGGAGTCTTCGGCGGCAGCTGGAACGGCGTTCGTCGCCGCAGGCGTGCCTGGGGAAACCTGTTGTTGCTGCTGCTTGTCGGCCATTGGTGGAGATTTGACGCGCAGTTTCGGTTACAGTTCCGGGAGTATGAGCGCGCGCCGATGATTGAATATTGATTTCTTTTGGTTGTGTTCTAGGAGATAAGTTGGGTGCGCTGGAGCTTTTGCGTCAGTCGCGATAGTATAGTATGCGCGACCGGACTTTCATAACTATTTTTGTGGGTCCAGTACCCTTCGACACATTACGGACGGCTAGTATAGACGAAAATACCTAATTTATGCTCGAAATCTTGAGTACTCATGTTTACAGGAACAGAAAGCCAAGCTCAAAGCTCAAGTATTGACAAGCAATTATACCGAGTATTGAGTCTAATTCCAAATGCTGCTTTACTACTAGCGAGAGGACGTCAAAGTACGGAGTACTTTTGTCTGCTACGTAGCTCTCCCCAATCCAGTCTTGAGTATAGGCCACGATAATACAAATGCTTGTTCTGTGCTATTGGAGTACCGAAATCCAGGGGGCGATAACCAAGATGCAGATCTCACCGCCGCGAAAGCAATAAGATATCTCTCACCTGTCCAGCGAGGTCAATCCGTTGCGAGACGAAGGAACGCCGACGAGATATACGTGCATCGCAAACGTATATGCACGCGTCGCAAAGAAGCAGTGAACCGGGCCTTTTGACATTGTTAGCCTTGACCAGTGCACTATGATCCACCAGCAGAGGATCGCATTTTATGGTCTTATCCCTTAAGAGCTTCTCCTTGGGCACATTGGCGCATTGTTGCAATGTGAAAGCCTGCTCCTGCTGGTGGTCAGTCCTGATCAAAGCATATACCACATGAGTTGTTCGCTCGGCACCTGTCCGAGGTCGTACCAACCTCGGCTTCATCTCTATCCACTGCAAGCTGGGATGTGGTGCTAGTGATGAACGACGGCTGCCCTTAGATACATCAACCTATCCGCTACGATGTTTGGGTGGCGATGATGGAGATCCCGGCGGCGAGGAACTATTGCGTCGTGCTCCGCGCGTGTCTGACGTCTCTCTCCTTGATCGTCCGGTCCTCTTCTCTGCCCCAGATTCGTGGTTGGCGACGCTCTGGCTGCGCGGGCGTCGTCTCCGGGGCGATGGTGATCGTCTGCTGTCGCTGGAGTAAGACCTGCGACTTCGACTGCGACTTCGACTGCGGCTTTCGCTAAGGCTTCGTGATCTCGTGTAGCTGCGTGAAGAGCCGGAGGATGAAGGTGAGCGCCTGCGTCGAGGAGTGGCGGATCTGCTTCTGGATGACGAGTATCGGCGTCTTTTCGGCGCTGGCCCGCGTCGATCAGGCGATGTGGATGGCGATCGTCGTGGGCGGCCGTCGCGATTCATTCCATTCTGTGCTCCGGGTCTGCGTTGCGGCGACCTGGACCGGGACCGGGACCCAGATCTGGACCTGGATCTTTTCCGGGAGCGCCTGGCTCGTCCCGCTTTCGAACTGCCTCTCGAAGTACTGCGACTGCGCGAGCGTTGACTTCCCCGAGACGATCTGGAGGAGAGCGATCTTGCGCGGCCCCGGTCCATGTTTCGATCACGCCCTCGATCCAACTTGCGATCATGCCCTCGAAATGATCCGCGACCACGGTCACTTTCTCTTCCAACACGACCCTGCGGCACATATCTGTCGCTAGGGTACGTATCCCTGGATTGACGAAATCGATCATCTGGTGAACGGGAGCGGTCGCGACCGGGGCCGCCACCACGACCACGACCTCCTCGGTCAAATCCACGATCCCCTCGACGTCCCCCACGATGGTTATTGAAGCCGCGGCCGCGGTCGGGCCGATCTCGTCGGTCACGATCTCTCACGTCGGAAAAATCCCGGGCTCGGCGGTCGTCCTCGTCGCGACGGCGACGCGTGTCGTCGACACTACGGTCTGCATCTGCCTATTTGAAACATCAGCAGTTGTCGTACAAACAGTATCTGATGAATATCGACTCACCTTTTCTTGCATCAGCTCCAGCTTCTTTGCCTCAAGAAGCTCTTTGGGGACACCCTGTGGACTAGACTGGGCACTCAGAAGAAGCTTCCAGAGCTCTTTGCAGAAAGTAGCGGTGTCCTTCTCGAGGAACCCTGTTAACTGGATTTGCAGAGACTTGATATCGGGCTGCAATGGTCAGCGGATGTGTACCAGCGCGGTGTGTGATTGGAACCTACATTGCGCGCTCCCTCAATCAGGGCGAAGCAGAGCTCGATGATCACGTCGTCTTCGTTGCCCAGAATCTCGGAAATGCGGCTGGCGATCCATCTACAGACAGTTTAGCACACAGAAACACCCGTGAGAGCAGAGAGGGACTGACTTCTTAATAACATGGATGTTGACCTTTTGCATGTCCACCTTCTGATTGAACTCTGGAGGGAACTTGGTCGACTTCAGCAGTCGAGCATCGACACCTGACGCCATATTGGGCGCCTTGTGGGAGATGACACGTTAGAGGCGCTGGGTACGCGCTTTCGGGCGTGGCTGAAGGCGGTAAGTGATGTTGTCAAAGGTTAAGAAAACCCGGTGCAGGTGACGTTGGGGATCTGGACTGTAATAATTCAAGGTTGATCGCCGGCGCCGGCTCTGCACCGGCGGCACATGTGCATAAATTATGTGCACAACTTACAGGCACTCGCGCCACTCGCGCCCCTGAGGACCCCGCCACTCACTTACATGCTCACGTTGATCTACTAGATGATCGATGGCGCATTTCCTTCTCGCATGCTTCACTTCCCCTGCAGCTCAACCCCGTGTTTCCTTACTCCGCCATCTCCGAATCTTTTCGAACAAGACTTGCTCTCATTTGAAGATGGAGAATCTACACGCACCGACCGTGCCTTCGGGGCCTAGCAGCAATGCGGCAATGAATGGGAACAGCACCCACTTGAGCTTCAACCAGCTCCAATGCAAGAAGAACGATGTAGAGGCCCAGCTCCGGACACTCGGATCAGTTCTGGACTCAGTATGACATGCTTCAGGTGTTCTTTTTGCCGGTATAATTAGGGCTAATTATTCTACCAGCATGGGGTTACTATGGAGACGGCTCTGCTCACTAGGGACGGCTTTCCACGTTCAGATATTGATGTAGCCCAAAGTATGATATATCTTCGTTGTTGTGGAACTGAATCTAATCTAAGCAGTACGGACGACGAGAGCGCAGATCATCCGACTGCGGAATGATTACAAGGAGATTATGAAGTCCATTGAAAAGCACCTTCATGAACATTTCGCCAGCCTGAACGACGCACCTGCACCGGCAGCAGGTGAGAGCCTCCCCAGCGAGCCTCTTCCTGATTCGATACCCGAGCAACTAGATCCGACCTTCGCCCGAGTGAACACAGTGGCGCCCAACAGCCCTGCCGAAGCGGCGGGACTGAAACCCAACGACGAGATCCGCAGCTTTGGTTGGGTGAAGCGGTCAAACCATGATAACCTACGCAAGGTCGGGGAAGTAGTCCAGGCCAACGAAGGAGTATGTGTGTTCACCCCCCGTGTGGGCTCGTCACTAATCATCGACAGAGTGATATTGTGATCCGTGTGGCGCGGTCGCTTGGGTCGGTACAGACAAGTGATCAGAGATGGGAAGAGCTTCGTTTGATATTGCGGCCAAAAAGAGATTGGGGCGGTCGCGGGACACTTGGGTGCCATATTATCCCCATCTAGTTTGGACTGGTGTTGGGAATGAGCGATGGTGAGAGAAGGAGATACGCGAAGAGGGCACAATAGCATCTCGTATCAAATTAAGCTCCTCGCTCTCAGGGGTGGAGTGGCATTGCCAGTGGGCTTTAAGACACTCTCTACGTGACGCTTTGCCTGAGGAGACATCTGGTACGGCCGCACCGCTGTAGTTGTAACTAACTGCTGGGTAGCCACGGACAGACAATGGCCATGGGCATACGGCGTAGCATCCGAGATACTTATGAGGCTCATATCCTAGTTCTAATGACTTGAAGTATTGAAACAGTATCTTTAAGCGTTATTAATAGGCATGCTATGCTTATTGAGTGATACGTTTTACTTTGTCCTAGCTTTAGTTTTCAACTTATTGAGTGATGTATTTCAAATGTGTTGCCTTGTCCTCGTTCTAGTATTCAACTTATTGAGTGATACGTTTCAAATGTATTGCCTTGTCCTTAAGCTAGTTCTAGGATTCAACCTATTACGGTCGTGTAAGGGAGCGTCACGCGATGGTGTTGAAGTCATCATGCCCTATTGAAGGTCAGTGGATAATCAATGATTGCTCGTCGTGTTGAGATATTTACTTCCACTGTACTCGGTTGATGAACTGGGATAGTTTGGGGGTTTCGAGTAGTTAGGGACGCTCAAGCTGGTACAGTTGTGACAAGAAAGAGATCGCACATGAGTCGAACAAGTTCGAAGGTGAGAGAACTGTAAACTACGTATACAGTACTGTGTATGTAACCCTAAAACCCTAGCTATTAGACCTTATTCCTTTGCTTGTCGCCCTGCACTCAGAACTCCTTCACTTACAAACGTAAACAAACGCCTCATGTCATTTCGCTCTCACTACATACTGTTTGCACAGTTATCTTGCTCTTACATGGGCGGTATTGCGTGCTCTTCCGTACGCGATATTGCGTATGTTGCACGAAACACACTTCTCAGATCAAACGTCCTCAGCAAGCCATCAGACATTCAGCTCAGGACCTCAGACTCTAGAGTCGCATCGCATTGTCCTGACGAACGTCCTCGTGGGTACCTTAGCAGCTGCGCGGCTATTCCAGTCATCGTTTCATACTGATACATCTCTTAGGCATCGAGAGCATAGCCATACGCCAACACCAGTTCCACGATGGCATCCGAAACCAAAGATAAAATCATCATGCCCCCACGCGTACCTCCGCCAGAAACGGAGTCTCGACTGATCCGCAGTGGCGCGATAGACATCGCCATTCGAATCAGCGGAGATCGCGTTCGAGTTGCGGCGGATGGACACCGTACGTTACAAAGGTGTGGCTCCTGGCCGGTCATGGGGGTGTACTGGGCCAAATTCCGCATCTCAAGTGCGTACGTTCTCGCAAAAGCCGTACGCCCCTGCCACAAATCAACCAAAAGCCTAGGCTGCCTGTCCCGACCTTTCATCAGCAAATGTGAAGGAGCAGCTCGTCGACGGTGTCGAATGTCCAGAAGTTGGCCTAGTTTTCGCCCCCGACCCTACCTTGCATTTGACAAAAGGCCAGAATGGCTAATCGAAGTCTGTCAAAAACGCTCGCCAAGAGCGTGAATCGAAAGCCATCGATGATGCTCAGGGTCTATTCCAAGCTCAGCGACACGTTCCCAAAGCAGATTACGGTTGTTGTTGCTTGCCACAAGGAGGGAAAGCATTTTAACTCGCGCAGCATCCCTATCGCCAATGTCCAATGGTACCAGGATTTCTACCTAGGTATGAATGAGGAGTGGAATGATCGTGATAAGCAAAGCTATATCACTGGCATGGTCAAGTGGTTCGACGCCGACAGACAAGAACACCCTGAAGACGAAATTCCTTCGTCCAAAGCAATGGTATCTGGCGTTCCCATGGCGCCGTACGCAAAGGTTTCACAGGGACACCATCACAGATGGAGTTAACCGTTTTTTACATAACGGGGCTCTAATGTCATCAGAGCAGTATCTCCACCTGTCGCAGGAACTGAAGGCAAGTCTGACCTAGCCTTGGAAGTATCATGTCTAACTCGATACAATAGGCTACACATGTGCACATGGACGAGGTTTCCAAGGCGACAATTAAGTTGACTAACCGCGTCCTTTGGCAACTTCAAGCAGACGGACAGCGTCTAATAGACCAGTTGTTGCCACCCATTTTGCCGACCTTCCTGGCCGGGTGCGATGTTACACTCGAAGAAGAAGGGTACCCAACAGGCCAAGAGGGAAGTTTACATGTGCTCTGAATGTGGCCAATTAGCGTACATACGCTACAACAAAGGACAACTCGCCCAACGCGAAATTCTAGTCACTCTGCGAACCGCACGAGGTTCTCTGGATACTTCGGAAGGCCTTGGCACGGCAGCGAGCCTCGCAACAACCTTCCCAGATTATCCTTTGTCAAGACCACGTCCGAAGACATAGTCGAAGTATTGGGACAGCATCTTTGTGCGGTATTCATAGGCACAACATATACTTATCGAGTGATACCATTTAAATATATTGCCTTGTCCTAGTTATATTATTCAGTGACACGATGTTTTACTTATTGCACATGTGCAGCAGCCCTACACTCTTGTCTAATGTCCTATCAAAGGTTGGTTGATTTATAGTACCTAACAATAACCGCAACTTACTCATAGCTAAACTCAATCAATCCATGACTGGCATTAGGCCCGAACTTTGCTGTTTTGTTTCGCGGAGACTGAAAGCTTGCGTTTGTTATACGCCGGTAGTGACCGGGGCTTGGCGTGACGTAACATGTTGTTTGCCCCAGGGGGTCCTGGTCCAAGGCATCAAGCGCGGACAGCTCCAGTGATGTCACGTGCGTTAGGCTGAAAGATGCCTGCTCAGTGGCTGATTGATGAGCGCTATTCCCCCAGCGACTGAAATTTTCGCTTATCTAATCATAAAAGAGCACCTTCCCTGACGCCCAAAGAAAAGTAGTCCCCGCCAAAAACCTCACGCCTCGCCCGATTTTGGGATCCTCCTTCAACACTGCACAGCGATTCTCAGAAGCTGCACAATCTCCTAATCAAGGTACGCTCGACCCCCGAACGACTGGCTCAGCCCAAAGAGTGATTGCAATCGCGCCCTTGAGCCATCAAGACACGATCCCGCACCTTCCATCAGGTTCAGGAACTGACCGCATCCACCTCTAGCACCCCGCTTGTTTACATCCACAACCAAACCATCCCCGTCGCCTTCGATAACATCCGAACCGACAACCATGGCTGAGCAGCAGGTTCCCACCTTCAAGCTTGTGCTTGTTGGCGATGGTGGCACTGGCAAGGTATGATTTCACCCGGGCTCAGGCGTTCCGGCGGCTCTGGCTGTCGCTGGTGGCCGGTCGATAATGCCCCGCCTTCACGGAGCTCGAGCATGCGCAACATGTTCATCACAGATCGGCAGATGCTAACGAATGACAGACCACCTTTGTCAAGCGTCACTTGACTGGTGAATTCGAGAAGAAGTACCTGGCTACCCTGGGTGTCGAAGTTCACCCTCTTGGCTTCACCACCGTACGTTGTCTGCCCCACTAACTATCGCGAGTTTCGCCCTCGCCCACATGACCCGATGCTAATGACTGTCTAGAACTTCGGTCAGATCCAGTTCGATGTCTGGGACACTGCCGGTCAGGAGAAGTTTGGTGGTCTCCGCGACGGCTACTACATCAACGGCCAGTGCGGTATCATCATGTTCGACGTCACCTCGCGCATCACCTACAAGAACGTCCCCAACTGGCACCGTGAGTACTACAACGCAATGAGCATTCCCACAGAAGCGTCTGACAATAGCAGGTGATCTTGTCCGTGTCTGCGAGAACATCCCCATTGTCCTCTGCGGTAACAAGGTCGATGTGAAGGAGCGCAAGGTCAAGGCCAAGACCATCACCTTCCACCGCAAGAAGAACCTCCAGTACTACGACATCTCTGCCAAGTCAAACTACAACTTCGAGAAGCCCTTCCTCTGGCTCGCCCGCAAGCTCGTCGGCAACCCCCAGCTTGTAAGTTCCCCGCCCAAACATCAAGTTAAGATGCTGACCCCATACAGGAATTTGTCGCTGGTGTCGCTCTTGCTCCTCCCGAGGTGCAGGTTGACGAGAAGCTCCTGGAGGAGTACCGCCAGGAGATGGCCAAGGCCACGGAGATGCCCCTGCCCGACGAGGACGACGACGATTTGTAAAGGATGAGCGGACGTGCAGGGACTCTGGATGGAAAGAGTCCGATATGATGATGATAAGTCATGAGTCTGGTCCGCCTGAAAGAGGCCCAGTTCACTCTTGGCTTACGGGACGACCATTTATGACATTAGGCATCGGGGTTCTTAGGTTTAACGTGAAGGCGAGCTTAGATTGGGTGGGACCTTTCTTCGGGGTATGCCACGAGCGCACGCTGCGTGACGCAGCAATTTCTAGCTAGACTTGAATTATGACGACATTCGATTCCCTTTGTCGCGAATCGGACCAAAGTACGGACACTCAATGATGTGATGTGATGTTGTGCCGGGCGGCTACCCTGCAGCAGCGTGTAACATGTTCGGATGTGCGCACTGGGGCCATTTCTGCTATAAAAGTTTTTACCAGACTTGATGACGGATAAGGCACTTGCTACTGTTCACTTGCGACTTGGTAAATGTTTACGGGTGTGTAACATAGTGTGCGGTTTTGGCTCGAGAGTTTTTGCGGTTCTCACGTCTCGGTTCGAGATGCATGTTACGACGGACAACTTAACAACGCGCTCGCAAATACTCATTGATTAGCCCAAGAGGGTCCAATGTAACTGACAGCGCAACGCATACCTGCAGACTCGTGTCATCTCAGCCTCCTCAGGAAAGGAAAATTGACTGGACTAATTGCTCGTAGACTGGTATGGGCGGGCAATCAAAGCTGGCAGCTTGGCAGCTTGGCAGCAGAATATGAGGATCCGTGGATGATGAAACCCATTCAAAGCCTGGCGCTGGCCCAGCCGCTGGAAGAACTCAACGCGTCTGCGCGTAGGTTCATCTTGGGGTGGGCCAAGTGCCAGTGCGCTGCTGCACTGAGAGAGACTGGAGGCACGCGCCTCCATGTCGCGCCTGGAGTACGTGTAGCGCGACATGGCTCACCTGCGCATTTGCCCGGACATGGATTCCAGGATAGCAGCACTTGGATTGACATTCGTTTAGTAGCGATGCTCCGAGAATTGTCAATGCGGCGAGGACTACTGCGTGATGAAGACGGCCGTGTGGCTCGTGTGACGTTTGGAGAAGCTCTCACAACCCTGGTCAGCGTGAACAAGAAAGGTGCCAGCAGCGCCCGGTGTGTTAAAGCGGGTACGATGAGCGGTGTATTGTTGCAGGCGTGCTGGGCCTAGCAACCGTGTTGATGTATTTCCTCATCGGGCAACATCCACTTGTCAACGCGCGACGTGATTGAACGACGCGGCTACCCCTGTCGTGGCATGAACGACCACCAGAACCACCACTACCACCACCTCCCACCTTTTCGTCTATATCCAGTCCTGGGATGCACGCACTGACGGCATCTTTCTGCTCCAGTCCTCTGTCCGCACGCGCTCGCTGCTCCACCGCCGCCACTGTCTTTAACATCTATCGCGTGTCGTTTCCCTCTCATTGCTACATACATGTCACCGAGGCCCGTTGCACGGTGATCAACACGCTCTCTATCGTCGTCCCGTTTCGCTCTACTACTAGCTGCCCAGCGACACCATGTCTACCACGCCCGACCTCCGACGCGCCGCCTCGCCAACAATGAACTCTGACCCGGCCGACACATCCCTCTCGCAGTCGAGCACCGTGGCCAATGATGATTCACTGCTCTCACTGGACCCAGACACGTCCATCTCCTCGATCGACAGCGAGGACAAGCATCCACGCTCGCGCCGGAAGCGCACCAGGTACTCTACGCGTCAACAAGGGGAGGTTCAATGGCTGACGTGGAGGATAGTCAACGCGATAGGGCCATTCTCGAGTCGACGTATCGCTCCAATTTGAAACCTGATAAGACAGCACGAATGGAGCTATGTCGACAGACGGAGATGACGGAGAAGGAGATCCAGGCATGTGTCCCTCATTACTGAGCCTGCCAATGGCAGCAGGAGTCGAATGCGTGGCTAACCTGCGGCCAGGTTTGGTTCCAAAATCGACGACAGAACGACAGGAGGAAGTCCAAACCACTCACACAAGCCGAGCTCGCGAGTCTGCAGTACAGCGGCATCCGTCCCATTGGCGGGGAGAACCTCGACGTCAGTCCTCTGAAAGTTGTGCAAGGCCCCTTTGCGGTCGCGGACCCGGTCGCGGATGCGGTAGCTACGCCCGACGGTGGCTCGCCGGCAGGCCAGAACCCTTTCGTGCCGCCTGTGGCGCTGCCCTCTCCTCCCGCTGCGGACGACCAGCACACGAGCCACGTGAGGAGCTGCTCAGACGCAGCAGCGTACTCTCGTCCTCAGCTGCCACCGCAGGAGAGCTTCTCCGCAAGCTTCGGCCCCTCAAGCTCGTTACCTAACGTTGGATACCTGGCCAACCGTAGGAGGGAGGGCGGTTCCTTCTCAGCACCCTCACCGCAGACATCTGGCGGGTACGAGAGCTTCTCATTTCGGTACGTTCTTGGTCCACGCGTGATATCTCGCGCACACACTAACAATCCTCAGAGTGGACAATGCCAACAGCAGCCCAAATGCTCCGCATATCTACAGCGGCAGCGCCTCGCAGGTCCGCCTGTCCTTCTCGTTGGACGGGAAAGCAGAACTCATCCCTCAAGGTGCTGAGCAGCAACGCAACATTTCACAGGAGAGATCGCCCTTGCAGCCGGCTCTGCAGCGCAGCCAGAGCGCGTACACCACGCGTCCCAGCCTGCCACCTCTGTCCTCCATCCTCCCACAGGTGAGCGCGCCTCGTCTCCAGCGCGGTCGCTCGCGCAATGCCTCTGCGTGGGAAAGCTGTGCAACGAGCGAGACGCGCGACGAGCTCACAAAGATGGCCGAGCACGAGTCCATTGGCTCGGCTGCCGCGTCCATCAGTCTGATCAGGTCGGCCAGCAGCACTGCGCTGCAACCAAGCAACGGCAACAAGAGGAACTCGTCCCTCAAGGGGCCGCTCCACCAGACCAAGAGGACCAAGTTGAGTCGCACAACATCAAGCATCGCCAAGCTTGGCGGCAGCGACGCCACCAAGCCACCAAGCAGTACCCTGTCCGCGGTTTCCGCGATAGACTCGGACAAGGAGAACTTGAGCCCGGACGAGGACGGCAATCCGCGATTCGAGCAGCACTCACGCAGACGACCCCTTCCCTCAGCCACGACGACAACCATGTCGGCCACGACCACCAAGAGCCGACGTGTGCTAGAAGACGCGAGAGGCGGGGCGGCAATGCTGAATCGTCGTGCGAGCACCGCGCCTGTGAGACGGGGCAAGCACTCGCAGGTCGTCGAGATCTTTCAGGATGGCGAGGACCCGGAGGTGGAACGGTTCATGTCGCGCAGCAGCGTGAGCCCGAGCAAGAATGACCAAATGGACGTCGTTGCGGGACTGTTGTCACTAAGTAAAGGCGCTTGGCGATGAAGAGGTTGATGTTTGTTGGCCTCATGGGCAGGAAAAGGAGTTGTCTGGGAGATTTTGGTATTCTTGTTTGTGCATACGGCGGATTCTTCTTTGTATCTACTCTAACGGCCATGACGTCGTGGGTCGGGACTGGAGAGGTTGTATATACCCGGCCCAAGGCGCTCTGGAATGTGAAGCTGAAATGTCATGACGAACTTATAGAAAAAGCGCCAGCCAACTTGGGAAGTGATCGTCCTGCATGCAATTTATGTATGTAGTATATTCCCTGTGCCTAGAACAAACCAGTTCGCCATGCTACTGGGCGGGTCTTCTGCCAGCGCCCTAATGTACGTGTGTATGTATGTGAATTTGATGTTCTAATACGAAACGCAAGCCAACGCCAGCTGTGTAATATCATTGCCATCCAATAGCAGGCTGCAGTTCTACATCCCCAGCATCTGCTTGCGTATGGGGCTGGCCGCGGCACTGCCCTCCTCGCTGGCGTAGAAGCCCGAGTCTGTGTCAATGTCCCAGACGTCGTCGTCCGCCTCGTCCTCAGGCGTCCCGACAGTGTTGTCAAAGGGCTTCTGCGCGGCCGCGCGGACGTTCCAGCGCAGAGTGCGGCGGACGCTATCGAACCATTCGTTGTCCGTGCGCGTGACGGTGGGGAAGGGGTACTGCGATGCGGTGATGGTCACATGGTCACCCTGCCGCAGCTCGATCCGGCCTTTGCCGTCAAAGGCACAGTATGCTGTCGCGCGCGAGTCGCGGGGCACGGCCACCCGCAGTGCCAATGTGTCGGAGAGAACCATGGGGCGGAAGGAGAGGGTGTGTGGACAGATGGGCGTGAGGAGGATCGCGGGGATGTCGGGGTGCACCAGCGAGCCACCGGCGGAGAGGGAGTACGCCGTGGATCCCGTGGGCGTGGAGAAGATGCACCCGTCGGCCTGGACGACGGTGAGAAGCTCGTCGTCGCCGTAGAGCTCGAGGTTCGACACGTAGGGAGACGGCCCACGGTCAATGACGAGCTCGTTGAGCACCTCAAACTGCTCGCCCTCTTGCGAGTCGCCCAGCAAACCAGCTCGCCAGACTGTGCAGGTGAAGCGCATGCGGAGGTTGATCTTCATGCCGGCGTCGCCCAGCACGCGATCGAGATGCTCCTTGTACTTCTCAAACTCAAAGGTCGTCATGAACCCGAGGCTGCCCAGGCTGAAGGACAGGACGGGCGGGACGATGCGTTGGAAGAGCCAGGAGGTGTAGAGGACAGTGCCGTCACCGCCAAGCGTCAACACCAGGTCGAACTTTTCGGGCTGGTTCCAGCACATGTCGGGGGTCCAGAACTTGAGCATGTGCTCGAACCGGGGATTCTGACTCAGGATGCCGTTTTTGTCGAAGCGTTTCGAGTTGCGCAGCTTGGAGTCGACATAGACGGTGACACCGAGATCCGAGCCGTAGCGAGGCGTTGACAGCAGCCATTTCGTCAGTTCACTGGTGAGGACGACGAGCTGGTTGTCGCGCGCCTTGGTGACGATCATGACGCTGCGTACAGCACGCTTCAGAGGTCGACGCTGCAATTGCTTTGACACCTCGCGCACGCTGGTGGCAGTCTGCACGAGCCTGCAATGTGACATGGACTCATCGTTGGTAATCTCCTCCAGGACCTTATCAATGTTGACGGCATCGTCGAACCTGGTGTGATAGAAGCACGGCGACTTGATCATGGCCGTCTGTGGTGTCGTTGCGGCGCCGGAAAGCACCAGGTCGTTGAGCGCATTCGTCAATCTCTCGCTGGCAGCCGCCGAAGAGGCAGACGGGAGTCGTGAATGTGTGTGGATGTGATGTTGTTGACGATGTTGATTTGAATCCATGTTGATGAGCGAGAGCGCCTCGGGCTTCTTATTCCGAGATACAGGCGGCTGCGCCCTCACAATGGCCTGAGATGGAAAAGAGGCCTGGGAGTGAGTCTTGAGGAGGAATTGAGAGGCCACAGCAGCCGCAGGATCGTCGCTGAGGGCGGATTCCGCCTCTGAGACTGCGGTAGCGGCGGAGGAGACTGAAGAGTAGGCAGATGTTGCGGAGGTGACTGACGTGGGTGAAGTGGTGGTGTTGGTATCCGGGGCGCCGTCCCTATTAGTATCCGAATATCGCGCAGACCGGGCTTCGGTGTCTAATCGCATGACAGTGGCATTGGATCGAGTCGAGGGCAGAGTCAGGGCGCCAGAAGGGTCATGCGCCTGATCTTGTGTATAGTTGTCCGTGAAATGCTGGGACAGGATGGCGGCTTTATTATCCAATTCGCCGTGTGAGAGTGATGGATAAGATCTGCTGGTGCTGGTGCTTGCGCCAAGGGACACGGACGCTCCTTCTGCCAGAGGTGCCAGTGGTGGGTGCACTGGGTGCAGGTGCTGCTGGGGTGCTGGTGCCGCGGCCGCCGCCAGCAGCGCCTTGGGGGGGTCCATGGCCGCTGCAGGCATTGGAATGCGTGGCGTCCGGCAGGCAGCAGTCACAGTGTCCATGTTGATATCATCCATGGTTGGCGACATGAGTGTCATGTCTGGCTCTCTCGTTTCGGTTTCCTTTCGCTCGAAATTCGTCCTCTTCGTCCGTCGAGTCCGACAACAGCGAGTCGAGCCACTGCTGCCCACTGCTGAGCCTGTTCTGTGACGAGGTCGCGGATATATAGATATCTATATTTCAAAGGTCCCCTTTGGATGGCCGGCTTGCGTTATCTCCGAGGCCAACGACTGGACTGGACTGCCCTGGGATGGCGTGTGCCCGTGTTCTTTCCAGGAAACGTTAGCGCAGTAGTGATTCGGGTAATCAGCTTGAACGTACTGCTTGTCGACGTTTATCTGACTTGCAGCCGAGTCGTGGACGCGTGGCTAATTAATAATAATAACAATTGAACCAGCACAGAGCAGCGAACCAGCGCTTTCTTCGGACTCGCAAGGAAAATAACAAGAGAAGGTCTGCCGCGAGCTATCCAGAGCTCAGCGTATGGAGAGTATCGATGAGTGTAAACTAGCGAGGCCCATTTGACTCCAGCTCCTGCGGTTCCCCCAAGCTCTATTTATTATGCTTGCAGACTGTCGCGGCCCGTGCCTCGCTCGATCTTCGCGCCACTTGAACTGTATCAGCATTCTCGCAATGCCATTGAAGATGGCGGTAAGCCAGGATGAAGTGGATCGTCCCAGGCAAGTCTTGTCTCGACTTACGCTGATGTTCTGCTCGGTATCGGTAGGGGTCAGCAGTACTAACACGGTCTAGACGCCGCGCGTGCAGCCATGGTCGGCTTGCTGGCGTCGTTCTGCTGTGACTGCCAAGCTGTAGCAGGCCTGGTCGATAGTAGGAGAAGGGGGTGCTCGCTCAAACTGGCCATGTTAGAGAGGCGGGGCTGCTGATGCATCATGTTGACCACGGTGAACAGCAACAGTGCCCAGCTTCGATAAGGCAATTGAACGGCCAGTCCCTCAGCACGTGGTTTCATGGCCTTGGTGTTTCAGGCACCACTTCTTCTACGGTGCGTTAGTTAGGAGGGCGAATCATTGGAATTGACCAAATCCTGCCACGACTCTACCAGCAAGCGGAGAATCCATATTTCGGCCAAACAAGCTCAGGCACGCCGCACAGGTCCTGATTCCAGAGTTCAGGGTCAGAGAAAGCCGGGGAGAACTGCTTGTCCTGAATCTTCCTTGACTGCTAGTCTAGTAGACAACTGCCCCCTCCGTCCGTGGTCGTCTACGTACTTGTCATTATTGACTTCCACTCCAATGCTCTCGTCTTCCTGAGCTGTAGGCATTGGCTTTGGCATCTTTGGATGCTTCTCGAGACGGCGGTCGCCTTCCTCATCTGCCACACTCCATGCCGTGAGCCGATGGACCCAGGGGGGAACGAAACGCAGTCGCCGATTTGACGTTTGAGGAACAATCAGAGGGAGGTACCAGGCTGAGCAACAGACTCAGCATGGCGGCGAAGAGACCCAACACAGCGGAGATGGAAGCACGCTTCAGGTGATACAGAAGCCGTAGTAGTCGTTCTGTGCGTGTGAGAAAGGCCCTCACTTCCATTGCAGGTCTTTTGCAACTTTCGTTTCCATCACCGATCTGATAAAGTCCCGTATGCTGGTCCCCTCCGCCTCCCCACCCTCCATGGCAACGTCCTCGCCTGCGGATTGGCAGCATATGCGCTCGCCAGTCTCGAGAACTTTGGCCCATTCCTCTGGCGTGAAGGCGCCCTCGCTCTCTGACAGCAGCAGGTCTTCGCCACTCGTAAAGCCCAATACGTGCAGTGACTTGGCCTTGTCAGCCTGCACCGCGCTTGGATCAACGACAATCTGGTCCGACTCGGATGGTATCGCGAGCACGGTGGCTGTGGCGATTGTCTTGAGCGGTATAGCTGCTGTCAACAGGCCTAGGATGGACGTGTGCAGGAGAGCTGGGATGATCGTCAAGTTCTGCGCAGTCCAGCCGTCAGCCTGATTGCTCTCACTTCTGAAATGTCCATTCTGAGGCTCACCATCTGTGATTGTGTGATTTTGGAGTTTTCATATCCATTCTCGGGCGTGCCGACTATCTGCAGCGTCACTTGGATCATGCATCGTGGAAAATTCCTGACGGGTACGAGCTGTCGTAGCGCAGACTGAAGTATCGACTCAAGCTGTCGCTCCGCGGTTCCTGATAACTCATTAGCTGTATATCCTGCAGGAACCGTAACATGAGAAGACCATACCTCCTACGCCAGCGGCAGGTCGCACATTCACGTCGACCAGTGCCTCGAATGCATGTTCATCTCTTCGCTGTGTTTCCACCGGCCCATTGACGGCTGTAGTAACCGTGTATCCTTGATATGAAAAAGTCGCCGAACCGTCAGACTTGGGGAGGTTGGAAAGCTCTGCAGCCGGAAGCGCTGAAGGAGACATTGTGTGTATCGCGAATTGTGAATGTTGATGAAGACGGTATAAGGGCTGGTGATGTTCATTAGTGACTGAACACACTTCAAAGTTCAAGCGGATGCCCCACCATGCGACTAGCCTTAACAGCAGCGCCATCAGGGACGGGACCCTTTAATATTGGTGATTACATTCCCTTTCGTCATTCTCCAGCCTGGACCCTTCATACATCATTGCAACTACCTTCCTCCACCATAGAAATGATGCCTTCGTCTACCACAGATCACGCCTCTGCCGCTTCCATCCCGAATCTCAAGGACCGCATCCCCAAGCTCGAACCCCGCCGTCGCCGCCAAACACCTGCGAATCCCACACCTTACCCATCCACGCCCGCCCTACCTGCACCTCCTGCTGGCACCAACTCTGCCACCCAAGCGTCATGGGAGTTCAAGACGCCCTCGCGGCGCATCCTCTCCCCCCATGATCACGAGCTATTCCAATCATCTCAGACCGCCGAGCTCATACAAGCGTGGATCTTTGGCATCGCAGACGCCGTGGTGGACACCCCCTGCTCAGCCGTCAAAGATGCCGACTTGACACCCACCGTCCAGTCCATCTTGTCTATCCTCGACGAGGCCGAGACCTTTGTATCGAGATCACCCCCCGACGAGCAAGGCGGCTCGCGATTCGGCAATAAGGCGTTCCGCGGCTTCCTCGACCTTGCCCGCGACGTCTCGCCGCGCTGGCACAGACAGATGGGCGTCCCGAGCGACGCCGCGATCGACGAGGCATCAACATACCTGGATCACTCGTTCGGGAACAAGAATCGAATCGACTACGGCTCCGGTCATGAGCTCAACTTCTTCATGTGGCTGCTGTGTCTGTACCAGCTCCATCTCATCGAGCCCTCGACCGACTTCAAGCCCCTCGCGCTACGCGTCTTCCCCCGCTATCTCGCACTCATGCGCATCGTCCAGCTCTCGTACTACCTCGAGCCAGCGGGGTCGCATGGCGTGTGGGGTCTCGACGACTACCAATTCCTCCCCTTCTTATTCGGGGCCTCGCAGCTACTGCACCATCCATACATCACGCCTCGGGCTATCCATCAGGACCTCATGCTCGAGGAGCACGGAGACGAGTTTTTATATCTGAACCAAGTGTCCTTTGTCAACTCGACAAAGACAGTCAAAGGCCTGCGGTGGCACAGTCCCATGCTAGACGACATTTCGAGCTCCCGGTCGTGGTCCAAGATTGATGGAGGCATGCGGCGCATGTTTGTGGCCGAGGTACTGGGCAAACTGCCCGTGATGCAGCACTTTTTGTTCGGCAGCTTGATCCCCGCAGCGGAGAACATGGGCACGGATGAGGAGGCGGGCGCAAGCGAGGACGCCGCCGAGGTGACGCAGCATGAGCATGACCACGCTAAACACGGTGACGGGACAGGCTGGGGTGATTGCTGTGGGATCAAGGTGCCCAGCAGCATCGCAGCGGCACAAGAGATGAAGAAGAGAGGCCAAGGGCAGTCACTGCGGAGAATCCCCTTTGACTAAGATGGATGAACATGTCAGGTCCGCGAAAAAGTACTGCTTCCGTAATGCACTTCCTCCTGCCCCTATTGTGAGGCGTCATGTGTCGCACAAAGAAGAGCGTGGCGAGATGTCATAACGTCTGTATCTCATTATTGTTGGGATTATTCGAACATAGCTACCCAGCTAGTGCTAACATTAGTCTGTCGCCTCTGGTCCCGTTCATCGACCCAACCCAGACCGCTCCACGTTACATTCATGACAACACCAAAGAAACTGTTCCTGACAAAGGGCATTTCTCAAGCGAGCTGAAACTCCCACACCGCTGACACCCGATACTGCAGACCCTGCGATAAGACACTCTGAAGTAATACAGTACACCATTTCCCTTCCAAAACGGCATGCCAATCAAAGCCCATGTATGAATTTGAATTCAGCCACCCTGGAGGTATCTAGGAAATTGTTAAGAAGGAAAGGAAAGAGAGACGAGGGCAACGATTCCAAGGATCGTTGGACATCTGACGGGACCTCTTGAGAGCTTCCCACTAGCTCGAGGGCATCGGGCCAGAATTGAGACAATAAGGGCCCCTGAGAGGAGGTTGCCGCAGCTGGTGAGCAACGTGGATGTCAATGACAACATCCACCATTGTCTCAACTTCACAGCGGAGGCGCTCGAGCTCCGTGTCCGAGTCACGAACCTTCTCGTCGGCCCTGGGCTTGCGATAGGCGGCAAATACCAGCCCTCTGTCAATGATATCTTGGTCGGCAGTGGACGGGTAGCGGGCTGCGGACGGTTCCTCGTAACGACCTGGGTAGAATGCACATGCATAAGCCCGCGCGAATTCGCCGTCACTTGGCTCGTCGTCCCTGTGCTCAAGCCATCCGTCGGCTCGGAGGATACCGCTGTGTACTTTCTCGGAGATCTGGAAAGGGGAAGGGATATTGTGCAGCCCGTAAGCGGCAAGAATGCGCCCAGTCATGGCCGATTCTGACCCGTGGCGTGATATGCCTTGTTCAGGCCACAGGTTGACGAGGTAGAGCATGTCAAAGTCGAATCTGCTGGCAATACGAGCTGCCTGGTGAGCCGCAGCTGTTGCCGTTGCGTTCACCGAAGGTGGCTCAAGTGTGAGCAAGGGTCCGCATGAAAATGCTGAAGCATGTTGCCTCGTCAGATCGTCGCCACATACGGACTCTGCAACAGTCACGTCGTCGAGCTGCATAAAGTCGTCGAAAGTTGGTTCGCTCAAAGCGAGCGAAAATGTGCTGGCAACTGGGGACAATACATCGTCCCAATCAGACGTGGCAGAGCATCGAGAGTCTGGTTGCGCGAAGAAACACCCCAACTCTGGTTTGCCAAAGGACTGGTCAAGCTGTTTCTGGATGTCCCTACACAGGCTCTCGTCACGGATATCCAAGGTTGGTTGATCGTCGAGCTGCCATTCTGCCACTGGTCCAAGTTCCGGCGAAGCGTCAGGGGTCAGTGGGCCCACCCAAGGCATGGCCCGGGATTGCCTCTTGGTCATTGTGTGATACTGAGCCCGTGGGCTATCTTCGGGATCGGATGAAGGTGGTGTGTCAAGTCGCGATAGTGGAGGAATGCTGATGTGCAGAGGGGATGTTGGTCTGCTCTCATTGGAGCTAGTTGGCTTGCTCAAAGGATTCAAGGAAAAGTCAGACCAGCTTGGGCCTTGAAATTGGTCATGAATCAGTGATTTCGGGTCATCGAGCGCTCCCAGAGCTGAGAGCAGCTGCTCATGTTGAATACTGCCGAGAGACGAGGATCGCACGCGCGAGGCCCTTGCTCGCCGCGAGGTGGCAGTACATCCGGAACGACTGCTGTTTGCTGAAGGTTTGCGAGCGGGGGAAAAGCCATTCGGCGTTCGCGAAGGCTTGGGACCGGGCTGCTTATGCGCAACTTCTTCTCGCGCCGCCATGCGAGACGTCTTGGGCCGAATGAATGACGGAGAAGGGAACGAGAGTTCGAGAGCCGGCTGAAGTGGGCTACCAGGTGTGCTAGAAGGCGCAGTGGATGCCTCACTGTGGGTAGTAGAGGCTTTCCTCTTGGAGAAAAACTTCTCGAGTCTGTCGAGACCGTTGGCCATGTTGTTCAGACGTATTTGAAGACCGGATGGTCACAGTTGGCACAGTGCCTTTGTTCCGGCTTGTGACTCGTTGTTGGTACGATGGCTCTGCAATTCAATTGACACGCAGTGGTCCTCCTTTATATCATGAGAGATGTTGCTTTCGTTTCGAGGGGACCGCCTGATACTCTCGCTGCATGCGCCGTGACCTTCGCAAGCCGAACAGTGAGTCAACTGCGTAGAATGATGGCAAGCAATTGGGCTCGAAGTGATTGATAAAGTGTATATGCACAGTTCGAAGCGTTTGATTCAACGGCTGGTCGATATCTTATGGGACAGGGCAAGTCTGTGGCGTTGTAAGTCACCGGATCGCCTTCTGGTGTAAGTGAGGACTGCGAAGATGCAGGGTTGACGATGCGTTCAAGCTTTGGGGGCGTGATGAGCACAAGAAATGAAAAAGCCCTGAAAGAGACCTGAAAAAGACGAGTGAATCTTTGCAAGCGGTCAAAGAGGAGAAGGCACGAGTGAGAATAGGGAGGCAGGTACGATAGATGGGATGGAGGCAGGTGAGGTGCAGTGTCATCCATGTGCAAGTGTAGATGTGGAGGGATGCAATCTTACTAGAACAACGTACAATTTTAATGTGAGTCGTCTGAGTTGATCTTTCGCACGTCCAGGGACCCTGTTCGGTAGGTTATCCTTTGGTACAGGAGGCGAACAGCATTTGAATGGGCACGAGGTGAGGGAGGGTTTAATAAGACTGCGAGACACACCCAGGCGGCGACTTGAAGGAGGTGGGCTTGCGAGCTCGGGATCGACGGGGCAGGCCGGCACGCAGGGTGCCAGAAGCAGCACGAAGGGCAGACACACCAATGAATTAGTAACTAAATAGCAAAGGACCTACTTTTCTACGTACGTACAGACGGAATTGTTGGAGGGACGGGAGCTGCACAGGCGGCAACTCCAGGTCCGCTTGGTCGACCTCCCACTTGATGATGCCTTCGTGTCCAAGTCATGGCGCAGCTGTCTAAGCGTGAGACAATGATGCAGCCCCTCCAGCCCCTCCAGTCCCTTGAGTCACTGGCATGTCTTCCAGGTCTCGTCCCTCGCCGCGAAAAGCAATGACGGCCATGACTGGGGCAAGCTGGCAGGCAGCCAACCACCACGAGACACTGCCAAAGTTGTAGGGACGGGCACCACAACTTCGTCGCGGATAAACCAACAGCCAAGGCAAGGGTAAGGTTTTTGACCACGCTATGCACCAGGCGTTGTCCCAGCACGACGAGGCCAAGCAGAGGAGAGGAGAGGAGAGGAGAGGAGAGGTACCCTAGACTAGAACATGCTAGACTAGAGGATGAACTTGAGCAGGTTTGCTGGGCACCACGAAGCGTTCGCACAGTTTGCAGCACTCAAAGTTTACATGCGTATTTACATGGATCGTGGATCTGACATGCAGCGATTCCTGCGTCCCAGCCGGACTCGGCTGCTATCATGGCACCAACAAATGCGGGGACTGGAACGGAAGCTGCCTTCCCTACTAAGTTCCTTTGGACCTTGGGCCTCTTGTAACCTCGACTGGAGCTGGGCAAGATGTTCCATTATACCGCTCCAGTTACAGTCCATGTCTCCCTACTTATTAATTAGAAACCATGTCCACGACGGAGAGTCCACAGGCCCAGTCAGTCACAGTTGCTGCTAATTTGTGGCGCGACCTGGCCCTATCGCATCTGTTTTGTTCCCTAACCTGTCTTATGACTGACTGTGGTTCTGGCTAGATTATTCGCCAACAATCTAACGACCTTCTCGCGAATAACCAGACATCCATCCCACTGTTCCATGTACGCGAGCGGATTGATGTCAGCTATGTACTCGTAGCGGTTCTTCTTAGCTCAAACCCTGCGCTTGAGCCTCCTCCCAAACTACTCACCTGCATGAAAAGCAACACCATGCCATGACGCTCACAGGGTCTGCTTTCAACAATCGATCTTATCGGAATCGACTGTACTCGTCGTTCACACGCGTCATTTTTTGGGCTGCTCTCCGCATAAAAACTCAGCATGATCAGAATCGGTCTTGGGAGCTGGTTATCGTTGGGGGATGAGTTGAAGCTTCATCCTCTTCTTGCCATGCAGTGGGCTCTGGTGCGGGTCCAGGCCAGGCTAGGGACGCTGACCAGTGACCACCCTTGCCGGCGCACGGACGCGGTTCTATCCAACGTCAGTCGAGCAATCAGCTTCGAAGTTCGAACTCATCTTGACTTCTCGAGTCTATGTCCACCTCACTGACACAACATCAGCCACAAACTCCATCCGACTGCACATGCCGCAAGCCACGCTGCAGTGTTGTCGAACCGATTCCACCACTTGTTCTCCATGGCCCAGCGATCATCTCCGTTTTCTCGATCCAACTTGCCATGGACGTCGTCGCAGCGGCAAGTGCGCCACTTGGGACCTCTTGTAGTACAATGCTCATCGCATAGGCTTTTTCTCTCAACATGAGGAATGTGCCGGTCATGATGCCTAGGCACTGCAGGTATCAAGCCAGCCCACTTAGCAACTTCTCAACTGGTGTCTGATCCCTAGCCCTGTGCCAGGCTGACTGCTGACGGTCCAGCAATAACTCCCTAATGGAGTTATCTCAAATATCTCCTCGTGGTAAGTACTGTACTGGCTATATCTGTATGCATGGCACGACCTGCAGTCATGGTACGACCTGCAGTGTCTCGCGGAAGTTGGCAGCCGGAAACATCGTCGAATAGTTGAGCAACGGGGAGGCACTCCAGCTCAAAACTATGGGCAAGCCAGCGTCAAGTCTCCATCGGCCTGCTCTTCGAGCGTTTCACAATCAACTGTGAAGGCGCCTTCTCTCTGGTTCACTAGTGTCTGTTTGCTAAAAAGTTTTACGCGGTTGCGCCCCGTCTTGGTTCCTTGCCGGATGGTCCCATGCAGGGTCTCAGCTTAGGGTCTCTTGCCGACAGAGAACCTACGCACCGACAAGTCTCGAAAACATTTTGAGGCGTAATGAAACTTTGCGGCTCGTTCTAAATAGTACGGAACGCACCAGGCGACCGGCAATATGGGGCTCTGGTCGCGACCACGAGCGGGCTGACAGTAGGCGCCTGCAGAGCTTAGGAGGACAGCTTAGGAAAAGGCCATGCTCGAACCGCGCACAACTGTGGCCTGCATTGGCCGGGGTCGATTCTTGGAGAGGCTCTTCTGTGGTATCTACAACCGATCTGATGTCTGGTACGTACTGGTGCTAGTCAACCCCCGCCGAACGCTTCATGAGAGCCTCAGTGGTCCGATCCCTTGCTCAGCGTCCGTGACTACCAACATAATGCACTGTAGACTTGGCCACGTATTTTGGCCAGGGGACTTGATGAGTTCTCTCGGTTCGGATCGCAAGGGACCATCGGCGACGAAATGCAGGGCCCGTGTTACGGACATGATCCTCCCTACCTATCCACTGCCAACGTGTAGAAGCATCATGCATTGGTGGCCGCATTTACATATTCCGTCGAAACACGCATATTTCTCTCGGCCAGCTCAATGGCATGGCTTGTTTCTCCGCGAAAGGTCTACTCTTAAGTCTGGGCTTGTGGTTCGCATTTATACTCTGACGCACTATCCGGTAGCAATAGGTCACTTATGTAGGCACACCGGACGTAGACACCAACTTCATTAGCAGGGGTTGTGAGTTCAATACAAGATACTTGCTTTTGCCGTTCTGTCACATCCTTATGTTTGTATCAGGTTGATTACCGCCTCATCTCAGGCCGTGGCCTGTGCTTGGCGAATCATCAAAATGTTGAGGCGTCTTTGTTTTATGACCATAGCTTCATGCACACACACTCAAATTGTGCATCTAGCCCGCCAAAGTCCAGTATTCCTCGTGGTTACTCTCACGTCAGTTGAGAAGTTGGAATTTGTGCGCTTGCTCTCGCGCCTGCGATCACGTTCCAACCATTGTCTTCCGGTCATGATGGTGCAACAGCATGCGATTGCTCTTGTATGTGTCTCTCGCTCCTGCTGCATGAGTATGTGTATATTGCTCCCGTTCTACTGCCTGTCACGTCGGTCTGGAGTTTAATTGCGCAAAATTGCGCTACGCTACAGCCTCGAGCCGCCCTCATCACCGTCGACCTCTCCGAACAAATTCAGGAAAGCGTTGTGAACCTCGTCCGTCAGGTCGCTGGCCTGCAAGCTTCGCCCCTTTTTAGCAAAAGCCAGTCGCGAGCACTCCTGTTGCATGGTGTCAGTCACGTGGTCAACGCTCGGATGCTCGTAGAACTTACTCTCGTGATGGCACTGCCGCCAAAAGCAGCCAAGCCGATCAGCTCATCAGCGCTGATCTTGTCCTCGCCGATATCCCATAGCCCGTCGAGGTATGCTTTCCTCCAGCCCAGAAACGTGGCAATGGATCCCGTGAGCGTGTCGCCCTGACCACCACTCCTCTTCTTCCCGCCCTTCATATCATCCACAAGAGTCGTGGTGCCATTCGAAATGAAGTCTTTCCCGCCCTTCTCGATGATTGTTACGCCTCCGAGCGCCTTGCACAATGCCTCGACTTTGCCTGTCTCCTTCTCTTCGTTCGCCTTAACGCCCAAGGTCTCGCATAACCTGCCAAACTCCACAACATTGGGCGTCAATATGACCGACTTGTAGCCCTTGACTAGCTCGGGGCTCTTTTGGACGACCAGAAGCGCATCGGCATCCAAGACGATGGGCATTTCCTTGCCTCGGGCGGCACAAATAACTTGAGCGACAGTATCTTGCATAAGAGGATCACGTCCCAGTCCAGGTCCGATGACAAGAGCATGCAGCCTTGGAAGCATATCAATGATTCCAGCCGCGATTATCTTAGGATCGGTGTCCGCTTCGGAAGTGGAATCTGACAATTGAGGAGGCCGGCTTTGGCGCATGAGCGGATGAACCATGAGGTTAGGGGAATAGGTCTTGATGACGGCTCCAGCTCCTGGTGTGCAAATAAGATGGGACTTGCCTTCATCAGCTGGATTTATCAGAAAATCGAGTCAGTTATTTACCATATCACAGCCCAGCCTTGCACTGGCCATGGCTGAGAAGTAGGGGGCGCCTGTGTAATCCTCACTGCCACCGATCACTGCCACTCGTCCGAGCTGACCTATCCACGGGTTAGCGCACGAAACTTCGATAGAATGAAGTCGATTCCAACCCTTGTGAAATTTCTCAAGCATTGGCGGTACCATGCGCTGGACCTTGGCGAGAACATTTTTCGTTGCGGACGACATCTCAGGCCCGGATGTCGAAGAGCTACCCATGGCGTGATGCCTTGCGGCAAGGTGGTTCAGTCGTGGGAAGATGAAGGCGGGCACTGCTGTGTTAGATCCGGATTCTAGACCAACGGCTGTATCTCGCCAGTGTCTGCTGATGATGTAGTGGCTTGCTGTAGAGCTGCTATTAGACAAAGTAAGATTGAGCAGAGAGGATTCAAACAGTCGCCAGGATGCAATGTTGACATGAACATGATGTCACCTTAGGATTGTGGATAAGAACCGAACACCGAACCCCGTCTTCACAACCTGACGGCGATTAATAAGTTCTCATCAACTATCGTAAACGAGCAGTAGCTATAGATATTGGGACAAGTCTGTTGGTGAATATTAACGACTAAAATATATCGAGAAAAAGGGGGGAGCTAGACATCGAGTATTTACTAACAGCTTTATTCGATTATTAGGGTAGTTTTAAGTTCACATCGACTGTTAAAAAGGAGTAGCGGCGTTAATATTTATAACAGTCTGTCACAGCTGGTCAAGAGCGGGGACCCACCCTGCACCTGGCAGTCACGTGAACTCGCGCCTGCCTTTGCATTTTGT